GTTGTATTATTTTTGCAAGTTGTCCAAATGGATGAACTCAAGTACTTGAACGGATTTATTATTCCATATAAAGTCTGCTATAAATGCTGAAGACTTCCTTCATATGACAGTTTGGGAAAGGTGCTCAATCATATTGATGAAAGAAATGTTCTAAATTTATGCATATGTTTGATATTTGGTCTAAAGAAACTGATTATTGTGATGAAATTCAAGCGAGGCTAACCTTTTTGACAACTATAATGGTCGGACGGTGAATGTATTGTATTTGGAACACGAAACGACAATTATAGCGGTCTATATTACATCCTACACATACTATCATACTCAAGCTAACTTCATCTACTAAACAACCTTGAGGTATCAGACGAGCGGGTTGCAACCTTAGTATCCGAGATTGATCCAGATGCAGACTCTGATATGTATGTATGGTTCATATGACTCACCCATATGTTAGAGTTCACCGACGGGCGAGGCAACACTTAACTACAGGGGTGGATGCAGACCTCCTTCTATCCGTAGTAGATAATGGCAAGATGTCTGTTATTAGCTGTCTCATACAAAATGTTTTAGCACTCACCTAGCAATCAATTCATGATACACATCCTTATAAGCTTCTAGATTTTTATTTGGGATTTATGGCAAAAATAGAAAATATTGCTCAAGATTCAACTACATAGAAATAAAGCTGAAATAAAGGGCATAGCTAATTATATTAAAAGTTTACATTATCCACATTACACCATTCCCATCTACTTCAATATTAGCAACCTATTTCGACCTATTTCACACTAAATAAATCCCGTTGGTAGATTCTCCAAAAAACATAATTTTAGACTCTTTTAATTCTTAATAATATTATATTCTTATTAGTTATAGATGTTTTTGAGATTATTCAGATTTAGATTTTTTGTTTAAGAATCTACTAAAATAATTGAAATTTACCATTAAAAGCGCAACCACTGCAAAATTATAAGTCCATTAGCGAAACTATGTGTAGTTCATTATCGCAAAATCAATGTTAGCTTTAATCACACTCCGAAAATTCGAGTTTGGTATTATAATTAAAATTTTTTCTTATTATTGTGAACTTCAGTGAACATCTACAACCTTTTAAATGCAGTACGTATTAAAAAAAAGTATGACAATAGGTTTGTAGAGGAACGTAACTTCCTGCTATTGTTCTTTTTTTATTTATTTCTCATCCAACTGTTTTTTTTTTCTTTGTTTTTCTGTTTTTCGTTTTAATTTGATTTTTCCCAATTATACGTGGCAGTTCCGAGAAAATCGGCATTCATCTTGATGGAGAGATATTTCCGTTTCGATATTGCGCTGTTAAGGCACGTCGGGAATGTGTCCTCCAGGATAATCCCGTAAGCTTGGACGCGTCGAGACGCCAGCGGGAGATGTGTCTCCACGGGCTGACGGGAGGATTTCGCCTTAATTCCCCTTAGAAAGCGTGTAGGCGGATAAGAATTGATCAAGGACAATTAAAAAATTTTCTATTCTTTCGTCCCGATTTATTACGAAATTTTACACGACCCGCCACATGAGAAATGTCAAATGTTTAAATAGATTAATGCCTAGAGGTAGAAACCGACACGCACACACATAGCGGATGCTTGTGTCTACTGGTTATTTATAGATCTCTTCTCAGTCACTTCATATAGGGTGAAGTCGAATTGATGAAGATTCAAGACTGTCTAATAAAATAGTAAATTTCGCTTTGTTTCGTGAATAAAATAAATTTCCGAAGTGGAAAGACCCATCCTATTATTTCTTTCTTCCCCCCTTATTGAACAAACACAATGCGTTGTGAGGCGATTGACATGACTTGGCATGGATTGGGGCAAAACAGGAAGTCGTTCGTTTATTTTACCCTGCCATACTTCCCATCGCATCGTTGTGTACAACGTTTAATCGTCAAACTCTAAACTGGGCCAATTAAACGTCGAGCCGGTCAATTCACCGACATCATAATCATCATCCCGGTTCTCACATACAATACAGTTGCGGTTTCATTGAGCGGACTGAAAAGTCCAGAAACGACCAGTTTCCTCGTTTCGAATATCTGCTGGAGACGATGTCCGGACCAGAGATCCCTCGTTCAAACGGGGATCATCTGCGGTCACGTCAGTTGAGTAAGACGTGGCCTTTCGAGTCCAAACGGCCCCACGTTACGTAATGGCGCCGTCGCCGTCACGGTTTTGGCATGACCTGGATTTTAAACAGATTGTCTTCATCGATTGTATAATAAAAATCGAGAAGGTGGATTAACATATCTATTTAATGATATAAAAATAAAATTAAGGTTTCAAATTACGCGGAATACAAATCAAATACAGTCAATTTCACTTAAGATGCAATATACAAAAATATATTTCTATAGAAACCTTATGACTTACTTTGTCCCACATAAAATGCAACATATCAGTAAAATTTAACATTACAGTAAAACCTCGATGAGAGGCAGTGTCAAATAAAACTAGACTAACACTATCACTAGAACTAACTCAAGACCTACAACTAGAATCATTCGGGTTTAGCCATCTTGAGAAACGTGCGGCTAAATTCGAATGTATTTAGGTCTAGTGTTAGTTTTAGTTTTAATTGTTGTTCAGCTAGAACCAGTGTTGTTAAATACCCGGCTATTTATTTTTAAGGGTAAATATCCTGGATATATACCCGTGGGTATTTACCCAAGATGGGTATTTTGAGGTATTTATAAATTTAATTTAAATTGAGTTGATGGCAGTTTTGCAAGCACTTCAAAAATGCAGAGTCACTTATCGACATACCAAACTTATTTATAACATCTACAAGAATGCTACAATGACGGTAAAATTGCATGAAAGTACTGAAGAGAGTAAAAGTAGTAAAGTACTGATTGTGAGCAAAACAAGGCGGGACACTGTTGAACTCAAATTGTTCATCACAGTCCTCAGAGTGCATTTAAACAACTGGATTGGACCCAAAAAGGCATAAACATTGATTGCAAATGCTTAAATAATTTGCGCTACGCGGACAATATAGTTCTTATATCGGATAGCCTTGGAGAGATTAAACTAATGATGAACGACTTAAAGGAGGTGTGTGCAAGAGTCGTGCTAAATATCAACAAGGAGAAATCAATCAAGTAATGAGATTGAGAGGGTTCACAGCTATGTATATCTTGGCTATGAGGTTCGTGTATCGAGAGATAATCAAACAAGCGAACTAAACAGAAGAATCTTAAAGACATCTTCAAGAGAAAAGGCCAAGAAAGGGTTTCAATCAATGCTTGTTTCCGGTTATGACATAAGGCTCCGAAACTTTAACATTAACGGTAACCACTGCCAGGAGGGTAGAAGTAGCGCAAAGATAGATGGAGAGGTCGATCCTGGGTCTAACTCTGAGGGACTACATACGAAATGAAGACCTATGAAGAAGAACGGTCATGTGATGCGAATCAAGAATGAGCAGTGGACAAAACGGTTGCTCGAGTGAAGACCGCGAGCGAACAGTCGAAGTAGACGTCAAAAGAATGACCAACAATTGGATTCAAACAGCATAGAATAGGGAAGGTCTATGTCCAACAATGGACGCAGAGGGCTGCTTGGTGATAATAATCATAATAACTTGATCTAATCTAAATTACGGCAGATTCGTCTTTGATTGTTGACAATTCCTCGTCTTCCTCTTCATTTTTATTGGAATCGATATATTTTTACTGGTATCACTTTTGCCCGGCCCAGGGTAAATACCCATTTTAGAAATACCTACCCGCCAGGTATTTACCCAGCGCCCATCACTGGCTAGAACTAATACTAGACCTACAACATTCAGATAACATAAGAACGTCGCCTTTTTCCAAGCAAAACTTTTACTTTGCAAAACTACCCAGGCATTGGGTAGTTTTGAACGAAAAGTAGAACTAACGCTAGACCTAGAACTAGAAACATTCAGGTTTTGTCGTGCGTCTCTTAAAACTCAGCCGAAAACTCAGGGTTACGTCACATTTTTTTCTTGCAAAATTTGTCCTTTACAAAACTACCCAATTCACTATTAAGCTATGTTGCATTTTATGTGAGACAGTGCAAATGCACAGTAGTTTCATAACTATGATTACTGCATTCCTATATTACGAGTTATATGAAATTCCCGGTATAATTCATTGCTCCTCTTAATGTAGTCGTTTTGAGTATTGCCAAGTTACGCCAATTTAAAATGAATATCAATCCATTACATAGTTTTGCGAATTTATAACCCATACTTTATTTTCTCTATATTGGCAAAGACTTGCAAGTTAAGTAATATTTAAGTTGGAGTTTGGAACCTCTAAAATTGTTTGAGAGGTAATTTTTCATTTATATGTTAGAAATTAACCTAAATTATATTTTAATCTTTGAATAAATAAATAGGTATACGTTCTATTTGTTTTCGAGTAAATTCGATCATTAAAAATGACCTCTACTCAATAATCTCTAACCTATACTATCTCTTCAAGACAAGGTCACTCCTACAAGAACGCATTGTTTACTCAGATAGCATTTACAAATTATTATCACATTATCTTTGTGCATCCTTCATTTCATTTCTTCCCACTCAATTCATCAAAACGACATCAAACGACCTCAACACCGCTTTAAGGCTTATTTATTTTGTGTGTATTTAAAATGGAATCTCCACGTGGTGCATCATTAAATTTTTTTTAACTCCTTGTTTAAACTAGTTCTAAAATGGATAAAGGCCGTTTAGATTTTGCAACAAATGCGTTAATTAACGGTGCATGTTGACGAGTTTTACGAGATCCCATGTGCAAATGAGACCTTGAACACGACCTTTGGAGCGATCGGACTGATTGATTGCTATTGCAGATGTTTGCTAAGCAACTTCGGTTATTTTTGGGTTTGAGTGGTACGATCGAAACCGATCATATCCAATTCATTTATACCGACATGTATACAAATACGTAATTTTCCGATTTATTTTTATTTTTATTATTTGTTTTTTTTTTGTTTTAGATGAGCCAAAGGTTCGATCAGGAATTTGGGAGGACACATCATGTGATAGAAGAATGGCACCACCTATGGTTCACACAAGAAGTCTTCAACACACCAACTTTCAACGGAGTTCTGAAGATAGTTGGTGTTCTGCAAGCGATCCAGATCTTTCATCTGATGATGAAAGTGATAGAAGCGCAGCGTCTAGCACTAGGTATTTAAATAAAAAAAATTTATCTATAACAAACTACGACGTAAAAAAACTGCCTCATATACAACTGAATCATCATTACTTCATTACTTATATGGGAGTCGTAGAAGTCGCAGTAGACTTTGAACCAAAACAGTTTCACATCGATTAATTCCATCGACGTAACGATCCGATGTCGGTGTTTTTGAAGTCAGACTGCTTGGTACCTCATTGGATGATAACCAATATAAATCGGGATGTTAAAGGTTATCCGAGATTTTATAAGACCATGTCGTCATAGCGCCATATTATCACCGAACGGAAGATTTGCGCCAAGTGTAAAACACAAAATCAAGGTTAGGTTCAGTAACGATTTCGAATTTGAATAGAGAGAAGGCCAGATGATTATAACGGACCTTTGTCCGAACGGTTTTGTCCATATTAAACCTTTTTTCTTCAATCCGAATTTGGCATTCAAACGCGCCGACCGTTTATGCATTTTCCGCTATAAATAGATTATGTCGGCCTTAGGCTGTTAATAGTTGCAAACGTTAAAATTTTGCTAACGTATATGGATAATTGTTAATTACGGTGTAGTTAGTTGGGCATGTTGGTTACAAGCCGACAAAGCTTGAGGTCGATCTAATTTCTAGTTGTTGCTTTTCTTTTTAATTTTTTCATTACGTCAGTTAATTTTCTCGAATTAATGTGATAATAGGGGACGGTGACTTTGATATTTTACTTCCTAATAAAAGTATTTTGCAAATTAAACTCAATCGACATTTTTTCTTTTTCGAAAGATCGAGAGAGCAGGGTGGACATGACAAAAACGTCTTGCCCATATTGCAGCAAGACGTGCATTAACCTGCTGCAAAAGTAGGTCTTAAAGTATGGCACTCTGCCACCTCATCCCCATATTGCTGGATGTTCATACCGTTTCGGAGGAATACCAAGTGACCGACATCTACTCCCATAAGTTATTGCAATCCATGCCATCATACATCCTCAAAACAGATATTCTTCGCACTTGAACCTTGTTGAGGAAAAACACGCGTGTTTTTATTCAGATTTGGTGAAAAGTTGAATTGAATCAGAAGCACCCACACTATTCAACTTATCACTCGAATATGTTATGAGAAGAACCAGGCTCGACAAACGCAACCTTGATGAACAAGTCCAATCAAATGATGGGATATGTAGAACACCTTAACATCTTTGGCAGAACAATACAGGTGATAAAAATACCTTTGGAAACCTCGAAACCGCTGGAAGAGATTCCTGATTCAGAGTAAGAGACGCAAATATCGCGTTAGGCAAAGTGTTACATTTAGAGACTACAACTTCGAAGTAGAGGACAACTTCAGCTATCTGGGCAGCAACTTAAACTCGTTGAGACTCGGGAAATACAAAATTTATACAGTTTTGCTAATTCTATATATATAATTCTATCATAGTGACTACAATGATTTTGCCGATCTCTTCTCTTTCGGTATTTGCATCTTGAAACTGTTTTTGCTACGTTTTGTAATCTGGTACGTGGTATATGGGGAAACTCCAAATACATTACCAGACTTTGAATTATAATTTACTTGTATTTCGTTATGAGTCTTCTTCGTTTGGAAAATATTAATTAATTTATCAACTTCTATTCTTAATTTATAAAAATTTTCCATTATAAATTGATTTCATAGAATGTATTGGTCAAATTTCTAAAAATTATCAATAAATCTAATTATTTTGAACTTATACTATCAACATATATTAATAATATGTATTCTAATTATTATGATAAGTCGAAAAACAAAATAACCAAATTGTGAAAACCTGCATAAATCTTTTCATAGCATATTATTACTCACGGATGTTTTGATAATATCAGCGCAAAACGTTTTATTTATCTAAGCGGTTAAAAAAATAAAATTATATTTAATCGATAACTTTACGCAGACAAAATTTTAAGAAATAAACTTTATCACACTTTTTTTTATCTTTTATCGTTTAGAAGCAGTGGGCAATTACGAAATACCATAAGTTCAAAAGCACGAACTTTACGCGACAAACTTCGAAGTAGCGGTGGAGCTGGTGGTGGTCATCGACTTTCTTTGGATTCGTCCATAGAAACGTCCCCGCAAAACCATGCGAATCAAGGTAGACTATCTAGATGGTTTTCAATCAGACGGGGATCTGCGCATCAATATGATATTGAAAATTTAGAAAATAATAGAAATCAAGGCAACGGGAAAATGCCGCTATTACCTGAGGTAATAAAATTAGAATTTTTAATAATTATTTTTAGTATATTAATTTTTTTTATTTAGGTTGAAGAAGAAACAAGTTTTACACATTCAGCTTCTCACCGTCGGCAAATTCCACCATCCTTACCACCAGCTCCGTCAAATTTATCTCAACCCCAGTTAAAAAGGAGAATGATAGTCGCCGCAATTGTACATAGTGAAAATTCATACGTAGCAACTTTACAAAAATTAGTCAATGTAGGTCATTCTCGTCAAATCGTTTTGTAATATAATAATATTAATTTTTTATAATAGGATTACAAGAAGCCTCTAGAGGAAAGCAACCCACCAATACTAAGCGGGACCAAGATATCGACTTTATTCCACAAACTACCCGAAATACTACAGTGCCATAATTTATTTCGATTAGCGTTAGCGGGATACGTAAAAAATTGGGATAGAGATGAGAAAATCGGCGATGTTTTTGTCGCTTCTTTTTCGAAAGCCGTCGTTTTAGATATTTACAGCGGATTTATCAATAATTTTTCGGTCGCTATGGATTTAGCCAAAATGGAAGCTAAAAGAAAATCGGCTTTGGCCGATTTCTTTAAAGTTAAACAAATTAGTTCGCATGATCGATTATCATTTTTTGGATTAATGGTTAAACCTGTGCAGAGATTTCCACAATTTATACTATTTTTACAAGTATGCAAATAAAAATTTTAATAAGTGTAATTTTAATGTTATTTTTCGTTTTAGGATTTATTAAAACATACTCCACAAGGTCATCACGATCGAATGTCTTTACAATTAGCTTTAACTCAACTTGAATCTCTAGCAGAAATGTTAAACGAACGTAAAAGAGAAGCAGAACAATTCCAGGCGTTCAAAGAAATGCTGAGAAACATAAGCGGGAAGTTTTCAGCCCGACCATTATCAGATGCCAATAGATATTTGCTGAGAGAAGATAACGTTATGCAATTGGTAAGATTTGCATTCCAATTTTAACTAACTATTTTAATTAACTTTCGTGAATCTGTAGGAGTTTAATCAATGTGGAAGTGTTGCCAAAGCAAAAAATCGTCGACTTCTACTATTAAACGACTTGGTGGTGTGCGTATCGGTCGCGCCAAAGGCATCCGACGATTTCGGAGCCAGCGAAAGACTGAGTTTAAAGTGGACTTACCCAGTTTCCGAAATAGAAATTCAAGATACCAGTGCATCGCCGACTTTAAGCAGACTTTTAACGGCCAGCTTCAACAAAAGCGGCAGTCTCAAATCGAACGCTTCTTTCGAAGGTACTCAACCCCAAGCGGATAATCTCTGCACTGAAATGAGCAACTTAATGCACGATTACGAGGTTATGAGTAGAATAAGCGATCTAATCGGGTCGTTAAGAGGGAACTATAAGGACATCACGCTGGATAACACAAAGAGAATTCTTCAACAGATACAAAGTTCGATTCAACATAAAGATGAACAAATGGCTTGGGTCGATTCTTGTTGTCTTCAACTAGTCGCTAAATCTAAGGGGAAAGAGGAAGTATTCACTTTCCAAACTGATAATCCTAACGTTAAAAAAGAATGGATTACTGAATTGCGTTTGGCTCAATTGGCTTTAGATCCTAATAATTCACCAGCTTGGGATGTTCCTGAAGAGGAACAGAGGCCTTCTACTAAAATGCCTTTGTATGTTAGAGCTCAACCTGTTTATAAATCACAGCATCAAACAGAGGTATACATATTTATAATGATCATGTTAAGTTATTAATTAAATTATTATTATTTGCAGGTACGCTGTGGTTGTTTCTATACAATATCATCCCAAAGACCAACACGTCGCCGAAGCAAATCACAAAGTTACCTGTGGGTTTGTACAACAGATGGTGCAAGCAGTCATATTGCGATTTTAGCCCAAAATCATCACCAAGCCAGTCTTCTCCGCGATCTCTCCTCATTCTCCTTAGTTGAAACCCAAATTACCGCCATGGAATACGTAAAAGGTGCACCACCTCCATGTCCAAATCTAGCTGTTGATACAGTTTGGATGGGTACAGATAGCAGAAAACTTCTTTTATACGCAGCTGATGAGCCTGAAAAACAAGAAGAAGTCGCCAATACAACAGTACCAGATGTAATCACCCAAATAAAAAATCATTGCGGCTCTGTTTTTGTCGCGTTAAGAAATGGAAGTTTATTGGTGTATAGTAGAAATCAACACTCAGATGGAAGTTGGATTTTAAATAATCCAATTAAAATTACGTTAGGGATAGATCCAATTGCTTGTTTGTTACCGATTAATATGAGCATTTACGCATCATGCGGGTTAAAAGTGTTTGTAATAAACGCGATTAATATTGAAGTGCAAAAAAGTTTTAGCATCCAACCGGATTACGGAACCCAAATTAATTTAATGGCGCATAGCGGAATTGGGTTATGGATATCGGTTAAACAATCAAGCACTTTATGTTTGTATCACACCGAAACGTTTAAACATCTCCAAGACATCGACATCGCCTCGAATGTTTTAAGAGCAACAAATTACAATAGAAGCGACACGACTAATATAAATTGGTATCGTTCGCAAATGCACGTCACCGCGTTGATGGCTTGTAAAGGATTGTTGTGGGTTGGCACAGCTTTTGGGATATCCTTAACCATTCCTTTACCGCGTTTAGAAGGGGTTCCGATAATTAGTGGAAGAGTTAACATATCACATCATGCACATTACGGACCAATTACATTTTTACTCGCTCTACAACCAAAGAACACAAACACCCCAGCATCGAAATTAATCCGAGAAGATTCGAAACACGAAAACGAAACTATGGAAATGAACGAAAATCGACATCGCCCGAAAATCGAAAAACAACTTTCAGACTCATCAATGTCTTCTGTAGCAAAACTTAAACAACAATTAACCAGTTCACCAGTGGTCATCCGACGACGTCGATCAAAAGACTCAGATTTATCGAGATTAAGTAAAACGTTACCGAGAGGACTTGGAAATGGTTCGTTTTCAACGAGCACAACATCTTCACAAGGTTCAGGCGATACTTGCGACGTATATGGATTATACATGGATTTAATGTACCCCATAGATTATGAAAGCGATGATCACGCTTTAACAGATACCATTTATGAATCTCTAAGGCGTAGTGACCCGGAATTAGCCGCTATACCTGGAAAAGTTTCAACGTTAGATCGAAGATTAAAAATGAAAGTTAGCCGACCAAGATCGTTAGATCTATCAAATTGGTCGGTGGATTCAAGGTCTTCTTCTTTATATACTTCATCGGGAAGCGAAGAAAGTATGGCTATTCGTGGTGTAGGAAGAAGCGTATCAAGAAATAATTCAAACGCAAGCAGGCAATTGAATGGGGTCTGCGAAAATAGTGAAAAAGAGATTCGACCGCAACCAACGAAAACTTTACCAAGGAATAACACAATCGATAATTCAAGAAGAACAGTGATTACTTTGATGGGTGGTCGTGGATACGTGAATACAAGACAGAGGTGTTGTTCGGTAGAAAAACTTAAAACTCCCACACCATCTAAAGAACCTAATAAAAACGATGCCCATATTGTTATATGGGAACTTAAATTGTGATTGTTAAAAAAAGAAAACGTGGCAAAGTAATTGATGGCCTAAAATAAAAATATTAAAGGTCTTAAAGTATTGAAATTCATAAATCAAATTAAAAAATAATCGAAGTAAAAGGACAAGTCTGATAATTAATTTTAGGACAAACTTAATTAGATTGTCCTAAATAAATACTGTAAGTTGTTGTTTTTCATTCCAAAATGTTTAAGATAAACGTTGTTAAAGTGGATTTTAAATACGATTTTTGTAAATAATTTTTTTTCTTTCTAAAAAAAAGAAAATCAAAAAATTTTCAAAAAAAAGAACACATCTGTTGGTACCTATACTATTTTAATAAAAAAAATTAAGATGTGAATTGAGAATGAAGAGATTTCTCATTTTAACTTTGTAAATTGTATTTATTCTAGAATTAATTTATTTTTCGAATCGTTAATTTTCTATGGACCACGTTAAGCTATATTTTTCATCCCATCGTTTGCATGTATTTGCCTTGAATATCTTCTTTTTGTATAGTATATATTTAATAGATCGCTGTGTTATAAACTATTATTAAAGAAGAACGTCTATTATACATTTATGAAATATATGTTGTATATAATATTAATATCAATGAGTTTTATTTTTTTATATATAAATTAATCTGGGACAAACTTTTTCTATGAAATCTATGATTTTTTTATTAATATCATAGCAACACTTTCACCTAATAGGCTCTTTAAATCGGAAATGTTATCCTATTTAGCAGAAACACATACAGGGTGTAACAAAAGTATGGAATATAGCTGGTAAACAAACCATTTGTGATTTAAATGAAAAATGTTTCAAGGTTTCCTCGTTAATTATGGCGATATTCACAACCTACCAAAATCTTAAAAAATTCTTTACCACCGGAAGCGTTAGAAATCTTCCTGAAAGTGGACGACCAAAAACAATCACAGATGACTACACTCAATTGGTGTACTCTTGCCTCTTCAAGAACAACCTCAAAATTCCCTAAGAAATCTAGGCCGATATATGGGAAAATCTGTTGCTTTATCATGCACAAGAACAAGTTCTTTAATAAGTCAATGATTAAGAAAAACATATTAAAGATTTCATTATAACAAATAAAGGGATTGTAAAAACATTAAACGAACAAAACAGAAGAACTACAATAAATGTTCAAATTGGGCATTCAATTTGTTGTTGTTCGCTTAATTGCGCCATAATTTGTTGTAACTGAAAATTTACTTATAAAACGTGTTTTTTATGCTATTTTTTGTAACTCGCGTTTTTATCCTTTTTTTTTAACAAAAATAAAATAAATTTTGGCAATGTAGGGAAATAGGTATGTAGCAGTTGGTAACACCGGAACACTTGAAAATAGAAACTTTGAATTGACAATTAGAAACTGTCAAAACACAAAATATATTCACCTGAAAAAAATTTTTGATGTACACCTCCCAAAATAAGAGAAATTGCTCAGAGTCAATGTCCTCATCATTGTGGACCTTGTATTCGATGCTAAGAACGTGTTTAAACATCCATAGGCAAAAATTGGCACATTGACAACTAGAAAAATTAATGAGCCAATGTCACCAACTGGAACTGGTTCCATAAAATGTTACTAAAATCTCATTACAGCATCGGATGCTGTAAGGAGTCTCATTACAGCACCCGTTAGAGTGCTGTAATGAGTTATAGCTTCCATTACCGTAGCGAATTACAAAAACGTCATTTCAGTTCCAACTTTGATTCCAATATGCAGATTAATAATTACAGAAAATTGCATTTTTTTCTAAATATGCAAAAGATCCTATGTATCCCATTTAAGATAACAATGTTGGTTACCATAGCAACGATACTAAGAACACTATAAACAATCAAATATAGCCAGAATATGCGCCATAATTAACCAGACAACTTTTATTTGAAACATTTTTCCTTTATGAATAATATACTATAATAATATAGTAATCTTCATAATCATAAATGGCGTATACACTAGCTATATTCCATACTTTTGTTACACCCTGTATATAAGACCAAACAGAAACCAGTAAAATTGATAGTTACCTCTAGGTTTAGGTTCTGGAAACTACTCTTGCCACATGAAGTTCCATACGTTAAAATATTGAAGAAAAAGCGTTTGTGAAACCTTTGTTTAGATGTATCATAATACATCTAAACACATTAACTATACCTTGCATATTCAAAAATTGTCTGAAGACGTACGGCTAAACCCGAAACTTTCATCCTTCACGTTATAATTGACGTTTCAAAAGAAAACTGACCTTACATAACATTCCTTCGCGATATAATTGACATTTGTAAACAAAACTAACCTTACTTAACATTTCTTCACGGTATAATTGATATTTGTACACAAAACTAACATTCTATCTAAAACTGGTTATCATATTACAGTGTCTCCGCAAGCTGCCTTGGCTTTATCNTTATCATGCACAAGAACAAGTTCTTTAATAAGTCAATGATTAAGAAAAACATATTAAAGATTTCATTATAACAAATAAAGGGATTGTAAAAACATTAAACGAACAAAACAGAAGAACTACAATAAATGTTCAAATTGGGCATTCAATTCGTTGTTGTTCGCTTAATTGCGCCATAATTTGTTGTAACTGAAAATTTTTTGACGTTTAATGATGTAAACGTCATTTCAGTTCCAACTTTGATTCCAATATGCAGATTAAATAATTACAGAAAATTGATGTTTTTTCTAAATATGCAAAAGAACCTATGTATTTAAGATAACAATGTTGGTTACCATGCAACAGAGATATGATACATCTAAACACATTAACTATACCTTGCATATTCAAAAATTGTCTGAAGACGTACGGCTAAACCCGAGACTTTCATTCTTCACGTTATAATTGACGTTTCAAAAGAAAACTGACCTTACATAACATTCCTTCACGATATAATTGACATTTGTAAACAAAACTAACCTTACTTAACATTTCTTCACGGTATAATTGATATTTGTACACAAAACTAACATTCTATCTAAAACTGGTTATCATATTACAGTGTCTCCGCAAGCTGCCTCGGCTTTATCCAATAACACTGTAGATCTGAACTGTTTATTAATTGTAGTGGTAGACCTTTTGACTAACATTCGGCTTAAGCCGTTCGTCTATTATTAGAGTGTTATTCGGGCTAAACATAAACACAATTATTTCTAGTTCTAGGTCTAGTGATGGTCTAGTGTTAGTTAATTCGGATAATAAATTTTAAGTTGAACAATTATTTTCTAGCGCCATCTATTGCCCGACGATGGTTTTTATTAGCCAATTGCGGACTCACACTCACAGTCAACCGAGTGTAACTATGTAAGTGCCTGTTGGTGCCTGTACTAGAAGGTTAATAATTGTTAAAAATGATAAATTAGAAAAATTATTAAAAAAAAAGCATTACCTTAAGTTATCTTTTCTTTATATTTTAAATAATTAAAAACTTTTGCTATTACCCCATAGATGTCGCGTAAAAAATTTTTAAATCCAATAAACACTGAACATAACCTTGCCAATGAATACACTCCATTCTCGCCATGTTAGAACGAAAGATGGATGCTGTTTGATCTCTCAGTAAGCTCGCGTCATTATCACGTCAGTGATAATAACGTAGTGATCGTGTGTGACGCATATAGTGAAGGGATAAGGCTCCTGATTGGACGGATAAAGCAAGTAAGTATTAATTTAATTCGCTGTCCCATATCTACAATAACACAATCAAAACAGTCCATTTAATTTTAATGTTCCTCTGGAATTTTTCGTGTTTTTATTGAAATTGGGTCAAAACTTAAATTGATTTCGAAGGATATTTTTAGTTTAGATTTTGAATTCAAAACATGGTAAAGGTTATCTTTAGACCGTGACGTACTGCGTTCTTTTTTGGGACTTAAACGTTCTTCATGGTTCAAGGAACAAAGGTAACGTTACACTTTGTATAGGGTAAGGTTACTTTTTAAGGGACACCTGTTCTTAGGTATAAATGAGAATAGGGTTTGGGTAGGATTTGGATTTAAAATTAAAAGTAGGGATGGTTTTAAAGGAACAGGTGGTGTTTTTAAATTTCGTTTTTGGATTACTCACACTTTTTTGAGTCATATTTCATTAATTTGTCTGGAGTCTGCTTTGTTTAATAAACATTTAAATGCTGAATAAGCGAATTCTTTTCGTTTCCTCGTGATTGTTTTACATTCTATATTTCAACAATTTTATCACATGTTAAAGTTGAAATCACATCAAAACAGGATGTGAGAAAATAAATATTTTAATTGTTACAACAAACATTTTTTGACATATTATTTTTGGTTATGTTTAGAAAGCGCCATCTTGATTCACACTTTTATTAAAAAGAAAAAAAGATCAAAGTAGTTCAAGTTATGAGTCATCGTTATACAGATGTACATAAAAAAATCAATTTTATATCATAATCCATTTGGAAGGGGCTCGGAGCAATCTGTACATCCCCCTCAATGCCTATCCAAATGAGTCAGATTTTATTGTATGGGTGTACAGGAGATCCTCTTAAAAGGTATCTTTTTAATACTCTACTAAATGTAATTTAAAACATTAATTAATTTGAATATAAACTTTGTAACGTCAATTTACATTTTCCACCTTAATTTACAGGCATACATATATATTAATTTGAAGAAACGGCGGTCATATCAGTACGGATATTAAGCTTCATTAGCAGTAAAGTTCGGGCTTTGTTTGCAAATATTTTCTCTTTAAGGTATCCCTATAAGAAACAATCGGCGCTTCTCTGGGAATAGCTGATGGTGCCTCGACGGAAGAAAAGTTTCACAACCTTAAGTGATTGGTTTGCGATGTAGCAAATGGCTAGATCTTTTTTTTGTTGTTGCCGTGCTAAGGGAAGCGGCCTCTCTTGTCATCGCGACCTATTAGATCTATTGTAACTTACAACCTCCAAAGGTTTAGGGCAAATCTAGGTCCTTGATGAACCTTAGTATTGCTCTAAAATCTTGTTCCTTTATGCTATTAGGTGTCAAGCAAGAGAGCTTTGGCTACGCAGTCACACACAATATATTCACCAGTCTCTGACTTATCGTTGCAAAGTCGACAAGTTGATCCTTAGCTTATATTTCTCTGATTGTCTGATGACACTTCTCTGATTGGCAAGAAAGATAAATATACATTTAGCATAGCTGTAGTCAACAAACTGTGTTGGTAATAACAATAATCATTTTAAAAATATGTGAGTTAATAAAAGGCGAAACAAATAAAATATGTTGTATATAAAAGTATTAAATTTAATTTTATATCCCCAGCAAATTTAAATTTATTATTTACATCATAACTTTTTTAAGTCGGATTCTTTACGAAGTCGAGGCACGATTTCAATGAAAACGCAACGTTTCATAAAATAAACACAGGACGACATTTCGGTTGGAAGGACTAAAGCAACAGAAACGGCAGCAAAGCGTCGTGGCCCCGTGACATTTTCATGAGAGAACGTGACCGTGCACGGTGCTCCAGTTCTTAGCCGTGCTAATGTTTTATTCACGGACTCTTGTTACGCGATCCGTTCGGTTCTTTGCACTTTGTCGCGACACCACCACTACCATCATCATCATCTCGACATCAAAAAACAAAGGGACGGCCTCGTTTCGGCATTAACGACGGCTCTCTCACTAAAATAACGACGTTACTCTATACGGAAAAGTGTTTTAAGAGAAACAAACGAGTTTTATATCGCATTTTAACATCTAAACTGCCAAAATAAAAAAATACATGAGTGCTTGTTGGGACAAACTAGTAGAAAGGAACCATTGTTCGAAATGGAATTCGTGGAAGTGTTACCGCCTTCTCTAAAGCTGTTTAGGCGTCATAATATTTGATTTGGCGCTATTCCAGAAGCTTTTTAACTCGACCCCAGGAACAATAACCATCGTGTTGGAGCTTTTTGACCTCAAAAATCAAATTTCCGCTCGATCTTATTTTCTAGGCACATACTTCTATAATCATATTGAATAACATCTCAGTCTAATAAAACCCAAGTGACTATTTTATTATTTTTTTTTGTGTATTGACATAAAAAAATCTGTCTTAAAATTGATGTTTAAAGTTTAAATGAAATTATGTAATTTATACAGGAAATTGTGCGGACATTTTCAATTAGAGAGGAAGCTCCTAATAGAACCGCAACTCAGCTTTCGACGCTTTAATTTAATCGGGATTCTAGTTCCTGTTAAATTATCCAGTATTGTTGTGGTGTTTCTGTTGTAAAAGTACTGTTCGTCGTCGTGTTTTTTAGGGGGCTTCTCTTTTTGGTTATGGAGTTTCAAGACAATTCCTAATATGACCAAATCAATATTTTCTGCGGTTTAATTTAATTGAATTTCCGGATTCCGTGAAATTATTCGGATTCTGTTAAATTGCTGTCATTCCTAGCGTGATAATGTGGTTTCCAAACTGTGATTGCAATCTTGAAATTAATTCAAAAATTTACTAATTCAGATTGCTTACAGGAATGTGTAGTTTAGAATATGTATGCCAATTAAGGCGTTAACCTTTAAATTTTTTTTTTAAATCTGCAACTCTATAAGAGGATTCAATTAAAAAAAAATTTTTTTCAATAGAACATTAATTAACGAATCGTTAATTTCATGGAATCCCGAGCTTTTGGTTTTAATTATCCGGAGTTTTCCATTCGATGTAATTCTTTTAATGTCATTTTTTAAAATAACGAGGAACCCTTAAAATTAATTGAAAGAGTATTTTATTTCAGTAAGGTAATGCATAATTTTTGGCGTATTTTGTTGTTTTTCTCTTTTTACGATTAAGACACGCCCAAAACATTCGTCTCTTCCGTTCAAAAGCAGCTTGGAGCAATAAAACCGCCTCCCGCGTTCAAGAAATGTGGAAGGACCTTCATACGCAGACGTGTCTCCTTGTTATATTTTCGCCTTTGTGAATATTTAAATCGAGTTCCCTTTGAAAGGGCTTCCGCTTCTAGCACACAGGCTTCTGTCTGGCAGTAACAAACTGCGCGAGTGCTACTGCCCCCGCGCTAAGGCTCCCTGAAACGTCGTTTGCGCCACCACCAGACAAAGCTGCGTAATGGCCAAAGTGGTCCATTTCTAGAAGGGACGGATGCTGCAAAAGTTTTTGCGGTTTTAAATTTGTTGGGCTTTCTTTTTTTTAGAACTCTCTTCCTACTCGTGTGAAATACGAGTTTTGAAATAGAATTTATTTACATTAGAAATTGTCTCTAACGTGTTTCATGTTGTAATTATCTTTGTTTATCTATAACGTTTTTTTGCTGGAAACATTTTAAAGTACAAAATAGCTTTTGTGTACGTTTTAAAAGGAAATTTTCTGGGGAGAAGCAGGCTAATTTCCCAATTTGTTTCGTTCCGTTGCGGTTAAGGCGCCCGTCGAAATAAATATGGTAATTTAATTACCAGTTTTAATTTGCAAACTTTTCGTCTCGACGATTCACCATCCAAAAAACCCTTCCGACTTTTTGCAGGGACGCCTTTTATTAAGGATTTGCGTCCCCCATTATTCTTGGCCGCCATTTGCATCCGGATTTCCTTCCTTTACTTTTTTTCTATAATTTTGTCAAGATTTTTTCCTTTTTTTGTTTTCAGACATGGCGTCCCCAACTACCACCATCGAAACTGTCACCATTACGAGACCACTAAAGGTAAGCTACATCATAATCCTTATTTCAGGAATGACAAAAAATAATTAAGCCTCTTATTAAGCCGATACACGTCGATCTACTCACCAAAACGGAATTACACTGCAAAATACCCGAGCTTAATCCGGTGTTTATTTTAACGCTTTTACTAGTTGTGCACAAACTAGGACGTTATGCAATAGTAATGCGGTTTTACTTCAAATATACGGCTGCATCTACAATTTCGTGTTTCTGCAAACGAAAATGATTAAATATTTAATCTGCAACACCAACGAAATTTCAGCAATAACTGGACTCCTTTACAGCTACACTATTGACTACACCTACAATTTTCTTATCTAAAACTAAAGGTTTAATTATTTCTAGTATCGATTCCCTTTTCCTTTCGGCATTTCTTCGACTGCAAGGCGTGGAAACGTGTTATCTCGTGGGGAAACTCGCAATCTCGACTTCCGGGGCGTTCCGGAATTGTTTAGAGAGGGGAATCGAGGGCTCTGGGGGAGCGCAGAAATAAATGGAATTACCGTGTGAAGGTTTCTTCCGCGTCTGCAAGGCTACCGTTCCGTTGCATTTCTCTGTCGCGCTCGTTTGCAGGTTGACGTCGTCGCAGCATTGATTAATGCAACATAGATGGCACATTATCGTTCGAGAGCGCCTCCGGCGTGTTAAACACAGATGTTTGTCTTTCTGTATGACAGCTCCCTGGAATGTTAATCGACCAGATTTAGTAACGAAACATGGCTCGAGTTATATACGTTATTTGCATATGTTTTAATTAAATGAAAAAACACGTTATTTATATCTCTATCGAATCAATAATTTATATATTTAAATTACAATATGTATAATAAAGCAGGAATAGTTTAACACAGTGACACAACCTAATTGTTAGTTAAGTCGAGGTTAATGGGGTGACATAACTTTATTGTTTTTAGTTAAGCCGAGGTCGCTTGCGGCTGAGGCAGTACAGGATGATACAATATTAGATAGGGCCTCGGCTTGATAAAAACGAAAGATAGCATAATGTCGTTTCATTAAGCTGATGTTACTTGTGGGCGAAGTGTTGCAATATGTGTTGTCCAATATTATATCGATATGGCATGAACCGCAGTTAGACCTCGGCTTAACCATGCAAAATCATAAATATATTCTTCATAGAACGTTATTTCGAAGTTTCTTGCAAGCGGGGCTTTTCAATATACCGGGAATTACTAAAAAACCATCATCACATTTACAATATTTTGTAATATTCGATATAATTTGCTTTTTCTTAGTAATACTTTTTGAATAAATCCCGCAAGTACTTTATTTTTAACGGTAAGTGGTTCTAACGTAAAAGTACCTATCTCTTAAACTCTTAAACATGTCCACCTGGAGCGCAAAATTTACGCCACCATAAAGACCAGCTCTTAAGCTCGGTACTTTATAGTTCCGATTAGGTCACATCGTATCGTCCTCGAACAATTGAAACCCTTTATCTGCAAAATTGTAGTCTACAGATTGTGGCTGCTTTACAATTGTGTCCCAAACGTTTCCCCTTTACGTCTATTTTATTGGATTAATTTTTTTATGGTGGTCGGTCGGTAGTGATTTAATTAAAGACTCTTTTTACTGTGGTACTTAATTGAGTTTGAGATGTAGGATTAGATTATGGTGTGTCAAGTGGGTACTAAATTGGGTCGTCCGGTCTCAAAACGTCCTTGAAAATTCAATATTAAACTAACTACCTTGTTAAAAGAAGCTTTCTCGAAGAAGGTAAATTGAGTTATGTGAACTATATATATTATGCGCTTTTTATTTAATAGATGGTAAAACATAAAATTGAACACATTATGAAAGTGTATTGATTTTATTTCAGAAATAAATCACATCAACGTTTTCGAGCCCAGATCGGGCAAACATACGGAACTAATAGCTTTTAACAAAGTAAATACGTTCTCTCCAAGTAGAATGCACACGAATTTAATTAAAACTATAAAATGGCATAACATTTTTATTTAATTAAAAACAATTTATTTCAAAATTACCTTAATTAATAAATCTTATGTTTTCGCGCGCCTTACCAAAGCTGGCATACATTTGAAGTACTACGATACCATCCTTGTAACGAACACGGAGAACAAAGCGGATTGGTGCTTGTCGGATCGGGTCTAAAGAGAGAGATACAAAAGGGTTTACACCGAATGAACCTTTGGCATTAATTACACACGTCACAAAGGCTAGAAAAGTAGGACCTTCGTGAAACAACAAAAAAAGTAGGGATTAAAAAAAAATTGAAAAGCTAAACCGTGAGGCGCGGAATGCGCGAAACGCCGTCGCTAGTTGAATATTTTAGTTAGCGCCACGAAACGAAGCTCGCAAAATTGCCGGCTGCTTGGCACACTGCTGTTTCAAACGGGGGCGGCAGCCTCTACAGAATATGCAATCTGAACGGACGGTCAACTTTTTTAATAAAGCTCCCCGGGTCGGATTTATTCTCCTGCACCGGGGCGCTCTTTTATTATTGCTTGTTGCGCACCACACGTTCGTTAGTTTTATGTCTGGGTAGTGGATAGATAGGGGTATTACATTTAGAAAGACTTTTAAAAAGATTATACATAACAATTTTGTACTGTTTAAATAACATCTGGTACAAGACAAAAATTAATTTCAACATCATTTAGCGATTCAACCCAATAAATTTAGGTGGGTTTATGAGATGGATAAAATTTCATCGGCTAAATTGAGAGGGTAAACACAAATTCCATCCTGTAAATCACACTTATACTGTTCATTTATCAAGCTAACGGCAGTTCGGCCCAATTTATCATAGGTTGCACGCCGTTTGATAGGGCCGAAAGGTCCGGAAAACTAAAATTACGAAACGCAATGACACCAAAAAGTTCGGTCGGCTTTGTCCCATCGATTAAACGGGTTTCATTAGGGAAATTTATGACACACAGAGGTACATAGAAAAAAATTACATTTATGACGTGAAAATTCTTCTATCTAATTTTTTTTTGGATTAACGAGTACGAACTTAAAACAATATGTATTTGTACTCCAATTAAAATTGAGTGGGATGGCGTAAACTCTAAAAAAAACAGCGAGGGAGTTAGTTTGTGGGAGCTTTTGGTCGATTTTAATAACGTTTAACGTAAGGATATTCGTAAATCTTGGTCGCCCACGCCCCCATACATTACAGAGCGATAAATAACGCCTCAAAACCACAAATTACAACCTCCAGCTCCTGCGGATGCGATGCATCGCGCGCCCGCGTCCCCAGAGGTCGTTTTTCAGGCAAACCTCGAGCAGATCTAATCTAACAAACGGACAGCGGGAAACGACGGACGTTTCTCCTTCTATAAAGATTTTTATAAAAATTTCACACCATCATCGTTTATCTCTATTTAACATTAATTCACTTTCCCAGTTTAGTATAACAACAAGAACAATGTTGAATTATTAAGCTATATTTTTTATATAAAGCATTTGACGTTTTGGAATCCCATGTTCCAACCTTCTTCAAAAAGAAGTTCGAAGTGATGAAACCGGTTAGAGTTAGTTTGTTTTTAGGCATACAAATCCGGTTAGTACAGTACATACCATTTGTTCCTTCCGTTTATGTCGTTTGCTGGCTCGTTAGAGTGTAACCGTTCTTCAGGAATACATTTTTCAGAAATACACTCCTAGTTCTATGCCCCATCTGTCTTCCTAGTGACCAAATCATCCACGGAAGGTAACTGTGTTGCAGCTCCCGTGATAAATTTAATTATGATGCGTTGGGAGTTCAGGTTATCTAGGACCTGCAGACGCTCTTTTCCATGCTACCAGATCACTAAAATTTCATCCACATAACGAATCCATAGCTTTCGTTTCCACTGACTCTTCCTAAACGTCTAACTCTGTTCCAGGTTCTGACGCTCTTGCCTTGCATTTTGCTGCTTAAGAGTCTTTTGGCATTCTATCTTTGCTCATTCGTGTTATTTGACTTAACCAGTCCATTCCAGTATTTGCAACTTGGCAAATTCTGAGATAAGGGCTTTTTTGGACAGATGGTTAAGTTTCATCTTGTGTCGCCTTCTCCATATAGCATTCTTCTTTCAAATACTTCTAACTTATTCTTTGCGCTCTCTGTTACAATCCACATCAAAAATCCTCATAGCCACTATAGGTTCAATTTTGTATTTCTGGTTCTTAAGATCCTTCTATATTAAGTTTGACACCCCGGTACGTAAAGTTACTTCGTGAAAAGGCACTGTTAAAAAAAAAATAATTTGGAATTACATAACTTCATATAGACATAACAACACATTTAAGCGTAGTGTTTTAAAAAAGTAAATATTTTATCTAACAAGATAATATTTTTCCAAAAAAAAAGAATAATCGGTGTAATATTTTCAACATATTTTATAGTTGAGTTTGTTTAACACGCCCTTCAGACAACTTTTAAGCGCCTTTTGCCCGGTACAAAGCATTGTCCATTTGGGGTGCCCGCTTCGTTTGCTTGTTTAAACTTCAGTTTCAACGCGTTAACACTCGTTATCTTTTATTCACTTTTGTGTATGTACAACAAATAAACCGCCCGCTTGTTCGAGGTTATCTTTTTCGTTTTAAAATGAATTTTAATTCTTTGTTATTATTATAAATGATATTATTTTAAATTAAATTACATGACCACCGAAGTGAATGTTAGTGGGAATCGATCGGTCCGGGGGATCCGCAAATCTATTAAATTCCTGAGCATTCGTGACTCCAATTACACTGCAGGTCTGCAGTCTGCGTCTAGAAAATGTCAAGCTGCAGAATCGCCACGTCTTAATCTGTATGAACAAATTAAAAGCGTGACTATTAACATTTTCTAAATTGCAAAATGGATTTAGATTATATATTTTTTTTTCTATTTAGGTGTTAGTTTAAGATTACAACAAATTCTTTATGGAAAATCGTGACTTTAACTTCGTGATTTCGTGAACTTGGATTTACCGTTAACATTTTCAATGGACTTTGTATAGTTGGAGATTTTGATCACGTAATCATCGTTTTTCTTTCTCTTCAAAACGACGTCGATTTGTAATCTTAACAGTTCCGGTAAGTTTGGAGAGTTTTTAAGGTCCGTGTTGAAGTGGAGAGCAAATCTTAAAGAAAAGCACACCTGGGACTTTAAAATTCACTCGTCCAAACAACCGACAGCACAAAGCGTCAACAAAGTTCAATAGATATATCCGACAACGTACTAAGGAATGTATTCAGTGTACCGTGAAATTCCTCCAGGTGATAAGGTATTAATAAAAGTACTACGGGCATTTTTAAGGGGTAGAACAGCTCGCGGGAGAAAAATAGCTTTGCAGCTCGAAGAAGGAAGCTGCGGAGGTATTGATGTCACGTTTTCTAGAGCATGAACCTCTTCGAGACTGGGGGACACAATGAGAGGAAGGTAAAGATTGTTCAAGACAAGAAAAGCTTGGGGCAACATTTTTTTTTGTAGGTAAAAATCACTCGTTTTATATTTTGTGCTTATTTTATCTCAACTGAATGGTAATTACCAACTAATTAGCACAGAATGTAATGATTGCTCCAATTTTGTATTGTTCGAATATCCCAACCCACTTATCAACCCTATTAATCTACTTTATCAGTTCACACCCCCATGGAATCATTTCGACTAATTATTCACTTAATCGATTATCAACGTTGGGCTGTTCACACCCCACTTCGATGACAGACCCTTAAAAAAATCTTTTTTAGTAGAAATTTTTTTATAAAAGCAATACATCGACGTCACTTTTAGGTGTAATACCGTGTCATCTTTGACGTTTGATGAATGATCGTCCTTTCATAAACTTATCTTTCCTGTTAATCCCCAGAAGGACACAAGGGTAAGTTGGAGTCCATTAGGAGGATTATGAAAACGAAGTCGATCGGAGGGATTTAGGTTGAGATGGAAAACTCTCGGGCTTGGCCGTCGCTGGGAAAGCTAATTGTCTAAATTTTAAGTGAATTACCGTTTCGCTTTTCCTTCGTTTCCGGTGAAAAGTTTACTCGCTGACCTTTTAACACTAACTGAATTTTCCGAGAAGGTTGTGCAAAGATTTTTAAAGTAGTAAAGAACCAATTGGTTAATTTAATTTACCGAAAACTAATTTAATCTTAAAAGGATTTCAATTAAAAGTCACATTTTTTTTTTTATTAATCTTGCATTATTTAGTTTTGTTAGAAATTAAATTAATATACAGAGTGGCACAAAAGTCTTGTTTCACGCTTCGATTTTCTCGAGAGCCCTCTTGTAACATCAAAGCTTCTTCTTCATGTTTCCGAGTAGTAATCAATCCTTTTCCTAGCAACTTAAGCATTCACTTAGATGAATCTCTATAACCTATATTAATGCACTAATGTCTATCATGTTGTTAAAATTGTATCTTCTTATAATAAATACGTGTTCACGCTGTACTTAACGTATCCATGCATCTTGTTTGAAAGATTGGGGATTCCCCAAAACACTACACTTTGTCACCACATTTTAATTGACATATATTGCTAATTGTAGCGCCTCGGCCGCAAGCGACCTCAGCTTAATCAAACACTTTGCAACCCTTCTGCTCCAAACTTACACATTTTTTCAACCTTGCAGCTTATTTAGGAGTTAATCCGACTTTTCCTCTATTCTAAATTTTAAAATACACCTGAATTTATTTTGCAAAAAGAAACCAAACTAACAAAATAACTTGCGATTCCTTTTTCATAAAGACTATAAAGAGGTAGTATTCAATGCTATGGAATGTAGAAATTCCTTCAATGCCACGCGAGTCTTGAGAATAACAAAAGTAAAAGGAAGATTTGAAAATCCGCAAGATCTATGAATGAAAAGAGAGACTTAGGATTAGGAATTACTTTTGTTTAGGATTAGAAAAAATTAAATTAAATTTTGATTAGATCATTTCTAAACAGTTGGTTATAAAAGTAGGCACACAGCTTCTTCTTTACCATCTCCTACTTACTATTTTAGAGAAAGAATGAACGATTAACATAGCGACGGCGCAACTCTGATCGATTCGTAGAGAAGCGGTTGAAACTGGAGTGGGGGGCGCCGGTGGCGTCGGCGTCGACGTCGAGAACGTTGACGTCTGCCACTTGTACGTGAGCCCCACCGAACGCACGGTATATCCCCCCGTCCTACGTGTTCGAAATTTTGTGATACCGTTTTCCAACCCCCTCCTTTTCTGTCTCACTCAACAAACCAAACAAGCTTAAAAAAAAATATAGCACACCATCAACCGGTACATATCCCCCCTTTGTGTTCAGTGGATTTAACTTGTGACGTTTCTGCCAAAGTGATTCTATTCTACGACTACCGTTATAAACCGTCCTATATATTTCCCCCCAAAAATCCCACCAACAAATTTTTCTGGATTACAGAATCCAGTGTGGTTGTTAACCAGCAACAACATGTTTAAATTCGAGAACTTGTATAATGTGTGTTTGTTTGAATATTTAAATTTATTTAATTGAAAATTTCCGGGTTAGTTTTCGTTTTGATTGAGATTTGATTAGATTTTTTTTGATTCTGGTGAGGTGGTAAACGAAGAAGGGAGAAGAAAATGGGTGAAAATCAGATAGCGCAGGTAATGTAAAAAAAAATTGGAAAAAAGGACGTTAAAAAAATTGTTGAAATGGTTTTGGGGATAATATCAGGGATATCGTATTTTATTCGAGCTACTGAAAAAGTAGAATCGAAAATAAAAGGTAAACCCTATCATTGTTTCGGGATACGAATGCTATTGGAAAGGAACGGTCGATTATTTACGGTGTAAAGCCCAATCGACATCTCGTATTATTTTGGAAAAATTGTTTCCGCAACGCGCGCACCAAATATTTTCTGTATTTAATCGGATGAAACTACCGGTTGGTGTAATGGATTCAAATTTATTGCATTGTTAAAAAAATCCAGGTTTTTCCGTTGCTAACAGTGAATTTATTTTAACTTTGTGTTTTGTCAGCTGAAAAATTGTTATTTCACATCTACATTATTTAAATTTACTTTATTCTTTTAGGAACCTTCTTTTTTTGATTGCTTCAAAAATCAACTTTTTGAATTCCAATTGCAACACGATGCTATAACGAACCGAGGAAATACTAACGGAAGTAATTTGTGCGCTCCCGTTGCAGATGGCGCAGCATTTTCCAGAACTCGGCAACCCCGTAAGGACGCGATTAGGGTTAAATTGAAAACCGGTGGCCTCAAATTTGCAATTCGGACTGCCGATTACCGACAACGAAATTTTGTCTCTCAACCTCTATTTAGAATTGTACACATTTATAAATGACCGTATTTTAATCACAGTCTTAATCAATAAAATTTTAGTTATCAATTTTGATCGTCGTGAACTTTAAATGAAATAGAAGGTTAAAGTTGGCATTAAATTGCATCCACCGGTTGAACGAGTGTCGTCGTTGTGTCTTTCGCCGAAGGAGACACCATCCTCCAAAACTTTATTAAAGTTCGAGCTTGCGAGGCACTTCGGAAATTGGAAGACGCCAATCCTGATTATGGTATCGAAAAAAAAAATGATAACAGCAAAATCCGATATGGTTCCCTACAAATCTTTAAACTGCGATGACGAAATCTGATTCCGCATTTGGTGTCACGTGCGCTATTTCTGACATAAACCGGATGGATTCACATAACTGATTTGAATTTAAATGAAACCGCCGTGTCTATTCATTCCCGTCATCCCCGAGCCTTCAACGTTCTGATTCGATGCTTTTATCAATACAAATTGTGTAAACACGAATAGGTAGGCAACTAATTATACTGAGTTGAGTAATTACTTATATTGAGTAATTTATATTGATTTATATCAAATAATGTTTATTTATTTTTGACACTTATTACGAAAAAGATAGAGTAGTAACTTTAACCTCAATGAAGACCGATTTAAAAGATGTAATCCCATATGAGATTTTTCAAAGAACATTTTCTTCGCGGTTAATAAAATCCCTTAGTAAGATAATAACTTCTTTTATAGCCCCATTAATGGTTCCTCACTGTACTTCTTAAAACCCGCTGGCAATAATTTATTCTCACCCGATTCAAATAGGTTCCCATTTCGACAGTTGGACGAATTTAATGTAATCTAAGGATAAAGGTGAGCTATAAAGGATAATGTACGGCCTTATCCGAGAAATCCGAACCGTAAAACCTCAAATCTCTCTAGAGAAATATTAAATTCTTCCCTGTAATAAAAAAATAAAACGACTTCCGGAACTCTTTAACTATTTCTTTTGGAATGACCCAAAATTGATTTTTTTTAAATTACGTTAAAGTATGATGCAGTTTATCTATCTGATTCACAGAATAATAAGATATAATTAAATAAAAACAATTTTAGAGGAATATAAATAATAATTTTTAGAAATTCAGACAAACGAACCCTATATGATGAAGTGCTGATAACGGAGTTAAATAATGAAGCGTGTCAAAAGCTTTAGAGGAGTCAATTAGGGATGAGTGTACCATTCTGTCATCTATTTCACACACAGTATCGTTCCGTAATGGTCCAGCTATGAAAACGAGAACGAAATTTTTTTTTTTGACATTTAAATAAATATTTTTTGTTAATATTAATCATCATTAATTTTATGCACTTTTTTTTGGCAATATTTAAAAGCATTTTTGTATCAGTAATCGGATGTATTAATAATTACTACGTGAAAACTATAAAGGCATATCACTAATTAGCAAAAGTACTCACAAACATTGTTAAAGACAAATGGGAACCTTTAGCAAAGAGAATATTGAGAGAGCGTTCAGGCCTGGACAATTAACAACTGCTCATATATACGGAAAAACTTTGGGAATACTACATAAACATATTCCAATTATAAATCGATTTCAAAACAGCTTACGATAACATAGATTGTCGTCATAGATAGTCTCCTATCAATACTGCTAGACTTCGACATTCCACCAAAGCTGGTTAGAAAAATGAAGATAATAATGAGTTACAACTTTGAAATGGTACAAGACTTCATATCCCTAGGAGCAAAAGCAAAAGAGGTAATTAATAGAATAAATGAGACTGGATACACTAGAGAAGAAAATCTTAAGAAAAATAATGGGAACGCGCATGAACCACGAATTGTACTAACTATACGAGTCTTAGATTATAAAAAGTTCAAACGGTTAATATGGGCAGGGCATGTCCAGAAGATGCTAGATGAAAGAATAGCAAAGAAATCACTACAAGGACAGCCTGGAGGTAGGAAACCAGTTGCGAAATATAAAACTCGATGGGGGATGAGGTGTGGTAGAATGACAGGAACATGTTAAGAACTGCAATCTCAATCAGAAGACGGAGATGGTTGGAAGAGGATTTAATAATGATAATGTTAAGGTGCTTTTTCAATTCACAATTGTTCTTCTATCAAATTATTTATTCAGCACACAAGAAATAATTGTGCTCCAAATGATGATTGTGTTAGTTAAATTTTTGTATCTAATTGATGTAGTATCTTTGCTGTGCATGGTCTATTTGTAGGAATTTTTGTGATAAAAATGATTGCAAAAATGGCATTCTTTCCGGAATCGCTTGGTCTAAGTGCACTATCGTAAACTGTATACGATCCATCTTCCTCTAGAGGTTTAATCTCGGTGGGCAAGCTTTCCAAAGTTAAGATATTAACTTTGGAAAGTTTGAATTTTGAGTACGGAATGCTAAGTGGTATGAGTAACGATTCAAAAATTCTTCTCGGTTTATCAAAACTTTTCTTCACTTTCTTTATTATCAAAGCTTTTCCCTAATTATTCGCACTGAAATAGTCAGATATTCAGGATGTATTCTATGTACAGAGCCTTTATAAGATTAGCAGTTCAAGTTCTTTATCAAGCTGTTGGTTACTTTTTAATGGTACTGTGAGATTATTTTTTTCTTCAAGGCTTGAGGTGAACTTTTTGATTGACAATGAGAGTTAGAATAATTGGAGTAGTTGAAATAGTTGCGCTTACTTAAGGGATAATAGAGGTCCTTGGAGATCAAATTGTTCCATACATTTTAGAGATTCTCACTCAAATAGTTGAAATATCGACATTAATAATAATAGTATACACTCACATATAACCTAAACATACGTTAACTATTTTATGTTTTTAAATGTAGCTAAATTCCTTCCCGCTTCAATCTTTCCGCTTTCCACGAAAGACATTCATCAGCATATAAAGATCCAGATTTTTAAACTAGATACTTATACCACTATATTTAATTTAAATATTTGCTCTTATTCCTTTCATCACCTTTAATAGCTGATGATCAATGAATGAACCGCATATCGCCGGCTTTGATTACATCAAAGTAAGTTATCCACGTAACAATGACCTACTATAATAATACACACTGTACAGCAAATCTCTAATAGCAGTATTAATCTGCATATCACTTGAAACAGTTGATGATCCGTGAATGATGCATATCGCCGACATAGAGATTATTTGCTGATATTCCCGAATTAAACCCTTTGCCGTTCAGCCAAAAGCGAAAATATTAAATATCATTTTAGAAGATGATATCGTACAAACACATTGAAATATCAAAATTACATTAAAATATTTTCGTGGTGGTTTATCGTATCCAGATACTGTTGAAATTTTTTCTATGATGTTACACATTTTAATTGATATCTATCGATCGGAACGGATGGACATGTGATACAGGACATGGGAGAATGACGAATGGTTTCCCGAAGGATCGGGGGGTAAAATTCAACGCAACCGATATTAATTAACTTTCTCCATGTTGGAGAGGGAGGACGTGGAGTTCGTGTCAGATACTGATCGCGGTTACTGTGGGCAACCTTCTGAAAAATCAATAAGCACGTGGTCCTTGGAAGTTAACGTCGCGAAGTTAGGGGAAGCTGGTAACCGAGACTCTCGGTCTTCTGCAGAGGATAGCGATGGCGTTTTCTTAGGGTAGAAACTTGGCTCACAACTTTCGGGATTAACCAAGCCTGAGGGCCGAAATTTGAAGTATGAAAATCTTCTCTTTGTTTTGACGGTGAACGTTGTATACACCGGATTAACAAGATTAGGAGGAGAAGTGTAGCCTCGACAACTTCTGAATAGCTAAAACTACCGTCATTTAGACAAAGCTTATTGTTGGACGAGCTTTAAGTTTAATGTAATAATTATTTTGGAAATCTACAAAGTTTGTTGTAAACGAGATGAAAATAATAAATCTTTGTATATTATTGAATAAAAAGAATGGTATTCGAACAGATACAAATCGATATATGTGCCCTTTACAGCACGTTTCAGTCGTCGTTCTTCCAGTTTGCCTTTAAAAAGGTTCTTGACGTCTCGACGTCTGGCGTCTCCGGCGGCGCCGTCGTCGTAAAATCATACATTACTCAGGGCCTTTTCGCCCGGATGGGCTACACCTAGACGGTTTATGACACCGAACGAAATTGCGATACCAATTTTAACTTGGCCCTACATCGAGTTTACAACTCGATAAGGGCAACGGCACCATTCGTGTATACACCACAGTAAAAGAAGTCTTCCTTCATCAAATTTAATAATCCATCAATTTTATTTCGAAATGAAATCAATGAAAAAATAAAGGACCTTAAAAGCCCCTTCCCTCGTTTATCGAATGCCTAATTTCCACAACAAACGGTTTCCGACCGAGATCCATTGGCGTCTAATGGGGTAGAAAACTGGCCTGGACGGGGAGCCTCTCTCGATATTCGGGATGCCGGGGACGTGACCCAAACCCTCCGATTTCTCATTTTCGACCCAGCGCGCTTTCGGGTGTATTACAAGGAAAAACTCCGGGTTTTCCGTGAAAAATGGCGTCCATTTCCTGCGTGTTTCCTTCTTCTTCTCCCCTAGGTCCTGCGAGATTCATGCAAATAGCTAACGTTGCCTAAGGTATAACGTCTCTAAGGAATGATAAGGAACATCCCTTTTTCCTTTCACTAAAAACCTCGACATTTTCTAAATTGTTTTTAATCCGTAAAAGGAATGTTAGTATGCAACTCAACATTCTAAAAATTGATATATTAGGTTGACTAAAATTAAATATTAAGTAAATATTAAGATATTTTGTGAATAATAATAAAAGCTAAGTTTAGATTGTTAGAAATTATTCATGCTGATGTAGTTGGTCACGAGTTTTGTTCAGGTATGTGTCATTAATAATTAATGTGATGTGCATGAATGTTTGTGAAAAGGAGATTGCTGCCATCTGCAGTCACGTCGGCGATTCTGTATGCACCACCAATATGGGAAAGAGCCCTACAGTGCAAAAGAGATTACTAGCAGCAGTAAATAGGCGTTTCATCGGCCTACAGGATTGTGTCGGGCGTGACTATCGAGGTTATCGCTGGTATCCCCCGATAGATCTCCTGGTTAGAGAGAGATCAGAGCATTACATGGAAAAAATTGATGATGGAAAAATTGATTGCCTTGACACAGAATGGACCACGAGAAGCTGGGGAGAAGGGGATTTTCAGAAGTTATTTTTTCAAGATAAAAATGTCGGAAACAACTTTTGCGATGTTGAACCCCAGAACACACTCTGTTTAAGTTATAGAATACAGAACAGCTAGAGAGGACTGCCAAAGGGTGCGTAAAATAGCGTTGGGAGATCACAATCCAGATGTTAGAGCGGGAGAACAAGTAGCAGACCATTCAGAAGATGATTGCCATTATGACGCGAAAAGAATTGCGCGAGGGGGAGGATGTGAGACGGGTTCGCTTGGGTTGGGTTTGGTTGAGTTGGGTTCGGTTGGGTTTGCAGCTTATTGTGCTTCTCCTCTATATTAAAAAAAAATTGGTCGGTTGGGTTCGCTGCTTGTTACACTTCTTCTGTGCATTCCCTGAATCCAAATTTATGCTTCGAGAGTAGCCTTTCTCTTCAATATCATTTTGTAGTAGTTCTAGCAGGTTTATTCCCCTAATTTTCAATAACCCGACTAATAGACTTGGTAGATGGGGTTCCTGTTCCTGGCTTGTGATGAATTTTCCAGCTAAATTTAGAACTGTTTGCATTAATCACCGTTTTCTATCAAATTACAATCTTGCAGTATCAAGCCCGAATGCTTTCTTGACATCATCTTATTAAAAATATTATCGCTCATGCAAAAATCATTTTTGTTATTTTCTTCACTATATTTATAAGTTAATATTCGATTTAATTTTTTTATTGCATAGTTACAATTAACAAAAATAATTTGTAAGTATTCGTTTACAAAGTATAAACTGTTCAATAATAAACCATAAAAAGGGACGAAATGAAGGAAAAGCACGTTTTCTTATTGTTCCTGTACCATTTAGCGCAATAAAGAACCGTTGAATTACAATACGACAAGGGTCTGTGTAAACAAAAAACAAGGCTTTGTTTCATGTCTCAAATAATGGGTGTCACGTTAAACTTGAAACAATGAAAAAGGTAAAAACAATTCATCACATCATATTACTAATCACACTAATCGGTAAAAGATATCGTTTCTCTGAAAGCAGATTAATTACAATAGGGGATAATAACAATATTTTATTTATAGTAAACAATTGATTCGTAATTAATAAGCTTGTTGAGATTCCAATCAATTGCAAAGTTTTCTGCAAACAAACCTAATATTAAATCAAATATTTCAATCACATAGTCAATTGAAAATCAAGGTTATGTTATTATATATTATTAACTACATACTAATATTCAAAGCGTTGTACAACTTATTGCAAGTACTATCATTATTAGCATACAAGTTAACACTTCAAAATCGTTCTCATTCCTTAAATTCATAATATCCCTACTAAACTTCTTGGGATACCATAAAACTTCAGTATAACCCAGTTACTTTACCTGTTTCGGAAATACCCATTTTTACCCCTCTTTAAGTTTTAGTCCTACCAATAGTCTATTTTGAGACATCCAGCCCCGTGTGTCGTTTTTTCCGTTCTCAAATTTCGTGCGTCCAACCGCGTGTGGTTTCTACACACACGATTAAGCTTGCTTTTACCACTCACTCGCTTCTCGCTTGTGTTCAATCGATGACTAAACCGACAAAAGAAAACCGTACGCGATAAAAGAACGAACGAACAATGGTATAGAATCTAACGAGTTTGCTGTTATCAGTGCACCTTCAATGAGCGGGGGGCTATTCCGAACCAGTCGAAGCCGTTCGATCATCCGGTGTGGACGAACCGCTCCACAAGAACTTCTTTAGGAATGTTGCGGCGAAAAGTGAAATCGATCGAGTGTTAGTGATAAAAAGTTAGAGCTGGTTTTTTTAATAGAGAAGTGACCTCCCGGAGGTTTTTAAGTTTTTGAATTTTTGTTTTCTTTGGTGATAATTATGGCTAACCAAAGGGAAATGCAATTGGCTGTTAGCACTGTTAAATATCGAAAAGTATGTTTGAATTTAAATTTATTATATTTTTGTTTGTTGGGTAATATGAGGTTGTTAATTTTCTAATGCAACGGTTATTGTAACGCAAGAAGAATTTAGTCATTTATATCAACAAATGTAATCTAATCTTACTAAATTCCTTTCAATTATTACTTATTTTTAAATAACGTTCATTCCTTTTCCAGGTCATTGCATTTATTTGTGGAATAATCGTAATAATCCTTATGATAATGGGATTGGTTTCCACGGATTGGTTGATGGCAGCTGGTTGGAGACAAGGTTTATTCATGCACTGCATAGAAGAAGGCGCCCCGCAACCTTTACCGTTTAACATGGTAAATCCTGCGGGATGTTATCCATCGAGAGACGCAGGTAATTACATATCTGATCTTAATAATAATTTGTCTTAAACTTCTCATAACAAAACTGAACTCTCAACTTTCGACCATGAACTAAACTGTTATTGTCGTTGGGGAATTGTCCCTTCTCTCCAACTGGCGAACTTCCGACAACGTTAATTTCACTTAAGTAATCAATTCCGGTACAGTTATAAAGACGTTATCTTACCTATAATTCTCTTTGAATCAAAAGATTAAGAATCTTATTAATCAAGAGGAAAATTATTAAAAAGTTAACGGTAATAAATATTTATTATTACTTAAAGTTGACGTTAAAACCGATAAACGCGATAATGTCGTTTGAATAGAACGTTAGATACAGCTGTGGGTGACACAAAGCATGTCCATGTTCTACACCATAACGTTATCGGTTTTTTAAAGGGAAATTATTGACACAAGTGGTTTTATGATTATTGGACATACTTAAAATATTTTTGTAAAAAGTTTTTCAAAATTATTTGCTACACTTTAAAAATTCATAGATTTTATTCGACAGAATTTCGTGTTCATATAACTTTAACAGCTCATAAATCGTATAAACTTTATCGATCTTTGAAAGCAATGTTTCAATCTAACCCCACAGATCCGTTTTGTCAAAAGATTCAAGAAACTTTATATTTTTCTAAACCCACTTCTGCAACGCAGCACTTCAACTTTGCTCAAATTGAAAGTTTATTTAATGTTAACGAATGATATGGAGCAGTATAATAACCCTTTTTTAGGTTTAATGTAGGAATTAGTTTCGTTTCAACTCAAGCTTTAAAGTTTTAAACAAACTTATAATTGACAATTAATAATAGTAAATAACCAACAACTAACTTCACTCGAAGTGATACCAACCTAAAACTTATTATATTCAATAAAATGAATATTTCCTTTTTTCAAATTAAGCTGCGATTGTAATGAGATGCTCCTTCACGTTTTCGAGGCGTTTAAATAGTGTTTCAATTTCAATTTAAGAGTTTTTGAGAATTAGATAAGAATTTTCATATTATAGTAGACGCCACGAGGGCTGGCAATAAATCATCATTTTCCGCTCTTACAAATGGCATACGCAGTTCACAAACCGCTAGGGAGTAATGTGTGTTAGAAAGAGATAGCATTAGTATAATATGTCTGCTGTACAATTCAAATGGCCACGTCGAAAAAGTATGTCTGTTCTTCTAAGGGATGTAACTCTATAACTATAACCTCAAATCGAAACGGCTTGTGAGCGTTGTCATGAATCTGTCAGTGTTTTATAATAAAATTTAATCTTTAATATCTTTGACAATGTTTGACATATAACCTCCATTACTAACATAACCTACATTTAAATATATGTGGTGAAATAATCTAAGTCGTACGTCCATATCTTGATTCATACCTTTGATTATATATAATATGGATTGAGCTAACGAGAGAGATAGCTTGCGCAAGGTGATCGAACCGAGATAGACATAGAAGCGTACTGACATATAATGGGCGTGCGTTAATTTTGGCGGTAAATTTAAAACAAAATTAATAAATGAAAAAAGAAAAATAAAATAAAATAAAATTTCCTTATTATTTATAATACTTACAGGTGATGTGAAACGGTGTGACTGGCTGTGACACAACAAAACGATAAACGTCAAATGGAAGAGGTTTGACACTTTTGTGCGCATGCGCCCGTCTGTTTAGTACCGTTTTATGTCTATCTTTGTTACACTTTCACATTATCGCTTTCCATCTGCGTCTATTCACCTTGAGCCACATTTTTGTTAGTAGATATATTCAGTTAGCTCAATCCATATTATATATAATCAAAGATTCATACTATTTTTAAGCGATCTGTCACTGCCAGCTCTCGTGGTTTCTACTATATAAGTTATTTATATAAAAATACGTTTTTATTTAACTATTGCAGTGGTGCCTGATGACGGTTTTTAAATAAAACCGAAACAAATTTGTAGCACTGATTTAAATTAATACAGGGTGATTCTCAACTTATACGCATAAACTTGGGAATTTATTCCTCATGACAAATAATGAGTAATAGGTGAAAAAAATTGTAGAAGCAGTTTTTTAGTTTCCTAGATATCCATGAAATTTACTTTTAAATCAAGAATACATATAGTTCGTTTTTTTTCTATAATACTTGTCAATGTACATTTTTTAGGGTTTCTGTTGGTATTATCTAGGATTCTTATAAAATTTGTTGTTTTCCTGATTTTTAGTAACATTTTCAGTAACTAAATAGTTGAGGTTAAAATACTAATAGATTTTTAGATATACGATTTTAACGAAGTACATTGTAAAAACGTGCTACAAAGTAATTAAATAGAACAAAACACCTTTTCTAGGCAAATTAACACCCCACAACATTTTTTATGCACCTTTTCTTTTTGAATAACGAAAGTTCAAACGTCCGTGTGACATATTTATTTCAAAACATGATAAAACAAAACTTCCTATTAATTTTACCAACTTTAGAACAATTTGGCAGGTATTATAGAAAAAAAATGAGCTATATAAGATTTTAAAATGACATCAAAGCAAGTGTTCCAAGTTGTTTCCAATATTTTCTGTACACAATTGGGTTCGGTGAATCCACGATGTCCCATTAGAGCGCTCTATACCAGTATCTGATTTTATAATCCTTGCTCAGTATTAACTTCTAATTTAAAGATTTTAAAGTGAATTTTGAGGAAGTCAAGTTTCCATCTTGACTAAACGGGCCATCTTTAAAAATAACTTGCCAAGGGTGTTGTACTACTCCTTTATTTAGAAATCGTGTGGTAAACTTAATAGACATAAATTCTTTCAACCTTAACTCAACGAAACTAATACTATTTTTTTGCAAAACTAACGACTTTTGTTGTTTGATTTGTGACTGCTATAGTAGCATGGTTCATGAGGAATACATTATAAAAAAAATCACTATTAAATTGCGAACATTTCTAACCGTAGTACCTAAAGATATGATGTACAGGAACGATTTTTAACATTTTCAAAAATATGTCTATTACCACTTAACTAAGAGACATAGAATTTTTTTCTATTTTTACGAGAACAGGTATGGGTTGGCCTCTCACCCGGTGTCCGCTTGACGTTGAGTTTCGGGACACCTGTATATGTAAAGGAAAATATTTAATAAAAAACTTCTTACTTGCTTGTAAAATAATTATTATTATTGGTACCGGTTTCGACTATTATTAGTTATCATCAGCCAAATTGTCAAAAAAAGAAAGTGTAAAAGCATCACATGTGTTTAAACAAATTAAAACATTAATAAATATTATTAAAATGTTAAAAATCAAAACTGTCACGAATTAAAATTAAAATAAAACGGGACGAGCACTTCATACAAAAATGATTTTTGTTTTTCATTTGCTTTTTCTGACAATTTGGCTGATGATGACTAATAATAGTCGAAACCGGTACCAATAATAATAATTATTTTACAAGCAAGTTTTTTATTAAATATTTTTCTTTACATTTATCATAAAAGATGGAATTTCCTTTAGTTTAAAAACATACACAATATTTTCATAAATTTATTATTTTAGCTTATATCCATGCCGCTGCAGCCCTTTGCATAATCACCCTTTTAACAAACGTAGTAGCAACGATTTTAACCGGATTAGGATTGAGAAGTAAGGACCATCATACAAAATATAAATACTACAGATTTGGAGTAATCGTGATGGGATTAGCGTGTAAGTGATTTCGCTAATTTTAAAACCATAATTATATTTATTTATTTTGTTTCAGTGGTTTGTATAACAATAGCATTAATAATATATCCAGTTTGTTTCGCATTGGAATTAAATTTTGGTAATAGAACGATTTGGGAGTTTGGTTGGGCGTACGGAGTGGGTTGGGGAGCGGCAATATTTTTATTCGGCGGTGTGATGCTGCTAATGTGCGACAAGGAGAGCGAAGAAATCTACTATAAGGAAAGGAAAATCGTGCACGACAACGACTCGAGGGCCTAGTGGCCACAAAGTCTGCCCGATGTTGTTCTCTGATTGTAAGATACTGACGAAAACAAAAACGATCGGCTGCTCTCAGAGACTTTGAACGTGTCATGTGCGAGTGTGGAATGGAGTGAGTGTGATTTAAAATAAAAAAAAACGTTGTACGTGTGCCTAGTCAGTTTGGTTCTTGCGTTTGCGTTTTTCGGCCTCTCTGGACGGTTTTTTAAACGACCCAATTTGATTATAATTTTTTCGTTTTTTCTATTCTTTTAAGACTGATTAATTGATAATTATTTTTTTATTTCTTGTGGTAAAATGGAATAAAATTAAAAAAATTTCAAACTGATTAGGATTAAAAAAATAAAATGTGACGGTTCGTTTCTACGTTCATTTTGCTTGCCTGGTACTTTCACCAGTCAGCCAAGTTTTGTTACCATTGTATCGTTGGGGACATCGCCACGAAAATTAAGAAAAGGTTCTCGAAAATCTTATTTTGAGAACTTTTCGCTTTTTCTTGGTGATTGTACGGGATGAATGAGTGAGTTGTTTGACTGAGAGACAACCCGGGCAGGCTAGTTGTGCGTTATTAAGACTTAAAAAATATCCAAGTAGATAGATAAAGGTAGTAACGTCAATAATTATTATTAATCTTTTTTTTAACAAAAAATAGCTGTTTTTTAGTGAATTTGCGCAGCTAATTTTTAATTTATAAAATTTAAAACGATATTTTTGTATTTTGGTTAGTAATTATTTAATGCAGGGCATTAATACTTCCCCTTTTTTAACAAAAAAAGACCACTTTATAATCTCACAAACATATCTAAAAGAAACTCCTCTTTTTGGAAATCAAAAAAATAGTTTTTCTAGTCTTCTTCCAAAAAAACAAAAAAAATTAAAAGAACCGGACCAATTCTTTGCTGGACAAACGATAATTTTGAAATAATTAAATTTTAAAACTGCCATATAGTTTGTCCATTTATATCAATAAAAGTCCGTTTCGTTCTCTTTCTACAGAAATTCCATTTGTTTCTCATTGACTTCGCGTTAGTTATAATTCGATTAGATAATAAGTTTAGGTTAAACTTAAAAATCGTTTGTAATAAGACTTATTTATATCGAACATGTACATAATATGTAAAAGATATCAACTGAGTTAATTAAGGAACAAAAATGTTGAAAAAAGTAACAATTAAGATAAAATACAAGAAGAACCTAAATATAGACTACTAAGATGTTAAGTAGCTTGTGTATATAAAAACGTAATGGGAGCGGAGAGTGCGAGGAAATCTTAAACGAGACGGAGTATCGGCGATCGTCTAATTATATGTAAATTAAAAAAAAAAAAAAGGAAATTATAAGAAGAAAATTAAAAGGATAATGATAAGAATATAATTATTACTGTAGTATTTGTCGAATTGGTGATTTTACGATGATAAAAGATGATCTGAAATTTTCTTATCTTTTGATCTGAAACGAAAATTACTCGTTTAATTACAATTTATTTATGTGAGTGTTTACTAACACTATGTAATTTATCCATGAATATGATGGTATCAAAATTTTTAAAAATTAAGTGTTTTTTTTTAATCCCTACATTTTAAGATCTTCTAATAGTGCTACAGCCCGCTCTGAGTCTGTGTATTAGTTTATTTTTTTGTGATCAAACTAACAATTTTAGGAGAAAATATCAAGAGACAAAAAAGTTGTGTATTTGAATCCTTCTATTTAAATCAAGTTTTTAGATAGGAAAATGTAGACGCATTGAAAAGTTCTGATGCAAAGTATTATAGGGGTTGATTATTTCAGCTCCTTATAATAACATTTTTGGGTAATAAAAATCGTGAAAAGTGTCATTTTATTAGCAAATTAGCTGCCAAATTTTATCCTTCCAAATTCTTCCATGATAGATTTATTAAAGAAAAACAATAATAAAAAAACCTAATTTTCGAGGGCTGTAACTTGGAGGAAAAGTGGTTTTGACCAAAAAGTTATATGAAAGACCGCCCTTAATTTTCGTTGAAAAATCACCCCTTAAAATCTTTTGCATCAATTTAGATACACCATGTATACTAGGCCAACCACAGACCAACAATTAGAAATCCATTAACTGGAAACAGTTCTTTCCACACAGAAAGACAAATCCGCGATGAAAAGATGTCGCCAGTGTAGCAGAGATGGAGTTTACAATATCTCCAGATACAACAGCCCGATATGTCCAGAAAACTCTGGTTTTGTAATATTTTGGGGTGGCCATAGTATTCATTTTGGTTTGAATAACGCATTACGTTGTATTTAGAAAAAGAAAATAGACTTTTTTCTATTTTTGTTGACTGAACGTTGGTACAAAACTTAGAAATTCAAAGTCCAGTAAACTAAACTAGGTCTTTTTTTACAAAAATTTAGCAAAAATGTCATATACAATAAACCAACATGTAAATAACACAAACCTAAATCTCGAAATCGAATGGTACAAGGAAAAAACTACTGCAGAAGGCGCGGTAGCAAACGTGTTAAGAAAACCATCCTAAAACTATATTTCGACTCAGAAGTCTCATCTCCTTATCAATTCCCTCTCAACAATTGATCCTTAAATACTTTGACAGGTCTATTTGCTATATCATAAAAAAACTCTAACTTCACTTCAGAGTTTTACTTTACTTTCATAACAAGTTTTACAGTTACATAACAAAATTTTCGAGAATAATTGCCTTAAATTTTCATGATTTTCCATTCATTTGAGATAGAAAAATAGTAGTAGCCATGCGTAACCATGACAACCAGTTGCTTTAGATATTTTATTAAGACAATGATTAATTTTTGATGTCTGAAACAGTTGGTTGCCATGGTTACGCATAGCTATTTTGCTATCTTAAATGAATGGAAAATCATGAAACTTTAACATAATTTTTCTCGAAAATTTTCTTATGTAACCAACATTAATATTGACTGTACTAGATTCATATTCCGTAATAGAAATGGGCTATAGCTATTTGAAAAAAAATTTATGACGTCATTACTCGTTTAAAAATGGCGGAAAATAATTAAAATCTATACCAAAAAATAATTTAAATCTTTAGACCCGTTTCAGCGATTTTAACGAATTTATCCGTTACTTTTGGGAAACCCTGTATATATTTGGGCATAAAAATTAATATCGCCAATAACATTTAGATCATTTCAAGTAAATAAAGTTTATTTCAAAATATCCACACACTATAACTCATCAACAACATCATTACTTTCATTATCAACAACACAAACATCTAAAATGCAAAATTTAGCCCTACACATGGGACATGTACACTTTAAAGATAACCATTTATGTCTCTCCTCATCTTTTTGTCTTGATGCGAACCATCGTCCCATGCAATCTTTACACCACATAGGTCTACAATAACAATTTGTACAATTATTTTGATTTCCTTCATCATTCTGACATTGTTTTAATAATTTTACATAAGTGGTTCTTTGCATACAACCTATACATTGATCTGAAACTTCTTGTGTATAATATTTAGGGTTTTTATCAATGTTTTCATTAAACACTTCTAAAAATTTTTCAATGGTGGTTTTCTTAAATTGCACATCTGGTAAAATATCAATTGATCTAGATATTCGATCTTGTAAATCTTGAAAATCTGTTGAGTTTAAACGAATTGTAAAAGGATCTATGTTATTTCTTCTTGATGTGACTTCTATGTTTATGTATTGCACTTCATCTCTACTATCTTGAGACATATAGTGAGTTTCACATCGATTTACAACAAGAGAAGCATCACTTTGATGGATTAAATAAATTGTTAAAGGGGTTATTTTCATAACCCAATTTTCAGTTGCTATAATTCTACAAATGCTATTTGTTTGAATTGCAATTTTATCAATACTCCGATATTCGGAGTTAATATCAGAAGCAACAGTGTTCCAATCATTATTGTTGTTATTTAAGAATTTTTTAATGTTCTTTGTTATTGGATGATCCTCATAATTATTTCTACACCAATTTAATAATTGATATACAGCCATTAAGGGCAAAATCACTGCTATTGCAAAAATACCTTGTTTGATGTATGAATTTCCAAGAACCCATACTTGATATAACTATGCAAAAAGGAGTATATTTAATAAAAAGTATTTAAAAATAAAACGGTTTTGATTACCTTGTTATCAGAGACAAAAGCTAAATATCCGAGGAAGTACCCCAAAGGAATAAAAGAATACACCAATAATGTTATACAAGATCTTTTGATATGATAATGTATAAATTGAGTGTGTTCTGAGCCTAATAAAAACGAAAATAAGTTGGGTATTGTTACCCCGGCGCTTATAAATTCACTTGGTGGATAAATTATACAAACGGAAAGAATTAAATAGAGAATTGTGTAAAAAATGTCAGTATCCATGTTTATTAATTGTCAAAATTGACATTGGTTCTAACCTCAAAATTTTTACTCCGATATGCAACGCCACCTATCAACTAATTTCTAATATTTTTTATTAAATAATTTTAATTTAAAGTTTAATATTGATTTAAACTTTAATTATAAATCAATAATTCATTAAAAAACAAATTAATACCAAAAATCATTATAAATAAGTTAAATCAGTTTAACACACCTGTTGAAGATATGACTAATCGTCATTAGATCAGTGAATATATCCATCTTTTTTTAACACCAGTAAAACTGTATAGTGCGTTTTTTTCTATACATTGTAAGCGTTTTCGTTTATTGAGGGAGTTGGTCATAATTTCGTCGGTTATGGGTGTGTTTTTTAATTAATAATTACATTTAACGCAAAAATGAAGATAAGCAAGTGTTATCAGTGTTTTATCACTGTTATTATCACCACGTTTCTATTGGTAACAGCAGGTTAGATAAAATCTGTAATATTTACCTTTTTTATAACCTCAAGCATGTTTCACCATAACATTCCATTTAAACTTAACTGTTATTATTATTCTTTTAATTTTTGATATTTTATTTTATTTATCAGCCCATTTGGTGACTAACAATTACATTAGTAAAGGTATTACACAATTAATCAATTAATATAGTCTCGAAGAATCAAACATTAAAACATTTATATTAACATTATCTGTTTTAGCTCAAGATTATGATTTTGTTAGAGGAAATTATGAGCTTATTTATAAAAGGATAGAATGGTGTACTACGAGTGTGTTAGAACAAACCAAATGTTTACATTTTTCCGAAGCTGTAGCAAGAGATCAACAAAATATTGTTAGAGGTTTCGCATTTTTAGTTAATTGTACACAGGTAAGTCAAACATTTGTGTGTTAAGCCCTCTGTCCTAAATTATGGTATACATTTCTCTTTACAATTTGTTCCAAATTATGGTATACAAAACTTTGAATACTGTTTTATTTGTATTTGTAAAATTAGTAATTCAATTTGTAACTTAATTTAAACATACATTAATGAAAATTTTACACAATTAAACACAATTTAGCTGTTTAAATGGCAGTTTGGTTGCACATCATAGAAACAGACAAACGCCCTTTATGCTCAATTTTATAGTTGTTGCCTCCTAAGGCCATCATGGTTAACTCCATACATTTTTGTAGTGTCAAGAATATGTTATCTAATTTTTCTTTAGTTAATGCGCCAAAGGGGACTTTCAACAATCTATTAATTCATCTATAGTTTTCTCTATTTAGAAGCAGGGATGATTGGGCGAAGGGTGAGCCTCAATTAAAAAGAGGAGCCCCAGCTTGGTACATTAAACTGCCCCTCAGCTCGGACATAACCATTTTTCAAGCAGAAGTTCTTGCTATAAACTTCTGCACCGCTTTGAATCTACAAAAAGTACAGAAAGGTGCATCCATAAATATTTTCACAGACAGTCGGGCCGCAATAAAGGCAATTTAGGCCTACATGTGCGTCTTCACTGATCAAAGAGTATACCAGCAACCTGAGAGAACTCGCTAGGGGCAATGATGTTACTCTATGGTGGGTTTCAGGTCAGCAACATTAAGGGCAATGAGAAGGCGGACAAGCTGGCCAGAGAGGCAGCAAATACGCCCTTCATTAGACCCCAACCCGGTTGTGGACTACAAAAAAGCCACCTAAAACAAATAATCAACAGTAAAATACCACCTTTTCCACATTGGACAAGCTGAAGATCAAACTTGTCGACTTTGCAACGTCGCCAGAGGCCGTCTAAGAGACAAAATTTTCGGTAAAGCTCTTTTGACACCTACCGACATAAAGGTACAAGACCTGTGGGCAATACTAAGGTTCATCAAGGACCTACATTTGCCCTAAAGAGAGGGGCCGCTCCCCTCAGCAATAACAATAATCCATAATTTTTGGCGATGTTTGGTGCTGCAAAGACTGAATAGCATTGAAGAAGCCAAGGTCGAAAATTTTCAAATCAGGACTATTCGAATCCATCTTTTGATCCTTCAGCGAGCAATTCTGCATCGTTTTCATAAGAATGCGGTTTTGCATTATCTTGTTGAACATAAATTGTCTTGGCTTTATGCGCTATTGGGAATTTGGATCTAATGGCTAGTAAAACGTTATCGATAATCATCTTTTTGCATTCTGCTGCGTTAGAGTTAATAGTTAACTCGATGTTTTTGGTCACCATTGTTCCTCTTGCCCGGTTCTTGCTGTTTCTTTTTCGCCACAGTCCTATTTTCCCGTTGAAATATTGTTTTCTGACACTGTCATTGCGTGGTCTGACCACTGCAGCCATAAACATAACTTAAGTTATGAATCGTTTGCTTTTACAGTGCTTTTCTGGTTTTGCTTTATCCAGCGTGATGTAGTATGACCTTTTAACTTGCGATAAGTAAAACCACCTAGTGTTAGTTCTAATTTTACACCATCACTAGAACTAACACAAGACGTAGAACTAGAATCATTCGGGTTTAGCCGTCTTGAGAGACGTGCGGCTAAACCCGAATGTTTCTAGGCTTAATTTTTGCTTAAAACTGACCAATAGCAACCCGTCTTTTTGACGCTTCAATTTGAAAACACTCAGAATTAAAAAAACAGAGTATACTCGGGAAACATCAAACTTCCTTGCAGCTTGGCCAATAACACAGCGCTTCAATTTGCTGTCTGCTTTGTGTTGTAACAAGAACTGTAAAATTCCGCTGTTCATGCATTAGTTGCTTCGTCTTTACGTCTCTATTGTACATTTCGTGACAAATATAGTTTTGACACAATGGATATCTTGTAATTGTTGGACAAATTAACATTTCTCAACTGACGCATGCTTAACAACTGAAATGTTTTTAAATATAGCCTAATACTTTATTAGAAACAGCGCATGTAGATTATATCAAATGGATAGAAATTCGTTAATTCTCCAAACTTTCTTTAATCCATAAATTTTAGAGAAATATACCATAATTTGGAACAGAGGGAGTATTAAATATTTTGTTTAATCATCTTTTTCTAGGCATTTAGTAAAGATGAATGTATGTCATTATTAGATGACGAAAAAGTCACTTTAACAACTTTAGATGCCGGTCAAGTCTTCACTGCAGGCCGTTTTCACAGCTTAGTACCAATTGCTAAAGAAGTTACTGAGTTAGGAGGAACTGAATATTATTCAGTCGCAGTTATAAAACGAAATTCGTTACAAGATGTTACATCACTAAGAGATTTAAGAGGTCGAAGAGCATGTTTTCCAGGAGTTGGAACAATGGCTGGTTGGGTTCTGCCAATACACATAGTACATTTTTTAGTATATTTCATTTCTGATTAATTTTTTGGTTAATTTTTAGTTAATAAAAGAAGCTGGGATGGAAATAATTGATTGTAACAATATTGTTAAAACAGCAACAGAATTTTTTGGGCCATCTTGTGCTGTAAACGCTTTAGTTGACGCTAACAACCCAATTGGCGACAATCCCGATAAATTATGCCAATTGTGCGTTGGAAAAATCCCTGGTGGGAAATGCACGGATGCTGATCCTTACGCTGGTTACGACGGAGCATTTAGATGTTTATTAGAATCTGGAGATGTTGCATTTTTAAGAGATACAACCGTATTAGAACTTATGAAAGGAACTGGATTTAGTATGTTATTTCTAACTGTTTTAAAATAATTATTTAATAATTTATTTTTTTGTTAGGTGGGATTTCTGCTGATAATTTTGAGTTATTATGTAAAGATGGCACCAGAGCACCAATCGGTCAAGCGACACGATGTAATTGGGGTAGAATACCCACAAATGCAATTGTTGTTTCTTCAGCAGCTACAATGAAAGAAAGGCTTTTATATCAACAGTTTTTGAATAAAGTTGCTGAGTTATACGCAGATGATCACCAAGGAAATGTAAATCGACCACCAAATGATTTAGAATATGATCAATTTGGGAATAGAGTTAGAAATAAACGCCAAAATTATAATTCTTATAACAATGAGAATCCATATTCCAATGATAACAAACAAAATAATTATGACAAAAAAGATCCCTTTGATAACAATAATAATAATCGCGAACGCGATCGAACATATGAAGATAGATATTTTTTGAATCCAAGCAGATTTGGTGAAAATATCGATCCTTATGGTGATTTAAGACCAGATTATAGAGGCAGCGAAAAGTTTGATCAACCAACAAATTTCCAGTATACAGATAAATATGAAACATTTTACTTATTTCAATCATCTCCTAAATATGGAAGACAAAGCAATTTAATGTTTCAAGTAACAAAAAATTCAATTCTTTAATTTTATATTCTATATATACATTTTTTTTTAATTAGGATTCAACAAAGAGATTTTTTGCCATTCCCGAAAATGAACAAACTTATGATGGTTATTTGAAAGAATTGGTTAGTGTTGTTGTTGGAATAAGGTCGTGTCCAGTTAAAAGTATGACTTTATGTGTTACTTCTGATGTGGAAATGGAAAAATGCATTAAAATGAAGGTATTGTATAACCCAAATAGGGTAACTCTAAATTGCCATAACGTGGAACGAATAATAAACGCTATTCTGTAAAATGTTCCTTGCTCCCTATGGTTCTAATACGGTTATGAAATCAGTTCTTGTAATTTCCTTTTTCTACCCTCAAAGTAATGGATGGCATTTTGAAGTGGGGTTCGCCCATTTTAAAACACGATTTTAATCAATAATTTAAGTCAAAAGAAAAAAGGAAAATAAATATATGTATACTTTATATAAAAACTAGTAAACCAAGCAACTAAAAACTAAGAGAAACAAAAATAATATACAGGGTGAATCACATAAGAACCGACACAGAGCAGGGACATATAGAGGACAATAAATTAAGATGATTTAACGCAACTTATCTCTATACTAAGTTGTACCCCTGAGGAGTTATAGGCCTTCAAGGTTGGGTCTTAAATTTTTAAAACATTCAATATCTTCGTAATATATTGAGCTAGAAAACCCAAATTTGGTATATGTTATGAGTGTAATGAGGTTATTAATTGGTAGCAAGTTGAGACCATTTCAAAGGGTTGATTAAGGGTGATGGTCCCCTAAATTTTGACAGGTTTTTTTTAACCTTTCGGTGGATTTAATTAATACATTATTACCTCATTTCATGTGGAATTTAATTCTAAAACTTTTTTTACTCGTATTATTTTTTAAAAAACATTGTCGTTTTCATAAAAAACTCAAATAACCAAAGACACGTATTTCGTTAATTCTACTTAAAATCATCCGAAATTCAGTAGTCGGCTGTGAAATTATACGTCAAAATTGACAAATAGGTTATAAAACCTTGTCGTCAAATAACTTTATAACCTATTTGTCAAGCTTGACGTACAATTTCATAGCCGACTACTGAATTTTCGCTTATTTTAAGTAACATTACGAATTACGTGACTTTAGTTATTTAAGTTTTTTATGAAAACGACAAAGTTTTTTAAAAAATAATAAGAGTAAGAAAAGGTTTAGAATTAAATTCCACTTGAAATGAAGTAGTAATGTATTGAATCCACCAAATGGTTACAAACATCTGTCAAAATTTCGGGTATTTAGGGGGGGTCTTATGTAAATCACCCTGTATAAATAAAAACAAAATGAAAACAATACTCAGGAATTATAAAATTTATATAGAAATACTAATTTTCTGGCTTTTTCTACTCATTTGTGGACATTGACTCAATTGTGTGTCATTTGTAATGGACGAGCCCAAATGTTGTGAAGAATAACACAATTTTAGTAATTTCCAGTAATGGATATAACTTCCTAGCAGAAAATGGTTCCATTTTCGCCTCTAGCTTAACTATTAGTGGTAGTAATCCAGTATTACATATCCCTAAGTGTGTTGATAGCTTCATCTTTCTCTTCCATCGTCAATTTATATTTAATATATATATATATATATTTTATATATTATAAATATATCTATATTTAATAAATACAATTAAATGGAAAGCATAAGTGCCTGTTTGTAAAATTTCTGATAAACTTGTATTTGAGACAGTGATTCCAATTTTTCGTCAAATTAACTTCCTAATTTCTTCCACACTTCTACAGCATCATATAGAGAAACACCTTTTTTGCTATTTGACAAATCCCCGGGATTTTGGCGTTGATATTTAAGTAATATTCTGCAGATCGTTTGGGTTCAATATTAGATACTTGGTATATTTTTGACAGTTTTTCCCATGGACCTACATGTGTTTGCAGACAATCCACCATACTGTTCCACCTCACATTGTTTAAAACTTTTCCATCAGTATACCGGGAATTTCATATAACTCGCAATATATTAATGTCCTACATAAAATGCAACATAGCTTAATAGTAAAGACATTGGGTAGTTTTGCAAAGGAACTTTAGCGAAACTTTTTGGAAAAGGTGACAGGCGCACGTCTTTTAAGACGGCTAAACCCGAATGATTCTAGGTCTTGTGTTAGTTCTAGTGATAGTATTAGTGTAAAACTAGAACTAACACTAGACCTAGAACTAGAATCATTCAGGTTTAGCCGTCTTGAGAGACTTGCGGCTAAATCCGAATGTTTCTAGTTCTACGTCTTGTGTTAGTTCTAGTTTTAGTTTAATAAAAATATGGAACACATTGATATCTTATGTTAATTAGCACTGTAGTAACAGTAGACGTACAACCAGAAACGTTCAGACATGTTGCATTTAACTTCCAAAACACTTTATTTTTTTTTCCTCATAAATGACCCTGAATGATGCGTTCCTATTGACGTGAAAAAATCAAAACCAAGGTTAAACAACAAAAGATACGTACGAAAACTAAGTTGAGAAATATTGTAAAAATCAAAAAAAAATCGATTAAAATAAAGAAATCGTGATTTTTTCAGAATTCTTCCATTGTGTCCCTTAATTTGATGTTTTCCGTAGTAAAGATAACAATGAGCAATAGAATATATAAATACTCATAGCTTCTTCTTAGTGTGATTAAATTTTTGAAACACCTCATTATTTTTGTTTTTAGATAGCTTTAAAAGCACAACTATTAAAACCAGAAATGATATGCTACAAAGCTCACTCCCAAATCAAATGTATGGCTGCAATACAAAGCAGAAGTGCGGACGTGGCGGTTTTCGACGCCGGTGACATTTACACCGCCGGATTAAAATACGAACTTATTCCCTTCATAAGCGAACTATACAACTTAGGTTCACCCGATTATTACGTCGTGGCAGTAGCGAAAGAAACCGATCCCGACACAGATTTAACATACTTACGAACGAAAAATACATGTCATGGTGGTGTTAATACCGGAGCAGGTTGGGTTTATCCCTTAGCGTTTTTGATTAGCAACGGTTGGATTCGACCGTATGGTTGTAACAGTATGAGAGCTGCAGCTGAATATTTTACAAAAAGTTGTGTTCCTGGTGCTTTAAGTAATGAATACAACACCGGTGTACCTTACGATAACATGTGCGATTTGTGTCGTGGTTCAAGTTTCCGATATTGTCGCCGCGATGCTTCTGAAATGTTTTATGGGCATACAGGAGCGTTTAGATGTTTAGTCGAAGGAGGAGGAGACGTTGCCTTCGTTAAACATACAACAGCTATAGAAAACACCGGAGGAAAACGAAGGGAATGGTGGGCGAGAGATGCTTTAATTGATGATTTTGAACTTTTATGTCCAGATGGAACAAGAGCTGAAGTTAACGAATACCTAAAATGTAATCTAGGTAAAGTTAAAGCGAACGCGATTGTAACGAGAGGTGGTTATGACTACAACGAAACCGAAGTGAACGCTTTCATCAATTTATTTTTGTATTCTCAAACTTTGTATGGAGGAAAAATTCCCGATGAGTTTAGTTTTAGCATGTTTTATTCACCACCACCTTACACCGATTTAATTTTCCAAGACGCCACGACTCAATTGAAGGTTATTCCATCACATCTTCGAGAATATTCGAAGTATTTAGGGGGAGATTTTATGAGAGCTAAAAGAATAGTTGATTGTCACGCTGGAGCCGAAAGATTTGAAATTACATTATTTACTTCAATTTTATCTTTGATCATAGCTTTATATGTTTTATAAGGTTCAAATTTTTTTCCGACTGATTTTTTTATCGAAAAAAAAAACAAACATGTAAATATTTTTTACCTAAAATTATGTTTATTAATTTTTTTAATTGTAAAGAATTGTTATTGAACTAATTTTAAATAGTGTAGTATATAGGGAGGATTAAATCAGAATATGAGGCAAAAAGTGAGTATCAAGTGCCTTGGTGTTAATAAGAATCTTTACGATATTATCCGTCCATTTTTAAAGAATTTTCTGTAAGATTTTTTATACTTAATACAATTTTATTTTTATTGGTTTAATAAAAAAAATCGAAACTTTAAAAACTTTTTTTGTGAACCCAAAAAACGGTTATTCGTATACTAATAAAGTATCTTAAAAGACTTGATTAACTAAACTGTTGAAATGAAGATTCCATTTGAATGAAACATTACAAACAAGTTCGAACTTTTTAGAGGTACGCGTGTATTACCTATACATTATTATTAAACGATTTAAGGCGGGCATATAAACGATTTATTTTCGACTCATTCATCTTAGGAATGCGTTTGCGTAATCGGCGAAAAATTCTCACTTTGTTTATACGAGATGAAAAGTTCGCCGAAATGAGTTAAAAGTCGATCTAAAAATACTAACTCCCTACACCTAACTACGTTACATTAACGACTTTTGGCCCGTTGTTAAGCAAAATCAAATTTTAATTTTACCCGAAATCGTTCGAAATTAAAATAGAGAGAGAAAGAAAGCCTTGGGAATACTTTAATAGGACAAAAACGCGTTTGTTAAACGACTTTAAAGTGAAAGTAAATTAAATTGGATAAGTATCAAAGCAAGGTAGGGTTTTTATTTAACAGGGGGGGACTTAAAATAAATTTGATGATGAATTATAAAAGAAAGTTTCATATTACTCGAAATATATGAATGTAGTATAACCATAGTTACGAAACTACTATGCACTTGCACTGTTTCACATAAAATGCAACATAGCTTAATAGTACAGGCATTGAGTAGTTTTTGCAAATGAAAAGTTTTGCTTGGATAAGGTGACGTCCTTATGATAACTGTGAGTTTCCCTCTTAAGAGACGCACGGCTAAACCCGAATGTTTCTAGTTCTAGGTCTAGCGTTAGTTCTAGTTTTACACTAGCGCTGTTACTATGTAGAACTAACACTATACCTAGAACTAGAATCGTTTGAGTTTAGCTGCACGTCTCTAAAGACGGCTAAACCCGAATGATTCTAGTTCTAGGTATAGTGTTAGTTCTAATTTTACACTAGCACTGTTACTACGTAGAACTAACACTATACCTAGAACTAGAATCATTTGAGTTTAGCTGCACGTCTCTAAAGACGGCTAAACCCGAATGATTCTAGTTCTAGGTATAGTGTTAGTTCTAGTTTTACACTTGCACTGTTACTAGAACTAACATTAGACCTAAAACTAGAAACATTCGGGTCGTTCTTGGCCTAGTGTTAGTTCTATTTTTAGTGCAATAAAAATATACAACAATCTAGCGCTGCATAACATTTAAAACAAGAACTAACACTAGACATTCGGGTTTAGCCGTGCGTCTTAAGACGGGGGCAATTATAGAACCATGGAAACCCCTACATATAGAAGTATGGGTCAGAAGTGTTGGTGAGAGACAAAGACAAAACTCGAAGATTGCTAGCAGCAGTTGAAAATGAGGAAATAAGAAGAAGAATGACAGCACAAAACTCAATAATAGACACTGAATGAAAAACAACTAAAATGGTATGAGAATCCCAATTAAGGTTTGGAACTGGGTGCCAGCAGAAAGAAACAAAAGTAGGTCTAGGAAAAAATGGATTCAGGATATGCAGAAGAGGAGAAGAATGGGTGAAAAGCGGCAATAAAAAATAGCTTCAAATAAATTTTTTTTTACATTATTTCTTAATCCCCTCCTGTGCGTCTATCTTTCAATTCCCCCCACTCCTTTTTAGTCAAGGCACTCTATTCGAATTCGTTCATATGTCAAGTGTCATCGACCAACATGGCAAATTACCGGACCGCGTACGCTTTTGCAAGGGAAATGCACCCAAAAACTGAAAAAGCAGACATCCAATATGGTACTTCAGGATTTAGAACGAGGTAATTTATCGTATTAAACTCGATTTCCCAGAAAAATAACTCCATTACAAAGTTAGGTTAAGGTCGCGGTAGGCCTCGATTATTTTTCAAAATAATCGTTTTTACATTCCAAAACCGACTTGATTAATACCGATTAACACGTTTTATTTACTGTTTTTCCCTAGGGCTAATAAATTGGGCTACGTTATGTATCGTATGGGATTATTGGCGGTGTTAAGGGCTAGATATAAAAACGGTTAGTATTAATTTTTTATGCGTTAAAACTTATCTTGACAGTTTTGTTATAAAGATAATTAATAGGAGTATTTTAGATAAAGATAAGAAATGTAAGAATGTAAAGGTAATGTTTTAAAACAATCTAATTGATTATTTCCTCCTTTATGAACCTAAAATGGTTTGTGTGATTCAAAAAGATCTTGCTAGAGCTATGAATCATTTCCTAAGCATGTTGAATCGTAAATTCTTTTAGAGGATTAATAAATTATTAATGAATGGTGTTAGTATTGTTACATTAATTTGTTATCTTTAGCAACCAATTAATGATTTGATTATCTATTTATTACTATTTATCTGACAATTTAACTTTTTTTCTAATTCAAGTTATTACATTTAGTTAACTGCCACTTTCTTATTATCAATGAATATAGTGATTGAGCATTGAATGTGGATTTTTAACTGACATTATTGTTGTATTTCCATTCAAATAATGTTGTTAGAAAAATACTATTTAATTTATCCCAACTACATAATTAATCAGTGTGATATATGTATAACGTTAATGGAACAATACGCATTTTTGTTATTGTGGTAAATAACAAACTTCTTGTAGCTGCTGTTATTGTTTTTAATATACAAAACATAACTTAATAAACATATCTCCTTCTAGAAAATCCTTGGATCTTCGAAATATACATGTCAATGTCAAATTTTTAGGGTTTCTGTTGGTATTACCTGGTATTAAATTTGTCATTTTTTGATTTCTAGTGACATTTTCGGTAATATGGTTGAGGTTAAGAAACGAATATAAAAATTTGTATATATTCAAACTAATAAAAGTAAACAATTAGGTATCAAATTTCAATTATTTAAGTAAAGTTATAAAATCGTAAAGTAAATTGTCTTTGAATATCAAACTATTATTACATTATACCAACCTTACAACAAGTACATTTTCTACAGAGTATATCAGATGGACAAACGAACGAAATGAATTTATTAGTGACATTTGAGCCACAAAATATCTTTAACTCCGAATAAAACATTTTTTTTTTAAACACGCTAAATATTTCAATTACTCACCTTAGTTCCGGTCGAGATCGCGTTCATAAATGGCTAACCCCATTAGTTTATTCTTATTAATTCGTTAAGCAGTATAGTTGTGCTCTTGGCTTCTTCAAAGTTCTGATGTTCCTTTTATGATCCTGTTATCTTCTTATTGTTCTTATGCTTAACATAAAAATAATGTTAATAAACATATTTTCTTGTAGAAAAGCGTTTTAACTTCGAGTTTTTTTTTTCAATGTCAATTTTTGAAGGTTTCTGTTGGTATTATCTAGGGTCCCTATAAAAATTATGTCGTTTTTTGATTTCTAGTGACATTTTCGGAAACTAGAAATTGAGGTTAACGGGTTTTAACGAAATACAACTTTACTGTAAACATCTGCATTAAACTAATGACAGTACACAATTAGGTATTAAATTTTAATTATTTAGGTATAATTATAAAAACGTAAAGTGAATCGTCTTTTTGAATATCGAAAGTTCAAACGTCAATGTGACATAATTTTAAAACATGATAAAGCACGGTTAATTTTACCAATTTTACTATAACATACGAGCAGAAAATATCTTTAACTCAGAATAAAACGTTTTTTCTTCTTTAAACGTGCTAAATATTTCATAAACTTAATAATTACTCACCTTAGTTCCGGACGTGGTTCCGTTCATAAATGACTAACTTCATTTCTAAAACGAGAAAATACGTCAGATGTCATTTAATGACGTTTGAAGAAAAAACGTCATTTTTTAAAATACTCGACATTTTCATGTAAACTTATATAAACATAAATAATATAATAAAAAATATATCCACTTGTGTATTTCTTCTCTTATTCTGCTACATATAGTAGCTTAGGTATAAATTTTTCTATCAAATTTCCATAAAGCAGGATCAGCAAGATTAGATACTTTATTATTATACAATGCTGTCTAAATACTCTTCAGAACAGTTTTAACTTATCAAGAAGTTATTAACTTAGTGTAATAACTATATTATTAATAATAAGATAAAATCTTTAATTTAATTTTTAGCAACAATTGGAGCAATGATAACTGCATCTCATAATCCAGAACATGATAATGGAGTGAAATTGGTAGATCCACACGGTGAATTATTAGAACAAAGTTGGGAGGAGTGGGCGACTAAATTTGCGAATGTTGGGTAAATTATCAAAATAACACTTAATTATGCATTAACTCTTATTATTTTTATAGTGATGATCAACTTGAAGCAATTATAGCTGAAATCATTAAAGAGTATAACATCCCAATGACTGAAAGGGTTCATATTTACGTTGGTAAAGATACCAGGTACTAAATTGATATTATTCTTAAAATAAAAATAAGTAGTTAACTATTTTTTTATGTAGACCAAGTAGTCCTAGTTTGGCAAAATCCTTAATGGACGGAGTTTTGGCTTTAGGTGGAAAACCGGTCGATTTCGGTATCGTAACGACCCCACAACTGCATTATTTCGTCGCCTGCAAAAACACGAAACAAGAATACGGTGTGGCTACCGAAGAAGGTTATTACAACAAATTAATCACCGCGTTCTTAAAACTTAGAAACAACGGATACACTAAAGGAAATTACGTTAATAGGATATTTTACGATGGTGCTAATGGTGTGGGTGCTAAAAAAATTAAACCATTTATTGAACGATTGGGGCAAACGTTAAAAATTGAAATGTATAACGATGAAGGAATCGGAACCGGAAAATTAAATCATTTGGTAAAATTATTTATTTAATTAGTAGAATTTTTAATTAATCTGTTTTATTAGTGTGGAGCTGATTTTGTTAAATCACAATTATCATTTCCAAACGGTGTCCCACCAGAGCAAAACGTTCGTTGTGCCTCAGTGGATGGAGACGCTGATCGCGTCGTTTATTATTTCATTGATGAAAATGGCCAATTTCATCTTTTAGACGGCGATAGAATCGCTACTTTAGTCGCAGGATATTTAAAGGATCTCTTATCAGATATTGGACTTGATTTTAATTTAGGTTTAGTTCAAACTGCCTATGCAAACGGTGCCTCAACAGAATATATTACTAAACAATTGGTGATTAATAAAAATGTTTTTTATTGATAATGATAGAATAAGAAATTTATTTAAATTACAGAATGTTCCTGTGGCTTGTGTATCAACAGGAGTCAAACATCTCCATAGTAAAGCTTTAGATTACGAAATTGGTGTATATTTTGAAGCAAACGGTCATGGAACAGTTATTTTTAAAAAATCTGTTAAAGATAAAATCAAAACAATCTTAGATAACGAAAATTCATCGGAAACTCAAAAAGAAGCCGCAAAAAGACTATTAATTTTAATCAATTTAATCAACGAAACTGTTGGGGATGCGATTTCCGATTTACTATTAGTAGAAACGATTTTATTGGCTAAAGGGTGGGACGTTAAAGATTGGGAATCAATGTACACCGAACTACCAAACAGACTACTAAAAGTAACCGTTCAAGATCGATATAGTATAACCACGAAAGATGCGTCTCGAATTTGTGTTACTCCCGAGGGATTACAAGCGGAGATTGATGCTTTAGTTGCGAAATATAATAAAGGAAGGTCGTTTGTACGTCCCTCCGGTACTGAAGATTGTGTTAGGATATACGCCGAAGCTGAAACAAGGGAAGATGCGGATAAATTGGCTGTTGAAGTTGCTAAGAAAGTGTATGAGATGGCGGGTGGTATTGGTGATATTCCCGAAATAATAACACAATAGAGAAAAGAAATTGAAGATAAAACTCAATTTTTGCATTTTACTAACCGCTTATCTCGAATCACGCCACAAAAAAAAATAGTTATACCTACAGGCTTCAATTATTCATCTTTTTTTTCTTATTCTTTATATTACAAAAAATTTTGAAATAATTTAAAAACAAAAAGAATAGTTTTAAAAAATCATAAAAATAAAATAGCATGGTGATGGTATAAATTCATTTTATGTCTGTATTAGGCTTTATGAACCCATCTGAAATTATTGGCCTCACGTGATACGAAAATGATTTTATCGCTCTGCCATAAACATTTGGAATCGTCCATAAAGTCCTAACTTATGGACACATTACATAAATAGCAACTTTTTTCTACTTTTGTATCTTTTACTAATAAAAATAAGGATAAAGAGTGCAATATATACACGTAACTCCTTTATTATCTATCTTGTATACAAAGCTTTCATTTGTGAGATAAAAGACCCCGAAAAAAAAAACTATGGTTGTATTTATTTTATAGTCTGTATATTTTAATGTTTATAGAAAATGTTTATTGTAATATTTTGAATAATTATGTTTTCTTAATTAAATAAAAATGGAATTAATTGAAATGATTCTTTTTAAACCTACTTTTAAAATCTTTATTGAAAGGTCAAATTTGATGCAAATTCCTGAGGATATACTATTATATTCACTAAGGTTAAGTTTATGTCACGAGCGTACTGAGTGGCATAATTAACCTGAGTGAATAATAGCTCATTATATGTGAGTAGAATACTATACTTTGTCTACGACTATTGAAATTGATTACTTTTTTGAATAAAGTTTAAACGTCAATGTGACACAAATTCAATGTTACTAACTGTAACCAACTTCACAACAATATGTCAAAATTAAATGTCAATTTTATAAACGAAAATTAATTAATTTATGCTTAAATCATACGAAAAAAGGAATTTGTTTAGGTTTTTTAATGTCAAACCTTTAGAAACTTATCCCTTATCCCTATTCCCTTATCCCTATTCAAGAATGAAATTTTTTGCGAAAAAAAAATCCAAAAGTGGACAAAGCTTTTTCAGTGATTTTGTGCAGTGATTACAACAAACTTTGTCGTAATTTTTTTTATGGAGCCGTTGCGAAGATATCGACCTCTAAAGTGAGGTGCCTCGACTTTTGGCACCAATTTAAAACGAAAAAGTCAATAAAGAGAGCTTGGCAGTTCGTTGGCAAATCAGTAAAAAAGCTCAACATATTTGGTGCTATGGTCAATCATGTCGGGAAAAGTTTGGTAAGGTTTGCTTTTTAAGAAATGTCAATCATTCCATTAAATAATGTTGGATTAGGTCAGTTTTGTTTACAAATGTTAATCATCTTGGGAGAAAATGTTGAGTAAGGTTAGTTTTCTTTTGACCTGTCAATCATCCAGGTAAAGAACGTTGAGTAAGGTCAGTTTTCTTTTGTAATGTCAATTATAGTACGAAGGAATGCTGAGAAAGGTTAATTTTGTTTACAAATGTCAATCATCTAGGGAATGAATGTAAGGTTAGTTTTCTTTGGTTTTCTTTTGAGCTTATCAAGAATGTTGAGTAAGAATGTCAGTTTTCTTTTGAAATGTCAATCATCTTCGGAAAGAATGTTAGTAAGGTTAGTTTTGTTTTGAAATGTCAATCATCCAGGTATAGAATATTGAGTAAGGTTAATTTTTTCAGCGGTAGATAAAAGTTAAGAAATTGAAAAGGAAGTTGTGATGATAAATGCATCTCTTGTCTTAAATGTAGAAATTGTTGATACAGAAGATTTAAAAGAACTTTAGAGAGAATGAATTAAACTTTTGACGAATCCAATACGGATGAAGAGGATTCAAATGTAGATATTTCTTCTAACACTTGGCTATCGATGATCCAAGCTTGGGATTTCCTTAGAGAGGTAGCTGTTAATAAACACCTCGACACAAAAATGGTAGAAAGAGTTGCGATAACTAACATTTATGATCAAGGTTATTCAAAAATTCATAAATCTAAGATTTGACAAACAACATATCTAACAATAAGTCGCTAGGCTTGCAACACCAATTGCTTAATTTGTTGAGAGTACAAAGAAGTAACACCAGATAAAAAATTCATTAAAAATAGCCAAAATTGATTCAGGGAAATTAAAACGTATAGTAAATAAAAATATCTAATAATAATTATGACAAGCTGTATTTGAATATTGCTTTATTTACATATTATAAAATAAGTTGTGTTTATTTAAATTTTTATTGAAGTTTTAAGAAAATAATGTTTGATTGGCATTTTGTATGACGTCTTTGAAGTTTAATTTAACATAATAAAATTTTAATTTTTCTCCTATAAACAATTTGACTTTAGAGTTGTCAATAATTAAAAATTTCCGTTTATTATTCAAATTAATCACTTTTATCATTCATTTTAATCTCAAGCGTCACAAAATTGTTTTAATACCTTTATCTAATAGTAAATTATTCACCATTAAAAAACGTATTCATACCTATTTCGTCCTAGAATAATTTCAAAGTCACTCTCTGAATAAAAATTTTTTTTCTTACCTTTTTATCGTGTTTTTATATTGATTTTGAGGATAAAGATTGCACCGATTAATATGCTATTAACTGGGTTTGTTGGTAGAATGGAACACTTTGTAAATGGAACGGAAATTCAATAAGGTGACTTTTGACCATCGAGTGATAATAAAAAGATTGTTTTTAAGCGCATGTAAAAAACATGATCCTTATTTTGTATGGAAATTAAAATAGCCTGCGTAAATAAATTTTGCATCGACAATAACGTATGCAAAGAATTCTTTAAATTGACAATAAATACGCATTTAAATTTTTAATTAAAAGTTCACATCCGATTTTTTATAACCTTAAGGTAGAAATGTACGCAAAAGTATTTTGACGTAAATCAATGACCATTTCTATAATTTAGGTGATCAATCAATAATGAATCGAGTTCTAATTATTGGCCTGCACGGAATTTAATTAGTTTGATTCCAATTTACGTATTTTATAATTTTTTCTTGATTAAAGTTATTATTATAATTGCAATCTACGTAAACTTCATTAATCATTACTGTTTCAATGTAATAATCTGTATCAGTTATCTCAAAGTTCCGACAATTAGTCAAAAAATAAACATTAAAAATGTTGTCCAACAAGCGAAATTTGTATCAAGATATTCTGAGATCTAATTTTGGTACGTAGTCATGCTCTGTCGACAGGAACTAGCCGAAATACAGAGGTCCCTATGAAGTTTTGCAAAATCATTGGATAATGACAGGTAGTATAAAACATTGAGGATATCTTTCCTTTTTTCGGATTTAACTCAAAAATTGAATTGTAATACTTTCTCTTTATATACCAACAAATTAAGTTACGTAGAGCTCTGAGTGTGCTCACAATTATGCGAAAATGTACTCGTACGATATTCAATGATAACTCAAAAATTTTACATTTCATAAACGTCAGATGCATCGGAAAATGAATTGCACTGAGTGGTCGTATCATCAAGATGGCTGGCGACTTCGTGAATTTAATTTCAAATGTGATACACAATGATGGACAAAACTACTGACGAGTTGACGGACTAAGAAGTTGAGGTGTGTCTTTAATCGGCAGTGCCCAGTAAAGACACCAATTAGAACTTTAATGCTGTTAGTAGCAATTCCTAAAATATTCCCGGGTTTGACAGTGGCGATGTTAATAAATGGTCCACAGTGGGCGAAGTCTCTCTTCAGACCACAGTCCAATCCTATGTTTGACCATCGACTGCTAACTGTGACCCCAGAAACGTTTTAGTCCTGCCCTCTCATGCTAGCTCATCTGCCGCTTCATTGCCACCAACCCCAGAGTGACCTGGGACCCAAATCAAAAAAACTCTGTTATAACAACTCAGTATGTTTAAAGAACTTTTACCGCCTGAAGACCGGCTTGACTGTCTGAGAAAAATCGTACTGTCATCTTCTTCATCCCTCTCTCAAAAAGGATTTGTACATGCTCTGTATGCTCTGTACATGCAAGAATCATTCAAACAGTTCTAATAATAGACTTTTCAGAATAACATCCCGAAAAAAGTCGCTGGTCTTCAACTAGACTTTGCTCAATCTCATATGATTTAGGAAATGACTTCCTGGTCCAGGGTTTTGTTTACTGAAAAATCGAAGAACAATATTTTTGGAAATGATGGTTGACCAAAAATTTGGAAGAAACAAAACACTGCGATAAAGCTGAAAAATTTGTTACCAACACTAAAGCACGGTGGAAGGTGTGTCATGGTTTGGGGATCTAAGTAGCGGTACCAAATAAGGCCACCTTAAGGGACAAAAACACAAAACAACAATACACAACTGTAATTTCGCGATTAAGCAAGAGACCAAATCGTGACAGAACATGTGCGTAACATTATGTCTTTCCCCTCATTATTTGCAAATCAACTTTTAGATTTGTGTTTTAATCAACAAAAAAGTGGCCTTATTACGCCTTTACTTAGAACACTCAGATACACTCAGAACCTGTTTGGAGCGTCTGATGAAATCCAGAAGAGACAATAAAATTAGTTGCTTCAATGAAATACTGAAAGTTTTAAAAACTACCATTACGTGGATATGCTATATGTAGATTTTTGTCATGTTAATTTTTGTGTTATTTGATGAAATTTTGTTATGTGGCTCTTGAAGCTATTTGTGTTTTCTTCTGCTGTGAGTAAATAAATTTCTCTGATTGCCCTGTAATACTAATTTTTTTGTTACCTCAATATGTTTTTCAAAACCTCACTATAATTAATTATTGCACAAATAACATTTAAATGCGTTTTTTGTATTATTTTAATTTAATTTTTTTTATTTCCAAGTTAACATCATATTTTTATGATGAAAAAATTACTTTCTTTAACGACTCATCTGGGCAGTATTATAACATAACTGTATCTATAATAGTTAAGTTCTGTAAATCCTCAAAATAAACTGCGTTTCCTGAATTGGAAATCTTATCTTGTTCGTATTCTGCACAAGCTTAAACTCTTTTTCCTTCTAAATATCATATTCAGTACAATTTGGATCAACGGAATTTTGGAAATACGTAGATTGCTTTTCATAACATTCTCTTTCTTGTCTGGGTGCCTCATACACTTCTCATTTCTGTAGTTATCTTGTCCTGTCCGGGCTGGAACACCTTAAATTTATTAATAGAAATATATTTTGTTAATTTTATTCTTATTATCTTCATACCATTAAATATTTTTGTGAATTTTTCTCTTGGGTATCCCTCCACGTGTTACACAATCGTGAATTTTCGTTAAACGTCGTAACCATCCCAAGTATATATAAGTAACACGTAGCCGATCCGCGAGGAATTTCGTCCGTTGTAAAACCAACCAACCAACCAGTAACGAATCGGACGAATCCGGGGCCCCCCAGTTGAGTCGTCGCCGCCGTTCGAGTTCGACCCAGAGCTTCACTCTCTCGATACATATATCGCCGGGCTTTTAATAGTTAGACGCCGTGCCACCCGCCAAAAGCCAACGCCTACGGCTCCATAGAAAAAAAAATACATTAACAAACACATCAATTTTAGCGGGTAATAATGTGTAAAAGAATTAAGAAGAAGAATCTAGATAAATTGTAATCCATAAATTTTATTATTTATACAAAATTTTCATCCAAAAAACGCGAGTGTATTGATTTTAATTGCCGGTGAAAAGGAGGGTTAAAATTATTCGTGATAAACCACGGAAAAGAAGTACTTTTTGATAATATTTTTCAAAGTGAAACAACCGGAAACGTTTTAAACAACTACCGGTTGTTTGTTGAGACGTTCAAGAAATAACGGAAAAGAAGGGTGTAGAAAGAATTTTAATTTAGAAAAATCGTGTAAAATCAATTAGTTATTTTAAAATTACACTTAAGGTGAGTACAACGTTTCTTTTTATTAATATTTGCTTTATTTGATCCATTCAATTTGATTTTAACTATGTTACGTTGGTGTTTAAGATAACGTGTAACTCGGTAACTGTAAAGTAAATAAAATACATAAATGACTTCTTAGAAAAAACGTTGGTTTATAAAAGGATTTAAGAAAAGAAAAAGAAAAATTTTATTTTTTTATAACTGGACGAAAGGAAAGAATAAAAAGGGTTTTTTATGGGAGGGTTTTTGACCGCACCCTTTATGCTGCAAACTACTTGGTCTATAAACCCTGTGTTACGTCATTACTACTGCCCTAGAAAGTGAAATAGGGTAAAATTTAAATAACACATTACACGAAATCTAAAATTATCCTGAATAAGATAGAATGAAATTACTATGACTCGTTTTACTCCTACCAAATCAACTGATAAATTTAATAAATGAGAGAACATATTTCCGATGACTCAGAACGATTTATAATACCTAAAAATGATAAACAATAATGGTTTAGTAATCTTCCAAATAACTTTTCCAAAATTAAAATATTTGTTTGTTAATTAAAAGCTTAAAAAAAATTCCTTTCAGAAAATTTTACCTGTCAATAACAATAACAAACATTTACGTCTAAAACGAAGAAACCGAATAATCGCACATGAATAATGAAAAATTACATTTACTGTTTCTTAGATGCAATATTTTAAGAGATTTTGTAAAAATACCTACATTAAATTTACCACGTTTTTTTAATTTATTTTTTTTGCCAGAGATGTCGTTGTCAAATTTGGAGTGAGAATATGAGTTATTATAAAACGAGGAAAAGTAAAAGTTGCAACTGTCCATGAATAAGAATATATCAATTTAATTTTTTCAACCACTCTACACTCTTATTAGAAAAACACTTGCTTTATATAACATAGTTTATTTTTGTATAGTACCTGTCAAATTGCTGGTGACAGTTGGCAAGATCAACAGGGAATTTAGTTCTAATATGTTTTGAAATCAACTTATGTCACGCTGACGTTTGAACTAGTTATTTAAAAAGAATAAAATTAAGTTTTTGGTTTTTTATAATTACGCATTAATAATTGAAATAAAATAAAAGTATAAAAAAAGCGCAACTAACTGGGAGTTACTAAAAATGTTACTAGATAACACCAATAGAAACCCTAAAAATTTCACTTTGACAGGTATTTAAAAAAAAATTAAACTATGCTATATAATTTTATTCTCACCTAAATTTACAACTACATTACCTTACATAAATTATATATAGAATAGGAGGACCAACCAAACTTGCACCGCGACCTCAAAGATCTATTGTACACCGATAGATAACACTATCAAATTTCACCGTGCAATCCAATGCTCTTAACGAACATTAATGCCTTGCACGGTAAAAAGTCATTCAGAACTGGTCCACAGTAGGCGAAGTCTCACTTCACCCCACAGTCCAATCTACTGTTTGGCCATCGCAAATGATATACCAATTGCTGGCTCTGGCCCAACAAACTATAAATGATAGTTCTGACCACTATATGCAAAATTCAAAGGAGATAGGCAAAGCAGAACATCCATTGCTTGAGTTGGCGTTGTAGTTATCGCACCAGAGATTAGCTACAACGTTGAATTTGAGAAAAAATTTTACATAATTACAGATAAAAAATTACGTACGGTTTTGACTTTTGCAATTCAAGCTTGGATGTCAAAACGAAATTTAACCAAGTTTCACATTAAATGTCAACAAAGTACCTAGGTCACAACAAAGTTTTTAAACCATGCTAATGAAGTGGTCTTTATGACCGATGTACACTAAAAGTTTATTAAAATATATTTATTTACTTAAATTAAAGGGATATACGAAATTTGACAATTTAAAAATAAAATGTGCAACCTAGTATTAAGTCTATTTATTATTGCGCCATAGTTCCAAGTTGAAGGCGATCTTTTGAGAATTTCGATTAGGCAACACCGTCAGGTGTGAAACTTTATTTTAGAGAAAATAATGATTCATCTCTAAGGATTTTTCTTAAAAATGTACCATCAAAGTACACTTTGTACTTTTCAGTACTGTTTGTTTAAGTGTGAACGCCACCTATTGATTTCTATTACGTACTGTATTGTTATGTACTTAATTTTAGTAAGTACAAATTAAACTCTTATTTTATTTTACCACTCAATCTATTTTCGTTGTAGGTAGACTAAAAACTGTATTTCGTAACATTGAATAAATAAAAGAGATAACATTTTTTGAATATTAAGAAAAAATTACAAAGATATCAAAACTTTTATTTAAGTACGATATAAAATTCTTAATAATATCGTTTTTATTAAATTTGCGTTACATAAATTTATTATTCGTGTTTATATAAAAGTAAACGACCGGTTTTTTTTATTGAATAGAAAGATGATAGCGTCAAGGTCATTGCTAGTTATTGAAATAACGTAAGTGTAGTGTATGTGCACCTTTTAGCATTTCTATGCTAAACGACGAATTATGTTTGCTGAAAAACATCGCTTACCTTCAAAATATGTATTTCCGCAACCATAAGAAACCAAAGAGTTTACATATTTACAAATGATGTAACAATCTTTGATTTAATGAAAAAAAAAAAAAAAAAATTTCGTCAACGATTCGCAAAATTATAGCAATATGTGTGTATAAGGTATTAACACCAACTTATTTGCATTACTTTATTGTTGGATAAAATGTAAATTTAATTTAACGCTATTTGCATTTAATTATAGTTTTAAACAAATTGTTGTCCAAACTTTAAGTAACCACAGTGTTTAAGTAAGAAAATGAAGTGACCGTTTTAGATCAATTATTTTAAATAAATGAAATGGTTTTCCCATTTACGAAAGGTGTTTACATCAATTATCAATATACCATCGATCTAAACTATTATATTTAGAACTGTACTAATTACACGTGTAAAGCCAGTTAAATTGCAATAGATCTAGTTTTCACGTGGAAATAATAAGATAATTCTAGACGACCTTTTAAATTAAAATTAATTACAATTAAAATCGGTATCGACTGATTTGCCCTATTTTATTAATTAAATTGTAATAAAAAACGTAATCTATTTTTAATTTTTCTATTTTTCTCAAAAAAAAGAAATTGTAAAATGGAACATTTTGATTTTGTCTTGGTTTAGAAAAGAAAAAGTAGAACGCAATCCGTTTAATTTATCTTCTTCTCCGGTGAAACTCTTAATTTTTTTTAAGTAACCCAAATTATTCGGCCAACTGACCATTAGATACACGAAATAGTCTATTTTTTTTGTTGTTGTTATGTTGGACAGTTTCGAAAGGAATCGCAAAGTGAACGAGATTGTTTTTTGATTGCAGACCACCAAGTGAAAGAAGTCCTCAATTCCATAAAAAATGGCACAACTCGTCTCAAATATTTTGGAAAAGTACCATGATTTAATGGATAATAGAAGTGGTAAGTAAAAAAAAAAAATATTATTCAACTTCCTTGCTTAAAACGAATTCGGTTTAATTTAAGATCTCAAATGTTGGAATTTAACCTCCTGATCTCTTCTAATAATTTATTATTACGATTGAGGGTCGTTTTTAGGTTTAGAAATAGTTTAAATGGGTCAGATTGAATTAAACCTATTTAAATAAGTTCGTTTTTAAATCTTAAATAAATTTTGTGTGGTAAAAGGTTTTTTGGTATTCAATACAGGAAGAGATTTTGTGACCGTTGGTTTTGCTTTAAATAGTATGTGGCGTGGTTAAATTCTTTCACGCTTATACTTCGGCCGATGAAAGAAAGAAAGTAGAAATCAGAAATTGGAATAGAAAAAAAATCGTAAAAAAAAATGTGTCGCTGGGGCACAATTTGTATTAATTTGAAAAATATTTTTATGCTATTTAATACATTTTATATCAAATGAGATTTATAGTTTTATTTGGGTATAAATATAAAAAAAAATTGATTTTTTTTTTTTTTAATAAAAATTTAAACGTCATTGTGACATTTCTTGCTAATGTTACCAACTGTTACCTACTTCACACCAATTAGGAGGTATTAAAGTATAACTCTTAATCGAATAATAACTGTTTTCTAGAACAATAACTAGAACAATCTACAATAACAAATCAATATAAAAGATAAAAGAGGCCCAATTAATTGATTGCAAACTATACCCAATCTGTAAATACGGTTTTCACGCATTCCGTTGGGATTTACATAATTCCAATACCTTACATTACACTAATTTACATTCCCACACAATGTAAAGGTTGCTTCATCGGTAAAACATATCTTTTTAACGAAATTGCCGCTATCTACAACTTTTTTAATCATTAGTTTTAGTTTTGAGGTACTAACAGGCACCGCTCGTTTTTTTGTGCATAAATAATAAACCAAAAAATGTTTTTTTTTCTATTCTATTCTATTTAGCGAGTACTTACAGCTTTTTTATTGCCGCTTCTCGCATCCCAACTGCCAGCGGTTGTTATGATTTTGATTACCTTCACCTTAGTTCTCTTCATCTCCACATTGATATCCTGGAACCATTTTTTCATCACCTCTATACTCTGTTTTTAAACCAGGAGGAGTAAACGCGAAAGTCAGATTTACACTAGGAAAAATCACCAGAAAATATCACTAGATATTTTGGCGGTAAATTTAAATTAATAATTATTATTTATTTATTTACTTATTATTGTATTTATTTTCGTTTGTTATCGTCAACACTAAACATACAAATTAACATTGAAGTTATGAGTGTATTTATTTCAAAATATAATAAAGAAGGGTTTAAGAACACAAAATTTACAATAATGACACGAAACTGTCGAATTGTCAATAACCTAACCTTCAAATTCAAAATTGCCTGTGTGTGAACCTTCCTCGCATTCAACCAACCACGTGCAAGGTCAATCTGGTGATAAATTTAAAATACTCCTCCTGGTTTAAAAACAGAGTATAACACATTTGTTAAATATCTATTTCTAGGACTTTTATGGTAACATGTTTAACGAAAATTTAAACGTCATTGTGACATAAATGAATGCCAAAACATGATATAACAAAATTTGCTGTCAATCTTACCAACTGTCATCAACTTTACAAGAATTTGACATGTATTAACTAAATTATATAAAACAAACCAAATTATTAATGCCCAAATCCCTGATAAATGAATAACTTTAATAAATAAATAAAAAAGAAAGAGAAACCTTGCGATTAACACCTCTAAATCCAATTACAGAAAAACATTTCAGCTTAACTGGATATGTTATAACTATAACATTAAATGAAAAAGATAACGAATTAATATAGATAACAAAGGATCCATATTACTTTTAGTCGGTGTATTAATAATACACACATCAAGATTCCATATGGATTTTACGACACTTTTAATAATTTGCATTACAATCAATTTTTTTCTAGAAACCTGAATTTTTGCAACTTATTCCACTACATTTTGACCTTGCCCTACTTTCAATGCAGACAACAAATCATTTACACTTTACTTAAATTATCTCTGAAAATAGAAATACAATGAATTTAATGTTTTGTAATTCAATAACATTTTATTGGACAAATTCGATGACTTTCCATAATCAAAAAATAATGTGTTTATTACGTTTAAGAAGTACGTTTCGCAACTTTTAACTTTCTTCTTGTCAAGAATCTTATATAATCAAGTAAAAAGTGAAGCGATCCGGGAGTCTTAAGAACTCCCCACAACAAGAGAAGTAGACGAATGAAAAGTATGTCATCGGTTTTGTTTATAAGAATCAGTTACGAAATCAACCATCATCACCATTAAGTTACGAAATACAAAAAAGGAAGAAAAATTAATAACAAAAGAATTATAAAAAATGCACATTCACCAAAAGAATTTTTATTATAGCTGACGTAGAAAAAAAAATTAGGTGAAGAGTATTGATTGCAGAAAACGACCTTCTTCACTTTTAATTTTAATCGAACCGATCTAATTAATTAGTTAAAAAATAGTCGGAAGGATAATCGATTATGTAAAATAGTGAGGTAAATTGGAAATTGTTGTTAAATAGGGCATTCGAGATTCAGGTTTTTTACGTAACACATTTATTAAAACGAAACACGGAAACTGAATTATAAAGAAATCGAAAAATAGGAAGAAAGAAAAAGTGTGTTTTCATAGCAAAGTCCGAAATTATAAATTTTACTTTCTATTTGCTGGTTAAACAGTTTTTTTTTCACGACACAATCTTATCGTTAGTAAAAGACTTTTTTATTATGAAATAAGAAGCAGCCTTGAAATAAGAATCAAAATGAAAAAAAAAACATTACATTTTCACACATTCCAAAATAAACACTTCTATTTCTCTTTATTTTTCTTTTTTGCAATCCAAAGTGAAAGTGAACATGTTACTCTTCTTTCAATTAATCTTTATTACGACAAAGAAATTTAATTTAATCATTAATTTTTTTTATTCATCTTTAATTAATTGACTTATGATGATTAAGTCAATTGATGATTAAGATGATTAACTTATGATGATTAATGAATAATTAATAGATTTTTAGTTTCTCAGTAAACAAGTCTGGTACTCATTAAAATGTTAGATGTTACGTACAAATCGTGTGTTTGCTATGGTTTTGTGTCTTTAATTATTCATTTAGCTTAGAATTGGTACTGAATAATTTACTATTTATAGTCAAATTAATCTGTTTTTTAACCATATCGGTGTCAACATTATTTTATTAAACATTTTCGTAACTTTATCCATATATTAACCTCCCAGTAGTGCTTACACAGTTACACTCGGCGGGTTGTGAGTCCGAAATGAATTAAAACTAGAACTAACACTAAATTTTTCTAGTTCTTGGTTTAGTGTTAATTTCAATTTATTATTTTTTTTTAGATCCAAGAGTAAACGATTGGTGGATGATGTCAAGTCCGTTACCAACATTAGCAATATGCATTTTTTACGTTTATTTTTCAAAGGTTTTAGGACCAAAACTAATGGAGAATCGAAAACCGTTAAATCTTAGGAATGTTTTGATAGTTTATAATTTTCTTCAAACGGTGTTCAGCTTATGGATATTTTACGAAGTAAAATGTTAATACTTAAAGTGTACTTTAAGCTAAACTTTTCTTTTAAATTTGTTTTAGTACTTAATGAGTGGTTGGGGAGGACACTATAGTTTTAGGTGTCAACCTGTAGATTATTCTTACAGTCCAATGGCTTTAAGAGTAAAAACGTTTAAATAAAAATTTAAAACAAAACTAATTTTCCTTATTTTAGATGGCAAATATTTGTTGGTGGTATTACTTTTCGAAATTCACGGAGTTTTTCGATACGTTATTTTTCATTTTAAGAAAGAAAAATAGTCACGTGTCGACTTTACATGTTGTTCATCATGGTTGTATGCCATTTTCGGTTTGGATGGGACTTAAATTTGCTCCAGGTAATTCTTTTTAGCTCCTATTTATTTATGTATTTATTTACCAACATTTTTTTTTATTAGGTGGCCACAGTACATTTTTTGCATTGCTCAATTCATTCGTACACATCGTAATGTACTTTTATTATATGGTCGCAGCGATGGGGCCGAAATATCAAAAATACATTTGGTGGAAAAAATACTTAACAACGTTCCAAATGGTACAATTCGTCGCTATTTTTACACATCAATTCCAAATTTTACTATATAAAGATTGCGATTATCCAAGAATCATAATGGTTTGGATTGCGATTCATGGAATTATGTTTTTATTTTTATTTAGCGATTTTTATAAAATTAAATATAGCAGAGAAAAAAAGGCTGTGAAAAATTCTGGTTTTTGTATGGTAAGTAGAGTTAATAAATATAATAAAAAAGTATTCTTTTTAAAAAAACGTTAATAAGCATAGACATATAGGCAACCCAAATGACACTAAAAGTCATGTCCGTTTACTTATTGATTATGTAACCATTAAAAATTTAATTTCGTTAAAAAAAACTCAAATAAGAAGTCAAAATTGATCTCCACAAAGTAGAATGATGCTGGAGGTGGTTGCTGGTTCATTCAACGATTTTAATGACTTGACAAGGCAACCAAATTTCTGTATTATTTAGCCGTTTAATGTGTTCCCCAGGTTAGCCATCTAGGCCCTTTACTGTTTAATATTTATGTTAATGACATATTAAACGACTCGTCGTTAATTATGCCCAATGTTTAATGTACGCTGACGATTTAAAACTCTATCTCCGTATCTCATCACCTCTTGATTGCTCTAGATTGCAATCTGATTTAGATAATCTTCATGGTTTTTGCTTAAATCGCTTTTCATTAACCACTTAAGCATCTCGAACGAGACCCTCTCGCGCATCAAATGTGTTCCGATTTGCGCTATCCCGAGAAAATCAATCCCTGGCATTAAGTGGTTAAACTTATCAAAGTGTAAAAATGATATCCGCTGGATTTGTGTCAGCTGTAGTTGTGCTTTTTGTTTTTGGCCAGTAAATCAGTGAAGCATAGGCGACCATGGGTCTGTTTATTGCTACGCAGGCCCAGTGAGCCATTCGTGGTTTAAGACCACAGGAGCTTGCGGCTCTGGTTACCCATGATGGCCTTTTTCCTCACCTTCACTATGTCGGAGATCCAGTTTAACTTACTGTCTAGTACAAGGGTGGCCAACCTCCTTGATACGAGCTTGTTAAGTATTAGTAGTATATACTAAAAAAAGGGGAAAAAAGGAACTTGGGTACATTTATCGAGAGCCAGAAATAATCCTTCAAAGAGCCGCAGCTTGCCCACCATTGGTCTAGTATGACTATTTCGATTTATTATTTGTTTGGATTAAAGTTGAGCCCATTGCTTCTGCACCAAGTGGCAGTAAGTAGTAGGGCTTTCTGCATTACTTGGGTTATGATTGTGTCATATTTACATCGCATTGTAATTTGTGCCTCAGTATACAATAACTATTTATGTAATTACATCGTTGCTTGTAAGAATAAAACCGAGGGAATTCCTCGATCGCGTTGTATCTTTAAGCAACTTCACTCTCGGCCGCAAGCATCCTCGGCTTTATTTACCTGACAAGCAATGTAGTTATGATTATTGTATACTAAAGAAGTGAAAATATGTTTCTGCTAATTGAATTAATATTTTTAATTTTTAAATTAAGTTAATAATTTTGTATTTAGATTGTGGATACTGACGATAATAAGCAACATCAAAATGGTGAATCAAAGATGAATGGAATACAAAATAATTACATGGATAGTGAATTTTCAAAAGTCGCCTGTTATTCTAATGGAGTAAATAAAGGGTTCGTTACTCAAAACGGGAAAAAAATCGATTAGTGATTAGATAATAAATCAAATTTACAATAATTAATTAATTCCTCATTATTTTCTTTCTTAGTACTTGTTTTCTTTGTTCTTTATTTGTTGATGTGAAAGGTACAAGTACTTTTTTGTATAGTTTTGTGTAGATAGATTTATTTATTAGCGATTATTAAAAAAAAAATTTTTTTTTTATATGAACTCTCTTGTAATTTTCCTTTTTTTGTAGTATTTTTTTATGAATCACTCAGGGGTCTCCGTACCAAGTTATAGCTAAAAAACAATTTTTTTTGTAAGTTTATTTAATTGTTTAAATTTTTTTTGCCGTCAGTGCCTCTAAATCTATAGAAAAAATTAAAGAGAGAACAAAACAAGTTAAGTCTTAAAAAGTACTTATTTATTTAAAACAAAGTGGGTGGAAAAGTATTTTGCAATAATAAAAAAAAATAAATTAACGAGGATAAATACATTATCTATTAATTAGGTGCTCGGTTATTTTGAAAATTGTGTTAATACGGAAAAAGGCATTGTTAATTTTAAAGTTCTAGTTTCTTTTCTGTAAATAGAATAGTTATGTGGGTTATTTTTACAATTTCAGACAATCGATCATTATAATTGCTTAAAATAATTTAAAAAGTAACCCCGTAACTTAATTAAAATTAAAATTGTTTATATTTAAAAAAATATTATTTATAAGGTACTTTGAACGTGTATACTATTTTTGTAAATAAAAACGTGAAATTAAGCTTTATATAAATTTAGTTTCGAATTTCCCGCCAATTTAGTTCTTTTAATTCCCACTTAATTTGGAATCAAATCACCTTTGAATTTTGATAGAAAAAAATGAATTTTCCTGTTATCTAAGTAATCAAAAGTATGAGTGTATTATTAAAAGAAGCTATTCCTTTATTCCTTCAGGAATATTTAGGTCCTCCAGGTAAAAATTAAAATTTTTTCTATCATTTTTATCTTTGTTAACCAACATAACCTAAAAAATTCAATTAAAACAAACGTCAAGTATCTATCATAAGAAAGTGAGGTTATGTTTTAATTTTTTTAATTCTTTTTTAAAGATAACAGGGTTAAGAATTGGATTTTTCTAAATTCGCCGTTATGGCTTATTGGGATTTTGACCGTTTATTTTATCACTTTGGTCGGATTAAATAAATTGATGGAAAAGAAGGAAGGCTTAAAATTAAGAGGCTTATTAACTGTGTATAACTCGTTCCAAGTGTTGTATTCAGTATACATTTTTAAGGAAATTATAACTTCAGCGTATTTAAATAATTATAAACTACAATGTACCAATTACGATCCAAACCCAACACCATTAAACATGAGGGTAAGGAATAAATTTCAAACAAATTAATATTTTTGATAAAATTAATTATTTCTTTTAGATGGCAACAGCTTTTTGGTATTTTTATGTTTCAAAAATTATCGATCTTTGCGATACGGTAAAATTTTATCATTGATTTATATCAAAAAAGTTAAGTTAATTATCTTTTAGGTGTTTTTTGTTTTAAGAAAAAAGAGAAATCAACTTACGTTTTTGCACATATATCATCACTCCACAATGATTTTCAATTGGTATCTAGGCACGTTGTATTCACCAGGGGGGCAAGCGTTTCTCAGCGTTATGTTTAACTCATTTATACACATCATAATGTATCTCTATTATTTATTAGCCGCAATTGGTCCTCACATGCAAAAATATTTATGGTGGAAAAAATACTTAACACAAATACAATTAGTAAGTATTAAGTAATTCTAAATTTAAAATTAACAAATTAATAAATTTTTGTTACAGTTACAATTTATCGTAGTAATGGTACATATTTTAGTTGGATATCGTAACAATTGTAAAGCATCAAACTGGTTATCTTGGTTTACTGTAATTTATTTATGGACTTTGGTTGTTCTATTTGCAAATTTTTATTATCAAGCTTACAGAAAGAAAAGCGTTATGCCTTCTGAAACTGATATTGATGAATCGACAACGAAAAAGGTCGATTTTAAAGCAGGAGGTGATTTTAAAATTGATTGAGAATAACATTAAAAAAATTCTATGTTTCATTTAATTTGTTTTTTTTATATATGTATAATTAATAAAGTAATTTAAACTAACCTGAACCAATAAAAAATTTCCACAAAGTTAAAAATATTTGCTAACATAACCTTAAAAATACAAATGAAACAAACGTCAAATACCTGTCATAGAAAAATGAGGTTATGTTTTACTTTTTTAGTTTTATAAAGATAACATTGTGAAGAATAGGATTTTTCTAAATTCGCCGTTACGGCTTATTAGGTTTTTGGCCGTTTATTTTATTTCTTTGGTCCGATTAACCAATTTAATGAAAAAGAAGGGATAAAACTAAGACGTCCAGATAAAAATATTTGCTAAATAACCTCAAAAGTCACAAACGTGAAGCATCTGTCATAAAAAAATAAGGTTATGTTTTACTTTTTTTTAATTTTATAAATAACATTGTGAAGAATTGGATTTTTCTAAATTCTTAAGTAATTATAATGTACCAAGAAACCAATATAGAAAGAATCGCCAAGGAAAGGATTTTAAAGCAGACGATTCTAAAATTGATTGAAAAAAATTCATTGTTTCATTTAATTTGATTTTTTATAAATGTATAATTAATAAAGTAATTTAAACAAACCTGAACCAATAAAAAAATTCCACAAATTTCAATTACAGTTCCATTAATCGATCAGAATCCATTAACACCTCATTCATAACCTCACTTCCTTCTAAAACTTTATGATTATATCCAACAATACATCCTTTCAACTTCGATCCTGATTCAATAATAGCCCCATCGCAAATAATACAATTTTCAATAGCAACTTTTTCCTTAATAGTAACATTATTCATCACAATTGAATTAAAAACTCTTGAAAAACTTGACACTTCAGTATTCGCTCCAATATTAGCATTTTTAAATGATGTTTTCTCTGATAATTTTGCTGATTCCCAAATAATACATTTTTCGTCGACTTGATTCGATTTAATTTCAGCTTTTGGATCTATTTTAATCAACTCAAGTTTATCATTAATTATTCTTGGCCAACGATCAATAATTTCTTTATTTATTAACCAATAATTTTGCAAAGTGTTTACTCGTAATCCAAAAACGTTATTTGGAGCAATATGGGCGTAACACCTAATTGTATCACCATGATAAGTTGGTTTTAAATCACCAGAATGGTCGTTATAAGTAGCATTATTTCTAATTAAATGATAAATATCATTTTCTTTTGAAAAATGAAAAATATCATTAGCATCTTGAGTATTAACAACAGAAACATCCATATCAGAACATTTTTTTTGTTTATAAAGTTGTCGTTTTATAATATGAGGTAGTAATTCGCCTTTTATGGTGGATATTGATTCCTCATGTTTCAAATATTTTAAAATCCAATTTTTTATGATGTAAACGTGTGAATCTACGAGGTTGCTGTAGGCTAATATTTGGCGATGTTTTGATAATAAAGCACGTTTTAATGGTACATCAGTTTCAAAATCGCTAGCGGATGCTAAAAATATGATTCTGTTCGTTTTTGGGTCTAAACCAAAAATATCCTTCTCTAAAAATAAAAAAATATATAAACCAACTTAAATATTAACTAAAAAATTTTTTTTACCTGGTTTATATTTTGATTTAGGTCCAGGTACCAAAAATCCTTTTTCTAATTCTTGGGGTTGAAATAATAAGACGCAAATAGCGGCTTCATGTCTTCGATATAAATCAACAACTCGAATTAAGCTGGTGTCCGTAATTAAATCGCAAGATAAAACTAATAAGTCTGCAGTGATGTTTAATTTATCATTTAAAAATCTTAATGAATCTGCTGTTCCAAAGTCTTCGTTGGGGGGAATAGGAACATACTCAATTTTGATGGTAAGTTCTAATTTTTCCAGGTTATTTTGTATCTCAGCTTTTTGATTTTCATAAACAAGGAGGATTACATCGGAGAACCCCGAATTTTCGAGTTTAATCAAAGGATACCAAACCATAGGTTTTCCACCGATCGGTAATAAACATTTTGGTTTATTTTCCGTTAATTCGGTTATCCTAGAACCTTTACCAGCTGCTAAAATTACCGGTTGAAATTCTTTCAACATGTTTCTTAAGGTTATTACAAATGTCAAAATTAACATAACCTCAATTTTATTTTAGGTCGTCATTGTTTGAATCGTGAAATATAAAAGCGATTTAAAAGAAATTTTGTTTCTAATCTTAAAATTAATAAATAATTAATGGATTGGCTATTCGTTTTAGAATAAATAAAAAGAACTTTCAAAATAAAATTTAATTTTCTCAAACTTGTTGGATAGAAAATCCCTAAACGCTTAAAAAGTAAAAAGTACCCAGCATGTTATGTTATTAAACAATCCAACACTTTTCAATCGATTTAAGTCAGGAGGTTTTTCGTGATTTAAAATGGGTCGTAGAAAATCGAAAAGAAAGCCGCCATCGAAACGTAAAGCGATAGAACCTTTAGACCAACAGTTTAATTGCCCATTTTGTAACCATGAGAAATCCTGTGATGTTAAAATGTAAGAACTTGTTTTGTGTTCTAAATTGGTTTACTTTGTTTGTAATTTTAGGGATAAAGGTCGAAATGCTGCTCGGATAACATGTCGAGTTTGTCTGGAGGATTTCCAAACAACAATAAACTTTTTATCTGAACCTGTTGATGTTTATAACGATTGGGTCGATGCTTGTGAATCAGCCAATTAAATGAATTACATTTTCTTTTTACTTTAAGGTCTCAATATTAAAAAGATTTTTAAATTCGTATATTAATAAGTTTGGTTATGTCAAAAAAAAATAATAAAAGTAGGGTTATAATAAATGTTTTTTATAAAAGGTTTTATTTTTGCTTTAATTCAATTAACAAAAATGCATAATTACAAAAGAAGTATAATGTCGCAAATAAAATTTAAGTAAGAATAATTAGGAAGTAAGTAAATAATCTCAAAGGTTTTGGGGTGAATTTTTATAGGTTAGGATTTTTTAAGATCATTTTTTGCACCTTAAAATTAATTATACAACTATAAGTATTCTAAACTTTACCTAATCTGTACTTGTTCACTGTAGAATGTTTTTGTAATAGCACTAATATTCTAAAAAAGAAAATTAATTGATTTATTAATAAATCGTAATGAATTTTTGAACTATCTAAAATTATCACTGCTATTATTCATATATATGTTTAGTTTTAAATATAATAATGTTATTTATATATAGATAACGATATTTTAGGATTTTAATTGATTAAACAAGAAATTTATAACCAAAATAATGGAAAATATAAATATTCTTTAATATCTTATTAATTTTTAATTAATTACAGTTGACTAGTTGTTTTTAGCATATTTATAAATTAGAAAAAATTTCGCCACTTTGTGCGAAGATTTCATGAAAAAGATAAAAATGTTTAGAAAACAAAAAAAAAAAGATAAAAAAATAGGCCACAAAACCCAAGTTTAAACCTGTTTTTTTTATATGTAAATTTAAATTATGTATCACACCACAATCATCAACATTTTTTTCTTATTATTCAATATTTCTTATTTGCCATAAAAAGCTTTTTCTGCAAAAGGTTTTTGAACAAAATTATTGTTTGATAACCTTGTACAGTTTATTTTTAATATTTTTATCTTGTGTTAAATAGCTTACTTAATCTAATAGCAAAGAGAGGAAACCAATTACACAAAAAAATAATTAATCCAATAAAAAACAAAACATAAAACAGGCATAATTGTTAATTTTTTCCTTTAACGCATCCCAGATTTCGAATGCGCAATCAACCACTGCAGTGTTATATCGATGTTATCTTTCTCTTTACACGATATTGAATAACAACAGATTTCCCTATCTTGAATTGCAGATAAATTCCTGAAAAATAGTTTTATCATATAAATTCCCTTTGGTCAAAATGAAATCTAATTAATTGTACATACATTCTTTCAATTAACCCGTTTTCATCTAAAGCATGGGGTAAATCTCTTTTATTCCCTAAAACCAGAACCGGAATTCCAGCAACTTGCGGTTTATCTAAAAGATTGTGTAATTCGTTTCTTGAAGCTTCAATTTTTTCAGGATCAGCAGCATCAACCATGTATCTATATCAATTATTCATTTATATCATCAACAAGTTTTATGTAATTATAAAAAAGATTAAAAAAACTTACACAATTGCATTTACACCTCGACAATATCTTTCCCACATTGATCTAAACCTTGGTTGGCCCCCAATATCCCAAACTTTAATCGTAACGTTACCTTTCGTAATTTTTCTCATGTTAAATCCAACAGTTGGAATCATGTCTTCACTAAATTGACCTGACTGAGTTAAAGAAATACTCTTTTAAATTTAACGTTCTAAAATTAATTTAATTTTTAATTTTCACCGCAATAACGTTGACGAAAGTTGTCTTTCCGGAAAATTGGAGACCCACAAGTGTGAGTTCCATCTCTTCCTTCCAAAAGAGACTCCGAAACCAATCCAATATGCGATTCATTAGCGCCAACATTTTTAACGTTTAATGAGTTATTACTTATCTTGTTCAATTTGCTGATTATATATTTATTAGAGGAGAAATTCGCCGTCGTCCCTAACCCCACGGTTAAAACGAAATTAACACAATGACATTTAGGAACAAACCCAACCCGATGTGTCACTAACAAACTGTCAGTTTTATTTTCAAATTACAGCGACATCTAACGGATACTACTAAAATTAGTAACGTCAAATATAATTAATCAATATATTTTAGGTTTTTTTATAATTTATTTCGATCACTAAAAATGTGATAAAATTGTATTTTGTGTCATGTTATTATAAATAAATAATTCTTAAGATCTAACAGATTGCGCGTTATTAAAAAAATAAATTTACATTATTCAAATTGATTCAATGATAAAGTAGATTGTTAATTTATTGATGTTATTATGTCAATAATAATTATTTTTAATTATAAAATTAAATAAAAGAAACAAAAAAAGGATGATTTAAATAATATTTATTAAATATCGTAAAAATTATAAATAATTTCTTTTAGTATCAACAGGTCTTCATTATATTATAACTAGATGGAGTTCGTAACATATAATATAGTATCATATAAATCCGTCTCTTTTCAATTCATTGAAATTAATTGTGTAAAAAAGGATGGTACAATACTATGTACTAAGTTGGTTTATTTTTTCTTTTCAGATAACCACTTTACCGACGACGTCCGTGAAAAATAGGTTATATTTCAGTTTGTTTCGGACTGTCACGGTGTGAGGCTGCTTTTTGTTGGTGAACCGATTTTCCGCGCGTTAATCGTCAACGAGATGGCATCGGCTTTTAAGAACTTTAACAAGTTCGGCAGTGTCCTGTCCACATTGAAAAAAGTTTCTCCAAGGAATTATTACACTTACGTAAAAGAACCTGCCCAGCCGATCAAAGGGAAAGAACCGAAATGGTGTTCAGCTCAAGAAGCTTTCACAGATTTGCAATCAGGTAAATAAAAAGAATTCCAAATATAAAGTGTTTCTTTTAATTTAGATTAACATTTTGTAGTTTGAGAGATAAATGTGACGTACACTAAATGTAATTATTAGTTATGTATTCGCCAAGGTCATTATTATATAACTTTAAAAACAGGTTGGAAATTCTGTATTTTTTGAGGTTATGAGATGATAAAATTTGATTTTTTTAAGGTTACGTCTTTTTTTGTTGAATTTGTTTTTGAGATGGTGTTGATTTTAAAATAGTTTCGTGTCAATTTGAACTTTGATCTCTACGCGTTAACAAGGATTTGATTAATTTCGATGTTTGCTACTTGTAGCCTTAAGTTATAAATAGTTCTGTATTTCGTATTGCATTTTTGCTTTCCCTCTTCTTTAGGAGATGGAAAAATCAATAAAAGTATGAATGAAAATGGCACGAAACTTAACACCACAATTGTTATTGGAGGGGGCTTCTTTTGCGTGTGTTTTATCGATTTATTAAAAATAATAAGTTAAAATGTAACTTTTGATGCTTTAAATGTTTTGGCACGTTATAAAAATGATGTCTGCATAGTATTCTATTAGGATATGAAACAAAAATATCAAACGCCTGGCGCCCGAGTTTAGACTTTGAAAGTCCAAAGGACTTTTTTGACAACCTTTGCCAAGGTAAAAGTAATAGTGAGAAAAATTGGAGAGCGCTCAAAAAACACTCAATGTTACTAAAACACTTTAATTCTGAGTATTTGTTTATTGTAAATATTATGAAAAGCAAAAAAATGTTTTAAAATATGTTGTCTGGTTAAAGGTTTCATTTTCGGTACGATAAAAACTGTTCAAAGTTCAACGACGATAATAATTCGCATTGTTTAAGAGTTCTAAATAAATTTTAAGAATAAATTTACACTTTCAAATATTTATTTTCTTGAATGAAGAATTCGCGAAATAATTCTATTGGCGTTTTGCCCTGTTTTTGGCTATTTTAAAGGAGAGTGTCTAATCTAACGCCCCATTTGCGTCATCGATTCTTTAGTCGGTGTAGTCGAAGGGCAAAGTAGAGGGGATTTCGGGAACAAAGTACATACTTACGCACGATGCAGGTTTTTTGTTTAGCTTCGAAAATAGGTTATTTTTGAACACCGAGATCTGGGAAAATTCGAAATTCGCGGATTAGAAATAAAATGATTAAATTAGGAATGTTTGAAAATGCAATAATTTGATTTCAAATCAGTATTACCTTAAATACAGTATGCAAAAACCACCTCAATTAACCACTAAACTATCGGAATCGATGCCGAGGTGTCTTAACTGCTGTTGTTAAGCAAACAGGCTTCCAAGAAAGTATTAGTGTTATTCCAAATGTATAATTTTCTTAGTTATTATTAAAGTTTGTACAGTTGGAATACGGTTTTTGCTGTCAATTGTAATTAAAATGTCCTTTACCGTTGTCGAACTACAGAGGTAACCAATATACCTATTTTTGCTTTTACTCCTCTTAAGTGAAATAAATCATCAAAATATTTGAAATTTGTACTACCATTTTTGAAGAATTCGTGATTTCCTAATATTTCGGAGGGTGTTCGAATACCGATTTTGCATACTGTTTGTGTAAAGATAAGGTATCAGCGATGTAACACAATTTTCGCTCCTATAAGGTGACACTTCTTTTTGATATGCAAATTTCAACTATTTCAGAAAAAAGAATTTTTAGAAAAAATTAACCTGGACTTGATAACAGTGAACCCGCAATTGGTGCTCATTTTTAGAAGATAACTATCGAATATAAATATAAAAAACGTCAACATTTGTTTTAATTTGACATTTAGGTTATAACTCAAAAGTTTTTATTAAGTTCACGTGTCATAGCTGCCAACTTAAATTTTGAGTTTAATTATCTTATAAATTTTAATTACTCTTTTAGTGTTTATAAATTTGAATTAATAACTGAAATTATTTGATGTTAAAAAGATTACAGACACCGAGAACGTTTTTTATTATTTTTTTAAAGCGATAACCAACGTTATTAAAAATCCAAAATAAAAAATGAGGTTAAGAATCTGTCAATGTTTTGTCAAAGTTTTGCACCGAGATAAATTATAAATTATTTATTACATTATTTACACTGTCGAAGGGTTAAGTACGTTACAATTCCAATTAAACAGATAAAAATAATCAAGTTTATTGTCGTGATTATTAATAAACTTGTCGTATTCACCATTAAAATTTCGTAATGTAATTTCTGAATAATACTTTGAGTGGTTTTGAAACCATAATTTCTTCTGAAATCTAATTTACTACGTAGTGACAATGTCAATCAATTTAATCAAATTTAACTAATCATTCCAAGTTACCATATTCGATATTTTCGTCACGAAGTTATCGATAAGATAAGCTGAAGGAAATTAATCGGTGTAGCTTAAACCAAAATATGCAGAACGATATTGTAATTGGAATTAGATATGATGTGATTTGTCCTTTATCACGGAAAATAAATACTCTTTACATTTAAATGCGCCATCTTTTGATGGCAAGCCATTTCAAATGACTATTTAATGAATACAAGTCGATTGTAATAACTTCTAATAAGTGTTAATATTTGTGAAATGTATATACAAAACGGGTAAATAAAAGACTGTTTAGCCGTGCGTTGTGTATTTTTATTGAATTAAAAGTAGAACTAACACTAGACCTAGAATTAGAAACATTCGGGTTTAGCCGCACGTCTCTAAAGACGGCTAAACCCCAATGTTTCTAGTTCTAAGTTTAGTTTTAGTTCTAGTTTTAGTCCAATAAAGATATACAACAGTCTAATGTTGAATAACAATTAAAACTAGAACTAACATTTGACCTGGAACTAGAAACATTCAGGTTTAGTTGTCTTAGGTTCGTTACTACCATCTTCTGGTTAAGCTATCTAAGGGATTATTACCACGATTAGACTATTTTACGCGCTCTGATTGGCTAGTAGATGGGTTTATCTATAAGATAAATTTATCTAAAAGATGGTAGTAATGGACCTTAATAGACGAACGGCTAAACCCTAATGTTTCTAATTCTAGTGCTAGTGTTAGTTTTAGTTATTCTGCAAATATCTGTGCTTATGATGAAAGAGGGTTAAATTTAATAACTTCTAACTAACGCCATCTTTTAACCGACGCATGTAATTGTGTCTAAATACATAAAAATGTTAAATATTGAAGTTCTATAAATATAATTTTTCAGGAAATACGGTTTTTGTGCAAGGAGCAGCCGCAACACCCGTTCCGTTACTGGATGCAATGACGGAAGTTGGCAAGCAAAAAAAATTAAAAGACATCACAGTTTGTCACATGCACACTGAAGGAAATGCAGGATACCATGATAAATCCTGCGAAGGTATTTTCAGGTTTGTTAACAACAACAGAAAAATCAAAGGAAAAATTGTAATTTTAACTGATTAATATTAAACATTTATGAATAAAACTTGTTTTTAATTACATTCTACATCATTCTTATTTGCAGGTCATGTTCTTTCTTTATGGGCGGAAATGTAAGAAAACCGGTAGCTGAAGGTCGCGCGGATGCCATTCCTATTTTCTTATCAGAAATTCCTCTTTTATTTTATAGAGGAATCGTGAAACCGGATATCGCAGTTATTCACGTAAATAAAATCAATTTTTTTTTGTATTTTTTCTTAAAATTTTTATGTTAAGGTTTCTCCCCCGGATAGTCATGGTTTTTGTAGCATCGGCACCAGTGTTGATTGTGTCCGAGCTGGTATGATTCATTCCAAAATCATTGTTGGTAAGCAAATATCAAAAAAAAAAATTTTTATATTAACATAATTTTTGTTAGCATTGGTAAATAAGCAAATGCCAAGAACATTTGGAGACAGCATCATCCATATAAGTCACATTGATTATGCTGTGAAACACGATGGACCTTTACCAACGCACGGTGGTCGCCCCCCAAGCGACGTCGAAGCCCAAATCGGTAAATTAATCGCTGAAAATTTAATCGAAGACGGCGCTACCCTCCAAATGGGTATTGGAAACATCCCCGATGCCGTCCTTGCTCAATTAACGAACCACAAAGACTTGGGGATTCACTCCGAAATGTTCGCTGATGGTGTTGTTGATTTGGTTAAACTTGGTTGTGTGACAAATAATAAAAAACAAAAACACCAAGGAAGAGTTGTTGGCTCGTTTTTGATTGGGACGAAAAAGTTGTATGATTTTGTTGATAATAATCCGTTCGTTGAAATGCTTAGAGTCGATTATGTAAATAGTACAAGTATGTAAATAATTAAGACATACATAAATGTTTTTTTTTGATTAATTTTTTTAATTTAATTTCAGGAATTATTGCTGAACAACCAAAAATGACCGCGATAAATTCTTGCATTGAAATTGATTTAACTGGACAAGTTAATTCAGATTCAATCGGTACAAGAATGTATTCCGGATTTGGGGGACAAATAGATTTTATTCGAGGGGCCGCGGAATCTTTAGATGGATTGGGAAAACCAATTATTGCTTTACCATCGGTTACTAATAAAGGAGAATCAAAAATTGCCCCCGTTTTAAAACAGGGTACAAATTTTGTTGTTAGAAAATTTCGTTTATATTAATAACGTTTTTTTTATTAGGTGCTGGTGTTGTAACAACTCGTGCTCACGTTCATTATGTTGTAACCGAACATGGAATTGCTCATCTTTTTGGAAAATCATTAAGACAACGAGCTCACGCTTTAATCCAAGTCGCTCACCCCAATCATAGAGAAAGTTTAGAAAAAGCCGCCTTTGAACGTCTTAAGTGTATGCCAACTCCTTAAAGTAATCGATTAGGTACTTTATTAAAATTTTAGAAAGAAAAATTAACAAATTAATGATTTCATTTTTGTTGTAGGTACAAAAATCAGTTACATGTTTCGAAACATGAAGCTAGGTATTAAAAATATTGTTATCAGGTTATCTTCGTAAGCACACATACCATGTGATGATGAAGTTTTATATCAATATACACAGGATTAAAAAAAAAACGTTTTAATAGCAATTAATTAAAATTGGACAAATCGAACGATTTTTAAAGATGGTTTAGTGTTTAAAAAAAGCCTAAGGAAAAAATTTGGTTATTTTTATTGATATTTTATCATAGCATTTTATATGTACATTGATTATATTTGTTATTTTTATTTCTGTTTTCATTTTATATACCACCAAGAAGAAATCGTCATGGCATAAAAAGTGAATATATCATAAAAATTTTATAAAATGTCGAAGTTTAGGTAAATAAAAATTAATTAAATAACAATAAAATCATTCATTTAAGTCTTTAAGAGTTTTATTTATTAATTCAATACTCCACTTAATGATCTTAACCATCAGCTCTTTGAGTCAGCTTTTAACACAATTCAGTAAAATTCAAAATTTCGAAGAATTTTTCTTAAACAAGTCTAGAATTTTTGACACACTCGAAACTTTCTAGTTTAAGTGAGTACTTCGAACCAAGGTTTGTAAAGCGTATTGTAATACGCTTTACAAACCTTGCTTCGAACCAGTTTCCGAAGAAGTTTGCAACATGGCATCCGAAACGTCAAACCTTTTCTTAAAAGACGTACCCGAAAGTTTTTAATGTTAGTTCTAATTTTAGTTCAATTAACTCCGGCCGTGAAAGCCTTCGTACTTATAAATTGCAAGTGTCTTCACAATTTTAAAGTTATTTTTAAAAATTAAATTTACAGTTTCCTGTAAATTATGGCACTATAACCAAACATATTTCTCCAATCTATTAAATATTTCCGCATTAACAGTTGGTGTAATAAATATAATTATTTGTTTTTAAATACCAGGAAAATAATACTCCGTAATTTAAATACCGCCCCGTAATTTACAGGAAACTGTAAATTTCATTTCTTCGACGACACTAGATTTCGGCGACGTTTAGAAATTTTATAAAAAAAGTTTATCTTTATTCTAAAACAATAAGAAATAGACCTGTCGAACCTTATATTTTTGTAATCCTGTAATTATTTCCCAATAATAATAATTATTACAATTTAAGTTGATTTTACGATATTGTATTAAAATAATATTATTATATATGCATTTAATTTAAATTTAAAATAATTCCATATATTCGGTGTTGTGATAACACCGCCATCTAACAATAAAACCCAGAATATAGGATCAATAGCGAGAATACCCCCTGCTTTGTATGTGACCTTGATAAACGTTATCGGCAAGTTTGACATCTGATTTATATTGCCAACATTATTATTCCAATAAATCAAATTTTTTTTATTCCACTATCAGCGTGTTTACATAACTTCTTTTTAGATTTTTACATTATAAAAAAAAACGATGATTTTATATTATCAATAAAATTAATAATGACCCGATATCTTTATTGATTTACCATCGATAAATTTATTTTTCGTTAAGTTGGTATCACCTGAATCTATAGTTGGTATGAATTATCGCCACTTTATCTTATTTGTTCTGATAAAGCTGTTAATAATTATCAGTTTTCGCCCCAAAAGCACCTAGGTATGTGTGTTTTTTAAATTTTGTGAAGTCAAACTTAAAGCACATTGAGAACAATGTTTAGTAAATCGAAGAAAAAAACTAAAGAGTAAGTTATAAAATAATTTATTATTAAGATTTTTCTTAATTTTCTATAAAATGACTCATTCTTTTGTTGTTACTTATTTGTTAACCATTTATAGATATTATTTACTAAGTAGATAAAAGTAATCTTATCTATAATTTTTTTTATTTTAGAAATTCTTTAATGCCATTTAATACAAGTAGTTTTACTCAAACTCAAAACACTATTACAACTACGACAGGTGGGATTACAACAACAACGCGAATTGAAAGATCTTCATTTCAAGAATATCGTTCAAGTTCATCTATAACAAGTTCCTCACTCAATTCATCAAGTTCAGGATTCACTCGTTTATCCAATGATCGATCTTCATTGCCTAAATCGGCTTTTGGTAACCCCATTCATAATTACAATGCAAATACAAAAAGTGTTCCACCACTAAAATATAATTCCAATGAACTTCAAAAACGTATTGAATATAAACCAACAAATGATGCAAAACCATTTCCAACTACGAATACTAGTTTTGGTTCTCAACTAAATCAAATAAAACCGAGTGCAAGTAATGTTTTAAACTCTAGTAATTCAAATAATGTTCCTTTATCTAGATTTCAATTAAATCAAACAAACCCGAAACCAATTGTAACAACTTTCTCTAATGTAAATCAATTAAAATCCAATTTAAATGATTCCAAGAATGCTTTTAACAATGAATTGAATGAAAAATTAAAGATAAAAGTTAAAGCAACTGGAATTTATCTTGGGGATGGTTCGAAAATTCCAAGTTATGATACAAGATCATCAAGAAATCGTGGAAAATTATTATTAATTAACAACATTGATTTTAAAGACGAAAAGAAAAAGAGGAGTGGTGCTGAAGTTGACCAAGTAAATTTAGTAGCAGTTTTTAAACAAATTGGTTTTGATATTTTACAATATAAAAATAAAACTAAGGCTGAAACTGAACGTATTGTAAAATCGTTCGCTTCAGATTCAAGTTTAAAAAAATATGATATGTGTGTAACTGTTATTATGAGCCATGGTACAACAATCGATGCACAGACTGTGATCGAAACTACCGATGAAAAAGAATTACCAACTGAATGGGTTGTGCAACAATTTCATGGAGATATTTGTAAAGGAATGAATGGAAAACCGAAAATTTTTATATTTCAATGTTGTAGGTAAGTCAATAATTTCATTTTTTGCAAAAACCAGATTGTAATAATTCTTTTAAGAGGTGACAAATCAAATTCTGTTCTTCACACGGATGGAAAACCTTTTCAAGCGCCACGAAAAGTACAGGATATTCTAATAAGTTATTCAACTTTACCAGGTAATGCAACAAAATATTCTTTTAAATTTAATAAATGAATATGTTTTCTAGGTTTTGCTGCTTATCGTGACCCAACATTGGGTTCATGGTACATTCAAGGATTGTGTAAAGTATTTATGGAGCATGCCCATGATACCCATATAGAAGATCTTTTAAAAATTGTCGATGATGAACTAAAAAAAGTAGATGCTGGCCCCAATCATCGACAAACTAGTAATTATGACAATCGAGGTTTCAAAATTTGTTATTTAAATCCTATTAAATAAGTATTAATAATTAATCGAGAGAAATCTTAATATTTTTATTTTATTATGTATTGATTTATATTTGGTGTTTAATTTATTGTATTTTTATAAAAAAAATAAATAAAACTAAGTAGATTTAACTTTTTCTTAATTATTCTCACCACCTTCTCTGTGGTCAGTAAATTACATTACATTACATAGATTACATATTTGGTAGGCGGACCAACCCAAGGTTTATATATTAACTTATATATAAACCTTGGGACCAACCAACCTTGCACCGCGAACCTAAAAATCTCTGCAACCCGCAATGTTCTTAACAAACATTGCACATGCCTTGCTCAGTAAAAAATCATTCAGATTCTTTGGGGAGATAAACTGCGACATAACATGCTCATTTATGTTCTAGTCCTCCACACATAGTCGGCATTCAACATCGTCGGCTAGACCCAACAAGTTGAGGTGTGTCTTTAATCGGCAGTGTTCAGTAAAGACACCCATTAGAACTTTAATGCTGCTACGAGCAAGTCCTAAAATATTCTCGGGTTCCATAATGGCGATGTCGATAAACAGCTCAGCACGTCTCATTCCAGAAGAACAGGTCCACAGTAGGCGAAGTCTTTCTTCAATTTTATGTTTGGCCATCGCAAATGATATATGCCAACTGACTTTCGTGATAGCTCATCTGCCGCTTCATTGCCAGCAATCCCAGTGTGACCTAGGGCCCAGATCAAACAAACTCTGTTACCACAACTCAGTGTGTTTAATGTTCTTTTACAGTTATTAGCCGGAGCCGACACCGTTTTCACGGCCTGCAGCGCCTGGAGAGCGGCTTGACTGCCTCAGAAAAATCGTACTGTCATGTTCTTCACCCCTCTCTCAAGAATGATTCTAGCACCCAAGTCAATAGCAAATACTTCCGCCTGAAATACGGTACAGTACGTACCCAGGCTGTAAGCCTGCTTAATTGGAAGTGGGTGGCAACATACTCCTGCCCAGACACCATCCGGAGTTTTTGATCCATCTGTGAACATGCAAATATCTGCTTGAACTTTGATCCAGGACAATCTGGTATCGAGCATTAATCACTGATCAGTGCTTATAATGTCTTTGGCAGCCCGTTAGTAGGACATGTCGGAACAATTTTGAGCATTTTTCAGAACATCCATTGCTACTCGTTGAATTCGTGAAAGTTTACTGATCACTGAAGCCTATCGGACTTTCCTATACTAGGCTGGTCAGTAAATGGTTAATGTGCTGATTCTGGGCAATGTTCCCTGTGATTCCGCAATTTAATGATATGGAAAATCGAAGCGCTTCTAACTAATAAGTCTGCATCTATTTATGACTATAAAGGCTTATGTATTGAATTATGAAGGTATTTATCTCAGTTTAGAATGACTTTCTATAGAAAAAAAAACATGGTATGTAATCAGATAAAGTGCCATTTCCGATTACGGCATCTGATTGAAATTTAAAGGAACAAATACAATTGTGTTTCCACATATTCGTGCATACACACATTCATATAATCTATGACGATATAAAGATGTTAATTTCGATTATAAATTATTTTTCAGTTAATGTTTTTTTTTTAAATTCATTCTTATTCTTATATATAATCATTTCAAATGCAATGATTAGATTATAAAAGTCGATTAAAAAAGCGATAAGATATAAATTTTGCTAAACTGTTGATTCACTAGTTAATTTATGTTTTATAGTCATTCAGAAATTAGTGAAATTTTCCTATAATGTAAGTAAAAGTCAGCTACATATATGTCATTATTTTGTATAGGTTATGTTACAAATTTAAAAAAATCTAATAAAATTGATCATTTCTAAAATTATTAATATACAATTATTTCTAAATTATCCATTTAATTGTTGCAGGCCAAATCCAACCAATACAGGTAAGAAAAAAGTTAAAAAAAAATTTTTGTAATAAATTTGGGAAGTTAACTTTCTTATTTGAGGTTAGAATATTACCCTAACCTCAAAAAATTAGGTTTTATTATAAAGTTAAGTGTTGATTATTAAAATTTATATCCTTTCTGGTTAGCACATATTTTTGTTTTATACTTGTAAAAATATGTACAAAATAATTATTTTTTTAATAAAGGGAACCTTGAAACCGATTCTAAGGTGTGGAAATCACCTAGTAATCCCCCAACCGACTCAGCACCAACTCCACCAACTACAGAAAAGATCTCGTCTTCTCAACCAAAACGGAAATGTGTAATACTTTAAATATTAAGATAATTCCTTTTATTGTTTAATTAAATTTGATAGTTATGACTAAAATGAAACGAAAAAATTAAATGTAACATTAAATTTTATTACTTAAAAAAAGCTATTTTTTTCCTTTAACCTTATTTCTCATTCTACGGTTTTTCCCTGGCCTTTTATTTACTACTTTCCCTTTCCCCGTTTTTTTGCCTTTTCCACTTTTACCACGATAATAATCATCCATATTTGCGCTACTTTCCTTTGAATTTTCTTTCAAGCCACGTTTTTTACCTCCAAAACCAAACTTTTTATTTTTCATGTTACGCTTTTCCAAGGCACCCTTCCTTTTGCCACCCTCCAAAAAACTTGTATCATTCGTTAAACCTTTCCTTACTTTTTTCACCTGATTTAACATGTCTTTCTTTTCCTTTTGTCGTTCAATTTTTGCTTGGGTTTGTAATGCTTTACCTTCCTTTCGTTGCATTCGTAATTGTTTTACTCTTTCACTTTGTTGTTTACCTGCTTGTTCTTTAAGCAATCGTTCCCTAATTTTTTGCATATGTTCGTCAGTTTTAACCATTTCTGCAAAGTAATCTTCAGGTCTTTTTGTAGGAATTCCAAAAGCGTGTAATCTTGGAAAACATTGTAAAACAGCGCCTTGAGCTTGCCTTTGAAATATTAATTCTCGTTTAAACTCATTGATAATGGGATCTTCGCTCGGATCATATTGAGGCAATTTTCGATTGTTTTTTAATTGGTTTTGACGTTTTTCTTCGTGTTCTGTAACACGTACTTGCATTTCAGGTGCTATAGGTGCTGGTAAATTTACACAATCTAAAGTTTCAAGCCATGGTAGATCTAACGACATTTCCTTTTGTTTTTGCAACAAACCTTTCTAAAACAAAGATGAAATAAAATCACCAAATGATTATTATAGATTAATTCAGCTTACTGTATCGTTTGGGAATTGCCGTTTTGATTCGATTTTATTCAAACCTGGTTTTAACACACCATGTGCCAAAGCTTCTTGTAACTGCAAATTCAATTAGTTAAAAAAGGCAAGGTAAATGTCTATATATTATTTAAAACACTTACATCAACATCACTATTATCCGTTTCGGATTCACTCGAATTAAACTCAAAGTCACTCATTTTTAACAAATTTTGATTAAAACTAAACAAACCCACGTGTTGTCTTGTCCGGTGAAAATATCGACAGTTTAAAATTAAGTAATCATTACATAGATGGCGTTTATAAGTATATCTAAAAACCTTAATTATTTATCAATTTTAGTCAAAATCTATGTACTCCTTAACTCGTTGGGTATTAATCTAAAAAATACATTATAAGATATATAAATTAAAAGAATTTACGAAAAAAACCACATTTAATTTGTTAAAATAATCATGAAAATAGACGCGATCGTATTTACCACCTTCACATCAGTTACATTTAATTGTCATTTGTCGGTCGTGCGTTTTTATAGGTTATAAACAAACGTGTTATTTCTGATAATTTTAAAAATGGTTAAAAAATCGCAAAAACGGAAATTGCAAGACACCAAAGTTGAAGAAATAGTTGCGCTTCCATCAAAACGATCATCGGATGAACCAATACCGAAGAAAGTAAGTTGTAGGAAACATAACCTCATTGTTTTAAACCAGCAATTTTCTTATAGGTGAAATGGATTAATAAACAACGCGTTATGGTTTTTGCTTCCCGTGGTATTAGTTTTCGGGATAGACACTTAATGGAAGATTTAAAGAAATTGATGCCTCATCATAAGCCAGAATCAAAAATGGAAAGATCAAAGACTTTATCGGTAATCAATGAAATGTGCGAAATGAAAAACTGCAATAAAGCGGTCATGTTTGAAGGTCGAAAAAAGAAGGATTTGTATTTATGGATGTCTAATGTTCCGAGTGGTCCTTCCGTTAAATTTTTTGTGGAAAATAGTGAGTTGATTAATAATTTCATTTTAAACAATTATTAATATTTGTAATTTATCTAGTTTACACAATGGCTGAATTAAAAATGACTGGAAATTGTCTACGAGGATCCCGTCCCTTATTATCATTTGACCCAACTTTTGAAGAAAAGCCCCATTATTCCCTTTTAAAAGAAATTTTATCACAAATATTTTCTGTTCCAAATCATCACCCAAAAAGTCAACCATTCTTTGACCACGTTTACACTTTTACCATCTTAGACAACAGAATCTGGTTTAGAAATTTCCAAATTTTATCTGAAGATGGTGCTCTAGCGGAAATTGGGCCCCGTTTTGTGTTAAATCCCGTCAAAATCTTTTCGGGTAGTTTTGGCGGTGTTGCTTTATGGGAAAATCCCAACTATATCAGTCCAGCAAAGTTCCGATTACAATTTAAATTGAGCACCAAGAATCGCTACATGAACCGGTTACAACAAAAGGTTCATGCCGAAGCCACAAAACCTAAAGAAAGTTATAAATTCCATCCTTGGCATGGAGATACCAGGGAAATTGCTCAAAATTTAATGGAAGTGGAAAATGCGAAAAATGAAAATTGCGAAAACGAAGGGAAAGAGGTTAAAAATGATGATGATGAAGATATTAAAGAGGTAAAACGGGTTAAAAAAGTTGGGAAAATGACAATAAAAAAAGATGGAGTTAAAAATGGAAAAATAGTGAAGAAAAAAGGGGTTATTGTAAAGAAAAATCGTTTAAATATTCGAAAAAAAGTAGGTGTTAATAAGAAGAATGCTAAAAATGTTAAGAAATAAATAAGTTGGGTTAATTAAGAATAAAACTGAAACTTAATAAATAATTAAATTCTTTTAACATGAGTTTTTAAAATTGTAGGTTAGAAAACTGTCAAATTTGAAATATAAAGCTGAGATAAGAAATGTTAGTTATACAGGTGTATCTGAATGACTGCAACAAACTTGAAGGGGTGATTCTTTAGTGAATTTTAAGAGTACTTTGATATATGGAACATGAGGCTCCCCTAAGGAGCCTCTAAAAATGGGGAAAAATTTTAGTTTAATTTTTTTTCACAAAAACCATAAACACTAGGAAAATGAAATAATAATAAATAACCACCCCCGGTCCAATTATGCCTAGATTTTTTTTATTAAGATGATAAATACATTGGAAAAATTTCACTTAGATTAGATAAAACTATTCTAAAACTTTTTTGTCTCTCTGATGTCTTCTAAAATTTAATAATTTCTGAGAAAAAAAATAATTAAGCAAACACTAACTGTTAAGCTGTAGGGTTGTTAATCGAAAGTTGGAATGAATTTTTAATGAAAAAATCTTAGTAGGCTTTGCAATCTTTGTCAGAAACGTTTTTGACGTTTAAATGTCAGTGGTTTTTTTACGCGTTTTTGTCGCGTGAACGAGCGTAAATGCGATAGAACTTTATTTAAATATTAATTTGAAAAACAATAATAATAGTAAGAAAAACTGACATTTAAACGTCAAAATATTTATGACAAAGATTGCAAAGCCTACCAAGATTTTTTTCCTTAAAAATTTATTCCAACTTTTGATTGACAACCCTGTTGTTTAACGGGCAGTGTTTGCTTTATTATATTTTTCTCAAAAATTAGTCGTTTTTGGAAAAATTTTAGAGAGGCAAAAAAGTTGTAAAATAATTTCATCTATCTACGTATAATTTTTCTAATGTATTTTTTAGAAAAATACATTAGAAATCATCTGCATTAAAAAACAATTTTAGAAAAAATGTAAAGAGGGTGGTTACGTTTAGTAGTTTAGAAGGGCAAGTTGAAAGTACAAATAGTGTCAAAACATGTCCTATTATGAGTTAAACATATTCCCCAAATTTCATTTTCCTAGCGTTTATGGTTTTTGAGAAAAAATAAATAAATAAACCAAAATTTTCTGCCATTTTTAAAGAATGTACACCTGTATAACCATTTAAAAGTTGTTGTGCTTAGTAACAGGTATATACTAAAATTTCTCCTAGTTTAAAGAAAATTGAGTTAAAAATTCGCAAAATGTTGAGGTTAAAATCAAGCATGATAAAAATCTCAAGTTTGATTCCAATACTTTCTCTTTATATATGAGAAAGTAAAAAGTGTTATTCAGAAAAGATGTGTTTATTCTCTATAATTTTGCACAATGAATTTTTGATCATTAAACATTTACAAAAAATATTAACTTAAAAAGTAATTGAAATGACAGCTAACTTTGACATCTACATTATAAATAAGACCAAATCGAGTTTTCCACGTTCAAATCAATCAAAAAAGTAGAAAGAAAAATTCTATGATCTATTTTTATTGCCTATATGTTTTATTTTTGTACAAAAAAGAAAAAAATCGCTTCTTCCTTAAACATAACCTCAAAGGTGTGACAAGAAATCATATGAATAAAAAGAAAATGTTTCAAAGTACACTCAGGGTTTTTAAGACGGGAGTCATTAAATTGTTTTTTTTTTTAAATCTTAACCATTATAGGCGCATAAATTAACCGATAATTAAAAAAAAAAGATGCGTTAAGTCCGTTAAGTTTCTGTTGAACTTGTAGTTTCTTTTTCTGATTCTGGTTTTGTGGTTTCAATGCTCATCTTCCTTTGCTTACAACTAGTGGTCTGTTCACTTTGCACACGATCTTGCAACAGTTTATGCAACCGCCCTGTATCTTCTATACTAGCCATAATTAAAAACACTTTTATATCTCCCTTACTATCCATTGCTGTTAAACGAATACTTTTTGGACCTGCTTTTTGTATCATCATATCAGCCCAAATCTAAAAATTATTTAAAAATATTACTCAATTAAAAGAAAAAAATCTTATCTTACTTTTGTGTTCATTAAAACTCTTAAGCTACCAGATGTACGAAAAACAAGCCGACTTTGTTTAAAAGTTTTTTTATCCTCAACAACTTCACGATCATTTAACCGTAAATTTCCTCGCCCACGTTCTTGCCATGATAAACTTGTACTGTCATAAGCAAATAATTTACATGAAACATGCGTAATATTTGTTTCACCTTCTTCACCAGTTATAACCTCAACTTCATCATATTTTCGTTTAACTGCTCGACTTTCTTCATATTCCCTTGCAGATTCACTTAATGATTTTCCTTCTTTTGATGATGTCCCAACCGCTTCAATATTATTTTCTTTTATAGCACTACTAAAAAGTGATTCTGAGGTTCCGTTAGAGTTAGAACAACTTGTTGATGGGCGACAATCATCAGCTATTACTCTTTCTTCTAAATTTTGACCAAAAACAAAATTTGTTTGAATTGGCTAAAATAAAAAAAAAACTAAGCTTGGGAATTATCTTATGAGCATTATATCTTACTTGGGTTTGAGTACATGTTGTAGTAATTGGTTTAATAATTTTGTCACTATCCTTTTGTTCAGATTGAACTAATGGAACAAATTTTAATCCCTCTCCATTAGAATTTCCACTTTTCCCAATATTATTTTCATTATTTCCATTCTTTTCATCATCAACTTTATCGAAACTAGTGACAAGATTTAAGCTGCTTGGTTTTAATTTGAAACCACTTGTAAATGTGGGGGGTTTTAAAATCGATTTAGTACGAGCGGGAGAATCTGTTCCTGATGTTTTACTTAGAAATGCATCGTTTTTCAATCGTGGAGGTGTCCCAGAATTAAGTTGTTTCGTGACACCAGGCACTGAGTACGAACTACCAAAGTGAGATTGGGTCAGAATTGGTTTTGAGACTGTGGGCGAGCAAATTCTTGGAATTTCAACTTCTTTACTTTCGTTATTTGCATTTTCTTCGCTTACATTTGAGGGTTTTGTTTCTTGATCATTAGTGGCGGACGCTTTTTCGCTATCTATAATGTAAATAAATGAAATTTATTGTGATTTTCTTTAAACATATTTATTGATTTAAGAAGAGGAACGTTACAATTAGGGTTTGTTTATGGGGAAATTATTGATAAATGTTTTAAAACAACAATAAGCATACCTGTGATACCGTCAGCCATTTTTTGCGATTCACTGATTGTTGCAGCATCTAGCGGAACTAAATGAACTAATTGTTTGACAGTTTGTCATTATTTCAATGATATTTTAAATTATTTAAATATTGTCTCTACTAAAAACTTTTATTAATAAACCCCAATGGAGGTCCAATTTAATTTTTTGTAAATCAATTTTCTTTTTGATGACTTCGAAATTAAAAAGTATGATACAAACTAAAGATGGCGCTGTACATCTTGTATCGACATAATTTAATAATTAAAAAACAACTGAATGATTATTTTAAATAAATAATTTTCAAATTTTAGATTGACTTATAATTATCTTATAAAGCAATAAATTTATTTAAAACAAATTTAATAAACTAAACTTAAGTTATTTTACCTCTAGATGTCGCTACTTATTAATATTTGTTAATCATACGTCAAAAAAAAAATTAAATGGCGGTCGATTAGTGTTTACAAACATTCAATAATTTTTTTCAAAATCGCACAAAAATGGGTTGTTGCGACGCCGAAAAGGAGAATATCGAACAACAAACGACCGTCCGATCGTGTACTGACGTTTTCTGGTTGTTACTGTACGTGGTTTTCTGGTTTTTCATGGTAAATCAACCCCGCCTAACCCAAACATAACCTCTTATACATACTAAACTCTTTTCTAGGTATTAATAGCGGCTTTTTCATTTGTGTACGGCAACCCAATAAGAATAATAAATGGATACGATTCATTTGGGAATACTTGTGGGTCAAAAAATAAACCGATTGGAAATCTGGAGTTATCAGGCCAAGACACAACAAATAAACCGTTTCTTTTATTCTACGATGTACATGAATTAAAAACGTCTTTAAAAGTGTGCGTGGAAGAGTGTCCTAGAAAAAAATTGGAAAAATTGGATGATATTTATCAGTATAATAAAAATACTCGAGTTGAGTTGTGTAAATATAATTTTCAATATGAGGATATTAAAAATAATACTGTTAAGCATAAAGAATCTATTTTGAGTGGGTCTTTAGGACCATGTCCATCTTTACCTATTTACGAAAGGTGAGATGTTTTTAAAATAAAATTATTACCTTAATATTTTTTTTTTAGTATTTCCGTTTTAAACCGTTGCGTGCCGAAGTTTGTAAATGACGTATCAGAAGTAGTTTTAAGCAATTTTTATGATCTTTTAAATAATTGGGATACTCTGGAACAAATTTTGGGTGATCTCTATATCACATGGAGGGAAATCCTTTGTTTAACATTTTTAGCACTTGGTAAGGCTAAGAAAATCCTGCATTGTTGATGTTTTTTTTATGTATTTTTGGTTGCAGTAATTTCATTAGCGACGATTTGTATATTGCATATTTTAGCGCACATTGTTTCCTATGTAATAATGATTTTAGTTAGTGTAGCTAGTGTAGCGGGAACTAGTTTTTTATGGTATACTTACATTGAAATTAAGTATGACTTGAATAATAAAATGGAAAATGATAAAGATAAGATTTTATTAGAATCTATTAGAAATGGCACTGCTTTTTTCTGGTATTCCATAATAGCAACAATAATCACCGTAAGATTTCTGTGATGAAAATTAAAAGATGCTAAAAAATTTTGTTTGTATTTTATAGGTTATACTTTTAATTTTAATCATTTTCATGAGGAAAAAAGTCGACTTTTTAGCTGAACTTTTTAAAGACACTTCAAAATGTTTATTGAGCATCCCCGCCTTATTTCTTCAACCTTTAATAACTTTTGTGATTTTGCTCGGATTTTTCGCTTTCTGGGTTTTTGTGATTGTAATTTTCCTTTTATTTTTATCTTGTAAACCGGTGTTAATCTCGTTTTTTTAGCTTTGTCTTGCAACTTCATATTATCCAGGTGTTAATGGAATTCCAACGAAATTTATGCCAGGACCAAATGTTTCTACAAGTGAATTAGCTACTGAAACTAGTATTCCAAGAGATATACCTGCAGAAACAAGCAGTAAAATCAAAAATTTTAACCTCAATATTTACCTAATTAAAAAAATGTTTTAGAATTAACAATTATTGAATATATCGATCCAATTTGGGTGAAATATATGTGGTGGGTGTATTTTGTAGGTTTAATATGGACGTCAGAGTTTATTATGGGGTGTCAATCGATGGTGATTGCTGGTTCTGTGGCTCATTGGTTCTATAGGTATTAATAAAAATATATAGCAAATTTCCCTTAAGATGCAATATACAAAAATATATTCCCATATATACCTACTTACTTTGTCCAGCATAAGATGCAACATGTCAATATAATTTGACATTACAGTAAAACGTCCATATAACTATAATTTCTTGTATATGGAGGCTTTATTATTACTTTAATATATGAAATACAACACCAATTTCCTCCTTTAAAATGTTTATTTGTAAACCATTACAAATAATATATCAGTCTTTTATAAATTTCTTACCTAAAGTAACAAATAATTACATTTTTACACAAACAAAAAACAGATTTATTTTCTTACACTTAAACCACAACATGCAGAATATGATTCTTACCCAACAACTTTTCACCAATTTTATAATTATTGATCATTTCTTATTATACTTTTCTTGATATAGGTATGCATCTTAACACATTTACAAATCAGGTCTTTTTGGTAATTCATAACAAGGTCAATTGCAATTCTATTCTTTGTTGGAAACCTGTTTTCATCTCCCTTACTCCATCATATAAGTAATTTATTTAAAATATCCGCATAATGCGCCCCTAGTCCATATAATCGATTAATACTGGGAACGCAATGTCCGTTATAGTTCAATAAAAATGTACAACAATCTAGGGCTGAATAACAAATAAAACTGGACTAACGCTAGCACTAGAACTAACAGCATTCCGTTAAGCTCTCTTAAGATTGCTGGTAGGTGGTAGGTAGCGCTAGTTAGCATAAGAACTCGTAGTTATTATAAGCACTTTATTGTTTTTTAATATTTACACTTTTCCCTCCTACTATACATTCTACTATACAGGGTAATTTAAATTCGACCCCCACCATAGGGATTTCAGAAACCATAAGAGATATAGAAATGGTCATGGGGGCAGTTGCGTATCTTAGAGCTCATCATTTTTCAACTCATCGTCCGCCCAGTCCACCTATTCCCCCTCTCCTCATTACCACAGCGGAATCTGGCCACCAATCTCTTCTCTTCATCATCCCGCTCCATCAACTAATATTTTGGCAGTTCCTCTGTCACTACATTCGTCTCCACATTTCACCTCTCGATCCCAGTTAGTGAGTATCCCGCTCTTCTATAATATTCTTACCTGTCTCTTTGCCCATAGATCAGCCTCCTTTCCTTAATTTCCCTCCAGCACTCTCCCAGGGTTCTGCAATGTGGTCTTGCTTCTATCATTTCCTCATACTTCACTGCTCTTCTCCCCGCCTCCACCCTTACTGCCTCCATCTTAACCTCCCCTTCACTACATACCCTGGGGTCTCCCTTACCAACCTTAGTACCCATCTCCAATATCGTGTTTGTATATCCTCCAGTAAACCTTGTTCTCTCCATCCCCATACTTCTGCGCCGTACAGCATTGTGCTCCTTACCAAGCCATCAAACATAACCTTTCTTTTTCCCACGTCTCTCCCAAAAGTTCTTTCTCCCCATCCCCAAACTTGTCCCATCACCCTGTTCGCTCTTTTTGCCATCGCCCTCACGTGCGCCCCGACCTTATTACTTTCGGACACTTACTACTTTTAGGACACGTAGGTCTACTGTTAGTTCTAGTTTTACACTATGACTAGAACTAACATAATACCTAGAATCATTCCGGTTTAGCCATCTTGAGAGACGTGCGGCTAAACCCGAATGTTTCTAGTTCTATATCTAGTGTTAGTTCTAGTTTTACACTAGCACTATCACTAGAACTAACACAAGACCTAGAACTAGAATCATTCGGGGTTAGCCGTCTTTAGAGACGTGCGGCTTAACCCGAATGTTTCTAATTCTAAGTCTAGTGTTAGTTCTAATTTTAATTATTCAGCGTTATATTGTGGTATATTTTTATTGAAACCAATTTAGAACTAACACTAGGCTTAGAATCAGAAACATTCTGGTTGACTCGTGCGTCTCTTAAGACATCCGAAAACTTAGGGTTATCATAAGGACGTCACTTTTTTCCAAGCAAAACGTTTACTTTACAAAACTACCCAATACCTCTATTGGGTAGTATACCTACTATTAAGTTATGTTGCATCTTATGTGGGACAATGCAAGTGCATAATAAATATGGTGACTGCATTCATTTTCATATATTGCGAATTAAATGAAATTCCCAATATAATAATAAAATATATTGCGAAAACAGCGCATAATCAATTTAAACCGGTTTCTATATTAATGTGCTATTTTCAAAGTGATAAGTAAATTTTAATGCTGTTTTTGTTTGTTAGACATAAATATAGGGACAACTCGCATGTTTTGTACGCAATATCAAAGTTAATTAAGTACCATTTAGGTTCTGTGGCTTTGGGTTCTTTGTTAATTACAATCGTTAAAATACCCAGGTTAATTTTAATGTATCTCCATGAAAAGTGAGTTGCTGATTTGGTTTAATTGCAATAAAGTTAATTTTGGTTCATTTTGCTTTTAGGTTAAAACGTAATAAAGATAAAGGAAGTGAATGTGCTTCTTGTGGATTAAAATGTTGTATATGTTGCTTTTATTGTTTGGAAAATTTTTTAAGATATTTAAATCAAAATGCTTATACTGTTATTGCTATTGATGGGGCTAATTTTTGTGCAGCTGCTAAAACGGTGAGAATTACATGAATTAACTATATAATAATGGTCTTTAAGATAATTTTTTTTTAATATTTTAGGCTTTTGAAGTATTAGTAAGTCACGCATTAGAAGTTGCAACGATAAATTCGATAGGCGATTTCATTTTATTTTTGGGAAAATGTTTAGTAACGGCCGTAACTGGAATGGTGGGACTTTACTTTTTCCGACAAAATCCCAAGTTGAATTTTTTTGCTGCCCCAACATTAATTGTTTGTATTTTCGCCTTTTTTGTCGCACATTGCATTTTATCCTTATATGAGGTAAGTTGGATAATAACAATGAATAGAAGCAATAAACATTTTTTTAGACTGTTTTAGACACTGTTTATTTGTGTAAATGTGAAAGTGGAGATAACGTTGGCGAAGGTTTACAAATGCAAAACTTGGAGGGTGTTACAAATGGAACTCAAAATCAAGAGTTGCAATCTCGATGAAATTAATTCAAAGATCTGCTTTATTTATAATCTATTTTATATTTAAAACGAATGTTGATGTTAAAATTAAGTGGAAAAAGTTAAAGTAAAGTTAAAATTTTTCACCAAAAACGATTTTTAAGGTTATATTTACAACAATTTTAGTACTTAATATTTAATTAAAATGGTTTTGTATTTTTGTACGTTTTATATTATAATACACAGTATTATTAACTATAATTTTAATTCAACTTATTATGTGCAATCAATGCTTGTGAATTTGATAAATATATCAAAAAATTATATATTTATAGCACAAATTAATCTTAAACATTAATATTTTAATACTCGAAATATTTTTAATGTTTGTAACTGAATTATTTATTATTTTTTATAATAAAAGCACAATGTAATTAATAAAATGTGTCATTTTAAAATTATATTTAGAAAAAGTTATGCAATCCCAACATCTTTTTAAAAAATCCCACTTTCTAAAATAATGTAGGTAAATTTATTCAAAAACAATGATTTATATTAATAGTTCTTTTATGCTAAACGAATAATTCTCTCACATCGATTAAAATGTAAATTTACCATCATAACCTGAATGCAACCTTCAGACAAACCGTTTAAATAAAGAGAATTATATTAATAATAAATTATTAATGCTGTATTATTATTACTATTTGTTTATATTTATTTATTATTAAAAAAAATTTTACGTCTTTTTTAGAGATCTCCTTTCTTCATGTTCTTCTTGGCATCTTTGCATAAACATTGCAGGGCGACGCCACTGCAATGCGCTGTGACGCCGGGCGTCGGTTTCAACTCATCCCCCGCGCAGTTTCCACCCGTCAACCCCCTCGATAATTCGTCGGGGGCCACGATGGCGCCACAGTATCCGATCGACAACAACGAAGTGAACGAAGGTGGTGGTTATATTTTCACGGGGAGACAAGAATTAATCAACAAATAGGTAAGTAATTAGTATTTAATTAAAAAAAATCTTTTTTAATTAAAAGAGCTTTATAAATAAATTAAAAATCAAACATAAATATTAAATTGTTTATACAAATATATTTTTTAATCCTCTTACTGTGTGAGAAATGATTCCCTTAAAGTATACAAATAATAATCTCGTTATTTTTTCTTGATTTTAATTAATGATGGCTCCATTAATTGTGGTGAATTTCTGATACGCAATAGAAACTTAATTATGACGATGTTCATTACCGGTTTGGTTGAAGTATCGCATTTTTTTTGTTAAAATTGCTACGGATGTTGTTTGATGTGGGTGGGTAGTCGAAAGAGAAAAAGGAAACGGTGATGTAAAAAAAAAATAGTGACCGGTTGTGTTGTAAAGAGAAAGAAGGAGAGAGTTTTGGCCAGCTTCCAACTGGGTTAGCAGCCCCCTTTTGGGCGCACTCTCCTTTCATAGTCGTGGTGGTTCGGAAATCTCTTTCGGTTTTCGGGGAGACTTACTATATTGCGCGGTAAAAAAGATAATATATCGATTTTAAAGATTCAAATTACTATTAATGACTAAAATTTTAGTTAAAATATTTTTGGTGGATAATCTTTCAAAATATATAAAATTTTCTTTGTTTGAAAAATTCAAAGTTTCTTTATGCAAAGAGATAAAATTTTATAAAAGAAATTGTAATTTATTTGTTTTACAATGTTTTCTAGAGTTTCAATTTCCTTTCTCTTTGTGTTAGGATTCGGGAAGTCGTACGAAAAACACCGTAAAAAAAGTCTTGGTCGTCTCTATAGCAACGTTTGGACCAACTACTGAAGGTGGTTTCAAATTCACCCCCTCATTTTCCATGGTAGGGGATCGTCGACGGGAAAACGACGAAACAGCGGAGTTCGGCGCCAAATGTTTGCAATCTGTAAACAAAACCTAGATTTTCTTATTCTTGAAGATTGACGAAACCGGAAACCCACAAACAAATAAAGCAAAAAGGAACCGAATCGAATAAAATTTCTAATAATAAAGAAAAAACCTCGCTCATCGATTTTTTTAGACAAATTTTTATTATTTTATTTAGGAAATTGTACGTGAATGGCCAGAATTTGTCGGGTACAACTGTGTTGTACTCAGGAATCACGAACGTTACGTCTACTGCTGTACTCATGACGACGGTAAGTTGGTAACAATGTACCTCGTTAATTTTAATTGCCTTTTTGATTCAAAAGAAAAGAATGGAATAATAGCAGTAAACAAGATGCGAGAGATTTTACGAGGAAATGGGGTGTTCGTTTTGTTTTAGCAATTATTCCGTTTTAAAACGCGAAAAAATTCTTGTAATTTTTTTTAGCGGTATTCATTAAATTTGCAATTGAAACGTTTAACTCGAGTAGTTTGTGGATGAATTATAAATAACATAACCGAAGCGCATTTCGCAGATTTAAATCGATTGTTCGTTTAATATTTGTTTTATCGCTTTCATCGAATCGAGAAATGAATGGAAAAGATTTACTTACGTACGAATCTTGGTACTAAAGAGAATTGAATGTATAAATATAAAATCAATTATCTCAATCTATTAACGCAATGCAATTTTAATAATAATTAATTGTTTTTTTAAGATTTCCCATCATAAAATAGCTTGTTGTTCTTGTGGTAAACGTTTACTAATGAAAGAGGTAGAACATGTCTAGAGAAACGTGCTTGAATGCAATCTAAGTAGACTCTAAGAACCCTTTTTTTGTAATAAAGGTTAAACCACAGAATAACTAGAAGAAACGACGTCGGTTGCTTTCATGCCAAAAGAACCGCATTTTTGTAATAATTTATAGGGGAACAAGCACTTCATCAAAAGATAAGAATTCTTTAGGCTCAACAAAATGATAAGATAAAGCATGCCTTTTGAAAAACTTAATTTCGTATTCATCACTTGACTTTTCAGTTACTTGAGCGACATACTGCCTCATTATATTATACTTACCCACGTCAATGATTTCTCTATCGTCCTCAGATTCATTTGAAGAATTTAAATTGTCATTAGAACTGTCTGACTTCCATTCTTCACACTGCTCGTCAAACGATTCATCATCCAAAACTTTCCCCGTTACTGTATCATTTTCAAAAACTTTCTTCCTTGGCGACTTTTGGTTTTAATGTCTTACGTGTCATAATACTTTTCCTTGTTTGAGGTGTTATGGGAAATGGGCGAATATCTTCAGATTCCATAAAAGGGTTTTATCTAGGATTACTCCTAGAGATTTGACTTCCTTTGAGAAAGGGAATTTAAATAAATTACGTTTTTGCTACATTTTATCACTTTATAATAAAACTTTTAAAGCTCTTTAGACATTATAAAATACTTTTATTCTCCACTTTTCATTTTTATATTTTTCATTTTAGAACCATTAAAGAAGTACTTTGCATAATAAATCTCGCATCTGCGTCATCTCGGATTTTATCCCCGCGAATTTTTATGACTCTTTTACGACCCCCACAACATGCCGCACATGTATATACGGAATATTGATTTATATTTTGCTCAATTTTAAACAAATCCATTTTTTGCAGCAAATTTTAGTGAAAAGTTGCGATGGTGGTCACGTGTGTCATCCGCCGAAGGAATGTTGTAAACAAGGATGTTGTTATTTGCCGGATTACAACGTTTACAAACCTCCGGTTATTCCAACCGGAAATATGTTTAATCCCTTATTTTTGGGTCATTGGTATTTTTGGGCGGCGATTACGGCGACTTTAGCGGGAATAGTATGCGCTTGTTCGTTGTGGAAACGTCATAACAACTCTTCCGGTTGTTGGTTTTTGTGTTGTCGCGATTCCGGGAGGGATGAACGGACGTCTCAACCAGATTCGACTGGATCATGTTATGCTCCGCCTCAATACAGCAGATGTAGTAGTTTTCATCAAGCTCCTCCACCTTATTCAGAGGTAATTTAAAAAGAATTAAGTTAAGAAGTGATTCTTAAAGATATAATTTTTTAGGTTGCTTCAAAACCGGATCTTTATCCTTTGGTGATAAGTTACAATGGTGAGCCAATAATAAAAAATAACGGACAATCAACTGGTTATTTAATGGTGCAATATTTTAGAAATTTCATTGTTAGACCAGTTGGTAATATTCAGTTCAGATTTCAAAAATGATTTAAACTTTAATAATGTTGTTTTAGGATCTCTTTCAGCAACGAGTACAATTGACTCCTTAAGCTCTAGCTTTATATGTAACGCAACAAATGAGGCCAATAGTATAATTCCACCTCCGTATTCTTGTACCGGGAGTTTAGAAGAGGTGAATTCGATAAATAATCATTCGGTGGTGACGCAAATTCCGGTTTCGACGACATCAAACGATCTTCGGCAACAACAACAACCAAAAACGAGTCCAAGTGTGCATTCATACGCAACATCAACAAATTTCGTTTGTACTTCTTCAACTTCAAGTAATAAACCGGAAGTTACGTCATCAAATAAAGGATTAGCAACGACAATGGGAAATAAGTCTGATAATTTTCAATCGAGCACAATTCAACAGCAGCAAGTTGTAGTCAATAAAAAATTGCATATTAACGGCGGTATTGTTAAGAATTCGAGCGTTGACTCGGAAAGTCAAGAAGATGATCATAATTTCTCCGATTTACTTAATTTATCCGTTTGTTTGCCAAGTAGTGTTATTCATTTACCATCTGGTATGCAATCGAATGCGATTCATGAACAAAATTACAGCGTAACAAATAGCATGACAAGTTCCGATATCAGTAGTTTAGCTAATTTGGGGACGCCGGATTCGCCACCTCGCGCAACATCTCCAACGGTGGAAATGCGCGAATTATTAGATAAAATTCAACAATTACCGCAACACAAAAGCCCCCCGCTCATACCGGAAACCCCGTTTCATCAACCTCGGATGAAGTTATATTTTAATCGAACGAAAGCAAAAACTCTTTATATGCCTTTACAAAACGGCACTAATAACGTTTTTCAGACGAAGATATCCCCAAAAACAAATTGTTCGAGTTCTTGTGGGATTTTTTCAAAAACTTCGTGGCTTTCGCGATCAGCCCCAAACACACCGTGCGGAAATTTTGTACCGAGTTTTTCAGTACCAAAAAAACCTGGGAGTCATAAAGGAAGTAAAGTAAAAATTAATAAAGACGGAAGTCCACTTTTAAGAACTAATAAAGAAGATTCGGATGAGGATAACCAATCGTTAAAGGACGAAAGATTATGATCATTCAAGGGGGTTGATTTATTATATTATAATAAAAACAATAAAATTTTTTATTTATTTAGCTACGTGTAATAATAATAAAATAATATTTTGGGTAAATCTCAAAAAGAAAATGCTAAAAGTGTACTTACGAATCAAAAGAAATTACTGTAAAAAACGAATTTGAATGCCCCCAATTTAAAATATTAAAAGAAATCAATAAAAATAAATTTGTGTAGATGGAAAAAACTCAGTACAAAACTACGACAGGTTGAAGTTATACAGCGGAAGTTTAACATGAAAATAAAAGATAAATAATAAAAAAAAACCTTCGGAAGTCCTCGCTATTTTTTGTTGGTAAAATGAACAAAAATAAAAAAAAAAAACAGGTTAGTTATAACGTGAAGAAGAAAAAGATGATTGTTACGTGTTTTAACGCTAAATGTAATTTTTTATTAATGATGTCAAAGCGTTTAATAATGTATTAATAAAAATTATACAAACGTATATTAACAATTTATTTACAACCTAACTACACTAAAATCCAGATTCAGTATTAAAATTTAAATTTAATTATAATCAATTGCGTTCTCTTCGACTAAAATATTTTCAGATTTCTAGCACTTTCGGTTATACCGGAAGGAACACCCTATATACTTTTACATATTAATCACAGCATCCAATGCTGTGATTAATGAGATTTTAGTAACATTTTTATGGAACCAGTTCAAGTTGGTGACATTGGGTCATTAATTATTCTAGTTGTCAATGTGACAATATTTGTCGATGGATGTTTAAATACGTTCTTAGCATCAAATACAAGGTCCACAATGATGAGAACATTGAACTCTGAGCAATTTCTTTTGAGATGTACATGAAACATTTTTATCAGGTGAATACGTTTTGTGTTTTGACAGTTTCTAATTGTCAATTCAAATTTCTAGTGTTACGGTGTTACCAACTGCCACATACCTATTTCCCTACATTGTCAAAATTTATTTTTATTTAATAATTAATAAAAATAGTATAAAAAACACGTTTCATAAGACTTAAAGCACTCATTCATAAAAAAACTCGTAACTGTATAAGAATTAAGGCGGCATTATCATTTAGAAAATTCAAATTAAACCAATTTAAGTAATAAGTTCATTTGTATAATTGCAAAGGACCAAAAGGGATTACAAGTGAAGAAATTATAATAAAACCCTCAATTGGAAAAATCTAAATTAAGCGATGCGTCGATGTTTTAAATATACAATTATTTATCTATTCCTTTTCTTTTTTGGATACGGTGATAAATTCGAAGAATCCGATTCAGATACAACAACACTTGGCGACGCATTCACTTTAATTTCATCTTCCCCTTCCGGAATACTTTGCAAACTATAATTTGAACAAGTTCAAAAAATAATTACAAACATTTATTAAAGAATTTACTTCGTTTCAGCTTCTAAGCTGTTTAACAATTGAAACCCAGTTTCTAACGATAACAGACCAATTTCACCTTCCAACGTTGGAAAATGCATTTCTGGATTATCAAAATCACTTGTATCTTCTTCTTCTACTTTAACTTTTACCATCCTACAAATTAAGTTTAAAATACTAAATACAGATAATATTTAATATTATTACCTATTTAATTTATCAACAGGGGATGAAGTCCTTGGTATCAATAATTGGGTGTAATAATTATTGAGCTCTCTACAACGTTTTTGCATCACCTCAATATATTTAATTACTCTATTTTGGTAGTAATCATGAAGACCTTTGGTTCCACCAAGTCCTAATTCAGTTAAAACTCTTTCAATTGGATTCTTTAACAAATAATAATAAATTAATACAGAATTAAAAGAAAATTATATTACATACAGGAAACCCACATAATCTTCCCTCTTTTTGATCATCAATAGCAACCCTTAAATCTTCTCCTAACTTCAATAAAAACGCTTCTAAAATTTCAGTTAAGAAATCTAAAACACTTTGATGAGTTGTTTCAAAACCAATATGAGCGGTTAAAACAGCTACACATTTAATTAGAACCTGTTTGGCTCCGGCATAACTTATTTCAGGGACATCAATCTCTTTCCCTAACGAAAATGCCCTAAAAATAATCTTTAATAAACTTATTACATTTAAAGTTTACAACATACGTAAATCTTTTTGGTATATAATTTAAACTATTTCGTGAATGTCTTAAAATAAGGTTTGGTTTATCTGGAATAGGAGGTATTGCATCTTCCGGTGGAATTAAATTTGATTCAATAGCTAATTCGGCAACTCGAATCATCTCCGTCATATCATTAGCATGTTTATGTAAATTTATTGTGTACATAATTAATGGATCCATGTTTTGTAGACTATAAATAAAGATATATGAGTAGTTTAAGTCAAAATATAGCTTTTAAAATTACGTTATTTGTTCCGTTTTATTTAGGTTATGTTGATCTTGATTTGCATCATATTCAGCTAAACAAAATTTGTTCATTGATCTTTCAACATCGGCCGTTATGTCTGGAACGAAAATATCATCGTTTTCACGTTCAATTTCACCCCAATGAGTAATTTTATTCATTTTAAAAGTAAATAATAAAAGTGACAGGTTAATTTAAAAAAAGGTTATGTTTATTACCAAACCAAGATTACCAACTTAAAAATTTAAAATAAATTATTTTGAAAATAACTGATTTAATTTAAAAAATTATAAAATTGTTGGTAATTTTTTATTACAAATTGAATCTAATTAAAAGTTATTACATAAATGAATTACTTAAAATGTTATATTATAAGTTATTTTGAGGTTATGTAAATATAGTTGTTTTTTGAGGTTATGTCTTCTAGTCACCACATGTTTTGTGCTTTCTTTTCTTAAGAAATTAAATCTTAAAGCAAAATGAAGCAAGTTCATGAACCTGAAGCGAAAAAACAAAAAGTGTTTTCAATTACTGATTTCCGACAAAATTTGTATGGCAATTACAAAATATCTTGTAAGTTAATTTTTTTGAATCAAAAACTCTTAATAAACTATTTACATTTTTAGATTTGCAACATTTTTTAAAATTATGTGCCGAAAATAAGCACAATTATATCTTGGAATATCTTGAAAGTGGTGGAAATTGTTCGGAAATATTACAAATACTTCAAAATGATCCGAATGCACCTCCAACATTAATTCTCGAGATAATTTCCTATGTTTTATTAGAAATAGTGGCTCGTCACCCTAATTTACATAGTTCTGAGCTGAAAACATGCAACTTATTATTAAACCAACAAATTACAACAATTAACAAGATGTTGAGTTCAACATCAAAACCATCGGAACGTAAAATTGTGTTAAAACTACTCACTACCATCGTTTCTTTTTCTCCAAATCTCGCAAAAGATGTTTTAATTCACGTTAATTTTAACGCTACCAATATAAAATTATTAACAAAAACTCCTCAAGATTCAGAAAAGGATTCAGTTCGTAAAGCGTTTTTAAATTTTTTGTGCGCATTTCTAGTTGATGGGCGACTTCCAACAATTTCTGCTATTTTGGGAAAATCAGCTTTGTTAATGAGTGTTATAAACGGATTACGCTTTGATCCAGTTGAGAATGTTTCCGTTTTTTTGAGTGCTTTGAAAAGTTACGTTTTGGAAAATACCTCTGTTACGAAAACAACAAAAATGAAAGTGTTTTCAACGCAAGTTATTAGAGATATCGTTAATTTGTATAATTGGAAGGGACCAAAAGGAATTACTGGCGAAGAAAAGGTAATAAATTTTTTAATTTGATTTTAACCTAAAATAATTACATTACAGTTTCCTGTAATTTCATAACCTTGAAATGTCAAATTTATTTGATTTAAACTTTTTAGGCAAATCAATTGGAAAAATCGAAATTAAGCGAATGCGTCCACGATTTTTTATTAACATTATGCACAACGAAACACGGCGTTATTTTTAAAGATCCTGAATTGGGTTTTGGAAAAACTTTTCATAACAATCTCATTTTAACGGTTATCGATAGTCTTGAAAGACCTTGGGATCATTCTTACGCGAGTGAATTGGTTATAAAAATATGCGGAGCATGCCCTGATTTAACAAAGGCCGTGTGGTCGAATTTATCCGATTCATTAAAACCGAGAGATACCGAGAATTGGTTAAAAGCCGTTCAATTCGCAAAGAAATTAATTGATGAATTACAACCTCAAAAAGTTTTAAAAGAAGAAATAGCTAAGAATTTTAATGTTCCACAATTAGTTAAAGTCACTATAAGTTTAAACGCACCTAATTCAGCGATTAAATCACTTAAATCTTATTTAAATCAAGATGAGGAGAAAAATGTTGAGGTTATGCGAAATATATTTGAGGTTATTTTGAGTATGTTGAAAGGAATTGATGGTTATTTGAGTGTTTTAAAGGATTATTTGGATTTAAAAACTTTTTTGGAATATAAAAAAGGATTAAATGAATACATTCTTGGGGCTTTTCCTACAATTAATATTAATTTAATGGGTTTTGATGAAAACATCGATTTTTCTAACGTTATTTTGAACGTTTTGGTGATTTATAAAAAGTTATCTCCCCAATTACTCGTTGATTTAGAAATCGACGAAAAAATTTTTGATCAATCTAACTCGATGGTTGAATCATATAAAATTAAAGTGAAAATAATCGATTTAATCTTAGATAGGTTCGATTTAAATTCGAAATTATTTCCTCGGGTTTTATCACTTTTATTGAAAGCTTATTATTTTTTGAAAGATAACGAAACTTATCGTGTTATTTTTCAGTTATTTTTGAAGACGAATCTTTTCGATTTGAGCTCACAATATGAGATTGATGTTTGGATTAATTCGATTTTTAATGCAAAAAGATGTGATGATTATTTGTGTGAATTTATAAATGGTGTTTTAAAGAAAACTTCGATTAATTGTGTTGAGTATACAAAGAAATTGGTTGAGATTAATGATTTAATTAAAAATGAACCATTTAACGATTTTGACCTAAAACAATTTTTGACAAATATGAATGAGAATAGTTATAAAAATACGATTTGTCATAATCAGATGAGTTTATTAGTTTTTGGTTTAATGGATTGTTTAGAAAATGTTGATAAAAAGAAAAGTGTTAAAGGTTATGTTAATTATTTATTGATTAATTTGTTGCATCAACAAACACAGCCGAAAATGTTTTTGAAATATTTAATGGGGATTATAAGGAGTGGGAAAATTGATCTTGATGAGGAAATTAAAGCTTATTTTATTGGTTTTGATGAAAATGCTGAGAAAATAATCAATTTTGACGTTTCCAAAAGAAGTAATTTGGGTTGCCTATCCGATGTCAATAAAATTTTTTTTGATGAAAATGTTGATTTAAATGACGACTTTTTAGACGAATTAAGCCCGAATTTTCTAAAACGAGATGTGCTGTATATGCTAATTTTTTATGTTAAAAATTTGCATTCGAAAAAGTTATTAAAAAAGAGACATTTGAGGAAATTGCAACATTTAGCACACAAATCAGAGGAATTCTTGTTGTTGGTTTTAAAAAATGTGTATTTCTTGGAAAATTTTTCAATGTTAAAAAGCGATTCACTCAGTTTGTTTATTTTGAAATTAATCGAGCATGGGTTAAAGATGGAAATTAAAGACTTTGAAAGTTTACTTGAATCGTATCGAAGTGCTGTTTTAAAGGATATTTTGGTTATAATTAAAACGAAAAATATTGAGGTTGATTTAGAAAATACGTTGAGTGTTATTAAATTGTTTGATTTAAAACGAGAGCAATGCTTTTCAATTTTAACTGAGACCAATTTTGATTTAAACGATTTTGTAACTAATGAAAGAAATTTATCTATAAATTACCATTTAATTTGTTTTTCTTTAAACAATTTATGGTTAAAAAGTAAAAATTATGATTCAACCGAGTTTATTTTAACCCAAAAGAACGTTAATTTCTTATTGGAACTTTACGTTTATTTATTAGAATTTAACTTAGATTTGAGTTTCTTAACAACGTCTTTATTTAATTATTTAATGCTGTTTCCTCACTTAATCAAAAATGATTCAGAATTGTTTATAAAATTGATTTTGAAAGATTTAACCAAAGAAAACGTTTCGTTAATTTGTTTATTTTTAGAAAAAAATCCAAAATTAATTGATATTTTAATTAACAATTTAGAAAAAATTAATTTAACCAAATCAAGTTTAGCTATTTTGGACGTTTTAGTTAAAAACAAAGTAAAAATTGATGAATTAAAAAGTATTTATGAAAAATTTGAGGGTATGTTGTCAAAAAATTTGGAGAAGCCCCAAAAAGCCGGAAAATATTTCGAGATTCATCAAACTTCGGTCGGCGAATTCATAAAAATGTTTTTAAAACCCGAAATAGCAACAACTTTTATTTCAAAAGTTAATAAATACGATGTTATCGATCCATTTTTGGGTTATTTATTGAATATTATTTATCAAATTGCGTTTAAATGTGATGAAAATAACCGTGTTCTTTCAAATTCTCTTTTGACATTAATTAATTTGTTATGTAACGTTTTCAAAAAGGATCAAGATCTTCTTAAATTAGATGAGAACGTAGCCAATTTTAATAATTTCTTAAATTTTTTGATCCAAAATAAAAAGGTTATTAACACCCAACAAGTTTTAAACAACAACTTAAAATCTTTAATTAAATTCTTATTAAAATTTGGTTTATTAAACCGTCCTAAATTACTTAATTTATTAAACAATTTGATTCAACTCGTCGAGTTTCCCAAAGAAGATTTAAATAATGTTATGGAAATGTTAACCTCGCATTCGGAATTTATGGATTTAATCATTTTGGAGGGAAAAAACACACAAAAATGTGAAACTAAACTAGAATTATTAAAAATCCTTTTAAGACTTTTTCAAAAGAACGAAAATTTGATTGAGCCTAATTTTGTTCCATTAATTTTATCGAGTTACGAAGCAACCAAGTCAGAATCGGATCAAATTTTACTTGCAATATTAAAGATGTAAGTTAATTATTTATTTCCTCATTATTTTGATTTAATATAATTATTTATAGATTTGAAGAGCACCCACAAAGAAGTAATTTTTACGAATACAAACCATTTTTATGGGGAAAAGCAGCAGCTAATCACTACTCGATTAAATCCAACGTTGAAACATCGTTATTTCGACAACCAAAAATCTCAACAATCCTGGATTTATTAGAAATTGAAATCGTCCTAAACACAATTAAATACAACGAAACGCCATCAAACAATTTGAGTCCAAGAAAAACGATTTATGATTTAAACTTTTTCTTGCCATTATTCTCAAATTTATTACTCCCCGAAAATCCGATTCAACTCTATCGATTTACTAAATCCGGAGCTTTAGCATTAACAATTTTAGGATTATCAAGTCAAGATGCACATCAAAGAGGCTCATCTTGTTATGTTCTCTCATTATTTTACACCCATTTAGACGCTAAACGTTCTAAAAAAGATAATTTAATATGGATTCGTTTCGTTGAAGCAATTTGTAAAGGAATTTCCGCATTAACAGACGACTTAAACAGCGATTTCGAATTAAATAATTTCGTTTCTGTTTTCTTATCACGAATGGCTCTAATTTTAACGAATCCCCAACATGTTATGTACCCACCTCTATCGCAATATTTAACCGCAAAATCGGTTTTAGACTTTAAATTAATCCCTGAGTTATTAACATTTTTACATTCGCCCGATGTGAATTATAAGGAACATAAAAAGTTTATTTTGCAGGTTATTTTCGATGGTTTAAAAACGAAACGAGATTTTAAAGCAGCCTTAAACTCAATTTCTTTTAAATTAATCTTGGAAAGTTTTAATTCTTGCCTGTTCGACCGCGAATGTAAACTGTATGTGATTAAAATTGTCGAAAAAGCTTGCAAATTAGATGTTGGCACGAAGTTATTGTGCGAAAATTACGGATTATTTTCTTGGATGTACAATTATGTAGAAAATTTCGGTAAAGAAAACGATTTCATCTCGATTATTTTAGACATTCTTTCGCATATAATCAGTTTCAAAGAAGATTATAGCCAAATAAACGAAATTTTAATTTGTTTTATTAACATCTTAAATTCGTTTAATGAAGAAAATACAATCAAGTTATTAAAAATTTTGTGTTCGCTAAATAAGTTTAGGTTAAAAGAGAACATGTTACGCCATGTATTTAATGTTTTAAATAATAAGGAATGTTTATATTATTTGAATCATCTACAAACGATTCATTTAGGTGATGATCATATCGAAAATGTTGATTTTTATTTGAAATTGTTAACTTCAAAATGGATATTGTCTAAATAAAATATTATTTTTCGAGAATATCTTGGTTTTTTATATATTCAAGACATTTCTGAGAAATAAGTCCATATAATACAGCACCTTTTGATACAGTACCAAAAGAAGAAATAGGGAAAGCCTTAAAAGCGTGACATTCAGGTTGTTTCTGTAAGTACTGTTATACTGGAGTGAAAATTAAGGTTGGTATTAATATTTAAAAATTAAATTGCAATCTATTGTTGCTAACTTCGGGTTTAACGTTTTTTATTCTAACTTTCTTGTTTTTTGAGACATCTTTGGACTCATTTTAAAGGTTTTTTAATGAAGATGACAAATATGTCAAAACTGACATTGACTTTTCAAACCGGAAGTGATTGTGTTTCCATTAATATTAAAGTTAAATATGTCGAGTTTGGACTCATTTTAAAGGATTTTTAATGAAGTTGACAAATATGTCAAAATTAAAAGTTGAAACTTCGAACGTTTTGGTTTTTTGAGATAAATGCGTTTAAAAGTTTGGACTCACTTTAAAAGTTACTTTATGAAGATTACGAATATAATAATAAAATTAAAGTTGACATTGACAACTGAGAGGTTTTTTTTCACAACTAAACCCGACAGTTTCTAGTTTTAGGTCTAGTGTTAGTTTTAGTTTTAATTGTTATTTAACCCTAAATTCTTGTACATTTTGATCTAAAAATGTTTTTTTTTGATTTAATGCACTTACCTTGTTTATAATTTCATCTATTTACCCATTTTGAATTAAATACAACCTTTAAATCCAATTAATTATGTGTTTTTCATTAAAAAAAACTTAAATTCAACGTCAATTTTGACAGGCAACTGCAATATTTGGATCTTAATCACCATGGTAACCGAGTCAAGTTGGATAACCTATAAAATAAAAAAGTTTTATTCCGATTTTTTTTATCAATTCTAACCTAATTTTTATTAATTTTAAAACAATTCGAAATCTTTACGATTATCTCGCATTCATAACAAATTCGTTAATTGTAATTAATTTGAATCGATTGTAATTAAGAGAAATAAATTAAAAATATCTTTTTTTGATTTAATTCACTTACCTTGTTTATAATACCCTAGATAAACCAATTTTGAGTTAAATACAGCCTTTTAAACCATTTAAATAAGACTTTTTCCTTAAAAAAAACTTAAATGCAATTTCAATTTTGACAACCACCTGCAATATTTGTATATTAATCATTTAATCACCATGGTAACCGAGTCAAGTTGGATAACCTAACAATAATAAAATTATAACCGTTAATATTTCGCTATATATTTTAATATTTTTTAAATTTTATTTTATCTTTTCTTTTTATATTTGTATTTTTGTTTATTGCTTTTTAAATTAAATACACTGTATAAATAAAAACATAGAAATGTCAATTCTTCCAATTACGTCACAGCAAGGCCTTTGGGTTCATATATTTAGGCAACCAATTATACTCTCAAAACACATTGTCAAAAATATAACCTAAAAAACGAATTTATTTAGTAAATATATAAATTATAAAAAATGGTAGCAATTTCAAATAAAGATAACACTTTAGTGTATAAAGGAAGTGCTTGGTTTAAACAACGTTTAATTCTATCAATATTAAGCGGAAAAGCAGTAAAAATAATTGATATAAGAACGAAAGATGATGAGCCGGGTTTAAGAGAATACGAAGACAAATTAATACGATTATTTGATAAACTAACAAACGGAACGATCGTTGAATTAAACGCAACTGGAACAAGTATTTATTTTCAACCTGGTTTATTAAACGGGGGTGTTATTAAACATGATTGCGGAACGGAACGATCTATAGGTAACTTAACCTCCTTAAATATCCGTTTATTTTATAGTTTTATTTATTTTTAGGATATTATTTGGAGGCTTGTTTAATGTTGGGATTTTTTTGTAAACAACCATTAAATGTAACATTACAAGGTGTTACATCAAACGTTATAGACCCATCTGTTGATCATATTAAAATTTCTTCAATACCTGTTTTAAAAAAGTTTGTTGTTGATGATGAAGGTATTGAATTAAAAATAACTAAAAGAGGTGTTTTACCAAACGGAGGTGGTGAAGTTGTTTTTAAATGCCCCATTCGAACTAAATTAAGACCAATTCAATTACTTGATTTTGGAATGGTTAAAAGAATTCGGGGGACGGCGTATGCGCTAAGAATGTCGCCTTCAATGGCTAATCGTATGGTTGAATCCGCGAAAGGAGTTCTTTTAAATTTTTTACCTGACGTTTTTATAAGTACTGATCAACGGAAAGGGAACCAATCTGGTAAAAGCCCCGGTTTTGGGGTCCATTTATATGCTGAAACAACAACAGGGATTTTTTACTCATCAGAAGCTGTTTCAAAAGTATTACAACCAGGCGATACGCCTTCGATTCCAGAAGATGTTGGGGTTTTGGCTGCTCAAAGGTTATGTGAGGAAATTTTGAATGGAGGATGTACTGATTCCGCATCTCAATCATTGGCGATTTTATTTATGGCTTTAGGACAAAAAGATGTTTCAAAAATCGTTTTGGGACCACTTAGTGATTATTCAATTAGTTTTTTACAACATATTAGAGAATTTTTTGGGGTTACATTTAAAATAGAAAATTATCAATGTGAAGATGATGAAGTGGAAAGTGATAAAGTGTTGTTAACTTGTTTGGGAATTGGGTATAGTAATATAAGTAAAAAAACTTTTTGATAGTTTACTTAGGAATTTTTTAATAATAAAAATAAAGTTGAAACTCTATTCTAAACATTTATTAAAATTTTTCTTACAAATACACATACACATATAAATTTTCCACATTATGCTTTGATTAATACTCGATACAGATGGAATACACCTTATAAATAGATCCTTATAAATACTTTCTTCTTTATGTTCGTATATAAAGACTTAATTAATTTATTCAAAATTGGAATCATAATACAATTTATCATGTAAATAATAACAACAAGGTATATATTTATATAAAAACATATATCATATAGTAATAATATAACAAATCGATTTTTATTTTTAGTTGTAAACATCATTTACCATTTTTTTGAGTTGGTCCTTTTTTAAACATAACTTGTACTTGTACAAAGTCTTAAACGTTACTAAACAACTCGAATTATCTTAATAATTATCCTAGTTTATTTTTAACTTTGTTTTAATGTATTAAATTACGCTTACGATCCGATTTAATTTAACCTACATACCTTTTTGACGTCTATACAACAATTAAAAACGATTATTCGAGGTTATGTCAATAATATGTAAATGCGACCACTACATTAGTAATTAATTTATGAGTACGTGAGCTTTATCAATTTTTTTCCATTCATTTTCTTTTGATTAATTTGTTAGTATTAAAAAAATTTGGTTAATAACGTTCAATCGCATTGTTACTCCCATTTTCAAAAGTTTCCGAACTGTTAGCAGCGCCATCCGGCGCCTTCTCCTACAATCGTTCCGTTACGTAAACCTTTGTACCTTCGCGCATAGATGGCGATCGAACCGCGTAAGATACCAACACGCCCAGTGCTACCAACGCGGCACCCAGTGCATTAACAATTATCCCTTCTTCCTGCCACTCGGAGTATTTTGATCTGGTGAGTTAAAAAAAATCTATGTTAAGTAAGCACAGTTAAGAGATGGTTAATAAAGGTTAAGAAAGCAATTCAAATAATAAAAATAGCCAAATTTTATTTGTCATGCAAGTTTTAGTACAAAAAAGCATTTAACCTCAAAAAAAAAAAATTCAAAACAAAAAAAACGTCAAAAAGCTGTAAATATGGCCGATTTTTTTAAAGATCCCCGGACCGTATTAAAATATGAGCGCGAAATCGAAATTCATCTCGTTGTAATATATAAACCATCACAACTGCCAAACCGATTAAAGACATTCCGATCGAATTAACGATGATCCCTTGAGAGTCCCAGCGCGAATACCTTGATCTGGAATAATTCATCGAGAAAATAATATTATGATTCATCCAAAATGACCTTATAATCATAAATGTCACTATAGGTCTCAGGATGAATTAACCTCTTAATATCCTTTTAACTTGATTAATTAAGGAAAGATGTTTTTTTAATAGCAACAAAAAACACTCACAAAAATCGTAAAACTCCAACAAAATGGGTAATAAGAATAATTAATTAAAAAAAACTTACTCAAGTGTCCAAATAACTTTTTCGGTTAAACCGGTGAGGCACGCTGCTATGGCTAACATGAATGTGGTAAGTCCAAAAGAGGCGTGTATGGGTACCAATGACGCTCGAAAAGCTGCTGTGGCTCCTTCACAGCACAATAGGACTAAGAAACTGAAGAATCCCACTACAAACTAAATATATTAAAGATTAAAGATGCTTAATTATTAAAAAGTTGCAATTTATATTAATAGAATGAAGATGAAATATGTCTACCAAGCTTTATATAATATAATAAGTATAGCATCTATTGCTTAGGAAAAAGAGATCATGATTTGCGTTTCAGAAGATATAGAAGGTGGAACGCAGTACCAAGCTCCCTTCCAAGAACTCTTTGACAACTGGATGGAATTAAATATAGCGTGTTGGTTTTGTAATATGTTTGACAGTAGATATAGATGTCTATGCATAAATTAATAGGAATCCAAGACTTTCTAGGGAAACAAGAGCTTTCTTTGTGTCATTTTAGACATCGCAGGTACGTATAAGTCTTGTGTAAGCAGTAAGTAATACTCTGCAAGCAGTATCTAAGCCTTTGCCAACAATTTCTAGTGGTTCATAAGTAGTAGAAAGTCTTTTGCCAACAGTATCTAGCTTTCTATTCGCAGCATCTACACTTCTCTACACTCAGTGTTTAGTCTATAAATAAGACCTACTCTTCTATTGGTATTATTTTATCTTCCACCAGTGATATCTAATCTTCTGCAAGTAGTAAATATTATTCAGCAAGCAGTATCTAGGCCTTTGCTAACAATATTAGTTATGTGCCAACACTATCTAGTGGTTTGTAAACTGTAAGTAGCAATCTGCAGACAACAAGTAATCATCTGCGTTCGGCATCTAGGCCAATCAACAATATCTAGTTTTTCGCCAATAGTATCTAGTGATTTGTAAGTAACAGGTAGTTTTTTGCAGTGGTATCTAGTTTTCCATCAGTAGTGTTTAGCCTCCTATAAGCAGGACCTACTTTTTCATTGGTATTACTTTATCTTTTATCAGCAGCATCTAATTTTCCGCAATCAGTAACAAGTATCTAATTTTTTACTACGAATATTAAGACTCCAAGTAGAAAAATCTCTTTTTATACTCTTACTTCTAAAACTATTCTATCCCACCTCCCTCATTCTTATTTTACTTCTGAAACGTCTACATACTTAGAAAGCACCTTTTTTAAACCATCTTTATTGTATGTATGTATTAGTTATTGATTAATGTTGTTATACGTCATCCTGGTCTGATACCCGTTTGATTCTCCGTTAATATATTCTTGTCTTATTTGCAGTTTCAGTATTCTTTTAGTATCGTAGTATATATTTCACATAGGTTACCTAACCAGATAATTTACCTACCTGTCACGGCGACTTATTACCGCAGTATTTCGCAGCGGAGCTATAACACTATAGCATATGTTAAAGCTCGAAGGGAAAAGAGTATTATTTTTATGTTTTGAAAGTAATTGTCACATAATTATATTATTATTATATTATTTTATGCGTGTTATTAGCGTTTATGTTAAATGTAATTAAAATCTGTCAAGGTAGTATTGGAATATGAACAATAATCTTTTACCTGAATAGCAAATAAACCCATTGTAACAAGTCCAATCCAGCTGTGGAGTGAATAAAAATTGGGAATTGGCGGTGTTTTAAGGTTATGATAATCTAAAACGGCTAAAAATCCGATTGCAACGCATGGAATGGCGAGGGCGTGAAACACCGTGTGGAGCAGTTTAACATATATCCTTCTGCAACATCTACAGATGCGGTAAAGAAGAATTGCTGGAAAAGATAATGAAAAAAAAAATAAATAAAAGAAAGTGAAGAAGATGGCAATAACTTACAGAAACCGCTAAACGTAATAAATCCGGCCACCATAAGCACCGGATGCAAATTGAACTGTTTGTTTCCGTTTTCACGCCACGCGAATCCATTGTGGTACTGTATGGTCCAGTATAGGGTAAGCGCCAACGAACCGAGAAGTAAAATACTCGCCAAAACAACCACCAGGGTGTATTCGAACCAACTACCGCAACCCCATTCGTTTTCTTCCTCATAATGTCTGTGTCTGTCAAAAAAAAAAAGGTAAAAAATTAAACACCAATTTTTTTTGGACTTCAAATACATTTAAGTTTTGAACTGTCACTTAGTAAGTTGTCATATTTTACCAACTTAAAACAGTATAAAATAAAATAACTTTTTTAATATATTTAATTTGACATTTCAAGAATGTTAATGTTAAATAATAAATTTAGAATAATTTTCAATCTTATAGATAATTACGAAAAAATAAATAAAGAGAGCGAATTAAAAAAAAAAATCGATTCTCCTTTCTGAAAGACGGTTCATCGTGAAGACTTCAACATTTGTTTGAAACTAACGGAACGGTTTTCTCTTCTCACACGTCGATAATGACCTACTCTAGGAGAGTTCAGAGAGAGTCTATTGAAGCTGGAAGCTGGGTGATCTCTAGATGTTAATACGTTAGAAAAATCGCGCTCAAATAAATCCAACTTTATAGTAAACTAGTTTTGTTTACACTTTAAATTAGAAATGATGGCATTAAATGATTTGATTTCGTAGAAGATTAATTTGACATTGACAGGTAAAGATACCAACTTAAAAGTTAAGTTATTTTTTGAGGGAAAAATAAATAAATGGATGGAAGCTGACGTTTCTTACTTTCGCACGGTTATTCGAATAGCTTTATTCAATTTAAAACGGGGAATTATTCTGTTAAGGTTCGCAAATAACCATCTACCCACGCATTATACTCTTCTCTGTTCGCGCTCAACTCAAACTAAAAATTCTAAACAAATTTTGAACCAACCTAAGCTAACGATTATAAATTTGATTACAATTATATATTATTTAAATTTTATTCTATTTTTTTCATTTTTAGATGGTATAAAGCAATAACCACCTGTATATAACAAAACAGATATTTATATCCGTTCAGAGAGAGAATGACGTTTAGTGATGCATTTTAATGAGTTTGTACCAGAGGTGACTGTAAAGTGCGCGGACACGGAATTGTGTGCGTAACTGTAAAAATTAACGATTTAAATGAAATACTTTGGACGAAGCGTTACATTCCGAAAGAGAACCGTAACCAGATCCTCTTTGAACCTTTTAAAACATCGTCGCTTTAGGTTACATAACTCTCGCTTCCCACCACGAAAACGTGCATAATCCTTAAAACGTAAAGCGTTGGCCGTTTTATAACAACAAAATTGATCGTGTTATCACCCCAACTTATAAACTGTGGGTAATTTGCAAAAAGACCTTGACTGTTCATAATATACGTCTATCTCCGACTCTGTTGTATGTTTCATAAATAAATGTCATTTCCTACTAGTCGTTTTGCAACACCGCGCTCTGGCAAGAGTATGGTGTATGCGACGAAAAGTGGAAGGAATGTTATATAAGGGGTTTTACAATTATTAAGGTGTGGTGTGAATACTTTTGTAATTTTTAATATTGACACTATACAATTTATTATATTAGAAAATTTAATTTTTAATAATTAATGATTAATAACTTTTTCGTCAGTTTCTCCATTATTCGTCTAATAAGAAAACTGATTTCTAATTATATGCAATGAACAATTAAACATGGACATGAAGCATGGTAGTTCTGTGGTATTATCCTTGACATCTTTTTTGATGGTCCATAACATCCTTGCCCTTAGTCAAAATCGCTTGATATTCTTTATTTTTCAACATATGGCATCCCTTTACACTACCTCAGCCATCACCCAACATAATCCTCGACTAATTCTCACTACTTGATATCTCTGACGTCTTCCTCAACATCATCTATGACATCAAAATCGTCAGTGCAAGTGCATAGTAGTTTCATTACGAAGGTTACTGCTTTCATACATTGCGAGTTATATGAAATTCTCGTTATATGCAGTGGAAAGTAAGTGTGCAAAAATTTGACCTCAAAATGTTGATGCATCTATACGTTTTTAAAGCTACTGCATCCATTTCTATTATGATGTTGTATGTAAACAATGATTCAAAAACGTAATTAGCTGCGAATACAAGCTTTCGTAACCGGTTGTTTACACTTAACGCGGAAACTTGAATCAACTGTGGAGAGTTAATTCCTTTAACCGGAAGTGGCTCTAAACCTGAACACATGTCGAGACATCAATAAGAAATTTATATCATAAAAAACTTAAATATCAAATATACATACCGCGATGTAAAATATTTAAAAATATAATTCCAGAAATATCTTGAATATCTACTTTAAAACTTTTAACGTAAATTACACTGACATTACTTTGAATGTATAAACATTTTTAAACACGTGTTTCTGAATATCATGTCCTTTTGTAAAATTGTTGTGAAATTTAGGTGGATTAAGAAAGGAGGAATTAAAAGGATAAAAAGATTTAATTTATTTATTAGATTAAGAAAATTTAAAAAAAGATTTAAATTTTTATCACGGTGCGATGACGAGTTATTGTTTGAAAAGAATTTATCAAATTTTCAAAGTTATAAAGCATTTTATCAATTTTCACATCCTAATTTACCGTCAACAACTGCAACATGACTCACATTCCAACCATTTTAATTGCTAATAATTTCCACTTCCACAACTTACAAGTACTATATACGGCAAAGAACTCACTTAATAAAATTTAAAACCATAAAATTCACGAGAATTTCTCGCTTTCGTTTGTCATAAGTCATAAGAATATAATTTATTATATTAACTTAAAAAAAGTATGCGACGCAATTTCATTATTTGTTAAATAAAATAAGTAATTAGAGATAAACCGGGTATAATAGAATCATCCTGTATATAGGTAGGTATTTTTTTTTAAAGCAAATAAAAAAGGACGCATATAAATAAATTGTGTATCCTTGAAGATGCGGCAGCAAAATGATTATACAGGTTGAATGAGGATCGGTATATTATCGTGAAGTGAATTCATTTGAAAAGCCGCGCCTCGACTTCTCTTCTTAATTAAAAAGTCGGAGGTGACTTTACGTGGGGGACTGTTGTGTAACACGAACCCAACGAAATTTACACTCCTTTTAACGGGAGAATTTTCTTTAACATATGCAACATTACAATCCCACATCATACAACACTTTTCATTCTTATTAAATTCTCATTATGCAAAAAAATAAGTAGGTACATATTTAAAAAGTGACAGTTATTATTATTAAACAAATTAATAATTTGGAGTTAAATATAGTTTCAGCTACTACCCGCTAGAAAAATTAGAAATTCTTTAAAAACAATTTGTAAATCTTTTGAACTCAGCGATTTGAAACCGAATCGTTGATTACATATCTTGGTAAAGATACAAAGCCTCTTATAAGAAGACAATTCGAATCGACGAGGTCACTTACGGGCGAGGCGCTAGATCTAGATAAGGGACTTTATATCTTTACCAAGATATGCAGTCAAATATTTACCCTCAAATGGCTGGGGTCACTCTTATAAGAAGAGATCTATCCTCAAATCGCCGAGGTCGTTTGCGGGTGAGGCGCTGGATTTGATGTATCAATACCAAATCGTCAGCTTTGGAAGATTTAGCGCCTCGCCCGCAAGCGACCTCGGCGATTGGAGGCGAAGTCGTTCATTACACATCATGGTAAAGATACAAACTCTTTTATAAGAAGAGATTTATCTTCAAATCGCCGAGGTCGCTTGCGGGCGAGGCGCTGGATTTGATGTATCAATACCAAATCGTCAGCTTTGGAAGATTTTAGCATTCATTACATATCTTGGTTAATATGCAGTCTCTTTTACCCTTAAACCGCCGAGGAACTAGATTTTAGGCGCGAAATGTAGCGCTTCGCCCACAAACGACCTTGGGCGATTTGATACAAAAGGACCAAAAAAGAAGGCTTACCACAGAGAATAATCAAGAGCTTAGATTTCCAAATCAGAAACCGATGAAAATTGGATTCTCTTGGAAACCTTTCTACTTGAATCTTTGGAACCTAAGTAGTCATTTAAGAACGATTTATAAAAATACCCAAAAATCTAATGTTTTGTTTATTACTGCATGATTTTTCTTTGGGCACTCATCTCGGTGGAACAACTCAAAAATTGCAAAATTTCAAAAAAAACTTGTTTCAAAGATAAATAATTTTTGATTTGCGATAAACGTTAAATGAAAAACTCAACACACTGCATATAAACAATATAAAAGTAAAAACTTTTAATCTAAATGTAAACATTAAAGGCGCTTTATAAGCAATGGACACAATCGAAATGAAATCATTATCATTAGGCCTTGAAGTATAAGGAGAAATGAAACAATTAAAAGAAGTTTAGAGTTTATAAAATAGGGATTGTTTACAAGTTACTAATCTTTAATTTTAGCTTTATACATGTGTAATTAGGACGTGAGGTATTTTATTTAAACGTTACGTAACTAATTGTGACGTATTCTTTTTTGTAAACAAATCTTATTGTTAAAAAAATTGATTGTAAATTTAATTAATTATTAATAAGGGTGCAATTTACGATGAAATGAAAACTTTTTAAGTGAATTAAAAGGGTCAACGACATTTCGAAAGAATCACCCTCATGTTTCATTTTTAAAAGTTCATCATCAATCAAACTCCAACCCCCCTTTTTAAACCCTCTGGCAATGACAACATACTATCTCTTTGTCCTCTTTTTCAGATTTTATCATCGTTTTATGCACTCGCTTCACCGTTTATATATATATATATATATATACTATAGATACATAAAACTTGTCCGGTTAAAATAGTATTTCCGTTTATCACGCTATTAGAAAAAAACAACGACGATTTTAATCGTTTAAAAAAATTAATTACAATTTTAAGTAAACTTTTGAAAACTTATTACTTACGTGTGCATTTTATTTTTACCCATTTTGGTTCAAAACTCCAAATAAAGTTGATTCGATGAAAACAAAAACTTAATTAAGAAATGTATTAATTAAAAACGACACCAATTTAATTTGTTTAAATGGCACAAATTATCTAAATGCGACCGTCACCTAAGAAATTTTAAACGCGACTAAAGAGAATCGACACTCGACGGTGAAACAAGTGAAGGGTCATAACCAGTCGCGGCCAACTGGTCAACTAAAAAAAATAAAAAAAAACTCGGTAATAGTTTTCAAACTCCGCGGTGTGCAACATAGGGATATAGCGCCATCTGTTTGGAAATAGCGATATTATAAATTAAAGATTTCTATTTTTAATAACCATTTTAAAATAATTTTTAATTAATAATTATTAATTATTATGATTTTAATCGGATTTGTGCTTTTAACAAATTTATTATTTTAGGGTTAAAATTTGAAATCGGGTACGAAACGTTTATGAGAGTGCAAAACTATTTGTTCAGTTTATGATATGTTAATTGCGTAAAAGATGAGGCCTGATTGTTCTTCCTTATTGCGCTCGGAAAGCGAGTATATTGGTCACATCCTATACACTATTTAGATAGTAACGTAATAAATAAGACCAACAGAGAACAATAACCCAACTATATTTTCTTTTCTAAAAATTATGTAATTTTTTTATTGTGCAGAATTGGCTCATTATGGACGACTTTTTTCATATATCGTAATCATTCTATAACCGTTCGAATAGAATTGCTTTGTTTAACTCTCTTAAACGTACATCCTAAAATAATAAACTTAATCTCCAAATTCCCAATTTAACATAAAGTAAATAAATTTTCTTGATTTTCCAGGAAACACAAAAACATTCATCATAATATCATAGCGATTAATGTTTGATTTAAACATCATGTTCACAGTGTAAATAAGGAAAAAGTAACCATATTAGCGTTTATGGCAACGATCATATTTTGAATGATTACAAATAAATAATAAATTGCAAACTTTTACGAAAAGTAAGCTTATTTGGAACGAATGTGGAATTATTAAGAAGCCAAATTCGATTGGCAGGAAAAGCGCGAAAAGAAATGAGTTGAGATTAGATGATAAATTTTTGGCACTCATATTATCAAAGGAAAGCAGTTCAGTGTACTACTTGAGAGTGTTTCTGGTAATAAGAAGGAAAATGATAAATACGGATTTACAAATGTGGATTTCTAAGCTTAAAGTAAGTTGAAGTAACTAAATTGCTTTCTAGTGAATAAAGTTTTTGCTCACCCTAATTTTTTTAACTGTAGTACAGAGAAACAAAATCTTTGGCTAATAAATCATGTTTAGGGAGGCCAAAAATATTAACGGAGTGTGAAGAAGGTATAATTGTAAAGAAAGTTATTAAGTAACAGGCCATAAGTGCCAAATGAGGAATCAGACAAATAAGGAAGCGAGAATATCAGGCTGCCTTAGAGATATAATATGGCGCAACAAATACATGGGTGTCGAAAGCAAAGTCCGAATATACAAGGCGTTTGTGCTACCTGTACTCACCTATGCAGCCAAAACTAAAGCCAAACTTTCCACATAAAAGCTGTAATGAGAACTACAAAAATGAGAATTTTAAGAAGTATAAAATTCATTACAATTTGAAACAGAGTACAAAATGTGAACATAATAGGTGATCTGGGAGTGCAGGACATGGTGAGATGGACGTGAATACGACATCGGCAATGGAGGGACCACGAAAAACACAAAGACCAGAAACCAAGTGTCTAGTTGAAAGACCACGCAAACGCTGGCAGGAAAGCTTACCACAAGAAGAAATGAACCAATAGCAAGAAGAAAAAGAATCATATCCTTAATCACACTATTATTTAAATATTCAACCTTTTTTGTTTTTTGTCGCTCTTAGTAATTCATTAAATACCTAAGATATGAACCAACAATGATAAGAAAAGTTTTGTACCTTTTTTTTAATTTTATCAAAACCCACTTTGATAAAAGAAAATCGTTTAAAATGACGATCATTTCTTTATTTCAAAGAATAGAATGGAATGAAGAAGTATTTCAAAATTTCTAAAATATTAATTAAAACCAATACGATTCGACATATCATGAAACACATCAATAGTGGCCGGGTTCAATTGATGATTAAAAAATTCATTAAAAATGCCGTCAAGGTTCGTTAGTATTTTTAATAATATAAAAACCGATCGAAACTTGAAAAGTTTAAAATAAAACTATTTCGTATTCTACGCGAGTTAAATTTTGCGTGTGATTCGTTCGATAAATAGATTTCTTCGAAGAAATCGAATTGAAATGGGTGAAAATGTATAAAAAAACTTTCACATTCTTCTTTAGGTATGGAAAAAACATTAATAGGTACTTACTTTTCGATTTCTTCCTCTTTCTTTTCACTTTCTTTCTCCTTTTCCTTCTTTTTCTCTTTCTTTTTCTTCTTTTCGTCGACTTTTTTTTCATCACCCCCATTGGCGACTTCTTCTTTCTTCATTTCCTTTTCATCGTTGATGGTTACCGTTGTTGATTGGGGTGGAGGAGGTAAATCTTCCATTTGAACTTGTTGCTCGTCAGGTGGCGTTGGCGGAGTCTTGTCAAATTCGGCGATCGGCGCCATTTCACCACCACCACCGCTCACCATTTCACTACTTGACATCGGCGCTATAGAATTATTTTCCATTATAAATTTTTATTCGGTTATTTTTAAGATGTTTTTCACTTCACTTGTTCTTTGGTTACTTTTTTAAGTTTTATTTCATTTTTGAAAAATTTGTTAATAGTAAGTAGTCGAAGATTCACAGCCAACTAAAATCCAACCGAGTTTTTTGAACGTCCGAGACGATCTGAGTCGACTTGATTGCGTTTGCGTGGTTAAAAGCTTAGAGTTTCGATAGATGGCGTTGAAATGCGCTTTATGTTTTTGAGTTTAGTGGAAATTTTTAATGGATTTTCGCTATCTGAAAATTAAAAATTGTACAAAAATATGATTTTTGTTTATTCAAATTACTTAAATTGTTTATTTTTAAGTAAAATTTTGTTGGTAAAGCCGTTACAAAATGCATACATATTAATTTTTGTAGCCCTTAAATTCAGCGCGCGTTTCCTGTCTGTGGTCAACGGTGTGAAAAGTGTGAGTAATTACGTTTGGCGGACCGTGAAAGGTTGAGAAATCGTCCGGATGGATTTAAAAATGAAAAATTTTCGTAAAAATTAATATTAAATTAAGTGCATGTGGAACAAAGAAGGTCATAAGCTTGCGCATTGGCGGGAAAACACTCCCAGATTTTCAATATAATATCTATACGATTCAATACGATGTTAAAACTAAAAAAAAAAGAAAAAAAATTAAAACAAAAGTAAAAAATTGAATCGAATCGGATCTAAAACATATTATTAACTTAAAGAAAGTTACTCACCTTCTTTTAAAAAGTAGTTTTGAAAAATAAAATTTAAATTGGACGGTTGTTGTTTATTACAAATAGCGTTGTAAAAAAAATAATTTGTTCCAATTTTTCGTTTCGGATTTTCGTTCCGGATTGGGAGGATGGATGCACCGGGGGAACTCGAGGTCACACAACTACACCCTGTTTTCGGGTCGGTCCGGGACACCAAAAGCGCATACTCTCGAATCGAGCTGTTCCCATGGAGACAGGTCCTGGACTTCCCGTTTTCCATCCTTATCACTTCTCCCCATTTTACATCTCCGTTCAATCCCATATCTCGATATCACTAGAAATTATCTCTATTTATAGTGCGCTTGTTTAGAAACTCACACTTTATTTGTTTTGTTAACGAAAAATTGTTTTAAAAATTTTGTAAATCAATCAACAAGCTTAAATATGCCGAGAATTTCATATAACTCGCAATACATGAATGTAGTAACCACAGTTACGAAACTACTATGCACTTGCACTGTCCCACATAAAATGCAAGATAGCTTAATAGTACAGAGATTGGGTAGTTTTGCAAAGGAAAAATTTTGCTTGGAAAAGGTGACGTCCTTATGATAACGAGCGGCTAAACCCGAACGATTCTAGTTCTTGATCTAGCGCTGCATATCAATTAATACTAGAACTAACACTAGAACTAGAAAGTTTCAGGTTTAGCCGAACGTCTCTCAAGATGGCTAAACCCAAATGATTCTAGTTCTGCTATATCAAGTTCTAGTTTGATGGTAGCACTGTTACTATGTAGAACTAACACTATACCTAGAACCACAATTAATTTCGGTTTAACCACACGTCTCTAAAGACGGCTAATATTGATCCGTTACATCGAGGTTTTACTGTAATATCAAATTATATTGGCATATTCCAAGGACAGTAGAATCTAACTGTTAGATTGAAAGACTATTACGACAAGTACACCAAATTTGTCAAAAGAATTAGGAGCTGTAGCATAGAGGCATTCTTTATAGTACGCAAAATTTATATTTATGATTTACATCAAAAAAGTTTTGTATTCCTAATTTTGACGTTTATGTAAACATTTAACCTTTTGGTCCATTCGCTATTGACACGAAACCTTCCACTTCAGGCGAACATATTCGTTTGCTAAGGTTCGGTTTTCAGAAAGACTTAGAAGAGGTAACACGGTATTGGAAATCTCTCCTACGCAACATACAGATAGAAGTGGTGGAAGATATTATCAGATGGGGACGTAAACGCAGAACAATAATGGTTTAATTTCATAGCAAATAACACTATCAAGATCGTTGCATGAAAATATGTTGTTATTCGACTTGACCTTGACTTGTTCACAAAACGTTTGAATCGATAGCTCGCTCTTCCATCATGCCACAAATGCAGTATTTTAGATAGAAATAACAAAAAGAGGGAAAAAGATTGATGTGGTTATAAGAAATAAGATACAAGAAACATAGTATCTAAAGTGAATCACAGTATTGACCACAAGAGTTCAAATTCAGTTAAGGTGATACAATATGAGTATGAATAGCAAGGACTTTCTGACTCTAAATAGCTATCCCAACACAAATTTTGCACCTTTCATTTAAATTATGCAGACATTTTTTTTTGGAGCAAAAAGTATCAACTCGGTGTTGCCAACCGGAAATTTCGAACGAATTTATCACTAGAGTATATAAATTTGTGTTTATTTTGGCACATGGTTCGTGAACCCATTCCTTAAACGATTTATGCTGAAAATTCTTAGTATAAAAACGAAAGAGGAGTGGGGAGATTATAGATCCTTGGGGATAGCTAGTACTGATTGAGACGAATGTTGACTTCTTACTGTTGGCAATTACAGAATACTATCTACATAATCAGATAGAAAAGCCATCCTCTCATCATTTAATAAATGTCTTCTTATTAATTTCCGTTAATGAAAATTTCCCTTAAAATAATTAAATCAAATTTAGATACCTTTAATAATGATGCAAAACTTTTCTTCATATTTGCTCACTATAATTTTTGAGTAATATATGAAAGATATATGTCTAAAATATACTGCAACCCAAGTCTAAGTCTATTATTGAATACCTCCATAACTTAGGAAAGTACCATTTAAAAAGGAATAAATAGAATTGGAAGGTAAAATAAAACATACACTGCAATGATACACATAAATACATTTTACTAATACCCCTGTCTCATTTTCATTTTTTTAAGAGATAAGGTTTCAGTACATCAAATACTCGTTTATAATTTTTCGTCTTATTTAATCATATTTCGCAGTCATTAGCTTCGTTATCATCTAGCTTAGCGCCTTTAGTAGTTTTACTCCCTTATGTAATTTGACAAAATAGACGTTTTTATATTTTGTAGACGTATTTTTTCTGTTCCTCTCCTACCCACTCTTAAAATATACATAACATATAATATATATCTTTTTTCATTTAATATATACTTCTTTTTTGATCTGTTTTACATAAAATCTCTTTATCTTTTTAAATATACATAGTGATCTTTAATATTACCTATATAGTAGAGTCCTTTTAAAACATTATTTTTATCGTGTGGGGCCTGTTAACTTGAATTTTTTCTTCAAGTTCAAAAAATTCGAGTTAAAGGTTACAAATAAAATAAAATTTTAATAATTTAATAAAACTTTTAAATAACAGATTGTTTTTCGAGGTTCATTTTACTTCAAGAGAGGCTGGTTTCTTGTTTTGAAAACAAACCTCGGAAGCCAATTTTTATGTTCCTTTCAGCGTGTTTTAATGTATAGATTAGAGTACTTACAGCAAAAAAAGGTCTCAGTTTTCACTTTATTCTTAAAACGATTAACGTACATGTACCCCATCGATATCGCTTCAGAAAAAAACGGATATGTAAAGCTTAAAGATTTCTAAGCTTTCAACATTGAGGCTGGTTTCAATGTTGAAAGCTTTTAATTAATTTTTTTTCTCCGTTTTTACTTAACCTCTTTATCCTTTTCCTTTTCTTGTATTGGTGCTGGAGGTAAAGCTTTTAAAATAGCATGAACCTCCTCAGCAACCGCCGTTAGCACAAATTCAAATTGTTGTTTGGTTGCAACCATCTTCGGTCGTTGATCTCTCAAGTGTTCCAAAGTTGCCGCGATATCAATTTCTTTCGCCCCTTTAGCCATTCGGCTAAGTACCATGTCGATTAAGCAATATGTTCCTGTTCGTCCTGCCCCATCGCTGCAATGGACTACTATCGGGCAAGATCGACCACGATAAGACTTATTCACTTTACGTCGAAATTCTAACAAAGCTTTTGTTGATGATGGTACACCCGATTCCGGCCAGGATAGAAAATGAAATTGGGTTACGGTACGTGTTTCACCGGTACGAACATTTTTTAAGTAGAATGAACGTACCAGGTAATCATCGCACCAAATATGCTCGCTTACCAAATGTACTTCATAAATGTGGTAGAGTTCAGATCCTTCTTCAGGCCAATATCTAAAAAAAGTATATATAAATATTTTACTTATTTTTGCAAGTATGCAACCAAATACGCAAATCGCGTATTGAAATACGAATACTGTGATATTGGTTGCATACTTGTAATAATGACGCCGGGTACGATAATTAATTAAATGGCACCACATAGTAAATGTCTAATGATTTAATATGTAAATTTGTTACCTATGACACATCGCAGCTCCTCCTTCAGTTAATCTCGTCAACATAACAATAACAACAGCTCCCTGCTCCCATATTAACTGCCAGAAATCAGGTGCAGTATGCGGTAATGGTCCTTGAGTGGCAATATAAGCTGGATTCCTTGGATCATGATCAGTAATACTTGAAGCGTTAATATAATCAGATCCATTCTCATTTGATAATTTGTTCAAAACAACTCTGGCATGATCATAAGGTAATATTTCTGGATAACGATTCTTTTCGCAATTATCTTTATTCAAAGCAAGTTTACATTCACTTGGTTCCGCCAAATAAGCACACAAAGCAATCCATTCCTGTTCCAAACGATCTTTATTACGCAAATGATCCTCCATGTAAGTGAGTACCATATGTCCGGTTGAAATATCCATATTGTGAAGGGCAGGTTCTTCGCTCCATGAAGAAGTACTTGATCGGCTTGATGGACTCTGTTCGGATTCTTTTGATAATGAAGTAACTCGTCCTCCGTGAGCTGCTGTTTCCGGTTGCTGTTGTTGTTTGGTAGCCATTCGAGCTCGACATAGATCTTGGTAATCTTTACTTGCCTCAGTATCCGGTCGCGTTAAACTGTCCAATTTTTGTTTCGAAACGATGTGTTTTTTGATTATTATCAAAATTATTGAACCGATTATCAACGCGGCCAAAATACCGCAAATTGTAAAGAGAATTACGTAAAATTGAGCCAGTTTTTCATTTCTATTGATTATAACCGAACCCATTTTTACCTTTTTTAATAAAACAAACTTCAATTTAATCATTTTTTAAAAAGAATTTAGTTGTTGAACTTGGAGTACAGTTTATGACAATGATTCTAATCTTAAGTTGTTAAGTTAATTACAACTTCATTTATTATCAAGATAAATTCAAATTATTAAAATAAGAATGATTGTCGTAAACTGTAATGTTACTCAACTTACCTTGTCACCAACCCCCAATCCAATGACGTCCAAACCAGTTTTAGCTTTTACATCATCAATTAACACTCCAAGTCTTTTGGCAACTTCAGAAGCATTCAAATTGTGTTTGTTTGCCATTACTTTGAAAGTTACCTCATTCACCCCAACCCTTCCATCGCCCAAAACACCATTCTCAAGCTTTAATACCTTTGATATATTTGAAATTACCTCTTCGCCTTTGCGCCAATTTTCAATTTTTTGTTTAAATGTTACGTAAACGTAATCCGTATCAACGTTGAGTATGTCGTGAGATGGATTTGGGTGCGCTCCACGGGGTTCTTTCTTAACGACATTAAAATTTTCATCGATGGTATCTATTTGAGGTGTATTTTGGGGCAAATCGAATCGTGGTCCAGGTTTTTTAACGTCCAATCGTTCCGGACGTTTAAAACTTGAAGTGTATTCGGACATAAGATCAGAGAAATCTTCATTTTTAGGGGTTTCTAAAAATATAATTACATTTTAGGTTATCAAGGAATGAAATTTTAGGTTAGGATTAGGTTTGTTTTGATGTTGAAGTAAAAATCTCCATGGTAACTGATTAGACGTAAGGTTGGTCAACGTTAAAAAATAAAAATTTTTCATGAATAAAAATACATAACCTCAAATATTAAAAAAATTTTTTTATATATTTAAAAAATTAAATTATTTACCAAAATCCATTTTAGAGTCATAAACAACTCCACCTTCTGTGTATAACCCAGCTTCTTTATTATTTTTCCGATTATTTCCAATAAAATCTTCTTCTTGAAGTTGCTTCAATTCCCTGAAAACATCCCTGTGATGATCATTTCCAACATTTTTCAATCCTTTAACCGTTTTAAAAAGTTCCCCACTTCCATATTCCTTTCCATTATCCTCATCTTCGTCATAATAAACCCTCGATTCCGGAATTTCATCCCGATTTTGCCCATTTTGTGCGTTAAATTCCGATTGAAATGAATCGATTTCCATCGGCACGTTTTGATCAAAAAACTCATCAACGTTAATATCCTTTGGACTTTCGATATTATCAAAATCCTGAGACAATTTTGAAAGTGTTTTAAATTTTGCCGAGGTTGGGAGAGTTTTAAAGCGTTCAGTTACATCTTGTAATTGAGTTAAGTAATCGATAATTGGGTAAAATTCGGCTAATTCGACGTTGTTTTTGGATTCAAACTGATTTGGATCGAAAATATCTCTGGTTTCTTTACCTAAACGAAAATTTTTTGGGGTGTTGTAATCTTCGGTGAAAATTTGGGTTAATTGGGAACGTTTATCGATGTCAAAATTAGCTAAAGGATCTTCCATATCATACACTAAATCAAGAATGGTTTAAGTAAATATGAGAAGTGAATAATAAAGAGGTAGTTACAATCTTCGATGTTATCTGGTAAAATTTCCTTTCTAGTTTCCATTTGTTCATTTGAAACAGGTGGATAATAAACTTCATCTGCGTAACGTCCGAAAGGATCATTTTTACTCGGCGAGAACCTAACGATGGCTATTTGATCGGGATCTGGTTCATCTTCTCCTTCCAAAGCTCTCAACGCACCTTCTAAGTCTTGATCGACCAATTTATAACATAAATCTGGTTCGAAAGGTAATCTATGTAATCAAAGAACAAAAAATTATTTCGAATCAATTTTTGTATTATTTTTTTCCATACTCGTTTTGAATGGAATACAACATCCCTTGAAGCCTGCACTGTGTGTAAGTATGACTCCATCGATACCCCAAAGCAAATAAACGTTTCAATTCGGTACTTAATTTATGGAGGGTTTCCTTCGTTAAATCGTGCCTGAATAATTCGTCTTCTTCGATGTTTCCCGTTTCCGGGAGACATCTGCCGAAGACGTTATCATCGTAACAAAATTCAATTTCTTCCAAACACAAAGATTCACTAAATAAACACCCTAAAAATAAATAAAGATATATAAATGGCTTCATTTATTTATTTATTTTTAATTTGTGGTACTTCTTACCTACATATCCTTCAGCTTTGGTGTAATGTGGTGTTAAAATAACGCCGAGTAATAAAAGGATAAAAGTTAAGGGCGTATCAGGCCACGGCATGGCCTGAAAAGAAAGCAATAATTATTATGGAATGGGAAAAATGTTGATGGTATAAAACGCGCGATTGTGTGGTAATAATGGTATTTCTCTGTTTCTTGGTAGGAATGTTGAGGGGGAATGGCACATCAGGGGGTTTATTGAGGCGGAAATATATCTTCATAGAAAGCGGTTTCTCATTAAGGTCTTTAATGTAAATGAATTTTATTTTAATCATTTAATTAATTTTTTTTTTGCGTTTCACGTATCTATTTTTAAATCTATTTCCATACCACGAGTATTGATTTTTTTTCATGAACTTACTCGTTTCGATGTGTTTTTATTTTCATAATTTTTTTCCCGTTTAATCGCAATTTAATCATACTATGCAATAACCTTGATTATTTTCAATCACAACACCAATTCATTACTTATAATCCCTCATTTTGAACCGTCAACAAATCAATATTTTCAATCTTCCAGAAATGTTCCCAAATATGATTTAAATTCATTTCGAAAATTACATAATGAAAAGACATACATACATACTACATCCAAGTAAATAAGCAACAATTCAGCGTAAAGTTAAAAATTAATGCAAAATTATCATAAACAGGTGAAAAACTTGTAATCTAAAACCGTTTACGGAGTCAAACAGGTGGGCGACGCCATCGATCGCCGCCTGAAAGACGTCAACGACGCTGAAAAATTCGAAAAGTTTGACGTCTTCAACAATAATTTGCCTCAAAATTTTCAATCCTCTCAAAATGTTGTTGATTAATTAATACTACTATATTTTTTAATAATTAAAGAAAATACAATAATAACAAATAAATACCTGTTGTTAAACCCTGAATTGGTTTAAAGCATGATGTTTGAGTGTTGTTGGCGTCGGGACGCTCTTCAAAAAAAAACTTGATGACAATTGTTGTTGTCACACGATCTTTGACGTTTTATCGAAGATGGGTTTTAGGAACCGTTGACGAGTGCTCCGGGATGGTTGTGGGTCTGCCCTTTGGTTGGGATCTTTTGCTGGGGGCGCGTCGTAATCAACAGAACGGCGCCGGCGTCGCGCCTACGTTTTTCGACGTTGTGGAGGCGTCCCCGCGCTACGATCGATTTCTATGACTCTTTTCTCCAGGGGGAACCAGCGTAGGACGTTTTCATCCAAAAAACTACCACCAAACGATCACCTTTGATATCCTAAAAATATCCAAAGAATTACTTCTGTATTGATAATTTATATTTAAGAAGTTAATGTAAACGGAATTTTTATGAACCGTTTTTTAACCGGATACTAACAAAAGTGGACTAATGAGGGGAAATGGACGTTGGCGATAAGAATTCGGTTGAGGGGGGATATTTAATGCAATCAGAAGCTGATAAAAACTTGTAATTTTACTAGGTTCAACATGTTTGCGGTTTGTTGCCACAAAACCACACTAAACGCGTTTAACCGGTTGATTACTCTTTGCGATAATTTCACAGGTATTGATTTGTGTATTGATAACAGTTATAATGAGGTTATTAACTTTAGATTATTTAAATTAAAGATTTAATTTAAATTAAATCACAAATATTACAGAAACATAAATAAATTTCAAAATATTTCAGAGAAAAGAAATTTTAATAAGTTTAATTTAAAATTACAGTTTCCTATAAATAAAAGTAATGTTTAGAACCCGTTTATTCCGTAAGATGGCACAGCATTACTTTCTAATTCAAATTTAAATAAATTTTCATAAATTATTTTATTTATGAAACTTAAATAATAATTTATATATTTTTTCGTTTGGGTATATTACTGAAATTTGTGAAAAGAACTTGTATTTTTACGTCACGCTAACCTAAAAATTACTCACTTCTAATAAATGTCATTTTGACATTTAAAGTCAAGGGTGTTGCATCATTTATCATTATCATTAATAACAAAAATAGAGCTAGAACTAAGAAAGCTAAAAGAAAAATAATTAAAGTTTATTCTAAAATACCTTCATTAAAAGTCATTTGGTGAATTAAAAAGTATTCTTTTATACAGCACAAAAAAGTTAAATTTGGGATGTTACCTGACAGATTTAAGTCAAATTCATGGCATCATGAATCAGAGACTATATCCTTTTATAAGAGGATTAGAGCAAACATTGCGCTGAACACACATTCCGTTCCGCAATAAATGTTAGGCTATTTTATTTTGTATCATGCAATTTGGTAGGGTGGTAGGCGTAGTTGATTATAAAGTTGAACATGATGTGACAGATAGTTTTATTCCTGCGATGTCTTTGTGGTCATGAACTGGGTTAGACCATGCCTCTTGTACAGTACGTGAATGTTATTACCGTGTGGTATCTTAAATTGCACAAATTTCCCGTAGAAACTGACTGTGGAAGGAAGTCACCTCCTCAGTGTTTGACTAAAGCGGTCCGACAACACGCATAGCAGTGTTTTCGTTACATTTAGTTGTCAGAATGAAAACATCGAATTAGCCTAAAATACACTCACAATCAGAGGTACTTTTCTAAACTATATTAACTCTTCTAACTATATTAAACAATACTGGAGATAAGTGGTACGAGGTATGAAGGCAGACATTACGATAGGCATTGCGAATGACAGGTATGATCAATATCCTGAAACACAAATGGGGATGTTTAACACCACTTTTTCATTCGCTCGACTTATTGGTTAATAATTACGAGCTGTAATATTTGCCTAATAATTAGGTTAATATCAAATAGGTGGACAATATAAAGAAGGTAAGCACCAATGCAACCCAACCCAACCCAAAAGTAAATAGAGGCATCAATGAAACTTGACCAATTATTTTATTAAAACCGAGTAGTTTTATTATAAATCCAGGGCTTGAAAATAATAATGTGATTAAATAATAATATGAAACAGGAAACTTCAATTTAGTATAGGAGAGTGCGAGACACGTTTTCTAAAGTTGAATTATTCAAATGCTGAAAGTGATAAGAGATATAAGACTGTATTCGTGATCGATTGAAATGTGAAAGAAAAAGTGATGCAACAAGTCTCTAGTCTCGAGTGAGTACTACGTAAAGACCATCTTGAAAATTTTGTAAGAGTAGTACACATGGAAGAGCATTGTGTAAACTCGAATATATTTGAAAGGTGTAAAATAAATTTAATGAATTTTTTTTTATTACCTTATCGTTTTATAACGTAACACGTCTTCCGTCTCCTAAGCTTCTATTCTCCATAAAATTGTATATCTCCTTCTGCCAATTTTTCTCGATCTACCAAGTTTCCTCCTTCCTACAGGTTTCCAGTTGATAACTTGTTTTTAGATTCTACTTTCAGGCAATTTTTGGAGATATTCGTAAAATATCAGTTGTCTAAATTTTATCTCGTCCACTATTGTATGTATAACGTTCGTTTTGATTCGTCTGGATTTCTCCAGAAATATTAGAAATATTTACTATTTTGTTAGTGTCGAATTGGCGAAATACAGTGTATAGATCCATAGGAGATGAGTATTCCTATATCCCTAAATTTTTCCCACTCTTTAAGAACTTATTCCAAATATATCTTGAACAGTGTTGGTGAGAAGTGAGAAACAACACTCTTGTTTCAGACCGTGAAAATGCAAGTTTGAACGCGTTTTGATACAAACACGTTTAACATCTTTACAAACAAGCGCAACCGTGTCATGGGAGTATTTCAACAATGTGAAAATGTGTTAGTTCAATGCTAACATCATCGACCTATATTAACGTCACTATATTCTAATTGACGCAAAGAGAAATGTTAACGAATTAGAACATTTTTAATCTTTCTATTATTGTATTTAGTGTATTATTTTTGACTCTATATTCAGATCAATATTTATTTTAGTTTGAAATCAATATTAAGTTGTACTGTTTGTTTCGTATGTGTCTTAAAATAAATAAACTTATTTTCGTTTGAATTGAAATCGTTTGCCTCATGTTAAAATTATTGCCTCGAATGTGTGTTATTCAAAGGAATAAATTTTAATGCGCTGAAATCAATTATATCAGGAATTCTAAAACTTTTCTTTTATCATAATAAAAATGGTCATAACCTAATTTCAGATAACTGATAAATTATAATAACCTATTTAAAAACAAATTGGTTGTAAGAAAAATACCTTTTTCATGAAACACATCGTGGCTTGAAATCGATTGATTGATGGCGCTTGAACCAAAAGAACATAAACAACCAATACAAAAATAGATCGTATACCTGCAAAATACACAATTTCGGTTGAAATGTTAAATCGAAATTCGAAAATAGAATTGAATAAATTCGCCGTACAAAAACAGAGGTTTATTGAGTTGTTTTTTGTGTTAAAGACGAAAATACCAACAATAAATTTAAACGTGGTAATCATTCTATAATTTGAGAACTATAATAATCGATAAAACCACCATTAATCATTCGAAAAATTATCAATTTTTAAAAAATAACTTTAAAAATCTAAATTGCAGTATTATATTACAAAATTATTTTTTCTATTTGCCATAAACATGATTTTTAATGTGTACTTTTTGGATGTTTCAGAATGCTTCAGGTCACTGTTGATCGTCGCCGACGTTTTCAGGACGTCTGCGCAACAACCAGAGAACACACCTGCATGCCCTTAGTTTGTCAAAAGCCATCAATCGTTCGCGATTCCCGATCCATTTCTTCAAATCGTTCCTCTTAAAAATCGTCGCCACATTTTCACATTGATTCTAAAAACATGAAAATAAATGTGTTAATAAAACAAATTTTTGTACGGTGAGTTTAAGGTGCCGTTTAAAGTGATTTTAATAACGGCAAAGAAAATACACGAAAGGGATTAATAACAATAAAAAAAGTGATTTTAAAATAGATTACAACATATCACCTGATGATGTAAATTGAAGGAAATTGGGTAAGTTTTAAAAATAATGTTCTTTTTTTGAAGGATAATTAAATGAATTGATCGATTTTTGTTTGTAACGTTGAATTCTTATTGTAAAACCCCAATTATATGTTACAATTTAATTAAAACAATCTCATTACAACTAAATCTATCCCATATAACTCAATACCGTTCCATCAGCTCCCGAAATTTCTATAATCTCCTCCAAGATTAAATTTTAGCTAAACCCAAACTCAAATTAGTCCCCAAAAGTTATCTAATCTAAATTATTTTATTTAATCCGTATTCTTCCTATATATCTTGAAATCAAATCAAATCTAATTTTAATTTTTTTCCAATAAAACAAATTTCTTTTGTGACAAAAGAATTACCAGGAAAATTACACTCAAAGAAAGAAATTAGATATCGAATAAAAGGGTATAAAGTGTATCGAAACTGCATACAACATTACAGAGTAGGTTTTAAATAACAGCTTTAACCCCATAAAGTACGAAATATCGGTTTCTCCGTGAATAATAATTTAGACTTGAGGAGCCCGGCAATTTTGAATAATTTATCATGAAAAATTATAGGTGGAGAATCGAGAAAATAAGATGAAAATAAAAAAAATAACGCACATTTATTCGAGACCCCTTTATAAAAATACAATACAATTAAAATAGCAAAGAGATTGTGAATTACCTTTTAAAATGGAGTTTAAAAGGCGATTTATGTTAAGCAATTGTGGTTGGAATCTTGAATATTCAAGAATCGCGTGACCAAACTCCGTTTATAATTTACTATTTCATTCTCTGAGACCTGCTGCAGACTGGTGCAATGGTGCAAAAATGTAAAAATACACCGTTTTCGATCGTTTAAACCATCATCTCTTCGTTACCACCTTCGTTTTTTAAATCGATCAATATGAAACATAAAACTGCTTCCAAAAGGGATATTTCAAAATTTACACAACTCAATATTGCATAATCACGCATTAATTTACATATTTTGCATAGTAAAAAGTAATTAAAAAATATAATGGGAAGATATTGATAAAATGTGAGTTAATCTAGTTATAATGGATATGACATGATGATGTAGGAAAAATGAATTCGAGTAGCCAAATATTTATGAACGTTCGATTTCCGGTTGTGGAAGTTAATTTAACGACGGGGTAGTAATTTATTAATAACTTCGCTTCGTTCCACGAAAAACCGCACAATTAACTGTATCGATTGGATCGGTAGGCGTTTTTATCATGGTTGATAGGCATTAAACCATGATAATGTTATATTTACATGTGAAAATATCTTTTATCTAATTGATAACATAATCGATTACCAATATATTTATTTATTTAAAACAATAAGCCATCAGAAAAGGTATCTTAAAGCAACCTAAGTTTTCCCATTAATTTAATCATTTAAAACCGCATCCTGATTCAGTCGAGAATCTAATAAAACCCAATTAACCCCAATTTTCTAGGCTAGAGAATTCACTTTAAAACTTCCCCTCTTAAATTGCATAATTACGTTTAGATTTCGAATTGTGTCGGAAATACTAAAATATATAAACGGATAAATTTTTATAGGTTATGATTGATTTTTGTTGTTTTCGTTTCTAGATAAATTGAAAAACCAATAACCGATAATGTAACGCGAAAACATGGAGTTAGTAGGAAAAATGTAACGTTTTTTCATTTGAAACGTTCCAATGAGTCCGAACGACCCAATGGCACGATGTTGGGTGGTCAACTCTAACCTCCAATTAATATGATAGTTGTTGTCGTTCTGCTATTATATTGTGCCCAAATAGCCGGTAAGTTCACAAAAAATTATCTTAATTATTAAACTTCATATCTAAAATATAAAAAGAAATATAATAACCAAAATTATTATTTTAACCTATAAAACATTAATTGACAGACAACACTCAACGTCAAAATTTTAATTAAAGTTTTCAACTATACCGGCATAAATTCGATAGCTCTCAATTACCATTTATTTGTTTTTATTAAAATTAATTGTTAAACGATATTCATTATTTTAGTTTATCATGTTTATAATTTTAATTTTCTTTATATAATTGTAATTTGTATGTATTTAAAAATTTTAAGATGCAATGTTACCTATTATACCAACATAAATATTTTTGTACTTTTTAATATTTTCAATTTAATGCATATTGATAATATTAAACATCTTTTATGTAAAGTTACTCATAAATTTCAGCTATAAAGCTAAAATGGAAATCGTTAGTTGTTTTTGAACGGAACCATACGCGTCACTTTAGTGTTAGTGAGCTATTACTTGCGTTAAGTACTCATAGAGGGATACACTAGTATTCAATTTTCAGAAGATTGTTAAAGTTAAAAGGGTTTAAGAAGGTTCAAAAGGGGCAATAAATTATGTGGATCATCATAGCAGGAAAAATAAGTTGCTTAATATTTAAAACCTTACATTAATAACTTGAAAAACTATTATAGCTCTTTTTAGATCGTTTGGGATTTGTGGTGCTAAAGCCCAATTAGTTTTATCTAATTGTAAGTACCAGATGATAAAATATTATCCTGTTGTAAATCAATTTTAACGAGATTTCCGATGACATTTAGTTCCCTACATGTATCATATAGTAAATTTCTGTGTTAAATTCAGTGTGTCCTTATTAGTGGAACAATGCCTGGTTGTACATTTCCTAAAATTGATTATAATCATTTAAATAAGCATATTTCCGGCTTTCCAGAATGCGATCATTTTGAGGGAAGGACTCTACTATTAATACTATTGAACCCCATTATATTAGCTACAGTGGATTCGAACAGATGTTATCAATATTAATATTAGACACGCAATATCCTAAAATCGATTCAAAATCGTTCTCTTACTTCATACCTAATCTGTTAAATAATGAAATGTTATCGACCCTGTTGGAATTTGTGCGCCCTCTAAGATGAATTTTAAGCTAAAATTATGTCGGAACAAAATGGAAATCAAGTATTCATACTTAGGGTATACCTTTACAGTTGCTGATGTCTAGTTATCTTCATTCATATTTAATTTTTTCATTGTCCCAGCAAAGCAAGTTCGCTTTCCCCTTAGCTTTATGTTGTGAGAAGTGCAAAAACTGAGTAAACCTATTTAATTAAAACAAAATTACATCCAGATATGAAAAATGTGACAATGAGTGAAAAAAATATGTTTTGCAGAGGACACGATAAACTAAATTAATTGAAAATCGATTATTCCATAAATAAAAAAGTTCTTGTCGCTGGGATTTATGAGTAACTTCAGACTTAATCCTTCAGTTTTATAGTTAATTCGTAAATTTATAATGATTTTATTTAAAGTTTCAATGCCCGTTGGTGCGGGCGTCCCGGAGAACATAACGCTTACGTTTTTAACACCAACGTCGTTACGCGTGTCCTGGGATACATCCGTGGATCACGTGGATAAATACGACGTGTCTTATAAACCCACTGATGCCAGGTAAAGTTTTTTTTAAGCAATTATTAAAGTTGGTTTTAACTTAAAAATGAAATTGCCAATAAAATTTTTGTTATTTCACTTCATTTTCCTTTATATTTCTTTTATTTTCTTATCCGATCTCCATTACGCTCAGTATTATTAGTTCTCCTAAAACATGTCTTTAAGTTTATGAGATTAATTAAAAAAAGTTTTGACTTGAATCGTTGTAAGTATTTCCAGAATAAACGAATGCGATAGTTACAGGGTTGTTGCTATGGTCGCCGGTAATTCGGATGCCGTCACCCTCAGCGGATTAAAACCGGACACCCAGTATCAGCTCTTTGTTATAGCGGTCTGGAACGGCACCAGATATAGAAGTAGACCGATTGTCTTCCGAACGATGGGTAAGATCTATTACAACATTAACGTCTGTATATTCAATGTAAAGCGATATCCCACATCATTGTTTCAAAGTTTAATTACTTGACTTGATGGCCAGTGTTCTTAATGCGCTTCCTGAAGTTTGTAGTTTATTCAAGGAGGTCATTATGAAACTAGAACGTACCAGAAATACGATCGCGTTAAAATTTTTACTAGAATATTCCAACGTGCCATTCTAAAGCAAACAAAATTTAATCAAAAAAAAACTTTTAAAATACTAAATCACACAACATTATTTCCTTTTCTTCGAATTTTTTTCATGCTTTTTCAGAGTTACCAATGACGACAGTCACGAGCACTTTAGCTACTGAACCGTCCACAAATCCAACTCCGACGAGCAACGAACCGTTCGAACACGTAGAGTATCCGCAAACAAGTTCCACGGCAAGTATAAAGAAATCAATTTAAAATAGATTACAATCTCTTCAAACTCAGCTTTAACGAGATTATTTTAAAAATGTTCAATATATGATAAAATCAATAAAAACAATTATACACAAAGATTGGTTTCAAAGATAAAACGGGAACACGAAATGAGGGAAAGGTATAAAATGAACTCTTGGAGAAACTCTTGGGATTTTCGAACTGTTAATATTTTAAATCTTCGAATTCCCTTATATTTCGAAACGGTCAAGAACCCTTAAAATCATTTTAAGAACCTTTAAGAAATTTCCAGAAAATCAATAATAATGTAGAATTCGAGATTCTAAGAAATCACGTTTTTATACATTTGGGTTTAGTCGTCTTAAGAGACGCACAGATCTAGTTCGATAAAAATATATAATAACCTGATTCAGACTAACCACTAAAACTAACACTAGCACTAGAATTAACACTAAACGTAGAACTAGAAACGTTCGAGTTTAGCCGTCTTAAAAGACCCGAATGTTTCTAGTTCTTGGTTTTGTGTTAGTTCTAGTTTTACACTAGCACTGTTACTATGTAGAGCTAACACTAAATCTAGAACTAGAATCATTTGGGTTTAGCCTCACGTCTTTAAAGACGGCTAAACCCGTATGATTCTAGTTCTAGGTCTAGTGTTAGTTCTAGTTTTAACTGTTATTCATACATTGTTATATATTTTTATTGAACTAAAACTACAGAACTAGAACCAACACTAAACCTAGAACTAGAAACATTCGGCTTCAGCCGTGCCTCTCTTAAGATGGCTAAATCCGAATGTTTTTATTTCTAGGTCTAGTGCTAGTTCTATTGATAATTCAAGTGTTACTGTTAGTTTTAGTGAAGTGTTTGTTCTTAGACACCAAACAAAAAGTTGAATTTAAATTAAAATTTTTCTCTGTATTTTTTTTAAGGTTCGTGGTGTAGAAATAGGCATAGTTCTGTTGGTAATGGCCGTTTGGGTAGCCGCAATAGCATTATTTTTCAATCGTTGGGGTAAAATCCGAATGTTATTACCTTACCAACCGGATTACAAGCAGGAACAGCTCAAAGTGCCCGGAACTGCAGCTTGTGCGGCAGCCGTAGCCGCCGGAAACACGTGTATTCATCAATCTAGGGAAAAAGTCTGTTCTCAAGTAAGTAAAAGTATTAAATCATTTTTATTTCAATTTTCATTTTAATCTCAATCTAACGAAAAAAAAAAAATTGGTGGAATTGAAATTGTTTTAATAATTGAGTCAATGTGAATCAAAAATGTTTGTACAGTTTTCTGACATAATTTTCTCATAGCTGGAAACTCGATAAACATTTCTGACTCACTCTCTTTAAAAATTAATACAAATGGTTCGGTTCCTATCGATAAATCAATCTATCTCATGGAATTGTGGTAGAATTTGAACGATGTCGAAGCGATACTGAGATGTCGAATTTCAATTAAGAAAGGTATTTGTCATGTTCTAACGAGTTTAAATTGAATTTAATATTTAAATTGAAAATTTGAGCGGGGAGTTTCCTTTTCTCTTTAAATGTGAATTACGGAGGTATTATTGGTTGTTTTTGCCAGGACGGCCCGTGCTGTGGCTGGTGTATTCGTATACCGAGAAAGACGAGGGAATCAAGGGAGTGCGGTTGCCAGTTCGCCCTACTGCACCGTGCCGATCCGGACGGTACTTAAATAGATCAACTTTTCAACGTCTTTCTACGGCATTTCGTAAGTTTTCTCTTAAGAAAAAAATGTCGGTAAAACAGGAAACTAAAATTTTGTTCCAATTCTTATAAAAAAACATTTCCGAAATTCACTAAGAACACTATTTACATTGCTTTATTATAAAATTCACATTGGAAACTGATAATTTTTATACACAAACAAAATTTTTAGGTTATGTTGCAATCAACATTCAAAATTGTCAAAAAATTAACATAACCTAAAAAAAAAATTGAGGTTATTACCAAAGTGAATTTGAAGAATCACGCTGTTTTTAATATTTTTCCTCTTTATTACTCAATTGTGATCACTTATTTAGATTAAAAAGAACAGATAAACCTGGCACAATCACCAAAATCCTTTAAAATAAATTAATTAATAAAAAGAGATTGTTTTTTGACAGGTAAGTTAACACTTTTTAGTTGTCCATTAGAAAAAGAAGGTACTTAAATTTGTGCGTACGCTAAAATTAATTATTTATAATTCTTTACCTTTTACTTATTTAATATGTGTGTGTTATTTCACGAATATTGCACAATAACGCACCAAAACAGGGCCGGATTATCCTAAAACATTAACCTACATAAATATTATATAACTTTGACGAGGATAAGTCTAGGATTACAAAATTGATTTCTTGGAGTAAAATAACCGAAACTCTCTTTTACATTTGAAAAAAGAAGTCTTCATTAATATAAAACTAAGTATTGATCAACCATCATTATTTGTAGGAAAATGTTGATACTTTGTTGTCTTATTATACCTTCATTCATCTATAATATCTTTAATTACTGTAATTAATACTACGTTTTTCTTTCTTGTGTCTGGACTAGTTATGATACTTCCATTAATCAAAATTAAAAATCAATCACCAATTGAGGGGTATTAAGCATTCTGTCAATTCGCTTCAAGGTCATTAAAAGAATAATTGCAATGAAGTGAGATCTATTAAAACTAAAATTTTTAATTAATTTTAATAGTCTTCAGTCAAATTTGTCAACTTCATTTCATATTAGGAACATGCAAATGGAAGAAATGTTATAACACAATGTACTCAAGATAAATTTTTAAATATAAATATTTCCGCATCATGAGGATTACGATGCTAGTCCAATTAATTTGATTAAAAATTCAGAGCAACCCAAAATTTGCAAGATTTCCAGCAAAATCGCTTTTCCACAAGTAGAAAGTGGCAAGTTTTTTTCATATTTGCTACTAAAAATATGACAAACCAATCTAAATTAACCAGAAATTCTGAACAATCCGATATTTGCAAGACTTCCAGATAAACTGCTTCTCCAGAGTATTAGAAAGTTGCAAAAATCAATCTTTCTCCATATTTCCCGATGTAGATGGCTAGGAATATGACACAGTCCAGATTAAATTGATCAAAAATTCTGCTCTAACAGTGTTTCACACTAGTTTACAAACTAAAAAAAAAGCTAAGTGGACGCAGCTATGAATCCTTCATATACCTACCAATTTACCAACAGTATGCATAAGCCACAACCACATGCATCACTTGATACAGTGTGCAAAATATATAAGCAACGCAAATAAACAACTAATTACCATAATATGCAAAACAATTTAAAAAAAAAAGCTGTGCTAAATGATCAACCTCCTTTATTTTCTAAAGTTTTTCTCTTCTCATAGTTAGACAAAAACAAATGCAGATTCATTGTTTGTCATTGAATAGATAACTTTTTTTCCACAATTGCTCGATCAACGATACGATGTAAGATACGCTGAAGGATTCCAGCTTAGAGTGCATCTGTAATTAAAGTTACGCGGTCACTTTAATTACGGGCTGCTTAACTTCCTCGTACATCGAAACAATCCTGGATGGTTGTGGTATGGTAGAGGAGGTACCTGGGGGAGATGTAACATTCGGATGCGTTCCGAAACGTTGTGGACGTCGTTGGACTCTGGGGGAATATGGCATATCACTGGAGTTGAAATGAACGGATTTTGAGTTAGTTCAAGTAGAGAATGAGGTTAAGGATGATATCTAGGAATTTCCTGAAGATGTTATTACCGCTAAACAAAGACATCTTTCAAACTCATTGAGTAATCAGATTAGTTAAAGTACTCTGGCGAACTTTATTTTCAAACTACACTCTCCTAATCACTTCTAAAATATTCTAGTAGCACGGGAAAATATAAATACATTCTCGAATAATGATTTAATCACGATGAGAGTCTGAACATTTTAAGTGCTTCGTAATGGTTTAATCCGGCCCTGATCAATAACAAAACAGCTTTTACAATTCCTATTAAATCCATGAAAATTAAAGGGCATGAATTAAATGTTATTAAAAAAAATTTGATTTCTTTTTCGTTTTAGCCTCCAAAAAACCATCGAGAACGTATAAATTCAGCAATTTTCGTATCTAATAGCGGTCCAGGTTTCGATTCGAAAGAATTCTTCAGGCGTCACGGTTCCATTTCGAGATTGTGCCGTCGCGCGAAAAGCGTCGATAATCTCTCCGTGGACGACGACGACGACGAACTTCATTTTGGCCTTCCGATGTTGTCCATTTCGGGTCCATCTCCGCCCGATCGTGATGACACCGACTGTGAAACGGACAGGTTCATCAAATAAATATTCGTATTTCAAGATTTTCCCCTTAAATGTATCAAGTGTGAATGAGGGAAACTTAAAACGATTTTTAACCTTCCTAAATAACATCACTTTTTTTTGTTTATTCTACTCGTTTCTACTTTGTGTTGTTCACGTGTTAGAAAAAGAAATGATTTTATTAGTTCCTTATTAGCTATTGTGCCAATTTGAGAGACTATTTGTTTTGTTAATGTTTAAATGCACGATTTTTAAACGTATTTTTAATTGAAGTTAAAGGTAATTTAAGGATTTTTAAATATAGGTCAAAAGAACTGTACCAAATAACATCAACTAATTTTTAGTCGTATGCGCACAACGATCTAAGTTTATAAATATAAACATTTTTATTTTAATCTAGGTGAGGTAAGATTTAAGAAAAACTATGTTAATAAGTAAAAACAGCATTTATCCACGATTATGAGAAAATGTACAAGAACGTTCACAGTTTAATGGTTGTCCACAATTTAAGGAACACGCCAAATTAACGGTTTTATTTTTGTAATGGGTACATTTTATGATAATCGTTGACAAAGCATTTGAGTCGCGAATCATTGAATAATGACTTATTGAATAATGTACTGTTATCATTAAAAAACATTAACAATTTTCCTCTTAAAAATGTTAGTTAAAGTAAAAGTAAAAAGAGTTAAAATAGGGACCATAAAACATAAAAATAAATTGAACATTTGTATATAGATGTTAAAAAAGCTGCTTTAAATTATAAATCGAAGCTTTACTGAATTGAATTGAAAGTCTAGAAACGTACCAAGATCCTTCCTTTTTTTTTAATTTAAAAGATTTAAATATCTTAATAAAAACAATGTGTAATATTAACTTAAAGTAAAAATAAAAATATTTATCTAGACTTTTGATTCACACCCGTTTCATTATTTGTCAATCTATTAGTGACGTTTTTACACTAAAATGTGTCAATTAAGACGAGTTTAATATAAAGTAATTGCCTTCTTTCGGGTCCAAGTCTCGTTCTTTACATATCCAATTAAATTTGTGTTTTTAACTTTTATCTAATATCCAAAAAACCTATTTTGAATTTTAAAATGATTGGTATATTAAGAAAATCTTGTATGTTTTGTTTTTAAATATATTACTGTGATTCTAATGCCTTCATCTAAATAAACAAATTACAATTATCGGTTATAAACCACCAACCAAAAATGTATTTGGTTTATAAACTCCTTTACTATTGTAATATACTGTAAATTGCGGATTATTCACCTTACTTCTTTTTCTCATTGTGTTTATGGCAATGCAATAAACGATTAAAATACCAAGAAAACGTTTTTATACAATATATGCATCCCATTTAAAATAACAATGTTGGTTGCCATAGCAACGAAACAAAAAACAATATAAACAAGCAAATATCGCCAAAAAATTTGCCACAATTAATACAGAATTTTTTATTTGAAACATTTTTCTTTATAGCCTTAACTGGACGAAGTTATTGGCTATATTCCAGACATTTGATACACCTGTATATCAGTGAATTAAGCTGAGGTTCTGTTTTGTTTGATACCAGTTTTGAGTTGATATGGTATCAACTGTAGCGCCTCGAAAAGACACTGAGTCCAGTATAAAACGAGCAATAACGGAAGGATCTTGTTGGAATTCTGTGGGAAAAAGTGTTTTGGTATCTAAAAGCTATTCCAACTTTAGGTTTGTGCTGGAAGAGGGCAAAAGAGCGTATCGGCTGAATTTATGGTGACATAAACACTACTATAGTTAACGTAGTCTATTATTCCAGATATTTTTTGTTTTCACTCGTTTCTTTACCATTTTCAAAACTCAAAGATTTTTTAAGTCAATTACACTTTGTCATATTTTCCCATTTCTTTGCTTTCGTACTTGTGACTACGTTTCAATATCTCTCCTGGATCTCCTCTACTATCTTATATACCTTTTATTACCACACTTCTCACCAGAGCATCAAACATTATTTGTCTCCTTTATTATTAATATAAACCGATTAATTAAGTAGTTGAACAGTAACATATATATTAATAGATGTCATAAATCTTTAATATCTGACACTTTAACCATTTCTAAATTTGCAGTGAATTTTCCTTTTATTAGTTTTATTAACATATTCATCATGGTAAAAAGCAATGATAGAGGGCTAACGGAACAACTCGAAAAGGAATTTAGATACTTTAAAATTTACGACAATTACAGGCCGGATTATCACAGTAATTTCGATGTAAATTTCTAAATCACCATTTTAAATTCGTTACTTTTAGAATCTGCGGTAACATCTAAATTTTATTCTAAATATGAAGCGTTGGATTTATCACTAGCAAACGAAGAGTTGGTGAGTACAATAAAAAAGTACAGAGATAAAGGACCCAAAGATAAATATGATTGGTATCCAACGGAAAATCAAAGGTTTGTGGCTTCATTTTGCCGTTCTTAAACAATTTTTATTTATTTTTATCAGTTACGGTTGGTTCAACACTCCATTTGTACCGATTAATAAAATGGATGAAAGATATTATCATGTTAAAGTTGAAAGTGATTTTGTACATCACGCGCTTTTGTTGGCGAAAGATAAAAGCATGAAATTGGAGAAGTTTGCAGGAATTCCATTTAAACTTCAATAAAAATTCATTTTCATGTTTTAAGAAGATAAAAAATCATATAAATACATATCATTTTTCTACCGCCATCTAGCGAAATTGATTAAAATTAATAAATTGAACTAACTTCACTTCATGTTGTGACAGTTATAGGTTATGTTAATGTGTCGAATATACAGTTTAAAATATGATTCCACAACAAACGTTATTAAAACCTCCACAATACGATTTAATGAACGACTTTAGGAATTTTATACGTGGTGCTACAAAAACTGGAAAATGTAATCCATTAGATTTAACAAAAATCGCACTTTCATTATTAAGGAATTTACCTGCTTCTCGAGATGCAGTTTTAATGCATTTTTCATCGGTTTTTGATCGAGCTGCTGAAAATTATATTGTTGCTACTGAAGTAAGTAAAATAAAAATATTTATTTAGGATTGAATTATTTGTATTTATTTTTAGCAAGAAATAACAACAGGAAAATTACCACCCCCATCTGAAATAGATGAAGCTATCGTATCTGAAATCCACACAGTTCTTTGTAATTTCGTTTCGGGGAATGCTGAAGCATGGGCTCCAATTATAAGTACTTGGTCGCTTGATTTATTAGGTAGAATATCAACGAAATACGCCGGTAGGGCTCATATATCATCGGGTTTAAATGAAACCTTACAATTATGGATGAATTGCAGAGCTACAAGAACTTTAATTGATATAACAACTCAATGCCTTCAATGTTTAATGCATTCTGATACGGAAGCTTGTATAAGTGCTTTATTAGGTTAAATATTAATCTAATTTCTCTTAAAAGTTAATTATTATATATTTTATTAATTTTAGACACCTCTGTTGAACATTCACCAAATTTTGATTGGGTTGTAGCTCATGTGGGAAGTTGTTTTCCAAATACGGTAATAACAAGAGTTTTAACATGTGGTTTAAAAGATTTTTGCCAAAATAAATCATACGAACAAGGTTGTAATTCACCAAAACTAAAATCAGTTGTTGGTATTTTGGGTCATTTAGCCAATAGTCATTGTGATGATATTCATATTGCTTTACGTGATTTATTTAAATGGAGTTTAATGATTAATGGACAAGATAATGATTTGACAAAGCAACAGAAAAAAGCCACTGTTCCCTTTTTGTTGCACCTATCAAATTTATCCTCAATTTTATTATCGACAGTTTGTTGTAATTTAAAAGAAATAAGTACGAAGTTTATTTAAATGGAATAAAATTAATAATTAAAACATTTTTTTTAGTGTCTGTTGAAAGAGTAAGAATTTTATATAATTTCACTGATGGTTGGTTAAAATATTTTGGTTCTTCAAATGCTTTACAAGATCTCCTGGTTAATTTAATCCTAAAATGCGAAAAAGGTGGTTCGCAAATCATCAAATTATTATTAGATTGTACATTTTTAGAAAACACAACCACCATTGATGATGAAATGAAACGAAACGTAAAACTTGCAAGTCGAGACGTTTTAGAATTTATTTTACAAGAGATCGATTTTTCGTTAAGATTTCCTTCTAAAAATCGACAAATCAATTTATTAAAATCATTAACGGAGGAAATACATAATATCCATGCACTATTAGTGAGTTCGGAGAGTGTTAAATCGCAAACAGCTGCGAGGATTTTGGTTTTTATCGGACATTCGAATCCCGATTTATTAATAAAATCGGCAAAATATCTTTTTAAACATGCAAAATCCGATCAACATTTAGCTTTATTAGTACGGATTTTAACCGATGAGTTAATTGATAAAACTTTACAACCGTATGTCAATAAAGGGGGTTATTTTTCCGCCGTTCTTGAGCAAGTTTTGAACGAATTTAATCAAGAATATGTTTTTTGTGAAGAAAATTTTGATGATGGTGAAGATCAACTTCAAACATGGATAAATTTGTTGATTCTTTTAAAGTAAGTAATACATAATTGTTTTTATTGTTAACTAAAAGTTTACAATTTTCTGTACAATACATGACAAACCAAACTTAACTTCCCTTGTCAACCCCCCTTTCTCCATTCCTTTCATATCTAATCTTCCCCTCCCTAACTTACTTCCAACACTCCATCAGGTTACTGCAGTATAGCCTTCTATCTATCATTTCTTCATATTTAACTGCTCTTCTGCCCGCCTCCAGCCGCATTTCATTCACCTTCACTTTCTCCCTTACAATCAGTGATGGGCCCAGGGTAAATACCCAAACAATAAACAATAAAAGCGATACCAGTAAAAATATATCAGATTCCAAAAAAAATGAAGAGGAAGATGATGAGAACGTTGAAGACGAGGTATTGTCAATAATCAAAGACGTATTATCATTAGACGAATCTGTCGTAATTTAGATTAGATCAAGTTATTATGATTACTATCATCAAGCAGCCCTCTGCGTCCATTGTTGGACATAGACCTCCCCTATTCTGTTCCATTAAACTCTATTCTGTGCTGTCTGAATCCAATTGTTGGTCATACTTTTAACGTCTACTTAGTCTGTTCGCTCGCGGTCTCCACTCAAGCAACCGTTTTGTCCACTGCTCATTCTTCATTCAAGCTTTGCCACAATGTTGATCACATCATTTACGCCAGATCTTCTTCATAGGTCTTCATTTCGTATGTACTCCCTCAGAGTTAGACCCAGGATCGACCTCTCCATCTATCTTTGCGTTACTTGGACCTTCCTGGCAGTGGCTAGCGTTAATGTTAAAGTTACGGAGCCTTACGTCATAACCGGAAACACCCATTGATTGAAAGCCTTTCTTGGCCTTTTCTCTTGAAGATGTCTCTAAGTTTAAGCTGCCCATACGAGTGTGATCCTTCTGTTTAGTAAGCTTGTTTGATTATCTCCCGATACACGAACCTCATAGCCAAGATATACATAGCTGTCAACCCTCTCAATCTCATTATCCCCAATGTTGATGTTGTAGTGAGGCCGCCTCTGAACGATCTCGACCTTTGGTAATACCGCTGCCACCAGAAACAGTATTTCGCGCTTCCTAATCCCAAACATAATCTTTCTCTTTCTGGTGTCCCTTCCAAATACTCTCTCCCCCATCCTCAGACCTACCCAATCACATTATTTGCCCTTTTAGCCATCTTTCTCACATGCGCCGCGTCTTGCTATCCTCCCTGAACTTGTACCTCAGATATGCGAATTCTCTCACTTCCTCTAACTCTCTCTTCGCTTTCATCTCCATTCGTTTCTCTTTCTTCTCCCCTTTTGCAGAACTTCATCATCTTTGTCACATTCACCTCCAACCCCTTCGCCCTCAAATACCTTTCCAAGTATAGCACGTGAATCTTTCTCCTTCCTACCACCACTCCTCCCATTTGCCTCTTCTCCAGCCTGTAAAAAGTAAGTAATAAATTTGTGGTTAATCCTGAAGTGGTGACGTGAAAAGTCGGTTCATAGACCGAGAGTGTCTGTCGGTCCAAGAGACTGGAGGGAAATTGGATTAATATTATTTTTTTTTTTTATTTAGATGGGAAAAAACTTGTAAAGTCCAAGTATTAAAATCGCAAATAATAACACGAGGATTACAATACAATTTAATAACGTTTACATCGATTTTTGCGAAAAAAAATTTTCCGAATACAATTTTACACATAATGGCTGAAACTTTGGAAATATTAAATGTTCCGTCTTATATGGTTAATGGACTTTCTTTTAGTCCCCCAATGCAAGTTATTTTGAATTTTACAAATGGAATTGTTAATTATTTTTTTATTTGTTGTAAAGAAGCCGGTTTGTTATAAAAAAACATTTAATTTTTTATTTTTTAATATAATTTATTTGTTATTTCAGATACCGTTGCGAGACTTAAAGGATTCGAAAGGACAATAGAAATATTAAAGAAACTCTGCACTCACTCGAATATCGCCAGAATTTTAGCACTACGAGAATTGCTGGAAAAATCTTTATTTTCAAATTGCAAGTCGTTGTTTGGGTCTATTGTTAAACATCGTATAGAAAATGAGCAAGAAAAATTGTTATTAAAACAAAATAAAAAATTGGTTAGTTATTTAAAAAGTTTAATTTTTAAATTTTATTTTTATTTAATTACAGAGTAAAACAATACCATTAACAAAGCATTCATCAGTTTATAATGGTGGAATAATTGGTACTGGGAAACGCAAATCAATTTGTTCAACAAATTTATTATCAAACAACATTTCAAACAACACCGAGCAACTAATTCGAGTGATAAAATCGTGTTGTTCAATACCAATGGAACCAGGAAAACAAACGGATGTTCTTCAACAAAGCATCGTTCACGTTTCATTACTTCTCGTGCATTATGTAAGCCCCGATGTTATGTATAATGGACTTCCATGGCCTGAGGAGGAATTTTCAAAAGTAACGATCGAACGAGATCTTTACATAAATCGATTATTTACCACCACTCCGTTATTATGGGAACTTTTATCGATGGTTGCCGTTTATAGACCCGCGTTGTGTTATTGTTCTGTGTTGATTAGGGCACTTACAGCAACATTAATACATCAATGGAGTAGTATGGGTGATCAAAGCAAATCCTCCCATACAGATAGTTACAAATCTTTAATGGAAACTACTGTAAAGGTGGTTGAAGTTATGTCTTTGGGACAATTATTACCACCACCTTTAAGTGGTATTCGTGATGTTATTGGTTATTTTAATTCGTTCGAGGTATTTTAACTTAATTAACATAAACTAAAAACCTAATTTTTATTTACTTATTTAGATTGTGGCTATTTTACGTGAATGTATTTGGGCTTATATGCGTGATCATATTCCATCACCAACTTTATTTGTGGCGGATTCAAATGGGTTATATTGGAGAGATCCAACCATGTCTCGTCCAAGCGAAGTTTACACAAATACTTTGAGGATTATAATGCAGAGGAATATTAAATCTGTCGGGCATTTATATGCTCAAATGTTCATTAATATTGCGAAAAATGAATAAAAAAAGAGTACAATGTATTTTTATTTAACATAATTAAACTTTAGATACAAAATAATCACATTTCAATTTGAATTAATAACATAATCAATACAAAAACGGCTCCTTATACTGTCGTATTTGTACGTTATATTCTACCGTTTATCAACTAAATTTTGATTAAAACATAGGTTTCGTATTTGAGCCTATCTAAAACGAATTAAATAAAAGTAAAGTTGATGTAAACTTTGCTTTTTCAAAGCAATTCTAGTCAACTCTGTGATAATAAACCATCTTTTATTCTTTAAATTTTCACTAAGAAATTTTAATTTACATTTGTATAAAGCGTTTCATTGTAGAGATCTAATTCGAGATTTTTAAATTCTTTATCTGTCATAAATTTCCATTTTTTACCCCCAAGAATTTCTTGGACTTCTCTTTCAACATTTTCGTATGATTTTGAACTCATTTTTAGCCATTGATAAAACTCATCCGTCCATTCAGGACTTTGAGGCCAATCGCATTTCTTAATCACCGCGTTTCCCCTAATGTAAAGATGTTTTAAATTTTTAGCGGTGCGTGCTATGAGGAGTACTGTTGATGTAGAAATTCGTTCGGTAATAATCTAAAACAAAGTTTTTATTTCTTTTAGATTATTTTTTTCCACAAAAATACATCTTACCAGCATTTTTATTTTTGGACATCTTCTACACAACAATAACAATGTAGAATCGATTCTATCATCGAACGATTTCGGTCTATATCCTCTTGGTAATTCTGTATGTCCATAAACTAAAATGTCTTCTTTGTATTGTTCTATTATAGACATTACTGAATCGTATTCAACCTAAAAAAAATCAAGGATATGTATAAGGTAACTTAAATTCAAGAATTTATAGTTATACCCCCATAGAAGGTGTATGATACAATATACTTTTAACAGGAGCCCCAGTTTGCCACAAAATATTCTTTGGCTTCTTACTTTCCAATTCTAAATGAACATTTAAAGTGGGATTATTTTTTCTGCACTGTTTCCAAACTTGTTCCAACGCAGGTTTCACTATGATATCATCAGGAGAGAATCGATTTTGAACGATATGTAAATGTTTTAATTTCGTGTGACCAATCATTTCGATAACGTCGTTTCCCAAGTTTTGTGGGCTAATTTTCAAAACGTTTAAATTTAAAAATACCCCAACGTGTAAAATTTGATATTGAATCCTAGTCGCGTTTATCAAAATCAACGTTTTTAAAGTTAAACATCTTAAAACGCACACTTCGTCTAAAAGATGTTGGGCTTCGTTCGAATCTAACATTAAATCGATTAATTCTAGGCGTTTCAATTCGGATAAATTAGCCATTAAACGTTTTAGAGCCCCCAAAAGACGACCCCCAGTTCCAAAAAGACGCGTCATTTCCGTCTCGTCTCTTGAAGCCATATCCATATCGCATGGAAAAGTAAATTTTAATGTACGAATTTTTACACCAACACCATCATATTCCGGCATTGCTGTATGTTTATCAGATTGCTCAATATACCAAGATATCATATTAATAAATTCGTAGAGGTTATAAAAATTTAACATTGGCTCAAACGTTAAATGTTTAATATTTTTACCAACAGCAGAAAGACACATTGACGTTCTTAAATGATCTAAAACATACTAAGAAAATAAAACCTAAAGAATCATCGTTTTACTTATCTATTTTTTGCTTTTCGTTTTGCTTACTTGCCAACCAGAATAATAATTAAATCTCCCTCTCGTTAATGTATCATCTTCCAAAACAAATCTAGACCACACTTTGGGAAAATGAAAAGCTTGATACCAATTTTTACAAACTAAACTGGCGTAATATCTTTGTCTAATCGTGAGGTAACCGAAAATTTGCTCTAAAACTAAGTCGGGTAATTCGCACCATTTCGAATAAACTTTATTTTCGTCTTCCTCTTCCCGTTCTTGATCTAAATCTATAAAAACGGCTACAAATCAAAACACAAAAATTAGTTTAGCTAATGATAAAGTTATAAAATTGTTCAAACTACAAAACTCCGAGGATAAAACAGTGCGTTTTCTTCTGAGGTGTTGTATCCATTACATATTTCTTCATTAAATTCACTCTAAAACATGAAATTCCTTGCACGGAATTATATTTTTTATAGCGTAAGAGCTCGTTTTGATTTAATAAATTTTTAAGTTAAAAATGTACATTTTTATTAACTAAAATGATTATGCAACCGAATATACACCAAACCTGCATATTTTTATGGGTTTACACCTTGTTTTTAAACTCTAAACAAGAAATTTTATTTATAACATTAATTGATTAAAAAAGAGATTAATTTTATTCTATGTATTATTACAAAAATCTTCTAAACGTAAAATTAGTAAATTTTTGGCAGCCACCTTGCGTTGTTTTTGTGAATTAACTTGGAAAACAATTTTGAGGTTATGGTTATTATGTTATGTTAACATTATTTATGTTAATCTGATTAACAACAGAAACTATTTGTTGGTCTATTTAAGAAACATATATATTTACCAATTAACCTGTTATCATTGTTAGCTAGCCGGTAGCTAACCGGCTAATCTAGCATTTCAGATATATTTCATGTTATTTAAAATAATTAAGTACTTGTGTTTGTTGTTTTTAGAAGAAAGAAGAAAGTATTATTGTATACTTTAAAGAGACAGTGGAAACTCTGTAGCTGGAGCATGATATGAATGAAGAGTTTGAACTCCAAAACCCAACCGGATGTCAATCAATCATAACCTGATATAAATCTCTTAAACTGAAATTTAGGGATTAAAACAAATTTATTTCTTACAAGTAAAATTTAAAATGTGAAATATGATTTCGCGGACTTACTTCTTGTTCGGTTGCCCAAAAAAAGATATTTTAAATAAAATTAAAAATAAATCCTGCACGTTTTAGTGCCAACATTAATTTCTGAGACTGCGGGGTTGGATTATTTAAAGTCTTGTAATCATGTAAGCATTTCTTTTTCTTTGATGGTATTTCTTAGCTCTTTGCCAAGTTTAAAATGATAGTTTAAATGGGAGGTATCCATCATGATTTTTGTAGCAAAATTTAAAGGTGATGTTACAAGATTATTTGGGGATTGAAATTTTAAAACATAAAAATTATTAAAAATAAAAATGTACATTTTGTTTTATTGATATTTTTAATTTAATGTTGATTACCCAAAACTATGCAACCAAACATACACGAGCACCCTCTACTATTTAAGAATCACCTGTATAATAATATAAATAATAAGTTTTCTTTTTTTTACCCTCACAATTTTCCATTGATTTAGACACAAACGTTATTGTAACTGAACGATAAACCTTTACTATTGTTAAAGATTTGATCCTTGTCCAAATTTAGGTTGTTGTGCGTGCGCAACTTTTAATTAATTTTATTTAACCCAGCATTATCCTTAGGGGGGTTATTTTGAATTTTAAGCCTTAATAATAACTAATCAAAATAAAAATAAGCTGTCTTGAACCAAATCAAAAAAATAAAATCATGTAAAACATAAAAAAAATAACCAGATACCTTTAAAATTTGTTGATTTTACTTGTTTATACAATTCAAGCCATTTCGTGGGATCAATTGAGTGATGTCTATCACCCTTAGCCCAGAAAAAACCTACGACGACGTTAAAATTTAAAAATAATAACAGTTACAACAACAAAAACACGTTCACCGTTCTATAGGTTTTTAATAAAAGAAAATACTGAATACAATGGATGATAATGTTTTTTGTTTTGGCGCAAGAAATTTCAAACCAACAACAAATGCAAAGATAGTGCGCGATTTGGGTTAGTGGCGAAAAAAATGCGTACCAAGTTATTAAAAAATCGATGGAGACAACAACGTTGATCGATTTATTTTCGATTTTTTTTGTACCTTTATCATCATCGTCCAATTTCCAACTACCGGGGTTACTCATGTTTTTACACACCGAAAATTCGTAGCGGAAACCGGTGGTGCGCGTCTTACATAATTATTGCGGAGAAATTGCAACTAACTCTGGCTAAATATAACGTGGACTAAAAAAAAGTTTCGGGAGTTGCCCGACTTTTCTCCAACGTATTTTTAGATTTTAGTTCGTCTACATGATTTAGAAACTAAAAAAAATATCATTTATGTAACAAAGCGATTAAGTTATACATCTTTTTAAAGCAAATTTGCTTCAACAAACGGATTCTCAATAACAAATATTGTATCATTTCCTCAATTAGTCAAATTTCATTTAAATTTGGTACATAGAGGATAATCCCATCAACTTTTGCGCCTAGAAATCTCTTTTACATACAAATTATTAATATTAACAATTTTTCAGTATAATTGGTAATCTAAATCACCAAATCCTTTTAGTATTTAATTTTTTGCAAGTACACCATAATTTTCTTTTAATTTGAAGCATATTTGGTTGCCTTATTTTATATCAATTAATTTTAAGAAAAATTCAGATACAACATAATTTTTTTTATTAAAAAACCATCAAAAAATTAATCAGAAATTTACACATTAAACCATATCACAGCCTAAATATAGATTAAAATCATGAAAAAATTTTTTTGAGACAACAAGAACCCATTTTTTGTCTTAACATACAACAGAATTACAATTAAAAACGTGTACTAAACTATCCCATCCACAATCAGCAAGTTCCCCTTTTTTCAATACATTCCAATCCAACCCATATACAAATTCAGTATGGTGATTAATCGTTTCAATGGCTTCTGGGCATTTATTGAAATCCCAAATTCTTGTTGTAAAATCATAACTAACAGAGGCTATGACGCTTAAATTGTGAGGTGAAAATTGGACTCTCCTAACCGCATATTCACACCCAATTAATTGAAAAATTGGTTGATTGAGATTTCGTAGATCCCATCCTCGAATTAATCCATCAGAACCTCCCGTTGTTAATAAATTCTGGTCGTATTTACACCAATCGCACGATAAAACTTCAGCATCATGTACTTTGGTGGTGATTGGGGTACTTGGACTTGAAATATTCCATATTTTAAGTGTACCCTCTCCAGAAACTGACGCAAAACAATTCGCAACATGCGGCGACCACATTGCATTATAAACAAGTTGATTATGTCCGGTAAAAGTTGATAGAGATGTTTTTCGATTGGGATCCCATAATTTTACTGTACAATCCCAAGAAGCGCTTATTATTAATTGTTGTTGGCGAGTCTTAGACCAATCAACCGAATAAACCTCTTTAGTGTGTTCATTTAAAATAACAGGTGGTGTATTTGCAAATAAATTCCATATTTGTAGGCTACAATCACCACATGCTGTGACCACCGTTTGAGGATCAATTTCTGACCATGTTACATCAAATAAACCGTCTGGCCAAAGATAAGTACCAACCTCAACGAGATTTCCTTGATTTCGTTCTAAAAGAAACAACGTGCCGCCTCCGGTCAACCCATAATATTGACTGGTAGCTACTACCAATTGGTCAGGGTTAAATGGAGAAAATCTCACACTGTAACCGTGTCTATTCGGGGTTAAAAACGTCGATTTCATCGTTTTACGTAAAACTGCTAAGTCATTTTTAAGTGTTTTTATTCAATCTTGATAAGTTCTAGGCCAAGTTTGAAGTTTATCTTTAATATTTTTTTAATGAATATAAACATATGTTGTTGACGTTTAACTGTCAAATTTTGCGGTTCGATATAGTGAGGAGATTCAAATTTATTTTATTAATGAAAATGTTTGATTTGTAAGAAGTTTTTGATGTTAAATATTTTAGTAAGAAACTATATAAATGATAATTAACGTAATTATACTGTAATTATTTCACGAAAGTTTTCTAGTGAATTTGACGTATAAAAGAAGTGTTCGATTCGATATTTTGTTATAAATGATTATAAATAAAAACATTTTCATGGGATTTTTTGTATTTTTTCGAATAAAATTTAGTCTTTTTAAGTTTTGAAGGATATTTTATTTATTAAACAAACATGTTTCTTTAATATCAATTGAACATTTGATTAGGCGCCATCTAGCGATAAAATTATACAACGTTTAAAAACTGAAAATAACCTCTACAAAATTAACGTTTATTATTATGTATTTAACAAGAGAATTAACACAAAATTACTTAAACTGGTGGAACCTGAACTAATTTAAACCAATACCCACACTCGCACCTTTTAGGAGCATCCTTGTGCAACCACATGTAAGTAATTGAACAGGATTCACATTCACAAACGCATCCAATTATTCTTCGATCGTAGGCGGAAGGTATTTCGTGGGGTTGGCATTTGGTGGCGGGACCCCGTTCAAGCATCAACAGGCAAAACGGGTTTAAATTTCCGGCCAATTGGGCCAATAAATAACGCTTTTCTAGGCCTGTTGCAATATCGACTGGATCACCAATTGCAGTTTTTTTGAAACGTTTTTGACCGAAATTATTTGAGAACGGCATTTGAAAACGCAAAAATCTTTTTAAGATAGCATTCATTCTTTGACTTTGACGTTTTTTATAATATGATTACGTGTTGTTATGGTATTAAAAAAATTAAAAATTTGTCCTCTATTTTTGACAGTTGCTTAACAGGGAATTTTGTTTTATTATGTTTTGAAATCAATTTATGTCACGTTGACGTTTGAACTTTTATTATTTAAAAAGATCAAAATCTAGTTTTTGGTTTTATAAATATACATAATTAATTGAAATAAAATAAATGTAAGAAAAAAGCGCAACTGATGGGGAGTTACTAAAAATGTTACTTAAATTAACTTGACAGATATAAAAAGAAATGTTGTATTACCAACCATAAAAAAATTAGAAAATTAAAAAAAATTTGGATTCACGGTCGTAACCACCGTGATAGATATCTTTTTATCGTTATCTTACCAATAGCAATTAAAAATATAATTAATTCGATAACTAAACATGAACTTCAATCATTTTGGTTTTTAATTATCACTAAAGTAAAAATGTAACAAAGAGGTTATCATTTTGAAGATAGTATTTTCACATATTAGAACCACTAATCTAATCGTAAGTGGTTTTGTACGAAGAGTACAAAATGAAATATATCTCTCTCTATGTGTTCATTCTTGGTGTGTATTTTTTCAAACTTATAACTTTCCTACATAATGACTTTTTTTGTTCTCATTTAAACTAATATAGCTGCAGTTAGCGCAGAAAAAAATCTTATTGTTCAACTTGAAGATGGTTTGGTGGAAGGTTTCTATGCAAATTCTTATAACGGACGTAAATTCGCTTCATTTGAAGGAATTCCTTTCGCTGCAGCTCCTGTAGGAGAAAATAGATTCAGGGTAAATAAGAAATATATACCGAATTCGTTGATTTTATTTTTTTTTAATTTTAGCCTCCGCAACCAACACCAAAATGGAACGGAACATTAAAAGCAAATCAAGTATACACTTGCATTCAGTTTTCTACAAATCATGTATTAGGTACAGAAGATTGTCTTTATATAAATGTATACGTTCCGAAAGAAAAACTTAACCGCGACGATAAATTGGATGTTGTTGTTCATATTCACGGCGGTGCTTTTATGGTGGGAACTGGTCATGGTTTAGCAGGTCCATCAAAAATTATGGACCGCGATGTAGTATACGTAAATTTTAACTATCGTCTTGGTCCATTTGGTTTTTTAGCAACCGAAGATGACGTTTTTCCCGGAAATTATGGTTTAAAAGATCAAGTTCAAGCTTTACGCTGGGTTCAAGCTAACATAGAACACTTCGGTGGGAATAAAGATTCGGTCACGATTATTGGATTATCTGCAGGAGGAGCAAGCGTTCATTTACATTATTTTAGTTTGAACACTGATGAGGTTTTATTTCATAAGGGTTGGGCTCAAAGTGGATCAGCCATGAACCCTTGGTCGTTAAAAATAGATTCTTTAATAAATGCAAATAAATTAATTACCGATGTTGGGTGTAAAGATGAAGATGTCAATGTAACATTGAGATGTATGCGACAAAGAACAGCTTTGCAAATTGCCGAAAATATAAAAGGGACTTATGCAACACCTTTGTTACCTTTAGTACCTTTTGGGCCAAGTTACGAATTGATGGATATAAATAATAAGGAGCCTTTTTTGACAACAGCGCCTTATTTACAACTTAAAAATGGAAAAGCTTTGGATCGCCCATTTATTATTTCTCAAACTACAGAAGAAGGACTTTTACCAGCTGCTTGTAAGTTTTCAAACAATTATTTTGAGCATTAAAATAATTTGTTAAATGTTTTTAGTGTATTATAACAACTTAGAAGATCTTGATAGGGATTGGAATGAATTAGCGCCGTATATGTTGGACTTTTATCATATGCCGCGACAAGATTGGCCGATAATTTCCGAAAAAATCAAAAAATACTATTTTAAAGGAGAAAATATCACCAAAACTAATTTTAAATCGTTCGTAAATCTTTGTAATCAACGTCTATTTCATATGGGGGCCGAATTATCAGCTAAAGTGCAAGCTAACGTCTCTAATTCAGAAGTTTACTTTATGATGTTTGGTTATCCTGGAGCTAATTTAAACTTAACAAAGATAATTTATAAAGCAGATGTTGGTGAGAATTTAATTTAATTATTTCCGATCTTTTCTAATATTTTATTTTTGGTTTTTAGAGGGTGTTGGGCACGCTTTCGATGCTAACTATTTTTACGAGTTTAATATCGGCTCCAGATTAACGGCTGAAGAAGAAAAAGTAAAAGATATAATGTTGGATTTTTTGGTTTCATTTGCTAAAACCGGGTATGTTTGAAACCGAATATCTTAAAACATTTACATTATAAAGAAGGTTTTAGGAAACCAACTTCAAATGGAATTGAATGGAATCCAGTTGGGAAAGGTTATAATTTAAAATATTTATTGGTTAAAAATTCTAAAGACATTGTAATGAAATCGAAGAGTCTTTCGGACGCTGAAGAGTTTTGGAAATCATTAGGAATTAAAGGAGAATATAGTCTTTATTAATTTACGTTTGTAGGAATTGATTCTGTTACCTTACTTCTCTTCTTTCTTGTTGTCCATACTCCCTCACCCCAGTACTCCAACACTCTCCCAAAATCTTATAGTCGCTCCTCTGCTCCAGCTCATCCTCGTACTTTATTATCGCATTTCTGAATGCTTCCGACCTCATCTTCAACTCCTCTCTAATTATAAATCCCGAAGTCTCCCTGCTCAACCGCACCTCTAATATCTCAGAGGATCTTAAAGATTACGAATTAACACGGACGTTGGTAGATTTATGAATTTGGTAGTGGAAAAGTTGATAAAAACGAAATATTTTTCTTAATAAATACAATTTACTTTTTTACAAATTCAGCAACTATATCACGTATTGTAGCATACATTCCAAAAATAAATATACCAGCAGCTAAGATAAATAACACCCCATTTTTTCCAATTTTAATCATTTTCTTCAACCAAACCGTTTCTTTCGGATAAAACAAGACCATATCCATGAACGCAGGCAAAAATAGTGTTAAAGATGTACTGCATATAGCGCCAACCAATGACATTATCAAATGAATAAATGGGATTACTTGACCTATCACAACTGCAAAATACATTTCGTCACTTAAAACGATTTAAATGCAACTACATTAAATAAATATTCTTACGAGTAAATGAAACAAGTAATGTTCGGAAACACAATTCGCTAAGAAGCGGTCGTTTAAATGGACCAAGACGTTTTGTTATTAATGGCCATATTATTGTTACTGGAATATACATTTGTACAGGATATGTTAATATTACTTGTACACAAACTAACATTATTAATGCTTCAACTGCACTGTAAATAAAAAAAAAAATAAGAATGTTACTTTATGCATTGTTTTGTGAGTGTTCTGAGAAATCTTTAAACGTTTATTATTATGTAACAGAGTTGTTTTGTAACAATTATTTATTTAGATTGAAATGGTGAACACTTAAAAAAGTAATACAAAGATTTCTTATGATTTAATGAGATGTAATGTTTCATTTTAAATTGTCATAAAAGTAGATAACGTAAAATCTGATTAACTGTAATAATTAGGTAATTCAACACAAGGTCGTTTTAAGCAATTGTAGACGTCTAGAATTCCAACGATTTTAAGTCCATTTTACACAATTAATAACCATCCAATTGTCATTACGAATCATTATGATTCAAAGCGTAGGTAGTCGCTTAATTGCATTAAAAAAATTACTTACGTGGTTTCTGGCAAATTAATGAAGACCGTTCCAGATATTGCATCACCATATTTCAAATAAGTTAAACATCCCATTAAAATAACAAATGGGGTAATCAAAAGAAATCCAATGTTTAAAACTCCGAATGTTCCCACCATTTTTTTAGGATTCTCCATTACATTTCTTAAAGGAATAATCTAAATCACCTTTAAAAGTATTTCTTTATAATTTTGTTTTAATCTTACCAATGCTATACATTCATACGTGTACAAAGCTATACCAAGATAGACGGGGAAGCTTCCAATTTCACCCACGTATTTCGTAGTTGCAATGTTTGGTAAATCTTGACAAACAAAAAATAAAGTTGCAACAATGATGCTTACCAAAAGAGCGTTTGCGAACATAGAAAATGGTGCGAGCACTTCTAATTTTGTTATTAATGATAAAAGCCACATTGGAATAACTGATATGAGCATTAAAAGATGGATATCGATGTCTATATTAAAATAACCTAAAGCCTAAATTATAAAAATTAAATTTCTAGATTTTACTCGATAAAAATCATACTTTTGTCATATTTGTTCCTAAAAAGACAACATAAGTGCAGCAAAACCCCAAATTCATCGTACATAATCCTATTACTATAAACAATTTCATAAGCTTTGCTAATTTAGCGTTTGCTTCTGGTGATTTTAAAACAGAAGTTCGTTTAAAAACCAATTCAGTTAATTCTGCGTAACTATATTGTTGTTTTTTTGGTGAATTTGCTTTTTTTAGTTCTTCTTCATCTTGTAATTCTATGTGTTCTACAATTCTTACCTATATTTAACAAAAACATTGTTTAATATAATTATAATAATAACACGACCAAAGTTACCAATAACGAAGCACAGTGACAAACAACAACACCCATTATTGGAGTTAATATTAAAGCAATTATCATACCGGCTTCTTTAAATGCTACACCCATTGAAAATATTCCTGCGCCCAAAATACCTTTTATAAGGTGCATCAATGTTTGTATATAACTAAAATTATGAAACTAAAGAATTTCATTAAATTTCTTTTTGTTAACTTACTTTGTCATTTTCGCGTGGTTTTTTTTAGTTAGGTTTAATTAAATGTCGTTCTCCGTACGCGGTTCATGTTATACTAAAGCTGGCACATTCGTTGTATTTCTGTATATGGGAAAGGCATAACTCGACGCAAGGTCGTGGAAAGATTATGTTTATTATGTGTTAAATTAGTAAATATTTGGTATCAACTACTTCCAGGGTTCAATTAGAAAATAAGATAATTCGATTTTTTGCAGGAAAAGGCTTTAATCAATTTTGATAAATCACATATTTGAAATACTTTTAGAGTTTTGTTGGAAGGACTATAATAATGGATATATTTCATTGTGGTTTTCGTGCAGCAGGATTTGTGTGTATTTGTAATCGATTTCTTTTTTGCTTAACATATTGATGACTACACCAAATCCACGCTCTCATAAATATGGCGGAAATGTTATTAAAAATGTTTATAAACTGTAAGTATTAGGTTTTAAATTTAAGTTCCAATTCTTCATGTGTTATTAATTCCGTTCATTCCTTTAACCATTTTGTAACTTTTTCTTTGTCGAAAAAAGAAATTGCAAGTAAATTTTCATCTGAGATATATCTTCAAACAATTGCATGAATTAAGAGTAAAGAGAAATAAAACTTAATGTTATTCATACTTCCTTCCAAGCTTACGGAATTTCTTAAATGTCTTGAAATACGACTACCAGTCTTTCCATTAATTAGTTAGCTGCTGTCCTTCTCAACTCAATTTGCATCCCTTCCGGTTGTTGATATTGATGTTTGCTGACTCTTTCGTTGTTAGGTAATCTGGTGTTTCTTCTTGGTTTTTGTTAACGGGGTCTCTCTGTGCTACTACATCCACCTTTTGTCCATGATGGCAAAGTTAATATTATTATTGTTGTTATAATACTATTAATATTGTTTTTTTTATTTACTACGAACAGTTTTGTAATTTAAAGTCGTCAAAGTTTCACACAAGAAAAGAAAAGATTTCAAAAAGTGTTTTCTTTTTTAAAATTATTTTATTGCAAAGGCAGTATTAAACATATTTGATGTTTGGGTTGTCTACCCTAAAGGAGTATAATTTTAATTTTACTAAAATAAGTTATGTTAAGAAAAAGAACAGAATAAAGTGCAGTTTTATAGTGGTGGACAATGTTTATATCGTTATGTGTTGTTTAATGATGCCTAAAGATGTTTTATTGACAAATTAGAACAATCAGTAACCAGAACAACAATCTTGTAGTAAACACCGACAAAAACATCAATACTAGGTGTGTTTTCCAAAGTTAGGGAATCCAGTATTAAATGTTCTACAGTAGCCTAATAAGATTAGCATGTCTTGCGAAGTATAATAGGTAGAACAGCGAGTTTGCAATCGAAATTTCAAGTTTAAAGTTTAAATAAGTACCGATTACACCCAAGAAGCTGTTTTACTAACATTAAAATTAATATATTTATGCATATGTATGCAACCAATATCACAGTACTGGTTGCATACTTGCAATGATGACGTCGGGTACGATAATTAATTAACACACTGTACATGGTCCATAGAAATTGAAATTACAAGAAAAGCCGAAGTGGGATAATTAAAATTGTCACAAATTTATTTATAGAGTAGTTTAAAAGAATTAATTTAACAATTTTTATGTTGTGCCAATGTAATATAAAACTTGACATTTTATTTGACAGCATCAAAATATTAAATTCTTAAAAATATATTGTAAAAATACAAAATAAAATTATAAATTATAAAAATCGAGTTAAATAGAATAGTATTTCCTATTTCTTTGCAAACTCCTCAATTATGCTTAAAATTGTGGCATAGATTCCAAATATAAATGTTCCTACGGCTGATAAAAACAGCATCCCATTTTTTGTAACTTTAATCGCTTTCTTGAACCAAACCTTTTCTTGGGGATAAAACAAAATCAAGTCCATAAAGGGTGGCAAAAAGAGTGTTAATGAAGTACTACACACAGCTCCGATTAGTGACATTATTAAATGGATAAAAGGAATTATTTGACCTATTACAACTAGAAACATTAATTTACAAAGATTTAAAATATTATTTAAAAACATGTTCTTACGAGTAAATGCAACTAGCAATGATCGAAAACACAGCTCACTGAATAGTGGTCTTTTAAATGGGCCAAAACGATTTGTTACTAATGGCCACATTATATTTACAGGGATATACATTTGAAGTGGATATGTTAATATTACTAATATACAAACAGAGGTTATTAATATTTCAACTCCACTGTAACCAAAAAAATATAGAAATAATTCGTGTTTAGAAAAAATTATTTTTACGTTGTCTCAGGTAAATTAATGAACACTGTCCCATGGATATCCTCACCATATTGCATATAAGACAAACATCCCATTATAATTACGAAAGGTGTAATTAGCAGAAACGCCATGTTTAATACTCCAAACGTTCCAACCATTTTTTGGGGTTCTTTCATATCATTTCTTAAAGGTACAATCTAAATTGCTTTTAAAAGTATTAGTTTAGGGAATCAATCTTACCAAAGGTATACATTCATAAGTGCATAAAACAATGCCTACAAAAACAGGAAAACTATCAGCATCTCCCACGTACTTTGTTGTTGTAACATGTGGTAAATCATGGCATATATACCACAACGTTGTGATGGTGGTGCAAAATAAAATTGCGTTTGCAATCATAGAAAACGGAGCTAATATTGCTAATTTTGTTATTAATGATAAAAGCCACATTGGAATGATCGCTATGACCATAAGAATATGAATTTCTATGTATATATTAAAATGCCCTAAAACCTAGATTAAGAATTAAATTATTAAGTATTTAAGATTTTGAATTAGTTTAAAATTGAACTTTAGACATGTTCGCTCCTAAAAACACAACATAACAGCAACAAAACCCCAAATTCATCGTACATAAACCAATCACTGTAAATCTTTTCATAAACTTTGCTAATTTATTGTTGGCTTCCGTTGATTTTAAAATTGACGATCGCTGAAAAACAGTTTCTGTTAATTCTGCGTAACTGTATTGGCGAAGATTAGATGAATCCGTTTTAGTTTCTTCGTTTAATTCTTCTTGGTCTAAAATCTCAATGTATTCTGCAATTCTTACCTGGCAAAGCAACAAAATGAATATTAAGTAAGAAATATTTCTGAATCTCACCAATAACGTAGCACAATGACATATTACTAATCCTATTATCGGTGTTAAAATCAAGGCAATTATCATTCCGGCTTCTTTAAATGCAACTCCCATCGAAAATATCCCTGAACCTATGATGCCTTTTATCATATGCATTAATGTTTGTAGATAACTATTAAAAAAATTTCATAATTAAAAGCTTAATTAATCATCAAACTTACTTTATCATTTTTAATACACGAATGCTTCATGTTGTGCAAATATCAAAATATTCATTTAGTTTCTCCAAATACGATAACATTGAAAGCTATAAAGTTTTTTTTATTGGTTGTCAATATGACTAATTTTTATTGTTGAGGTTAAAAATGTATTTAAAATTAAACACTTTATTAATAATAAAAATAGTTTATTCTTAAATTCTAATCGGTAAATCATTTCGTATTATAAAATTTACCTATCTATCACTGTACACTTAATATTACAAAAGAAAAAAAAATCAACAAAAATAAATTATACATCTCATTATCAACATCTACAAAAAGGAATCTATCACAGTTTGTTTCTGAACTCAGCTACCCTCAGCGACGAACTGATTAACTATACTGTGCAGGCTTTCGTAAGTCCCTGTTACACATCCTAATAATCCAACAAGTATTATCACACCATCTTTAATAATAATCCACGCGGTTAATTCTGAGATGTTATAATGCAATACTATTTCGATGATCGGAGGGAATAACAAAGCTAAAGTTGTACTGCTAACAGCACCTACCAACGAAATAAATAATCCTAAGTAAGGAATAGCTTCGGCTAAGACAACTAAAAAAAAATCGAATTAGTTAAAACAAAAAATTATGGATAAATACATACATGTTACAAGAACTAAGAAGATTCTAAATGTATATTCCATTAAAACGGGATGATTAAATGGACCGAATGTTTTTATTACATTCGGCCAAATAACATCTACTGGGATATAGAATTGTAAAGCATAAGTTAATAAAATAGCCAAAGAAATCATAATTTTGACAGATTGAGCTAATCTAAAATTAATTAAACTCAGATTATAATTATATCGAATTTTATTCCAATTAACTTACTTCTCAGTTTCCGGAAGATTCAACGTAACACTTCCCAAAACATCTTCTCCATATTTCAAGTAACTAAGAAGTCCCATCATCATATAAATAACGGTAACAACACTCATCCCAACATTTAAAACTCCCAAAGGTTTTTTAAATTCATCGGGTCTCTTCATTTCGTTTTGTAATGGTAAAACCTTCAATAAACAAATCACTTAATTAATTATATGCATATAATTAAAAATTTTGCACCATACCAAGCCGATTCCTTCAAAAGCAAACAGTGCGGTTCCAAAAAACAAAGGTAACTGATGTAATTCGGCTACATATTTCCTTTCGCTTATCGCTGGGAGATTTTGGGTGTTATAATAAACAGTAATGGAAATTCCGATAACCATAAAAACGTTAGCCACAGTTGATAAAGGTGCGAGAAACTTTAAGTTTCTAATCAAACAGCTGAGAACAATTGGAAGGAGGAGTATTGCCATATGAAAATGTACGTCGATTATAAGACCGTAATAATCCAAAACCTTAAAGAAAAACAAAAAAAAATTAGAATGATTATTAATAATTAAAATTAAAAAGAGAAATTTATTACTTGTTTTAAATTATCAGCGATGAAAACAAAGTAAACACAACAGAATCCTAATTGAGTTATACACAAGAACAAATTAACGATTTTCCTCATGTACGTGGCTGCTCTTTTCATTGCGATCGTTCCTGTTTCAAAACATAATTGGACTGTTTCTGCAAAATCCGGTCTTACTTCGGCACCTGTTATTCTTGAAGCTCTCTTCGCGCATGATAACTGGAACAAAAACACAAACATTCATTGTATTTAAATTTTTTTTTTAATTTAATTTAATTGATTGGAAAAATAGTTTACAGGAAGAACATTACAATAGGTTATGAAATTAACACGTTACATAATTTTTATTATTCTCATTAGCTATCCTTGAACTCTGAGAAACAGATCAGATGAAAACACCGTACGTGTTATTTTCCACAATAACAAAATATACCATGATGTATTATTTATTTTAAAATTTATACTTTGCTAATCAAATTATTTACAAATTATGTTTATTGGATAATAGGAAAACCAGATTTTATGCGAGTTATCTTAATTAAGTTACATGTTGTTTAAGAACTCAAACCTTCACTATGAAATTAGTTAATTAATTTTGCAATTTTCTAATTAATTGGGCAATTTCGTTATTTTCCGTGATGAACATTGATAAATTACTAGATTAATATTGAGCTTTGTGACGTCGTTATGAATAAAATTTATTTAAAATTTGTTGACTTTTTTGATGTAGAATCATAGATATATTTTGTAATAGCGAATTATGAATTAAGCGCAATTGAGTTTTCACTGCACATGTATTTCAATTTGTGAAAGGTTGTCCATGTCACTTATATTCTGCACTTTATCTTAGCAGTCTGTTTTTCTTTGTCTATCCCGATAGCGTGGGATTCGTTGTCTATGGTAAACTTCATCTTTAGCCCCGATCCTCTGGCTGCACTATATTTAATTACAGCTGGTCATTATGACGATATTGTCTGCAAAGTGTGGATAGTTTAAATAGGTCCCATCGATGTTAATGCCTTTGGCTTCCCATGCTAGTGACTTGAAGATGTTTCTTTCAAGTTTTGGGAAAATTTCGGACTTGCTGTTTCTTTAAAAAGAGATTTTAAGGCAGTACAGGTTTTCTTGTTTAGATAGTTTGCCAGCATCTCTCCACGTTTGGTTCTAGTACCAAAACCGAAATTTCCAATGTTTCCTGGCTTGGTTTTTTGTCCAATCTTGAGTCTTGTCAATCATGTCAACTTTTTCGTTTAACTATCTATCTTTTTATTAATGATACATGCAGTGTATAAAGTTAGATTGTTCTGATCATGGTAAGGAAGGAAAACACTGGACATATTTTAGACAAAATGACTTTACAAGGTAATCATTTTTTAGCTATTTAATGGAATATAAATTTTATACTCACCAAAACATGCATACAATGCGTACAAATAATACCTAAAACTATTATCACCCACGGTCCAATCATAATCCCCGCATTTTTAAAACCATATCCCATAGCAAATACCCCAGATCCGACGTTTCCTTTAAATAGATGCATCAAAGAGTCTAAATATCTACAACAAAAAAGAAAGATGAATAAAATTAAATAAAAAATATTTTAACTGTCATCAAAGAAATGTTTTTTTAATTCAATTTTGCTATTAACCTAGATTATAATTCTATATTTAAGCGAGTCTTTGATGTGGATTGTGAAGTTGCAAAATAAGTATAACCACAAAGCAAGGACACTCTTTGAAAATAAAAAGAAACGATTTCGCTCGCAATGTGTATTTGGGGAATTCTCGAAAATATTGTTTAAAAATAGCAAACGTGTTACTTACGTAGTCTGATGCGATCCTCCAGAACCATGAACGCCTCCGCCTTTCTCCCTCTTATCTTCCGTCGAAATGGAGATGATTGCCTCTTTAGACTGAAATGTCATATAGGAATCCTCATTTCTAGAACACCATATTTGTAATATTACATTCAAAACGTTTGGTTTATTTTCCTAGCTGATCTCGATGGATGAAAAAAGTTAGTTGGTGATATTACAAAAATTATGATTGCTTCTTTTAATGTTTTTTTGTACTTACCTACTTCCATTTGTAATTACGCTAGCGTTAGATCCGTACCATGGATTTGTCACCCCCAGGGTGTTTTGGCCTTTAAATTGCATCTTATTTAATTCCATTCTGAAAAGAGAAAATAATAAAATTATTTATTTGAATCTAACTAATGTCTGTTTAATATCGTAATTCATTGATGAGAAGCAAATGTGTATAATTTACATTCTTCCGCAAATAGATGGGATAGGGCGAAACCTTCAAATTTTGACCGCTAATTTTGGGTCTAGGTTAATGGAACCACGCAGCGTTTACTTTTCAATAACGACTTCCCCATCAATTTCCTGATGGTATTCCAAGTGCGTATGAATGCAATTAGGGGTTTGGCATCGCCAAGTGCCAAGATACATAAATGATTAGAATCCCGAGAAATCATTAAAAAAGTTATTCGTATATTTAATTAAATTAATTAATCCAATTAATTTAGAAGGATGCTTAAAATTTTCCTTATACGATAAGGATTTGGGTAAGAATGAAATTATGGGAGTGATTGATATGAAAAGACTTTCGATTTCTTCGAATTTTGGGCAATACTCAAATATGCGAGCGATGATTAAGTTTCGAAACATAATCAAAGTTCACGAAAATCATACTACAAGGTAATTTGTAATATACAATTTGGCAAGAAATTTTGTACCATTTGCCAAAATTCCTTTTACTTACGTGGCATATTCGTATGGTTTAAATATAACGACCTTAAATCAAAAGTCCTTAAAGAAGACATAATTACTTTTTCTGAAAACTGCTTTTATAGACGAATTAGGTATGCACTTAAATCGTTTAAATTTTTTTTTAAATGTATCTAATAATATAGCGACTTCGCCTCGGTTACTAAAACTACCAAAACTATGACGTTTCAACTTTGATCAGCGGATATATCATAGTCGAGTGTACCTAATGTTTAACATCTGCAGGATATATGGACTATCATCAGCATCACACAGCTTCTAAAGTTCGCTGCAGGAGGTAGGTCTCCCCTCCCTTGTTTGCTTCCATAACTCCCAATCCTCAGATATTTGCATCCAGTTAGTGTGTATGCTTAATCGTCATGCCATATGGTTGGAGGATCACCTCTGGTCCTAAAAGAAGGTATATTGTTTTGGTCTCCATTCCTTAATTTTCTTGGTTTCATCAATCACGTGTATGGAACATGACGCTTTTTTTGCCATGCCGTTTTCTCTCGCATACTAACCGCCACATCTCAACACTCCACGATTTTTGAAACGAAAAAAGTCTGTGTATGGCTGGCTATTGAAGAGTTTTCTCTTCAAACATATCTAAAGTGCGATTTTGAAATCGAAAGTCGTCCCACAGGTTTGTTCAGAAGCCGTCTTTGTAACATTGTCTAATCTTTCTTTATGCAGTTGGATATGAGGACAATGTTGTCCGCAAATCGTAAATGACTCAGATTTTCGCCACTATGTTTATGCCTAACTCATCCCTTTCTTTCTGTTTGCACATATACTGGAGCAAATTCTTAAACAATTTTGGAGAAATGGAGTTGCCTTGACGAACACGTTTTTCTATGTTGAAGCTGTTAGCATCTTCATGAAGCCTAATACAAGCTGTAGCACTAAGATTAACGGTTTGTTGTATTCGATCGATTTCTCAATTAGACTTTTTAGAAACCATGAAGTTTCTACTACTTAATGTCTTTGTTATGTTTTAAAAACGAGGTTAAGAAAAAAACTTTTTTCTCCAATACCCTTTAGAATGAAGAAACGAAACTTTTTGGGGTTACCAAAGAATATTTGAGGTTAAGTTAGCAAATATTAAGCTTACAGGGTAAGAGGAAATTATCGTACATTATGACTCGTAGAAAGCATACGTGGAAACAAGTTCACAAACTCTAACTATGTGTAAACATCTCGTTTAAAAAAATAAATTATAAACGGTCATTAACTCCATTCGAAAATTGTTGTTTAAACAATTACGATTTAAAACTTTCCTAAATTGCCCTGTTTTTCAACAACACTCAATCAGTTCTTATACAATTTGAAATTATGATAAAAAAAGTAAACCACATTGACACCAATCTTAAACAGCTTTAGAAAATCTTTCTGCAAACTCATTCTCTATATCTTTTTCATACAAGTCTCTCCACTATTATTCCCAGAACTCTTTAACATATTTTAAAACAATGACCAAGCCTCTTGTTTGCATGTATGATTAATTTTTTTTGAATTTATGCATTAATTAATTTGTAATCAAAGATATATTAAATCAAAATTTTATCTGACGTAAATACTTCAGGTCATCAAATCATTTTTATGATTTCAATTGTATAAATTGTCCATTGTCATGAATGGGTGAATACAATGGATGGAATCACGTAGACGACGAAATCAACCTCGAAACGTGCTTGTATTAATCGATATAAATCGATCACCGGAAGCTATTAAACTCGGTTAAACGTACTTTAAAACGTGTTCGAACCCACGTTTAATAATACTGCTGATTTAAGTGCGTACGATTGGTTTAATCAAAGACACCACTCTTAAGTTCGCGCTTTATTTAAATGATTTCGTAACATCAATTTGCACGTAAGCGCTCCTTTATAGAACTAAATATATCTGAGGCCGTGGCCGTGCTTTATTTTAAAATAAATTGGCTAGGTTACGATTGTATCATAAATTTGAATGTAATTTTTATGTTCTTGTATTTACTTCCTGGGTTGGTTTCTAAGTTGTCCTTGGAAGATTTTAAAAATGATTTCATAAAAAAAAACATTAATAACATCCTGGATCTTATAAAAACATATTTTTAGGAAGTAAGTTATATTTTAAGGCGATTTTATGTTTGTAGATATAAATAATGATTTCCTGATAAAAGCTCCAAATAATTTTTCTTTATAGTTGAGTGTTGAAAGCTTGACACTTTCCAACAAAAAAAAACTTGAGCGTAAAATAAAAAATAAAAATAGAATATTTTATGAATGAAAACATTTACATTGAAAGAAAAAATGTGAAGGACTATAGAAAAAATTACGCCTACACCGTCCATGGTGAACGGTTTAGTGGAAAATTTTTAACATGATTAACTGTGACATAGAGATTTCTATCTCTTACGTCAATACTCGCTTAAAATTAGGAAATTTTTGGAACAAAGCTAACAAAACGATATCTACACGTAAGGCTTTTTAAGACACACCTCTTTATTTTTGGAAATTGGCATGAAATTCTGTTACTTTTAAATGCCAAATAAAAAAGCAAACGTTGGAACGTTTAATTTACTTTGGGGATTTTCCTATAACTTTTTATTCTTAATAAAAAAATATATAATTCGGTTTGATCTTTTTTTATACACAAAAGTTTATTTTACTTCACTTTTATTTTAAATATACTTAAATTTATGTCGTGTTTTTTTGAATTTCCAAATAAATGTTGCAATTGAACAAAATGCGGCTCTAAAAGTAATTTGAACAAAATACACATAAAAAAAAAATACAAAACAATCGTTTAAGAAAGCTATCACGCAATTCCAAGTACAATTACCTCAATGTTCCATGCTTGATATATTTTTACATTAATCCTTGAAATGTAACCGCCGCATTAACTTCTTGGAATTCTAAGGTCAGATCACAATAAAGTAAAGTAATGTAATTAGAAAGGATTTATTTAATAAATTTTTTTTTTTTTAAATAAATGTTTTGCTTAATATTCATCATCTTTTCTTAGTAAAATCCTTTAATTACTTAGGTATGTATGTTTCTTAAATAACTTTATTCACGCAAACTCTTACTAAAATAGTTAACATACAAATTTAAGTGAGATGTTATTGCCAAACTGTTAATGTATATTTGTACAAAACATTTGGCATTTCGGGGCACAGTTCATCGTCAATGAAGTTATAAATGCTACTGATAATAATACACCTTTCTAATACATTCTCTGTAAGAACTACTTAGTGACTGAATACTGACTTAATAAATAAAAGAAAATTTGTCTTCTTGGTAACGAATCTTAATATATGCTTTAATAATACTTTTTAAGAAATTGCATTATTTATCTGATATTGACCTCAAATAATTTAACACAAATCATTAATTGTCAATTTGTGTTAGAGATGTTAGTGACTTGCTAATTGGACCGGCTTTCCTAATAAATAGACTTATTGGCGAGATGTACCGTAAATTGTTAAAAGAGTTATGATGGTTGGCACACCATCGTCCTTAAATCACACTTTCTTCTGGCCGCGGTTGAGTTAGATTAGTGTTCGACTTACAACAATTTACAAGGAACAGCTTTCAAGAAGGTTCAGAAACAAGTACGTGCTCCATTTGATATATAATGTCAATTTTATAACCGCGTAAGTTGCTAAAGACTTATCATTAAGTCAACCTCAGTTATTACATTCAAAGTTAAAACCAGAAAAGCACATATTCTAGAAAGTGAGCTCCGAAAAACTGAAGATGAGACCGAAGCAGAATCACCGCGTATAAGATAAGTCGCAATAATGAGTCTGCTTACCAGATTTTTTGTTTATCGGTTTCAGAGTAATGATTTGGATTCTGAACAAGGAGATTGAGATTAATGGCAAAAGGAGAACTCCATGTATCCAAAAAGGACTAAACACATTCCAATATTCCATATTGGTGCCTTGTAATAAATAACGCAGTGATCATCTCTCGCCTTTGGACTGCTAGATTTGTTCCTGCTCTTTGATGGAGTTAGGTTGAACCTACTCAGAACTGCCGAAACTGTCTAAAGTCTTATTTTAGATTCTGATCAATGAGGTTGAGGTGGAAATGGGGACCTGTTCTAAAGGGAGACGGCCTCGGACAAGCCGTGTGGCCGATCGTGTCGAGGAGAAACCATCAACAACGACATGGCATTTCTCTGCGTTCATTCAAAGAATTTGGACGATGATTTTCATACAAAATTTCAGATCGTTCAATTCAGTTGTGCCTGAGAGAAGTGCCTGATTTTTTCCAGAAATTGATGAGCGTAGAGGCACATTTTCACCTCTCTGAATATGTAAACAAACAAACCATCAAATTTTGGGCAACAAATAATCAATCCTCGTGTTCTTCATGAGACATCACTCCATCCACAAAAAGTGATTGATATCGGACCATGTTGAACGAGTTCTTAATACCTAAACTGGATGAGTTGAATTTGGAGGATTTGTTGTTCTAGCAAGAGATATTGATTTTGATTAAATTCTATAAATTTGATTAAAATCGACATTTCTTAATTTTAAGACGCAAGAACTAAATGTGAATTCTCTTGGAATCCTCCATGATTAATTATTAATATAGAAAGAAGTAGAAGACGATTTCGTGCTTCTAATCGCTTCAAGAAAAAGAAAACCCACCAAATATTTTATGTCGAAAATTACGCAAGAACTCGATTTTGTGAATGAAAAAAATTTCCTTCATTTTTTTATAAATTGAAAAGAATAAGCATTTTGGTGATCTTTTAGATTTGTTTTTATCTATTTATTGTTAAACCCATTTAAGAAACCTCTAATAATAAATGACAAAACGGAAAAATGTCAAGTTCGACCACCACGTGGATTGGTGTTGCGGGGTTGCGTGCCAAAACTCGAGCAATTCTAGTTTCTATTTTTATTTTAATGTTTAGGTACATAGGACATAAATCCGAGACATTCACCCACTTATTTCGACACATCTGTATCTTTATTCTTGTACGTTCGCAGCCAATGAATAATAATTTATTTGTTCGGTGGTAAACACGTGCGCTTTCTTTATTGAAATTTAAATTGTTAAATGTCAATCATCTTTATATTAATCAATATTATATGTAAAGAATATTTAAACATTCGCAACTAAATTGGTTTTGATTTAACACCTGGTAAGATAATTTGTTAAAGAGACACGTTTGTTCGATAAAAAAATCATGCTATTTTCCACACGCGATCGCGTTTATGTTAACGGATTTAAAAATAATTTAGAGTTGAAAGAGTGGGTTTAAGCTCGGTTGAACCTTTAAAATGAAAACTGGATAATTCCGGCAAAAATAAGCGAAGTTGTGGGCGTTTGTTCTCTTTAAAATTTTTGTTTGAATATTCACAAAAATTTTGCCAAGTTTTAGGAAGTCGTTTCTAAATAATATCTATATTTACTAGATGTTTTGTTTCAATTAATTCATATAAGTTTTTTTTTCTTGAGCTGCATTACGTCTTTAAAACAGGTTATTTCCAGTCGTTGGTTCATTAGTATTCAACAATCATTAGATAACAATATATCTGCTTGTTATATTACTTTTTTTTGTATCTATAACTATCTTAATTTGGAACAAATAGTTATTGGAAAATCACAAGGTCGTTTAACCGCAGCACGATTATTAACTGGTTATTAACACTTTCATTTTTTACGGTTTAATAGATTTAATTTAAATATTAAACTAAATTGTCTTTTGTGACGGAGTGAATTTCACTTAAGATGCAATATACAAAAATATATTTCCACAGAAATCAGGGCGTATGTACCTACTTACTTTGTCCCACATAAAATGTAACATGTCAATAAAATTTGCTATTACAGTAAAACCTAGATATAACGGATCAACATTAACACTAAAACTAACACTAGACCTAAAACTAGAAACATTTCCTTTAGCCATACCTCTCTTACAACTAAACCCAAATGATACGTCTGAAGACACACGGCTAAACCCAAAACTTACTAGTTCTAGGTCTAGTGTTAGTTCTAGTTTTAATTGTTATGCAGAGCTAGACCAAAAACTAGAATCGGATGAAATTCTCAGTAAGTTTTTCTAACTAAACCAACTTTTTAATATGTTGTTGTTTAAAGGTGGAAGATTTTTTTATGCAAACACATTAACTTAGCTGCTTATAAACAAGTATCAATGTCAAAGGTTTACGTAAGATCTTACGACAAAATGAGCGCAATAAAAGCTCAAATTGAATCTTCATAAAAAATTCTGTTGCTATTTTAAATGTACAATGAAAAAAATAGTTCTTAAATTTATGCCCGGTTCCATAAACAATGAGATTAGTACGTGTTAGAATCGTACAAAGCAATGAGAAATGCAAAAAATAGAGTCGTAAATAAGCGAGGGATTATATGAAACAATTAACTACGCAAAAACGAAAACCTAAAGTTTAAGATGTAAATTTTTATTAAAGTAACAAATATAAAAAAGCACATTCTTTTAAATAAAATAAAAATATGTTAAAAACAACATATTTTCAACAAATTGTTTGTCGTTTGTGGAATTTAAAAATGTAACCACCTCATTATGCATATTTCTATTCCATGCGTTTGTGACATTTATTTATAAATTATATAGATTGTTTTGGTTTGAACAATCGTATTTTGGTTAAATAATATATATCACGTTTTGTGCGGTCAAGTTCTTTTGGTATCATTGTGATGATTATCACGCACGTTTATCATTCTCATACGATTATGTGACACTCTCACTGACACCTGTTTATAATTAATGCACGGTCACGATTAACACTTTGTTGTATCGCAACACGGAACTGCACACTTCCGGAACAACAAAAATTATTCTTTAATTAAATAAACAAAGTGCCCAATATCTATTATTAAAAGATTAAGTTTTCGGTAATTCCCCATTTAAATAAAAAAAAAAGAAACTTAAACTTAATTAGTTGATGCTCTTAACATTTTATTAGCCCATTTTTTTTGTTAATGGAAAGCTTAAACGAAGGTAAACTTCTACGTCAATGCAACATCCAGAAATTTCTTACCAAAATCGAACAAAAAATCGCAACCATTAATTTAAATTCAAAAATTAGAAAAAATAAATACTTACTTTTTGTCTTTTGATGCCACCTCCTTAAATTGAAGTGATTAAAAGAAAGAAAAAATTTTTTTTTTACTCGATAACACTGATTTATTAATCAATTTTATAAAAATTTTTTTCTTTCTTTTTGGGAAATTGTTAAAAAATGGAATATACGTGTGCTGGACGTTGGAACCACTGGCTACCGTACACACACACCTTCGTTACGTTTGACTTTGTGAAGATAAAACGAGTGTTAGTCGCCGTTTAATATAATTATCCCTACCATTGGGTTGGTTGGCATTTTTTGGCAAATTGTCGAGTGCAACGGGTACATAACGAGAGAGTTATGACGACGCCAGAGGCGCCTTTTTAACATTCGCGGTCACTACCGTAGACGCCGAACGTCGCGACGCCTCACCAAAACGTGACGCCTTACGAATCGCCAACCAAAACGAACCAACTAATAAACCAACATTTTCTATACGCGAAATCGAACTCGATTTATTTGGTTTATTTTCGATTTTATCCCGAAAATCTAAAATTAACTTTCAATTTATACGTATACATTGAAATTTTTGAAAATAAAACTTGGCTAAATAATTTATAAATTGTTAAAATTTATGTTAATATTACCATTTAACAACTACATTATTAAATTTAATTCAATTAAAATTCGATGTATTACAAAAATACCGATTGCAAATGATTCAAGGTTAAGATACCGACTGAAAGTTAAATGAAATAAGAACACGTCGATTAAGAAATTATGAGTATACATTTGCGGTTTAGCGTTTTTTCGTTTTTACCCATTTTTATTACATTATTGTATTTCACAAAATATCTACATACGTCAATTTAAATGGATTCCCATTATTTTTAATAATTATTAGTTACTGTGTATTAGAAAATACAAAGTATCATATTTTTAACGTTTAATGTTAAGTTATTGAAAAATTCTTTTCCGATTATCATGTTAAAAAATTCATTAGAAACAATTTTCTACTAATTCTCTTTAGAAATATGTTACCTTTTCTAAGTTTGGGTGTGAGTTCTGCAATTTAACTTTATAATTAAGCTTACTCCAAAAGCGTAGATACACCTTAACCACGTGTAATTACTAATACCTACATACAGGTACAGCAATAATACTATTTTTATTTTTACTTGTTATGCAAAAATTGGTAATTAACACATTTAATTAAACTAAAAAATATATTTACGTAAGCACATTTAATAAGAACCTTGAGGCTTGAGGAAAATCTTGATTGGAACAAAAATTGAATGCTAGTAATTCGGGGAAAGATGGACCAACTCTTTATTCTGCCACAGGCTTTTACTAACCTGAAGATATTATACGTGGCATCTCATCACTTTTATGTTTTCTGCCAAGTGAGGTAATGCTACTAGGGGTGAAGCCAGGTGTGGTGATAGTGTGCTTATTTTTTTTTTATTTCTCATGGAGATGATTAGGTTCGAAAAAGCTACTCTGCACATCTTTTTGTTTTAAGATTGGGCGCAGCTTAATGTTCCAAGTTGGTCATCCCGCATCTGGTGCATATTTAATAATCAATTTAAATAAAGCACATTTAATAAGAAACTTGAGGCTTGAGGAAAATCTGGATTGGAACAAAAATTGAATGCTAGTAACTCGGGGAAAGATGGACCATCACTTCATTCTGCCACAGGCTTTTACTAAACGAAAGATATTATACGTGCCACTTTTATGTTTTCTGTTAAGTGAGGTAATGCAACTGGGGGTGAAGCCAGGTGTGGTGTTAAAATGGAGCTACTCTGCACAACTTTTTGTTTTAAAATTGGGCGCGACTTAATGATACAAGTTGGTCATTCCGCCGCTGATGCAGAAGATTAAGTTTGTAAATATGCACATCGAATCAACTAAGAAGGAGAAGGTGCATGGGAACAGAAAGAAGTAAGAAAGGAAGAAGGAACTGTTGTAGGAGGAGAAGCAACTAGCGTTTACAAGGAAAGGTCGCAATCCTCGGTAGCCACTGAAAAGTGGTGTAGTTGTCTTGTAGTGTATCTTGGATCTTGGTGGTTTCTGTGATTCCATAAATGTTTTAGAAACCTACAGAGCAATTTGTCTAGAAACCTTCCTGAATGTAAGCTGTAAGCTAACTTATTAATATCATTTTCTTAATCGATTAATTAAATCAGAAATTAATATAATTTATTAAAATCATTGAGTGAAATAGAAAAAATCGCTTGTGTAAAAGTAGAAAAATATTAACTTTAAAATGTTCCAAGTCTAGACAAGCTGATATACTGATTGTAGTGTAATTTCTCATTGAGAACTCGTCAAGTTAAAAAAAAATCCGGTCACATTCCTCACGTAGCAACCGATCAATATTGAAGTACCATTAACATTAAAGTATCTTTAACGATTTCAACAACTTTGAACGCACGATGCATTGCACTCGCTAAAACAATAATAATTCAATCGATCTTGTGCGTCATTTATACGTTTTATTAATGTTATTACGCCTTATTGCTGGTAACGCTAAGATTTCAGCACAAAAAATATCCATAACTCTTCTTTTTTCAAATACGACGTATTTCTTTTATTGAACATAATTTCGTTGGAATGTTTAAAGGAAAATTTTCCACTTTTTATTGTGTGTGCACTCGCAACGTACACAACATTAATACGGGGAATAAATTAACATAACATTAAAGTTGAATGAAATTGCTTGGTGTAAGGAAGGTTGAGGTTATATTAATTTGTTTTTTATTAATTGTTTATTAGTAAATATAAATAGTCTATAGTTGTTTATTTTTCGATAGTTTTACGGACGCACGTGCTATTTCGGCGCTGAGTACAAACCCGTGCCATATTTTAATTTTAGGTCACTTCGCATGACCACTTATTTTAATTTTACCATCTACATTTTGTACCACCACTATAACCGGACGTTCTATCACCATTCCAGTTAGAGTGCGGCGCCGGATTCGCGAATAAAAAGGCCCAATAAAGTTCAATTAAAATCCTTTTCAATGTTATAAAAATAGATTATTCATAAGTCGCAGTTTCGTTTAACCGAAAATTTAAAGATACAACACCGACTAGAACGCTCAAAGTCATATCAAGACTTAAATTATCTCATTCAATGCCAAAAGAAAACTTTATGTGAGCTATATATCAAATTTTATACATGTAAAATATATAAATAGTTTAAAAAAAGACCAAGAAATGTAATAATTCCAGGTATTGAACACGGGAAAAACATTACTATAAATCGATCATAAAACCACAAACACGATATCTAATTTAAATAATGATTACACGTACTATTTGGTTTTTTTGAAAATTATAATCTAAGGGAATCACATAAAAATCCAACACAAGTTCATGTTCTAAATAATTCATTTTCACCGTTTTTTCCTTGTTTTTTGAATTAAACACTCGTTGCATACTAATAAAAATAGTTGGCCTGATTGTATATTTATCTCATATAAATAAAACATTACTAATCGATTTAAATAAAAATTGTTGTAAATTTAATCATCACTCAATTACATCGGCGTAAATTTGGTTGCCTATCTTTACTGTTCACAAATCTTAACCTCAAATTTTTTTAGAACTCCCAATCCTGTCAAAATACCGACTAACCTATAAATGATCTATCTGTGCGTTTGAAATAAACTAAATTTTAAATGAATCCAGGAAATTACAACAACGACGATGAAGCCCGCAAATTGCCACCGGGTCAACAACAAAGAACCATGGCCCAGGTAAAATGAGATTTTAATGTGAGGTTATGGAGAAAAATTACTCAATAAAACTATAATAATGGTTTTTATTTAAATATTAACATTTTCGATATTATTTTTAGTATAAATTTAGTCCAGAAGAAATGCGTGTAATGCGAGAATGCAATAAAGAGAGTTTTTGGCAAAGATGTTTACCTCTCGGATCAGCTTTAGGCGTTGCTGCTTATTTAGGAGTTCAGTCAGGTAAATACACACAATAGTATTAAATATTGATCAAGAAAAGCTAAACTGACGGTTTGTTGGATTCGTTTTCTATCATCCATTTCAACATGTGTCTTGTCTATCAATCTTATTTATTTCTTCCTTTTCCAATTATATAATTATAACATCATTTTATTATTAATTTTTTTATTCTATATTAGGTTATTTAAAAAGGCATCCAAGATTTGGCCCAGCTCCAAAAGTGGTAGTATCAGTAATTGTTGGTTATTTCGTTGGAAAATTTTCTTATCAATCCAAATGCGCGGCAAAACTCATGCAATTACCTAACAGTCAAATAGGTGAGATGTTAAGACAAAGAAGAAGAGGTAATTTTCAAGAAACGTAAGAACTAAATACATTTCTTAAATTGTTGATTTAAAATCTAAATTATTACAGAATTGATTCTGGTTTTGGTCCTGGAATGTCTTTAGCTCCATTTAGTACCCCCACTGAAACTTACACAGATGTGCCCCCATCAAACAGCTTGGATATTGACACCACCAGACCACAATATGATGGTTTGGATGATAATTTTAGACCTTCTCTCGATAGTAGTAATATATTAAACAACTTTTGCGATCACTCACCTATGGTTGTTTGTTTTTAGATCCTATTTACGAAGAAGAAATGCCTCCAGAAACAAAATATAGTACTTCTTATGATGAATTACGAAAGAGAAATCGAGATGAATACCAAAATGTTAGAACTGGTGGTTATAACAGGTACATAAGTTATGTTTTGTAATTTTTTTATTGAATTGTTTTTTGTATGATAGAATACAAGATCAAAGATCGCAGCAATCATCTGCCCAAGTTCTTGCGAAAGATATGCAACCAGCAGAGACCCCACAGCAAACAATTAGAACTAATAAATATGGAGATACATTAATTTAAAAAAAAAATCAATGGTGTTGTTGTAAAAGAAGGATTTTTTTTAGTTGTGTAAATAAATGCACATGTTAGAAAGGATATATATACTCTTTATTAATTGATTAAAGATATCTCCCATATTTTAGAGTTTTTCTTGAAACAGAATAATTTTTTACCTTGATCAAAGTCACATACAAAATTGAAACAAAAAATAATTTGTCAATTGTAAACAATACAGCTTTATATAACATTTTTTTTCAATTTTCATTGTTATAATTTTATTAACAATGTCGAGCGCTACTAATGAAAAGTTAAAGCAATGCAATATGTGCCATACAGTTTGTGGCAAAGGAAAGGTGCCTGAAGAAGTTGTTCAAGAATTAGATGACGCTTTTGAGTGCTTAGAATCGTCCCCTATCATGTCACTATTAAAAAAACATCTTAACAAAAATGTTTTTGACGAACTTAAAGATTTAATTACGCCTTACGGATCAACTCTTTGGGATTGTATTAAATCAGGTAAAAGATATTGAAAACTCAATCCAATTTTTAGTAATTTCTTTTATTTTTTTTATGAGAATATAACGTTTTATATATTTGTTTGACACATTTATCCATCGGTATCTAGTTGTAATAATTTTTCATAATACGATATTTTAATGAGTTATAATGGCAAAGAATTAAAACTAATCATATTTTATGGTATTAAATATAAGTGGTCGAGCAGCAAAAGTTTTCCAGATTAGCCTCGTCGTTAAAGAGATAAATAATTTGCAATTTCCAAATGCCATCTTGCCGGAATTTTAACGTCTCGTAATAGAAAATTTATTGCGCCATAATCTGAAATGTCCCTGCAACCATTTTGTAAATATAAACTGTGTTGTAATATTAAATTCTGAACTGCTTTATAAAATTCATTTTAATAAGATTTAGACTGTTATTGAAATCAATACCCAAATAATTCATATACCTTAATTGGCTTAATTTTTCAAGGTTAATTTTTCTATCAATTGTAACAGAGGTATTTGATCTCAGATTTTATGGGAATCAGTGTGTTGGATAGTTTAAGGGATGTTAGGATTTTGATTGGGCGAATGATTTTCGTGAGGATTCTGATTTATTTGGGTTGAATTCCATTTTCCCTTTAGTGTGTGTACGTGGCGGTATCGTCTCCGGATGTAGCCAGTTTGGGTTGAGGGATTTTTGGGAAGTCTCGCGTCTTTGAAGAAATGTTAGGATAGGTCAGTTTTGTTTTGAAACACCAATTATAGCGTGAAGGAATGTCGGGTTTCTTTTGAACCCAATTATAGCGTGAAGAAATGTCGGTTTTCTTTTGAACCCTAATCATACCGTGAAGAAACCGCAATTATAGCGTGAAGTAATGTTAAGATAGGTCAGTTTTGTTTTGAAACACCAATTATAGCGTGAAGGAATGTCGGCTTTTTCTTTGAACCCCAATTGTAGCGTGAAGGAATGTCGGTTTTCTTTTGAACCCTAATCATACCGTGAAGAAACCGCAATTATAGCGTGAAGAAATGTTAGGATAGGTCAGTTTTCTTTTGAAACCCAATTATAGCGTGAAGGAATGTTAAGATAGGTCAGTTTTGTTTACGGCTGTCAATCACCCCGGAAAAGAAAGTTGTCGGAAAAGTAATGATGACCGCTTTTCGTGACACAACGGATTTTGTCGTTTGGGTATAAGACAGTAGTGTTGATCTCGATTTTCTTCTTTGTTAGGTAACTGTGAGTCAATTTGATTAGTTGTGGGGGATATTGTGAGGTGATCTTTTTATATTTATTCAGACAGTTTCGCATGTTTTCTCCAGATCTAGGGATACTAATTGATTCTGGTGATTTGATGTATGATGGGTAGGTTACCAGGGGCCACTATGAGAATGTGAGAATCGAAAACTTGGGGCTATGCGTTGATCTTTTTAAGCATGATTTAGACATCATTTTTGCGGATTCGATGATCTCTAATTAGGTCTAAAAAATGTTATTAAATTTTAATTCTATTTGTTTAGGTGTTGTTAATCTAGACTCAGGAGTAGGAATTTACGCTCCAGATGCTCAAGCATACCACGTTTTCGACATACTCTTCGATAATATCATTGAAGATTACCACAATGGATTTAAATATACAGATAAACAACCGTTACCCGATTGGGGGAAAGTAAGCACTCTGCAAAATCTTGATCCTCTCGGAAGATACGTGGTATCCACGCGAGTTCGTTGCGGTAGATCCCTAGAAGGTTATCCATTTAATCCAAAAATGAAGGAAGACGATTATGTCGCGGTGGAAAAGAAAGTCACCAACGCTTTGAGAGAATTAAAAGGCGATTTAAAAGGGGTTTATTATCCGTTGGCCGATATGAGTCCTGAAGTTCAAAAGAAATTAACCGCCGATCACTTATTGTTTAAAGAGGGTGATAAATATTTGGAAGCTGCTGATGCGAATCATTATTGGCCGGTTGGTAGAGGAATTTTTCTTAATAACGAAAACACGTTTATGGTTTGGGTGAACGAAGAGGATCATGTCCGGATTATCTCGATGAATGACGGTGGTAATTTACCCAAAGTTTATTCTCGTTTGGTTGAAGCTGTTAGACAAATTGAAAAGAGATTAGCTTTTGCAAGAAGTGTCCGATTGGGATATCTCACATTTTGTCCTACGAATCTTGGTAAGCAAAATAAACTTTATTTTCTTTGTTTTAAGAATGCATTAGCATAAGAGGCGTGTTAAATAGTAATTATTTTAAAGGGTATTTTAAATGCACACCATTAAAGCAAGCTAATACCTTCAAAGTCATTTATCAACCCTTTACGTTATAATGGAAATATTTTATCCGTTACATTTTAAATGGATCGTTTTTATTTTAACTTTAAAAACTGTTTCAACTAAGAAATTATCGTGTAAACTTCTCCGTGTAGAGTAACTAACCGCCCGCAACGATAAAGTTGCCAATTTCGCTATTTTCCTGGGCATTTCGCCCCGTTATGATTAATGGTGTCGGAGCATTCGCTCCGGCACCCGATTTACTTGCTGTTAACTCAACGATCCGTGAGAGACTTCACTTGGATATCAGACTGCAGCATAACTCGAATTAAATCTTTGAAAAATGAACCGCAACAAATTGACCCGCTCAGTTTTATTAAATTAAAATTAATTAATTAAAGGGATGTGTAAAAACACGTTAATTCGTTATAGTTTAGTTTTGGTAATTAGTTTGTTTAAAGTTAAATTGGGTTCCACTATGTTCATATTTTATTTTCGGAACTTTGTTAAACTACGTTTCAAAATCTCAAATGTACTCTTTGTGTTGGGATATTTCTTGTTAAGTAATTCATGTTGTTGCTTAAAGTCTTTTAGAACTTTCCTAACTGAAGAATTAATAAATGATGCTTAATTTGAAATTTTTGACATAAAAGAGAATAAATGAAGAATATTTAGTTTGAAATTGATTATTGATCGATAAATTTGTTGTTAAGTGATATGACTAATTAAACTGCGAGCCGTTTCATATAACATGAAACGACGGGCAACACAGTAACACACGGTGTGGTGCATTGCGATTAGATAATCAATCACGATAACCACGCCGGTAGTAATGGGATCTCGTTATACGACTAGACCCAAACGGTTACCAATTCTCTCCGGAGTGTGTCAACATCAATTCGTAAGTACCCTCGCTCTTGTAAGCCTCCAAAACTAGAACTGCGGTTCTACATCCATTTGACTATAAACCGAACTCATTGTTTATGTTTGGTAAACAAATACCTAATTGGATGAAAAGTACTTTTTGCGATCATCAAAAATTTCGCAATTATTTTATAGCAAAAAAAAGGTGGAGGTGCCAGTTAATGGACTAACATTAGTTAAATCACTGTCGACGACGTATTGTAAACTTTTCCAACATTAAACCATTGTTGATATTAAGCTCTAACAGTATACCGAGATAAAGAAAGCCCGATTCACTCTTGAAAAACGACTTGTTAAATTAATGGGACAACCCTTCCGAAAGAGGGAAAGAGAAGAACTGAGCAACGACGGGGTGTGAAAGAAAGGACGTGAAAGTTCGGGGTCAGGTCATCTGTAAAAGTGGGACGTGTAGTTCAAAGTTCCCTTTTCACCCGCTCCACTTTGCGTCTTTGTCAGGCCGTGGCCGCCGTAGACTCAGCAATTGTATAAGCATGCAGATCGATAATGACGTGTGGAAGTTTATGTTAAAGTAAATATTTTCTTAGAAAACGAAATAGTAATAAAGTGGAAAAGAGACGAAGGAAAGCGGTTGGAATTTATACGAAAGCTTAAACACGACGAAACGCGGATTCCTATGTATATTTCATGGATGGTTTACAATGTGTTCTCATGTAAATACTGAAAAGGGGGTGTTTTAAATTTATTTTGTAAAACGATTTTAACTTTAATCGTTTATAACAGTGATTCACAAATAAATTTCAAACTATCTTAAAATTAAATAATCATATAAAATAATGTTTGTGACAATAACATCAACATGGTTATACCTAATTAAAGGATTTCATTACCTTAAAAGATTATATATTAAATTTAACTTTCCAAAATTAATTAATATTTAAATTCAATTTGTTTTAGGTACGACAATCAGAGCTTCAGTACATATTAAGCTACCCAATCTTGGAAAGGACACAGAGGAACTTGAATTAGTCGCCGACGAATTTCATTTACAAGTAAGAGGTACAGGTGGTGAGCATACCGAAGTAAAGGATGGAATTTACGATGTGTCCAATAAGCGGAGAATCGGCTTGACCGAGTATGAAGCTGTTAAAGAGATGCATGATGGTGTGTTGGAATTAATTAAGAGAGAACAAGAATTTGGGGTTGTAAAGAAATAAGCAAAAATATAATTGCTTTTGATTTGAATGTTGACGTTTATTTGTTTGTTCTTTTTTTGTGATTGGTTAAAAATAAAAGAGATTTTTTTTTAACAAATATATATATTTCTTAATGTTAGAGTTGTAGTTCATGGCATAAAAAGGACACCACGAACTACGGTGCTGTGGAAGGCACCATTCGCAAATGCTGATGCCCTCTTGAGTTTTTCATATTTTTGTTAAAGCACAAGAGACCACTAACATTAGGTTTATTAACAATTATGCAACCGGTACAGTAACTATATGTTAAGCCATAAAGGTATAAAATTCTCTACACGTGCACGTTTTTATTTTAATTTTTTTTCTTCAGCAATATTCATAACCGTTTATTTTAAATTTTATTTTTAATCAGACGATTTTTCAGTTTTTGAAGCAAATTGATATGAATTCGTTTATTTTGATTCGCGTTAATTTTTTTTTTATTTGAACACCAATCAAGAGAAGTATCGAAATATTTCTCTTGTAATTAGATTTTATTAAAATTAATTGGTCGAATTAAATTAATTGCCATCCAAATGAATCTTCACCGAACCAGAAAATTGGTTCATAGTTTGAGTTTAATTAATATCAAATTATGTATGTAAAAGGGAAAATATAAATAACTTATATCATTTGAGTGGCAACTTTTTTGAGCTTTTACGTCTTACCTTTTACGCGGATGTAACATGGTAATAAGACACACTATATGAATTTGATATAATTAACTAAGGCATGCACTCAGCTCGTGTTCTCTTTTTTGTATTACGTGTATATTTGTGTATAATAATAATTGTGTTATCAGTAGTATAAAACTAATTAACTAACTAAAAAACTAAGAAATCTATAAACTAATGGTAAAAATATGATTATGTATTACCTCCTCTTTCGTTTACATTTAACTATAATAATTATACAATTCATATTAATAACAGTAAATATAATATGTATATAGGTTTTTTTTCTGTTTGATATTGGAAATAAGAATACCGGTTGGGCTTATGTATATACAGTAACGTTTTATCAAGTTTTTATCATTTTTTATAGCAACTCAATACATTCTAACCCTTACCTAATACTCAAAAAAATTACCGATTTTAGCTACCGATTAAATCGTTATTAAAAGAGAAGAAATAATTTACATCTTAATAAGAGAGAAAAGAATATCATAATAATTGATAAAACGGCACTGCGTATTCGCCCAGGAACACAGTAACGCTTCGATTTTCATTATTCGTTTAATATACAAGTTCTGACTAAAGCTTCGCAAACGGAGTATGGATCACAGTTGGACGATGGCCTTCTGTCTTCTAGGTAACCTTTTTTCTGCTCGGCACATCCACGTGGAATACGAATACTTGCACCACGATTTGCAACACCTACAACAATTACAATTCAATGTAATATTCTTGTGAGTGGGAAGGAAGAATTCAGAATAGATCGGAAACATGGACTTTAGTGCAGAATGACCAAAACGGACGTAAAAAGTACTACAAGAACAAAATAAAATATTTCCAAGAAATAATTTTCTTTCCTTTCATGTATACATTTTACCTTGTCCTCAAAATTCTTTATAAGAACCCGAACAAATACCATTATGTCATACCACATAAAAGGGTATTATTACAACTCTCTCGTTTCAAATTGACTGTCATCAATCATCGGGGTATGTATTTTGTATCGATTGTAAGGTACGTATAAAAGACGCATTGTTACGTAAAAGAAAATAATAGCGGTAAAAAATATAGATTGACTTACTTCTGGGGCAGATGTTGAAGAGAAACGTGTGTCATAAAAATTCGTTCGATATTTTTTAGATTTTTCAATCAAAGAATTTCCATCAAATTTAACTAAAGTTTCACGCATCTGCTAACGCTGACAGGTAGTCATAAATTATCGAACTCCGGAAGGAAAATGAATTTTGTCATAATCTATCTTAATGTGTCGACCACGAATTTAATATAATTTTATAAAATTGATTCTATTTTGAACAAAAATTTTCAACCTAATATCAAATTAAGTACAACTAACCCCTTTTAATAATGGAATAATTAATGAGATTATACGTATTAACAAGATTTCCTCGCTTGAATACTTGCGGTCGAGAATAGAAATCGTCACGGTCCAATTGAGACGTTGTTATCTGTTCTAATTAACTAAGATATTGTTTAAGTAATCCTTTTCATTTCTACACTAAACTTGTAATTGGGATTTCAATTTAACTTTGGAATTGGTGTATTATGAAACTACTATTTAAGTTAAAATCTACTTCCTTTTAAATCTCTTTTTCGTTGAAAACCGATGTTGATAATTCAAAACACGAAAAGTTTTCTAAAAAGTTCCCAAACATTTCACATTATTTACAATTCCAATGGTTCAATTTACTTGTCTAAAAGTTTTTTACGTTATCTTTTTTGCAAGCTCGATTTAGTTGCCAAGAAAATGAAATTGCGGTTTCAACACCAGATACTCGTTTTTTAAGACTAAATATCTATTACAACCTTATTACAAAAAAGATTGTAATATAAAATTACTTATTTTTTAATCTTTTTAGAAAATAAATCCTTAATTAAACATGTATGATTCAGAATTAGCAAACCATTCTCTCGATCCACTCTTCATCGTCGCATATTCATTATTCGTGCATTGATTGGAACGTAATTAACAGCGTTCGTACAAAATCGCTCGATAATTCAATTAAAACCATTCGAGAGATCGTTAAATTTGAACGAGGGAAAGGATTTTCGTGCGAACAATTCGAGCATTACGTACTCTTGCATTGTAGGTACATCGAAAAAGGGATTTACTCACCGGCGCTGAAGTCATGGATCGAAGATGTTTCGTGTCTTCCGGTGAGACGACGTTCGTTGTCCTTTCCACCTTTTGGATCGTAGGCCTGGATATGTCTCAGGTGGTTTCTGCTCAATTTGTCGATAGCCTTCTCAATTTCGCTATAAAAGAAGTGAAAGGTAATGTTATTTTCGTAAAAGCACCATGCATTTTTAAACTAATTGATGCTCGAAAATAAAAGGTCGTGAAACTTTTATTACAGAGACGTTTTAAATTAAGGTTTCTAACTTAATCTAAGTTTTAAAATTAGTTATAATCCAAAACATTCTAAAAATAACATTTTAAAACAACTTGGTTGTTTCAAAGTAGACGGTAATGAAGAATGGAGAAAAAGTAAAAACGTTTTATTTAAAACGAACCAAAATGCACATACAAATGAGTTTGCAGCGAGTTTTAATCGGTCTTAATTGAGGTTTACTAGTCGGTTGACCGTCGTAAACAATAATTATATAATCAGCTTGTGTTAATCGGTATACGTACTGGACAATTGTTACAACAGCAATAATTACAGGCTGTCATGTGATACGGAACGATGTGAAAAACGTTCCACGAACTCGTATATAATTTTATCCGGTAATACGGAAAATATTAATAATGGTAACACTCGTTAATTTATTTCCTACAGGGAATCGTGCGGAATTTATTGCTTTAAATTGATCGAAACTGTACAAATTTCAAATTCAATAACACAATAAATCAACAAAATTTAGATAAATTCATATAAGTGCAATAATTTTTAGATTTTACATTTTCATTCTGCCAAATTAGTGCTTTGTTGTGTATAAGCGATCTGCGACACGATCGAAGTCGTTATTTTTAGATGGATTAAAACGGTGACCGCATTCTGCAACGAAACCGCAGTTCGCGACACGGTCGATCCAACATTGGATACGTTCATCATCCGCATGGGCAGACATCGTTTCAATTGATGTAATCGCTCGATAAGGGAGAACTCCAATAAACCGTTAGATTCCCTCATTTCCTGTTTTTCAAAAAAACAGCTGGCATATGCGCTAATGAGGATATGAGCTTGCATGTATTTTTTCTTTTTCCGATTAGTAGTAATTATTTTTTCATTAACTCAATAATTAACTCTCTTTACATTATCTAGTATACGAAAGATGCTACTTTTTCTTTCAAAATTATTAAACATTTTAGAAGTGGTTAACGTTTTGCTTCAGAAATATTCAGGTTTAAAATAACATTATGTGGATACGTTTGTGGACTCAGGTTATTGAACAAAATTCTAGGAATATGACTGAGAAAGATTAATATTAATCTCAAGAGGTTTTCAGAGAATTGATGGTTTTTTTGCTAACAATCATAACTTAGTACGTCTGCGAGGAAGCTGCATGACAACTTTTTGCTTGCATGCGGTATTTCGTCAATTCCTCCAATGGTGTGTGAAAAAGTTTCCAAATACATCGCCTTAACATCCTACTCTACGTGGTGAAGACCAAAGCTACTGGAACTAAATTTTTACGTAGAATCAGGTCTAGTGCGCAACCCCGACTTGGTTTGCGATGATCCATGGACATGAGATCATTATTTCCACTAAGTATGCAAATGATGAGGTAATGTAAAGGTTAACGAATGACATTTTTTTTCTTTAAGAACTATTCTTACTTGGAGGCTATCTATTCGCATCAAATACTAGCTCAGATAATTTTAGCTATATTGTTCCAAATTTTGTGAAAATTGAAGACCAGAACGTCAATTTCCAATTAAATGGTTTTGATAATAAGCAAAACAGCAGGATATACGTTACGAAGAATCTAAAAGAGTTTGTTGCGAATGAACATTGAAAAAAATTAAATTGAAAGAATTTATTCAATTAGATTTCATTTTCCAATTTTATTTACTATCTATAAAACATAAACATTGTTTTTTTAATCACAAAGTTTCTTAAATAACAATCAAACTTTAAACTGAATTGGCAAAACTTCAAACGAATAACCCGATTGTTCTTTTTATCTCACCGATTCGTTTGGGGTTGGTTCATGTAAGTTTTATAGAGTTCGTAATGGTCTATTTGAACTCAATGAAATGAAATACTTCGGCATCGCAATAAACGCGATAAATTTCTCTTGATGCTTACTGGTCTTTGGTGTGATATATAGTGTAAAGGTGTCATTAAGGAAACGGGGCGAAAAGATTAAGTGCCGAAAATAAAAGCTTAACATTTTTAAAAGGATTTCAAGTAAATGTAATTGTTTAATATTTTAATTTGTTTTGCTGCGCTATTTAAAATTTGTTTAAATGATAAAAAGCAAAGCGGTGTTGGGACCTCAACTAAACCGTTATGTCTTCATAAACCCGCATATATCAACGAACAAAATTTGGCGAGCAGTTTATTTACGATCTAGAATACGGGCGAAGTGCTCGTTAAAAATGGAAATTTGCGTTTGCCGTGGTGCTGAATTTACCCCTGTTCATTTTTACTTTACGTTCAAAAAGGAAAAGCGTAGCAAAGAGATCGTCTAAAAAGCGAATCTCATCGTCTCTTTGCAAACATCCTAACGACCTTTGCTTTTACAGGAGCGATTTCACGGAATGTGTGCTTTTCGAGTGGACGATAGTATCGTAAAATGGTTCAAATAAGAGACTTACATGATGCCATTTTCATCTCTCATTGCTTTCGTGGAGAAATTAGTGTGAGCTCCGGCTCCGTTCCAATCTCCAGGCATTGGTTTTGGATCTAAAGTTGCGACAACTCCAAATTCTTCAGCGACGCGATGAAGGATAAATCTTGACATCCACAGTTGGTCACCAATACTGATTCCTTCGCATGGACCTACTTGGTATTCCCACTAAAAATAAAAATTTAATAATAAAAATGTTATTTTGAATAAATTAATAAACTTACTTGTGCTGGCATAACTTCTGCATTACTACCAGCAATATTAACTCCAGCGTAGAGACATGCTCTGTAGTGGGCTTCAACGATATCTCTAGCGTAAACTTTGTTGGCACCCACGCCACAATAATATGGCCCTTGCGGTCCGGGAAAACCATTTTTCGGCCAACCCAAAGGCCTCAAATCCATATCCAAGAGTGTGTACTCTTGTTCTATTCCAAACCAGGGTTCGTGATCTTTCGCTGCCTCCATAGCCTTTAGACATGAATGTCTTTTGTTGGTATCTGAAAAATTCCATTGAATAATATTTAAATATTATCAACAATGACCTCTCAAGATCAACTTGTTGGTTGCTAGGTATGAATAAATATAATTATTATGAATACGAGTATTCGAAAATTTACATATGTGCTAAAGGCAATTGTTGTGTTAATGAATATTTATTATTAATCATTATGTAAAATTCATGATATTGTTGTTAATACTCAAAAATGTGGTGTTGATATTATGTAACGAAAACAATTATTGTTATCAAGTGGAATGTAATTCTTGATCAAAAAATTGCATGAAATTTTTATAGATATTTTTAACACATAAATAAATGATAAACAAGAAATATATTTTATAAATGAAAAAGTTCCCCAAGAAAATGAGACATCTATCTATCCAATCTATTTCTATCCTCAAATATAGAAAGAAAACACGTTTTCCCATCTCAAAAGGATGTCATGCACTTTGTGCACACATAGAAGGAGACGCATTGTCGGTTAGTAAAAGAGAAATTGAATCGTAAAGCACAAAAACTAACAAAAGCGTTCTAAAAGAGAGAAGATGACCTTTTTGCAGTGTATGGCCTTATCTGGCTAACCGGAAACTTTTTATCAAGAAAACTACTAAAGCTTACACATTCAAAGGTCGTGCTTCGCAAGGGCATTGCCTCACGGACTTACCCACTAGTTCTAAATGTCCACCTCTAACGTCTGTGGAAAGAAAACAGGCGATCGTTAAGATCAGGCAAACATGCAATTCCCTACCTCAAGTTTCTTTTTGCTCGTTGTCGACATCGTTCTATGTCGAAATTGCTTTCAAATTGACTTACTTTCGTATCACATTGTAGTGTATTGTACGTTAGAAACAAAAATTATCTTTAAATTAAATTATAATGTGATTAGTTAGGTTTATTATTTTGGTGGAGGAGCCGGATTATTTTCTAATTATATTAAATACAGTAAAACCTTCATTTAACGGGAAAGGGAGTGTCCGTTATAGCCAAAAGTCCTTAGTAATTGGTATTAAATTTTATTGAAAATTATTTCTTAATTCCTATAAACCTCGTTGCTATGATTTTTTAAGTATAACCTTGGTGCTATAACTTAGTTATCGAGATTAGACTGATTTTTAAATAATCATATCTCAAGATCTAATTGAGATGACGTTATGAGATAAAAAATATTAAATTGAAATTTAACTGGCGTTAAATTGCATTGAAAATTATTTCATAATTCCTGTAATCGACAGCTTAGTTCTAGTGTTACTTCTAGTTTTAGTTCAATAAAATTATACAACAATCTAGCGCTAAATAACAATTAAAACTAGAACTATCGTCTAGTCGTTCTAACGATGTCCGTTAAATCGAGGTTTTGCTCTTGTTTTACTGTATTTTTATATCTTGCGTACATTTTAAAACGAATTTTATAACTAAAACATTTACAGTGTAAAGGGAATATAAATTTACCCCACCTAGAGAAAAGTGTAAAAACTACCTTTTTAATTTTAAAAGAAAATAAATTACCATTAAGGATAAGATCGCAACAGCGTTAAAATTCGCTTTACCTACCTAATTTTATATACAATTGTGGTTTTTGGCTTTTTTTAATTCATTTAGATTCAAATTTTTTATTATAAGATACATGCAAAGCCCATCGAAAAAAGCTGATAATATATTTCATACATATTGATTAAAAGCAAAAATAAAATTCAAACCTTGAAAATATCGAGTTCTATAGAAATAGCAAACGACCCCTTCAGGGCATGCTAGTTAACATAGTTTTTAGGAAAATGATTCAAACACACATTTAAGAATCCCGTTCGAAAACGTTTCGATATAACAGCGATATCTTAGATGCGATAAAATGCACTTTACGAGCTCGTGCTTGCGGCGTGTTCGAGCGTGTTTACCTGTGTAATAGTGCCCGTTATGGTTTACAGGATCTACAAAAATAAAATTCACGTGTATTCACCGTGCAAAATTAAAAACAAATTTTTCGTTTTCGTTTATCTGTTACTTTAAAAGTTAAATGAAAAGGGTTCAAGTGTTATCCGCCTAAAGCGAAAAAATTAAATTTATTTTAAGGGCGTGACGCGGTTTATCGATTAAACATAATCTGTATTATGCAAATCAAATTGTGTTTCAATTAAGTTTTATTAACTTTTTTTTATTGTACCGCAATTCCAAAAAAAATAATGACCTATTTTTATGCCATATAAAGTTCCTCAATTTGCGGATTAATTAAATTGCTCTCATTAAAATATTTATGGCGTTTAAAAGTAAACCGAGTCATTAAGATTAGTTTGAATAAATAAAATGACGGCGTTAAACACATAAACTCTTTGTTGCTAAATAGAAATTATCAAGGTTGTTTAATAATTACCATTTACAAACAAAAGTACCTTTATGAAAAGGTTACCATTTCAAATTATAATCTTGAGTAATGTATCTGGTGGGATGAATTTTCTTATAAGACATCGAAAAAGTGAAGTGGAAGGTATAAACTCTCTAGGGATTATGCCATAATAACTTTCGGAATTGAATACATGGTCTTTCACTTTTATCGTGTTACGAAATGAGATACGTAACATCAATTTATTATATCGTTATACTATGATCAAGACAAAAAATCTAAACCATTTAAATATTAAGTTGAAATATCTTGTGAAATCTAATTTGCAATTTAAAAGTAATTTTCTAACATTAGCATCACGTAATTTATTGCAAAGTCATTGTAAATCAATTATGTATTTACCTCTTTGGAATATTTATATTGTTGAGACAAAAGATTTATTAATCTAGAATGTTTTATTCAATTATTTTTTTCCTTTAAAATATGAACAAGATTTTCATTTTCAGATTAGATTAATTTTTAAATAATTGGAGCTTAAGTACTAATTGAGTTGTCGTCATAAAACAACAATTTATTGAAAATAATTTCTTAATTTCTGCAAACCTCGTTGACATAAATTTTAATAACAACTCTGTATTATTAATGTATTAAGGTTAGATTGATTTTTAAATGATCGTATCTCAAGATGTAATTGACATAATGTTATGAGATAAAAAGATATTGAAAGGGAATTTAATTGGCATCATATCTTATTGAAAATTATTTCTTAATTCCTATAAACCTCGTTGCTATGATTTTTTAAGTATAACCTTGTTCCTATAATTTAGTTATTGAGATTAGACTGATTTTAAATAATCGTATCTCAAGAACTAATTGAGATAATGTTATGAGATAAAAAGATATTGAAGGGGAATTTAATTGGCATTATATTTTATTGAAAATTATTTCTTAATTCCTGCAAACCTCGTTGCTAAGATTTTTTAAGTACAACCTTGTTCCTATAATTTAGTTATTGAGATTAGACTGATTTTTAAATAATCGTATCTCAAGAACTAATTGAAATAATGTTATGAGATAAAAAGATATTGAAAGGGAATTTAATTGGCATTATATTTTATTGAAAATTATTTCTTAATTCCTAAAAACCTCTTTGCTATGATTTTTTAAGTATAACCTTGTCGCTATAACTTACAATTAGTTATTAAAATTAGACTGATTTTTAAATAATCGTATCTCAAAAACTAATTGAGATAACGTTATGAGATAAAAAGATATTGAAGGAGAATTTAATTGGCATTATATTTTATTGAATATTATTTCTTAATTCCTGCAAACCTCGTTGCTCTGATTTTTTAAGTATAACCTTGTTCCTATAATTTAGTTATTAAAATTAGACTGATTTTTAAATAATCGTATCTCAAAAACTAATTGAGATAACGTTATGAGATAAATAAATATTGAAAGGAAATTTAATTGGCATTATATTTTATTGAAAATTATTTCTTAATTCCTACAAACCTCGTTGCTATGATTTTTTTAATTTCAAACCTATGTATTTAATATAGTTATTGAGGTTGAATTTAATTTTTATTAATCGTATATCAATAACTAATTGAGATATCTTTGTAAAATATGGAGAACAAAATTGATTTGTTAAAAAAATCTTAGAAAATATTAATTACACGTGTTACACAGATAACAAATTTGTATACATTTTATACAAAATGTTGACCTTGTAAATTGATAACCAAGTATTAAACAATATTTGTAAAACCAAAATGAATCATGTGATTCTGCATTATCAATTTATTAACCAACATGCAACCAAAATGAAACGATACTTTGATAATGTTGTGTTATATTATTTCTAAATAAACAATAAAACAATAAAAAATGAGAGAAGTTTTAATAACAATACCCATTCTATTCAATAAAATTGAAAGAAGAGAACATCAAATGTTGATTTAAATGTAGATGTAAACACAAAACACACATTCGAGAACATATATTTTTTACATTAAATGTTGATGATACCCACGGCATGTATAACACATTTCTTTTTTAATGCGACACATGATACACAGATGATGTTCTCTTACCTTCCGGCCGTAATGAGGATATGCCGTTTTGATGTATACCTGTTAAAATAAAAATTTGAAACTTAAACCTTAACAAAACGTACTTTTTTGAGCCTTTATATGGTGTTGTAGAGCGTACTTGCATTGGCATTGATTTTATTGAAAGTTACAGCATCTTATTTAGTTATTTATATTAATGGAAATTTCTCGTTTTAACTTTGAAGTTCATGTATTTATTCATGAAACAAATCAGTTTAATCCAATCAACAAATACGAGTATAAATTGAAATGTTAATTTGAAAGTGGAGATAACACTTGAACTCCCCTTTTCGTGGGGGAAATACGTAAAAAAAGCTTAATTAAAAAAAAAAACGATAAAATTAGCCCCATTTAAAACCCCATTCCTATTCGACCATATGTTTTCAAGGTACCTATACCACGTGCCATACATTCGCCACGCGTCTGACTACAATAACCTAATCGGTTTATTTCTGGTAGGCACAAAGTTTAATGTTTCGGTGCGTAATAATACAAATTTATCGTAAAAATTTATTTTTTTGTTTCATTTATATTTATATATAATTTTAAAGTTAGTTTTGGCCGAAATCCCATTTAAATACGGATGCTAAAGTTTTTTTTTGGGGAATATTAACTTACCTGCTGGTTTTCCGTTGGCTTTGTACGTATCGCAAAGAACCAATTTGTTGTTTCCTCTACGGAAAGGATCATTAAAGATTGCTACCGGATACAAATACATGTCCGAGTTGCCTCCTTCGGCTTGGTAACAGGAACTACCGTCGTAATTCCAAATTGGAAGGTCTGAAAGGAAGAATTGTTTAACGTTAACAATGAATTTCGATTAGATTGTGTTTGTGCTGGGTATATTCCCGGAAATTAAATTAGTATCGATCATAAATTTCATCTTAATATGTGATAGGTATTATGCCTATCATAAAATATAAAGATTTATTTATATTTATAAGTCTTAAATTTCATCAGATAAAAATATAGGTCAGTTTAATTTTGTAACAAAAACAAAACCTTTAGTGAACCTATTGATAATATCCACTATCTCATAGACAACTTAAATAATAATCCCCACTTGAAACTGTTTGAGAAATCATTAAAATTAAAGAAATTAAATTCCTTTTCTTCATCAAATAGAATTTAAATTTAAAAAGTTCCACTCGATTATTAACAAGTTACTTTCTCATTAAGAATTTGTGCTTTGAAACTTGACCCGGTGGAATTTCGCCGGTGTTACAGGTTTGGGAGGCATTCATGAATAGACAAGCTTAACCAAAAGCACTTAGCACTGGGGAACGTTAACGAGGATCGCGCCTAAAATAAATAAGTTAATGTAAAGTGACGATAAAATATTAAAAGAAAGCGACGTCAATTAGCCCACTCCATCAAACGTTAACAACATTAACAGGAAAGTGAGGAATTAGTAACAAGTTCAAGACGATCGCGTTTCACGGCCAAGTTCATAGATGATATATTCAGTACTCGTCAAGGCGAACGCGGCTGTTGATCGGCCTTAAGGTCATTAAGGTAATTAGAAACAGCTGTTTTATTAGCAAGATTCACTTTACCGATGTTTGGCACGAGCTCACTGTGTTAATTATTGCTCAATTAAACGATGATTAATGATTTAATTAGAATAAAATCAAAATTATTAAGTAAATTAATTATAAATAGATAAAATTAAAATGTTTCAACTGAAAGTTGAGGACTATTATAATAACAAAATGGGATTTTGATGCAAATGAATTGTGCGAGCAAGAAGAGAGATTTTCACTTAATTAAATCGAGTTGTACAGAAACGACGATAAAAATTTACCGTTAGAAAATAGCGAATCAAAATACAAGATTTAAGACAAAATATAACCTAGTTGTTACAACAAACTCTAAAAGTGTCAAACTTAATATACAGTATGTCCGTATAGTCATGGTACACTTTTGACCGCTCAAAGGAAAGCAACAAATTAAGAAATGTGAAACCTTCACCAAGTAAAAGGAAAACTCTCTAAGTTTTCGCAAAAAATCCTCGTGCCTATTGTTGAGTACGAAGCCATATCCACCACGATCCCTGCAATTAAAGAAAATTCCAGGGATCGTCCAGTAAAGGTCTATACATTGATGAATCTGGGAGCAAAAATGTTACAGAGCATTGTGTTTAGAGTATAATTTGCTACAACTTTTGTTATAAAAGTTTTTCTGTATTATGCTCCGGATACCGATTTTTTTTAACACTCTTCTAATTTTCATATTTTTGAAAAATTCTCTACATTGATGCATCTGGGAGCAAAAATGCTACAGAGCATTGTCTTAAGGGTACAATTTGCTACAACTTTTCTTGTAAAAGTTTTTCTGTATCATGCTCCGGATACCGATTTTTTTTTAACACTCTTCTAATTTTCATATTTTTGAAAAATTGTCTACATTGATGCATCTGGGAGCAAAAATGCTACAGTGCATTGTGTTTAGAGTATAATTTGCTACAACTTTTGTTATAAAAGTTTTTCTGTATTATGCTCCGGACACAGATTTTTTTAACAGTCTTCTAATTTTCATATTTTTGAAAAATTCTCTACATTGATGCATCTGGGAGCAAAAATGCTACAGAGCATTGTGTTAAGGGTACAATTTGCTACAACTTTTCTTGTAAAAGTTTTTCTGTATCATGCTCCGGATACCGATTTTTTTTAACACTCTTCTAATTTTGGATTTTACTGGATTTTTACTTGTGGGGTTATCTAAAGCATGTGAGTACAACATTAATCATTTAAAAACACTATGTTACATGTGTATGGCAACAATTGGAGACCACATCGAACTACATAAAACAAGATAGTATGAAAGTAGGCGAAGTTTCCTTTTATGTGGTGAAGATTTCAAATTTCTATCTATAATATAATAATATTAATAAAATTATTGTTGAAAAGATTTTTATGATGATGATATCTTATTGGAAGCAGGAAGCGAAGAAGATGCTTAAGGTTTTCAACAAAATAAGACAACGACGCTGCAACCAATCGGATTCCATTCAAGGAAGTGGTCCAGAATATCTGCCAAAATTGTTATCTAAAGAATTATATGTCAAAACGCTTAATCTAAAGTTAAAAGCAGTGGCCTAACTTAGCCACGTTTTTTATAAACAGGAAAAAAGGCTGGTTTGCAAAAATATCATTTACCCTTTGAGATAAAATACTGACTACACACAAAACAGATCTTAAAACTTTTTTTGAAACCATTTTAAGAAACACCATGTACATCTTAATAATGTAACATTAATATTAGATATTTTTTTCTGGTAAACTTTATACTTTTCAATACTGTAAATGACTTTCATTATTTATTCACTTGGCAACGCGGGAAGCGGAAAATTTATTGATGCTTCACACGCAGTTTTCTACACTAACGGCTTTTCGAGAATGTTTGTAACGCCGATACGTCTGCACTATTGATCGGCAATAATTTAATAATTCAAACGATTCTAGCTCGATACTTTTAACATTTCAAACAAATGATTGCTAACTCGACGATTATTCATTAATTGTTCGTTGCATCTAAGATGACATAACCGTCGATTGATTCAGTAGTTGTTATTGAAGATGTTTTAATGGTTCTCGGAATAAAAAATATATTTTTTCTCCTTTGAAACGGTGATTTTTATGTGTTGTAAGAAAAATCTTTGCGTGCGATAATTCAATTTAACGCCAAATACATACCACTGGGATCCTTGGGGATGAAATCCAACGTTCTGGTTTTCGCTCTAACATTTTCTCCCGTTCCATCCACCCAAACGTACATGGCCTGAATTTTGCCTTCCGGAATTGGCAGGTCCATATACTTTGGCAGGATTGTCTTATTCAATGCCGCATTGGGCGACGCTTCCAACGTTGAATTCGGCATCCCGTGCTGAAAAATAAAAAGAATACATTTTAAAATTAATGAAATCATTTCATTGAAATAAACAACTTGAAGTAATTACGTAAAGGTTGTTTAAAAGGTTGCGTAACAATTTATTATCTCATTTCATTCGTTAGAAACATAAAAATGAATTGTAATAATAATATTGAAATTAATATTTGCTTTGTTAACAAGTTGTGGACATAATAAATGTAAAATAATTTATGCTAAATTAGAGAAGTTTACATTTCAATTGAAAATAAATGGAAAATTAATGCTCAAATTATTTATAGCGCAAACTTCGAGAGTTTAACAAATATTTTGTTGTGAACTCGATGATAACAGTACACACATGTTGTTATATCGACAAGATCATAAAGGAATATGTTCTCATTTACAATAAATTACTTATATATGTATAAACGCTGAATTGCAATAAATATTTTTTTTTTAAATGACGTCAATCGAGGTGCATCGAAGGAACACAAGAAAATTCCATTCACAACAAGATTTACATAGGATGAGTTGGTTTTATTGAAAGGGACTTGAAAACAAAGCCAATGTTTTATAAAGACAAAGAAAGTCGCTTTTTAAACAAAGAGTGAATTATCTGTTGAGTACAATTAAACAAATTTTATCATTATCGATTACATTCTGTATTGATACAATTATAATCTAAATTGTGCATAACGAGTGTATATTTTAATTGCAAAAAGTTATTTATAAAAATAACCAAGGCAAAGGAAAGTTATAAAAGAAAATTAATTAAAAACAAATTAATTATTAACTTATATGTTTAAAAAATTAAAAAAAAAAATAATTACCATTACACAATGAACTGGTCACAAAATATAAATTGAAATTAATTAAATAAAAATCAAATCACTGGTATGACGGTATAAATTTCTTGTGATGAGTATAATATAACGAACGTTTTATGATACATGTGAAACTCACTATAGTCTGGGGACTAATGACAATAATCGTTGCGTTCTCGCGTATTTATATGAGCGAGCTGAATTATCTTGAGGTCAACGAGAGAGAACTCAAAAATAAATATTTATACATAAGCTACCTTGTTCTAAAACGAAACGGACTGCGAAAAACAGCTGATCGTATACACCGGGTCTGCCTCTGCGAGACGATTTTTGAAATTAAAAATAAAATTTCCATCAAAAAGACTTGGCACCTACGCTTTCGGAAATAAACCGTACTTTGAACTCGCAGATTCGCCCCTTCTAGATTTTTTTAATTTTATTTATTTGGGCTTGTTGTTTGAAATATTATTGTCTGGTCAGTGCATACGGAAAATTCCCAAAGGTACTCGTTGGCATAAAAATATTTTTAAAAATTTCCCAAAACGTTCGTATCGACATAGAAACAGTTGTCTTTATTTTACACGATCACGTGAAGTTTAATTATACTGATATGGTTTCGATAAATTCTCACTGGAGAATGCCGTGAAATTTATTTTAAAAAAATGATGGATTAACTATAATTGATAATAAATTTCCGTGTTTTTGTAATATTTTAATTGCTAATGATAACATTGTGAGTAATATTAATATAAATATCTATTAATAATCGTTATTATCTATATAGAATTTTTATGGGGAATCATTAATTTATATAAAACACAACATCTTAATAAACTTAAAATAGCCAAATTTAACCTTTATTTTCTGTTTTGTTTTTACAAAATATGTTTTTGTGTTTAAAAATTGTTTAGATCATGACTTTCTCGGCAAATAAACATCATTTATGAGAAAAACAAATTTTTATTAATAAAACCTCTACGTTTTACTACTTCAACGATAACAACATAAATAAATTGTTTAATATGTGAGAGATGCTAATAATAAAATAAATAAATATTAATAATTGAAAACCAATTTTTTTATTTCTCCACAGAATAAAATGGAACATTTTTGTGTCTTTGTCTCAATAATGGAACATATTATTGTGTCTAGTTCTGGTTAATATTATTTAGCATTTAAAATTCTCTTTATTTCATTTAGTTTTTGAATCATAACCTGTTTTATCGCAGAATTTTTAACTTTGGGTTGAATTGGGTTCGCTAAATTACTCGATGGGTTATAATTGTATATTGAAACTGTTTTCTGGGTCAATGCGGAACGTTTTTGATTCAAAAAGTTTCTTTCTATCTCTTTTAGTTTTTGAGTCACAACCTGTTATATTGTTAGAAAAGTAAAATCGCAGAATTTTTAACTTTGAGTTGGGTTGGGTTCGCTAAATTGCTCGATGGGTTATAATTGTGTACTGAACCTGTTTTCTGGGTCAATATGGAACGTTTTTGATTCAAAAAGTTTCTTTCTATCTCTTTTAGTTTTTGAGTCACAACCTGTTATATTGTTCGAAACGTAAAATCGCAGAATTTTTAACTTTGAGTTGGGTTGGGTTCGCTAAATTACTCGATGGGTTATAATTGTGTACTGAACCTGTTTTCTGGGTCAATACGGAACGTTTTTGATTCAAAAAGTTTCTTTCTATCTCTTTTAGTTTTTGAGTTATAACCTGTTATATTGTTAGAAACATAAAATTACAGAATTTTTTATTTTGGGTTAGGTTGGGTTCGCTAAATGACTCATTGAGTTACAATCGTGAATTAAAACTTATTAATTTGATTAATTAAGAATATTTTTAACATCTCATCCCGTTTAACGATTTATTAACCTTAATATTTTTCTCATTTAGCAACATGGTTAGCATCAACTTCAGGATTTCTTAATTTATATCATTATATCACCTAACTTATTTGTCCTTTTCTAAATCGGTGATTATTCAGCAATATTTTTATTGCGAAGAAAAACAAGAAGAATAAAAGCAATTATTTGGGATTAGTAACAGATATTGAAATGTACCGGTTTTTGGGAGCTATTCAAAATCAATGAGAGACATTAAAACGCATCAATAGCTATTAAAAACGTAAAATATTAAATGCAACCGCGAATTTTCGACGACAATATACCAAAATAAACTACTAATATACAACAACAAACTACCCAAAATAATATGAACCATTGTATTCTATATAAAGGGGTGTAAAAGTTATTTATGGCCCTATTACAAATGAAATCCCTCCGCTTAAATCCTATAATTACACCCGTACTATTGTACAAATAACTATGAATTGATATTTATATTTTCGAGTTTATGATTTAAGTTGGAATGAACTCCGACATTTCATAGTAAAATGAGAAATTGATGCTAATTTACTACCTTTAACATGATTATGGTATGTAAACAACATCTTTTCATTCACCCAAAAATAATTTTATACATTTTTTAATTATAAAGTTGTCACGATGACCATCAATCTTTTATATAACAAAAATTACTCAATGTGCGTGATTTTTATTTACAAAATATTTGACACAATTATCATTACTAACGAGATGGGCGAGTTAATTTTAAAATTGCGTCGAAAGGAAGTCGCAATTTACTTAACGATTTTGGGTTCAAAAGTCCTTGCGGTAAAATGCCCCCGCTTTGACCCATTTATCACAATTGCCGCACGTGATACCGTCCTAAAAACAGCGTATAGATAAGTTTTATTTACAAAATTAAGGCTATCGTCTAGACTTATATTAGCAGATCTCCGATGGATTTCGCCTCAATCGGTATAAAAATCGGTTAAGATATTAGCACCTTATATTTATAAGAAAATTTTCCATCTTTATAATAATAAAAAAATTTATACAACATATTTGTTGATATATTTGTAAATAAAGTGCACTTATCGTGAACCATTTAATGTGTATTGCAAACTTGATAAGATATTATTAATAGGACACTCGAATGTTGTTCAAGAACAATTATCTATGCACGAAAAATCTTTGAGAAAAACTTCGAAGTTAAAGTACGTATTCATAAAAAATTCATAGAAAAAAACATTTACGTCAATATTTAAATATAAATAAATCGTTTTAATCAACAAATAGATTCCGTGCCAGGCACAACGCCAATTTAAAATTTTTGTGTCTAAATTTTAATTAATTCTTTTCAAACCGTTACAAAAAAAAGTTAAGCATTTCCCCTACGGAAAATTCTAATCACCTGATCTAAAAGAACAGCACAGATGATGAAACTAAAGAAGGCAAAAAAAAACACCTGCACGTGATTTCGTACCAGGCACAGGTGAGTTTCACGCGATTTTTTCTAAAAGCTGACCTTAACCAATTTTTTTTTTCAATCACCTAGTTGTACATAACATCCATCATCTAAAAAAAGATTCGAATCAAACCTATTTCCTCCATTCCAATACAAAAAAAAAATCATCTCCATACATTATCATATCACCTGACACTTGATACGGCTCTGTTGTACATTATTTGTAACGACGCGAAAAGTAAATGCATAGCGATCACGTGCCGCTCACGTTTTTCGCACGAGCCGCATGCACACTCAAATACTTGCGTCCGTCTGTCTGTAACGGCGTGAACCACACACGAGAGAGATAGATGGTTTTATCGGACAAAGAAAGCGAATATGCGCCAGAGTTGACAATTTAGATTGGTCTGTTTATCATGTCAGCTGACGAACTTCCGGATAAAAACAGTGAATAAACTTTATTCCAATGTTTTTTTTATTTATTTTGTTGTCTTTTTTTTTGTAACAGGATGATGCACTACTCTAATGCGATTTTTAACAGCTTTTATTAACATTTACAAAAAAAATAAAAGTTTTTAAACATTTATGTAGTTGAGACATCTTTTTTGGTCACAACACCAATATATTAGGCTAACACGTAATTAGTAGGCTATGAAATTAAACGTCATTGCAAAACAAATGGCATTATTGACATGCAAAATGGAAATTGAGAGAGTAACGATTAACTGTGTGCACTTGATATTGATATGTTATAATCGTTAAGCTGTTTGGAAATAACGATTTAAAGGGGAAGAGAATCGTTGTGTCGCTTCTGTTGAATAATTGAATGTTCGTCCATTCCAAGAAATTTATAATAATTTTGATGGGTTTCTAAACTT